CCCACAATGAAATCTGCATCAACCTTACATGAATAAAGGGCATCAAACCCGCTACCTCATTGAAGACTACTGACTCCAACTTCATCAGCAACTTTATTATATTCAAAAGCAATTTGAATATTTCTTCCTCCCAATGTAATGAGTTGGCGGAGGAACACATCCAAACAAAAATAACTAAACAAAATGAAATTTTAATGAATCAAGATTCTATTTTTTCAAAAATTATATATTAAAAACAAACAAAAATTATATATTAATTCCTAAAGAACCAATTTCTCCAATTATATGTTAAATAAAGAACAAAAGAACCAAACAAAACCAACAAAATAAGAACCAAAATGTAAGAATCTCTCCCGAAAAACAACCAAAACAAACTTTGTACGATCTTTGTATAAAACAAATTCTAATTGCAATTATATAATAAAAGAAACTTGAATATAATTTTTTTTGAAATATAAATTACAAAAAAAAAATTATGTACTTACATTGTTGCCTTTCAAAGTTTTAGTATTCCCTGCATAGGAGGCGGCAATGCATACTACATTTGAGCCAATGGGTGGAGTCTTTTCAATCTTCCTTTCTTCTATCCGAAAGGATAAAAATAATTAAAAAAAAAACAGTCAAGAACATTAGAATAACTGTTGGAAGAATCTTCTACTGGCAAAAAAATGAGTTGATTGCATCACCTTGTTTACTTTCTTCCTGATCATCATATATACTTAGTTCTTCAACGGATTATCCTTCCCATGATCATTATCAACTTCTGCGTAATTTTGTCTCATCATCGTGAATACGCCCGTGATGATTACTTTATGAAAAGTCCAATGATTCCGTAATAGAGAAATTAGAAGCTTTTTTTTTTTGGGTTCTATTCATCAGAAAAGAAAAAAAAAAGAAAATCGAACATGAAGGTTTTTATATTCATGACCTGAATTGATTTAAAGATTGCGTTTTGAAGTTGATAAACAAAAAAAAAATCAATCTCATTGCAAATTATTAATAGCATAATATGTCAAGAATATTTCAAAACGTGTAGAAAAGATTTTTTTTTTTTTAATAACATGTTGCTAACACTAATGTCAGAATCCTCTGATATCTTGGTCGGATCTTTTGGACATACCTAGTATTATTGTCATTCCATTGATCAAAATTGAAAAGAGCAATCTTCAAGACATCATTATATTTCCATATTCTTCATCATCATCAAATTTGGGATCCCTGATGAGGCTGCTATCCGCGGATTCAAGTTCAGAATCGGTGATTTGGAATCTGTCGTCTCATGTTGTCCGCAACTTGGATTGGCCTTCGCCATCGCCGTGAGATTCAGATCGTCCTCTACCGAATGAACGCATGGCACGTGGCATCATTCTTTTGCAAAAGAAGTATTTTTTTGGTTTAGGCGGGAAAAAAACTTATATGAAATTGACACGTGTCTTAAGTGTCATTTGCTTTCATGAAATGTAAAGGGATATATATATATATATATATATATATATATATATATATATATATACTAGTGATGTCTGGTCGAGCAATGTGCGACTCTGGCCCAATATATCTGTACATCTTAGAAATGTTTGTATCTGAAAAAAAATATTTTGTATTTGGCCCAATATATTTTAGAAATGTTTGAAAAATTTAGAAATGTTTTATAAGTGTGATCATAGAAATGTTTGTATTTGGCATAAAAAGAAATTGTATTTGACCCGGTACGTTTTAGAAATATTTGAAGATTCTAGAAATGTTTTATAAGTGTTACTTCTTAAATATAAATAAACTTGATCAAATATATGTCTTGAATTAAATGCTAGACAAAATACAAAAGCATCCTAATAAGTTTAAATATTAGTAAGATAATTTATTGATGTTCTCCGGTTGTGCCAAATCAATACTTAGTTTTGGAGATTTATAATAGCTTTGTAGTAAGCTTCCTCCCAAGGGTATACGCTTAATTGTTGAAACTATTTCTTCCAAAAGTTTATAAGTAGTAAAATATCAAAAATATGATTTTGAAACTGGTTAATTGATGAAATTGGTTGATCACAAATATGAGAATGAAAATAATGTAAATTTGCATAGGTTTCAAGTTATACAAAAAAGAACTCACCTCACCATGGCAAATAAAAATAAAGAAAGTAAAAGATAGCCCATTTAAAATTGAGAAATTCATTTTTTTTCTGTAGGTAAAAATATTGTATAAAACTATAAATAAACGTAGAAACATCATTCTTTCCCGCTTCCCCAGAAATTAGAAGAAGCGACCTGAACTATTTAGATGATGAGAAACTAAAAAAAGTCAAAAAACCAAAATTCAAAAAGTATATTTTCTTGAAAGCCTGAACACAAAAAAAAACGCGCTTTATTTGCAAATAAAATAAAATAATAATAATAATAATAATTGGTCAACTGGGAGTATGAAACAAAATAAAAAATAATTAAACAAAGAAAAGTCGCACTTTGTAACTGACCATATATGAAAAAAATACTGAGACTCCATAATTAAAAAAAAGAAAACCACTCTAATTGAATGCAACATTAAAAAGAAATTTAAAAAATCACACTTTGTAACAAAAACTGAATTAATCAATTCAATCCAAACAGAACTAAAATCATACAAAACTTCTAGGCTAACTAACTATATAAGAAATCACATCATATTACCTAACAACGGCTACGGTAGCTGTAACGGATGGACGCATAAAAATAATAATAATAACACTATTCTTGAACGGGAAAAACAAAAAATAATAAAAGCCAAACAAATAATCTGTGGAAATAAAATCATTTAAATTTTAATACCTGTAATTGCACCACCACAACGGCCGAAGCAAGATCAATGAGAAATTTTTTTTCCTTTGTGTTTATATAGAAAGGTAAAGAGAATATTTTTTGAAGTTGAAATTTTATCTGATCAGGATGTAGTTGATTATCACTAATGAAAAGATTGAACATGCTAATAGGAAATGAGTATATTTCACCACATATTCTCAATTGATAATTGATGATGAATTTTTTTTTTTAATTGTGAAAAAGAGATTGATTAGGGAGTCGATTGTCGTGGAGATGGGGATGAGGATTTGAGTTTTTTATGAACCCGTCTTTTTTTTTTGGGCAAAAATAGGAGGTAGAGGTGGATTTGGACTGCATTTGCCTTTTAAGTCTAGGAGATTTGAAAATAAAAATTTATTTTAAAAATATGATGTGAATATAACACATAACAAATGATGGTGCTTTCTCTTAAGTGTGGTTTTTGTTTTTACTATAGTAAGATATATATATATATATATATATATATATATATATATACTTAAATAATATGGTTTATTGTGGGACCAACTCATCAACATGACCTAATGAAATTAGAAGATAAGCTTCACCGTGAGGAAAAAAAATTTACAACTAAAAAGGTTCAAAAAAAAAGTTATATAATAATATGTATATATATAGTGTTCTAGGTGGGGCCAGTGGGGCCATGGGGTGTAGATCCGCAGTTCGTAACTTTGTATACGTACATGCATATAACACATATGTATATAGGGCTAGCCAATGGCAGAGTTCTATAAACCATGCAATTTGGTATGGCAAATTTTTATAATAATAAATTCCTTGAAGAAACAGAGTCTTTTTTCATGGGAAAATAAATACGTCTTTTTTTACTTTTCTTTTTTTTTTTAAAAAAAAAAAAGAGCTAAGAGCTCTATCAAATTGGAACGAAGGATCATTTACTATTGTAGCAATAGATCACAAGATAATTTGTATATGACCTTCGGCTTTGGGCCAACTACTGAATGCAACAATCACCGATAAGAAAACAAATAAGGAATAGCTGTGTTTTTTAATGATAAAATCTACCTAATTACGCACAAAACATATATATTGGGCTTAAGGCCCAATTTTGAATTGAGCTCGTGCCTACCGTGTGCCGTCCAGCAGAAAGCTGTGGAAATGTGTAACTAAGGATTGCGACCGGATAATTGGTTTTGCATATTTTGTCAACGCCCCAAGACATCGTTGAAAAATTAACTTTTGACACCCCGCTTCCCCTTCGAAGCACCTTTTGTATTTCCTAAGCGTTTAAGCTTCCTCAGTATATATGTATAAAAAAAAGGAATGCGACTAGATAATTGGTTTTGCTGAAAATGTAGGTTGCTGCAACAAACTAGAAGCCGAATTCTGGGGCCTTGTATGGCGTAAGGACTTGGGATTTACACATGTAATTAGAATTAAACTCTCGAGAGAGTTTAATTTTTGAGGAACGAGGACTCCTTATCTATTAATTATTATGTTTTCTACTCCTTCCGTCCAAAAAAAAAAAATAGTCCACATTGAGTTTTGAGTTTTGTACTGTTTCCAATACAAATTTGAAAACTCAATATGAACTATTTTTTTTTGAGACGGAGGTATTATTAAATTATGACTTACGAATGTGATCATCAGACTAACATATTGGACTATTTTTACATTTAAAAAAAATACTCCCCACGTCTCAAAATTATTGTTCAGTTTGAGATTTCACTTTTAGTACAATTTGAACTAGAAATGAAAAGCCAAATTGGACAATAATTAAGGCACGGGGTTATTATGTATTGGTACACTTAGATTGTGGATCAATTGAATTACCAAGGAGTGCATCCATTGAATGTAATGGTCTCATGTATTGTAAGTTGTGTTTGAAACTTTTTCTAGCATTCTCTAACAAATGAACGAAGCTCTTATATTTGAAAATTCCATCAATTGAAATATAGAAAGATTCGAGTATATGCTGTATTTATCATCTTACTTTACTTCTTAGTAAAATACTACTGTAAAATCAACCCGGACATGTGTCACGCCTTCTCCAGTAAAACGCAACATTTTTTACTCTCTTCCGGTTTCCACATTTCTTCGAAAAACCCAGACCCAGGGGAGAAAGGGGATATATTTTCAGAGCCTACAAAGTTAAACCCCGCGCCAATATTTCCACACAGTCACACTGTCATCCACCACCACCGCCGCCGTCAATGGAGTCGTCGTCGGTTGAACTTGCATTAGCTGCGCTCTTTGGAGCCTCGGTTATGGCAATCTCCGCTTTCTACATTCACAAGCGCAGCGTCGATCAAGTCCTCGACCGCCTCATTAAGCTCCGCCGCAAACCACCCCCGAAACACCAACAGCTTGTTGTCTCTGACGCCGACGTGGGCGCCGTCGATTGTGATGAAGCCGAGTTCTATGAATACGAAATTGGTTGGCGGAGTGAAAACTTTTTGAAATCATCTGGGGATATTAATGTTCATGATGGTGGTTTGGATGAAGATGGCGAGGAGGATGTGGGGTTTGAACGCTACAGAGTTTCCTCGTCCATGCCGAATGTCAGGATATTGTCCAATGAATGGGCTGATAACCAGGATAAACGGGGCTTCTCAAATGAATTGGACCGTAATCTCGATTTTATTTCATCAAATTTGCCTCCCCTTCGGACTCAACAAACAGATGGTAATTGTCTTTACTTATTTATCTATTCCTTTGAAAGCCACTGTAGTTTGATTGGTTTAGCACTTTACACTGTATCTGGGTTTTTAGTGTTGTAGCGTGGATAATTTACATGGTGTCTTATATATGGAAGGTCCTGGAGTAAGTGGTTGAAAGCAAAAATAAGTTACCCTGCTAAAGATTAAAGAGTTGCACTATCGCTGGGAATATTGTTTGATTTTGGGTGGGGCTGACATATGGTCTAAAAGCCAAATGCCTAATCAGATAGGGAGAGGCTTTTTAGTTATATAGCTCTGATTTTGGTCCATCCACTTTTGCTGTTGGTTAATTTAATTGATAGGGAATATGTTTTACCGTAATGACAACAAGCTCACATCACAATTTTTTATTCCATCACGCAGGAAATGATCGATATGCTGACAACAGCCTTCAGTTGAGGGTAGGATCAGTTGGTCATATTGTTACTCCAACTTCCTCTCGTGGTTATGCTGTAGAAAGTGCAGGAGATTCTGATGAGGAAGGAACCGAACTTGCAACTAATGATGGCACTTTTTTCCCCTACAACAAGGTAAAATCTTCCACTGAAGCATGGAAATATATACATTTCCTGTTGGTTATATGTTTGGTCCAGTAAATTTGTAGGGCACATTCATTAAAATGAAGGAAAAACGACAACAGCACACCTAAGTTACCATCAGTTTCTAAATCAAATGAATTTGCAGGATGCAGCCGTTAGCATCCCTAATCTGCACATAGCAACCGAAAGGGGAAACCAAATCCAATCTCAGCAGAGCACAGCAATCCCATATGAAGGAAAGGCTAAGGCAGACGAAGAAAATGGAAAGGTTGATACGACTACATTGCATTATAGAAGCACTGATCTGATTGTCGCCAGCAATCATATATCTGGAAGCACTAGAGTGCATGGTATTCTCACTTTCTTAATAATTTTAACTCATTATGGTCTTACATGGCATTTGTCAGTTTAATACACGTACGAAACTTAATGTTTGTTTCTTGTGCTCCGTTATGTCAGCTTCGTAATTTTCTGCTTTGTGATGGATCTTTCTTCTTTGTGACGGATTGGTCATGCAGTTGTTTCGAGACAGTTAAAACTAAAAATACCTGCAGGATAAAAGAAAAAAGAAACATTTAGACAGCAAGATTCGTCGTCTTATTTTCCCACCATTACTTTCTCCTCTAATCCATTTTCTAATTTTTTGGGTTCAGAGTCTATGAATGTTGAAGATGAAGAGGTGATGAAGATGATTCGTGAATGTTTAGATCTGAGGGAGAAGTATGTTTTCAGGGAAAAAATTGCTCCATGGATGAAAGGAGCTGACCACGAACATGTAAAATCTGATGTAAAACAAAACCCACTCGAGTTTGTTCCTGTCGAAGCAACTGCAGTGAGTTCTATGCTTTATCTGTCAGTTGCCATGTATTAGAAATGCCTCTAAGTCATGATACATAATGTTCTTAAACATAGCTGTGCCTTTTTGTGAGCTGTACTTATATTCTCTGTTTCATTTGTTCTTAATATTCCTCTCTCCCTCTTTCTCTCTCATTGTGCATGCAGCACCACTGTAGAATGGAAGATGGAGTTGTTCATGTATATGCCAGTGAAACTGGTAAGTGTGGGTGGTTTATTCAATTAGTGATGAGGACAAAGCATTTGTATTTATCTTTTCTTTCTTTGTTATCTGTTTCCTACGTTATGCTGTCCAGATACTGAAGATCTTTTCCCTGTTGCAAGTTCGACGGCGTTTTTTACTGACATGCACCACATCTTGAAAGTCCTATCTGTTGGAAATGTTCGGTCTACGTGCCATCATCGACTGCGATTCCTTGAGGAGGTGCTCGAATCTTTATTCCCTCTCTATTGCCACATTATGGCTATTAAAGGTCATACTCCTGCATGAGTTAACATCTCTGTGCATATTGTTATGCAGAAATTCCGCCTTCATGTATTAGTAAATGCAGATAGGGAGTTCCTAGCACAAAAAAGTGCACCTCATCGAGATCTATATAATATCAGGAAAGTGGATACGCATGTACATCATTCTGCTTGCATGAACCAGAAGCATCTTCTCCGATTCATAAAGTCAAAGTTGAGAAAAGAACCTGACGAGGTACCTTTGAGAATTACAAAGTTATATATAAATTGCCTTTTGATCACGTTACCTACATTTTAACAGCTCTCAAGGAAAGTAATTACAACATGGTTGTCAACTTAGGCAGTTCGGGATTGTTCATATATTTGATTCTTTCCAAACATAACATTATTCTTCTTTTTTGACAGGTTGTCATATTTCGCGATGGACAATATTTAACCTTAAAAGAAGTCTTTGAGAGTTTGGACTTGACAGGGTCTGCTTTAATTTTTGCATTTCTGTTTTAATTATACCACTTCGGTGTTTTACTTTCATTTTTTTATTTCACCTCTGTTACTCATATAAGTTTGTGTTGCAGATATGATCTTAATGTTGACCTGTTGGACGTGCATGCTGATAAGAGCACCTTTCATCGCTTTGACAAATTCAATCTCAAGTATAATCCTTGTGGGCAGAGCAGACTCAGGGAAATCTTCCTAAAGCAGGACAATCTGATTCAAGGTCTGTTGCGCTGGGAACCAAAATTTTTTTTCCTACATGGGTTTACTTGAAAGGATTTTCCCATTCAGAGTTTTAGTGCTAAAGGATCACATACAATGCATGTGGTTTATCTTTAGCTTCTAGGGCAAAAAGTAAAAGAAAATGAAGCTTCCCGTAGTGGTATAATGATTGTTGCTTCACATTTTCATGAAATTGAAAACTTCTAAAAGTTAATTTCATGAAGAGAATTTCATCATTGCAGCAAAAGCCTGTTCATTTACCTGTGTACAAGTGCTGGGATTACTATTTTATATCTTGGTGCATGGTCCATATTTATTTTCATTGAAGTTGACATCCATGGACCATAATGTATTCTGTTCTGTCATGTCAGGTCGTTTCTTAGCTGAAGTGACGAAGGAGGTCTTATCTGATCTCGAAGCTAGTAAATACCAGGTAACTTTTTCTGCTAGTGTTCAGATTTTGTATATCTGTTTAAAACCTTAAGAACCATGAGATTCCATCTCATATTGCGTTTTTAGAAGTTGAAATAAAAAGTTAATTTGTAATAAATAAAATCACATCTTGGTCTGGAAGTCTCAGCACGGAAGGCACTTTGTTTTTTGGTGTTCTTTTGGGCATTTCTCTTACCACTTTCGTCATTTCATTGACAGCTAGCTGAGTACAGAATTTCAATTTATGGGCGAAAACAAAGTGAATGGGATCAGCTTGCAAGTTGGTTTGTCAATAATGGAATTTACAGTGACAATGCTGTTTGGTTGATCCAGGTATCATGGTGCTTATTTCTTTGTATTCTAGTTATTGAAATTGGAGCTTACCATTTCTTTTTTACCTTACTGGGAACAGTTTGTGTTGGATTTTGTTTGGAGATGAATCTTTATGTATTATACATAGATAGTTCATCTTGTATTACGATTTGTGTCCAGCGCTCGACATCCACATAAAAAAAAAGAAGCAGAAATAGAGACCCCCCCACACACACACACACACAAAAAAAAAGAAAAAACAATTTTTGTGCTGGAAAACCTTACAATTTTGTGATGTCGTGTATTAAAGTCCGCTTGAACTTTGGAAAATTTATGGGTATACCTAATGCCTAAATTTGTAGTGTTTGCCTTTAGAAATTACATACATTACATTACCAGGATTATCTGCTAATTAGATTGACTTTAATATTGCCTGGAAGGTATTATTTTACTTCCAGGTCAAGGAATCTCTAAATTTGTAGTCTAATGCCTGGAAGGTATTAGACTTGACTTTAATATTGACTGTTATCTATTTCACCAGTTGCCCTGTCGGTGTTCTGGAAGTAACTTAGTCAAGGAATCTCTAGTTTTTTAAGGGATATACCTTTCAACAGTCTTGCTATTTTTCAAAGATATGGTCTTTTTAACTTTCAGTGAGAAGACATTCTAATGTTGTAATTGCAGCTTCCACGATTATACAACGTGTACAAAAGTATGGGAACTGTTACATCCTTCCAGACCATATTGGATAATGTCTTCATTCCCCTTTTTGAAGTGACCGTTGATCCACGTTCACATCCTCACTTACATATATTCCTGATGCAGGTCTGTCTTTCCTATCAATGTTTTCTTGCATCGACTTTTTTTACCAGTAGTTTTGGAATCTAAATATTGAACTCTTTTTTGTGCTGATATGACTTACCTCTGTTGCTATGCATCACCTTTATCTAATAAATTCTTTGATATTTTTTCTTCTGGACAAATGCCTTATGTTCGTTTCCTGTCTAGGTGGTAGGATTCGACATTGTGGATGATGAGAGTAAACCTGAAAGGCGTCCCACCAAACACATGCCCACGCCAGCTGAATGGACTAATGATTTTAATCCTGCTTTCTCGTATTATGCTTATTACTGCTATGCTAACTTGTATACTCTCAATAAGGTGAGCATTATTTCCTTATTTACTGATTTCAGCAGTAGAGTTTAAAGAAGAATACCAAATTGATTTAGTTGTTGGCTGGTGCTCTAACTAATAAAATATGCCCTGGTGGAAGTATATGATGTGATCTATGCTTTGTCATGGTCTTTAAATTGTTGGAGATAGAGCGAAGGCAGAGTGAGTGTTTTGTAAACTGAAAGCAACAGGACATCGAAGATGTCCGTTCCTTTTCTTTCCAGCCTAATACTTTATATGGTCAAGATTAGCTTCCCTTTACATTAGCAAGCATAATAACAGATTACATTAACTTAACATCAACGCCATTATTTTCTATGTATTGGATAGGAGATGAACAATCTTTTCTGCTACATTTACACATTTAGTTCATATGTAATAAACAATTTTGTTTATAATGTGTTTTTCATTTTCAGCTCCGTGAATCAAAGGGATTGCCTACTATAAGGTTCCGACCTCACTGTGGAGAGGTTGTTTTCTTATACGTTTTAATTCCATTCTACCGCTTTCCTTTCCAAGCCACACTATGAATATTTGCTTTATCAGGCAGGTGATATCGACCATTTAGCTGCTGGGTTTCTCTTATGCCACAATATTTCTCATGGGATCAATTTGAGGAAATCGCCCGTCTTGCAGTATCTATACTACCTAGCTCAGGTGAGGGTTTAGTTGCTTGAAACACATTGTGCATGCAGCCGGCCATTGGAAGCCTCTTTGATTACTGAAAATGCACACTCTCGAGTAGAATGGATTGATGCCATTTGGAGCCCTGTGTTTGCGGTGTCTGTTCTTCTTCTTAAGAACCTCTATTACTTTTTCTGAACTGGTTTTCTAAAAACAATGACCAATTAAAATACTTTCAATCTTTTGCAGATTGGTTTGGCTATGTCTCCACTCAGCAACAATTCACTCTTTCTCGATTACCATCGGAACCCATTCCCCATGTTCTTCCAGCGAGGTTTGAATGTTTCACTGTCCACGGATGATCCTCTGCAAATCCATTTGACAAAGGAACCGCTTGTGGAAGAATACAGTGTTGCAGCAAAGGTTTGTCAAATGAATACCATCATTTACCTATCGGTGTCAAATGGATACCATCATTTACCTATTGGTGTCAAATGGCTCACTATGTATATCGTTGTCTTCCAGGTGTGGAAGCTCAGTTCATGTGATCTTTGTGAGATAGCTAGAAATTCTGTCTATCAATCCGGATTCTCGCATAATGCTAAGGTTAGAAACATTAGATCGCGTTATTATCTGATCCTGACTGCCGACCAGCACTCGGAGTTCATTTACTTCAAAGTATCAGTCATGAGTAAAGCAAGAAGAACTCATTGTTGATGAATAGTTGTTCTTCAATGGTTGTTTCAGTCGCATTGGCTCGGAAGTGGGTATTACAGGAGAGGCCCTCCTGCAAACGACATTCACAAGACCAACGTACCAAATACAAGGATTTCCTTTAGACATGAGGTACGATTGATATTTCTTTTCAAAGCTGGTTTTGATTGTCGAAGATTGAGTCTAAAAGCAACATTTGCCTGCATTACATTTTCTCTATGTTGTGGTCATGTTGCTCAATTGGATCTGCTTGCCATTTTATGTGAATATGTGCTCACCTGGGACCTTTTTGCAGACATGGGAGGAGGAGATGCAGTATGTCTATGCCGGAAATGCCAAGATTCCCAGAGAAATTGATCACTGAAAGGCCTACCAAATATGTATCATGATCAATGGGAAATTCCCAACCTAGCAGCCTGAAAGCTGTCTACGCATTTTGTTTGCTTTAGTTTTCTTTTACCCCTACATTTTAGTTTTGAATCATTGCAGCAAAGCTAAACTTTCCATTAAGTTCGGGGGTAATATTTCTTCTTCTTCTTCTTCTTCTTCTATTTCAATCAGGTACCTAACTTTTAGGGGGTTTATTTTTTGGGTTTTTTTTTCATTCTGTTTTGGCTTTCTCCAAGAAAGAAAAAGATAATTCGATTTGACCCTTTTGAAGACCATAAAACAAACACTATAAACGCCATCGAACCAAAGTAAATAATCATCTTAGGAATTATGGATTGTTAGTACGAGAGACTAGTGAAAAAATCCAACGAGTATTATCAAATATAGGAATTACTTATTACTCCTTCCGTGTCATAAAAATAGTCCACATTGAATTCTCAAATTTGTATTAAAAATAGTACGAAATTCAAAACTCAATGTAGACTATTTTTGGTGAAACTATTTTTTTTTTTTTGGGACGGATGTAGAATTATTATTTTATTTTTATTATTTTTAAAAAAAATGAAGTCTATCATTATTATGTGTTATAATGTGATCTCACCTCATCAAACTGTAAGGCAAGCCCCAACAACCTAAAATCATATCTTTTATTTACGAGTTAAAAGGCAAATAATTTATGTTAACAATCGTAAGGAAATTGTAAGTTTTGGTTGTCAACATTATCAAATATTATTGTTTCAATTTTGAAAGATAGAAAAAAAAAGAAAAAGAAAAGGAAAGAGAGAGAGATACTACAATAGGTTCAAATTTTTGTGTGAATGAATTTGATAAAGGAAAAATCATAACAAATAGTAAGGGTAGTATAAAAATCATAAGAATTCCAAAAAGTTGTAAAATTTTTCCCCCGCAATAATAATTATATAATTGCACCCGCCGCTTCTATTCTTCCAATTCTGAACCCCTCTGTTACTTACTGCTCAATTTCCCCCTCGGTCACTCCTTCGCCTTCTGCCTTCCCCGGCCCAATAAACCTCCCTCTATCCCCCCTCGAAAACCCCGCCTTTCCGCCTCCTCCGCCGTCTTGGCGGCGGTAGAATAACATACCTCCTTTCGCCACCGCCTGCAAAGGTCTAGTATCCAAGTCATGGCAACCGCTGTAGCTTCCTCCGACGCCACCGATGGCCCGGTTCTGAGCTTAATCAACAAGCGTCTCCGTGCTCTCCGTAAGAAGCACAACCGCATCATCCAAATGGAAGAGTCCGTTTCCCATGGCAAAACCCTCAATAAGGAGCAGGAAGAAACCCTCCGTTCTAAACCCCATGTCGTTGCCGCTATCGATGAGCTTGAAAAGCTCAGGCAACCCCTCTCCGTTGCTGTCTCCGAAGAAATCGATTTGGCCCTCAAAAGCCGCGGCGGTGTTGATGATAAACCTAATGCTTGCACTTCAGAGGAGCAACCCAGTAATTGTAACAGTAGCAGCGGTGATAATGTGACGGAAGGAGAAGTGCCCGCCAAGGAGAGAGGCGAACTTGACGGCAGAAATGACAGATTCGCGGTGGTGGAGGATCTGTTGAATTTGCTCTACTTCGGGAGCATGTTTGATGTGAAGAATCAGAATGATTTCACTGCCACCATGTTGACTCGGACTCACGAGAGGGGCTGTTGTTTGACTTACGATTATGTCACTGATGATGATGCTGCTGATCTGTTAGGGGAGAGAGACTTGGACTTGATTTCAATGCTTGGAGGTTTACTCATGTCCCGGCCAGTTAATTCGAGTTTGTCTCACAAAAATGCCTTGCAGAGTTGCGTCGAGCATGCCAGGCTTTGGCTTTCCAATTCTGATCAGCTCGTTGGACCCGCTTCTGATATTACATGTAATGCTAACTATCCCTCTTTCGCATTCATCTGATAATGCTGTTTGGTTGGTTGCATTTGTGTTTTTGGTTGGTGCAATGCTGATGTTTGTTCTTAGCTGACATTCCTTTGTGTGTCTTTTGTTATGAAGTTTTACCTGTGTAATTTTTATTGCTAAGCTGAGGTCCAGGAGGATGGCTCTCTATTCCTTTTTTAGTTGCAATTATTGTTATCATTTAAAAGAGTCCTTGTTTTGGCTGTGATTTTGTTGCCGTTGTGACTGTCTATGCATTTACTTGGAGAAAAAATTATTGTTAGACTTTAAAAAATTATTGCAATTATTGTTATCAATTTTTTTTTTGTTAGACTTTATCATCCTCATGTTACCAGTGATATTGAGCCATTCTGCTCTCGAGGATTATGTGCATTTGTGATTGTAATGCAGTAAAATTATGTGTGTGCTAGCAAGCCATCTTTTAATAACTCTCCTAGTAATGATTTATTATGCCGGCTTGTTGCTTTAGCCTTTATATTAGAACTGTTTGGAGGTTGTGAAGGAAAATTGTATGGAGGTTATGTTTGATTAAGTTGATCCTACTACTCTATTTTCTCATGCAATGAATGCTTTATCTTCAGAAAGATTGTAACATTTTATTCCTATCCCAATTTGTATCGTTGGTGAATTAACTTAATTAGCTTCTAGAAAAGTCATTTTGACATTATGAAGCTCGAAGGAGAATAAATAGGCCCTGAAAACTTATTTCATATATAGGAAATTGGTTGCTTTTGACCAGCTGGTGCTAGTGGCAACCACTTGTCTTATGCTTTTGACTTTTTTACTCTGGTAAATCTTCGGTGAAATTGTTATGGTTTTTTTTATCAATGTGCACGACGTTGTGCCTCAGCTTTACCTGCCATTTGTGTTTATGAATGAGTTCTTTCTGCCATGAGTTAGCATTCTGGTCTGAATTTACACATCGGACAAGGATGATTTGAAAACATTGAGGTTCCAATCAAACGTTCTCCATCAAGTTCAAATGGTGGTGCAAATGCTGTTACATTGCTGTTGGCAAAACTTTATAAGAAGTGTTTTGAGTGCAAGTTATATTTTGGGCCCCAGTGAATACTACGGGCAAATATTGCGTGTTTTCCCTGTTTTGAATTCCAATGTTGTATCTCCGTTACTTGCTTTAAATGGAAAATTCATATTGTGTGTTTTCCGCTCCTTGTTTTGATATTCCACCGCTGAATTGCCTTGGTCTCTTTGCTGTAAATGGGAAACTTGTATTGTGTGTTTTCCGTTTCTTATTTCGAATACCACCACCGCTGAATTGTATCCGTTACTTAGCTGTCAATTGAAAACTTTTTACCGTCATTAATGCAAGGGGTGCTACATTTAATCTTTCTTTTTCTAGATGCGTCACTGGTCTCTGATAATTAACCTGGTCACATAGACTTATGCATTGTGGAAAACCTGAGCGAGTTGCTTTTCTCTCCTTGAAAACTCCGCATATCCTCCTTTTTTTCAATCTAGCCTTTCCTCCCTCTTTCTCTCCTTGAAAACTCCGCATATCCTCCGTCCATTTCCTTCTGGTCTGATAGTTGCATCTAGCCTTTCCTCCCTTCCTTTGTATTCCTTCTCATCCACATCAATGGATTGCTTCGGGAAACTTGGTGCCAAGGATGGACCTGTCCTGAGTGTGGTGAACAAACGACTTCGTGCACTCCGCAAGAAATACAATAGAATCCTGCGAATGGAGGAGTCTCTTTTGCAAGGCAAAACGCTAAACAGGGAGCAGATGGAAGCCCTTGATTCCAAAGCATCTGTCATGGGTGCCATCGCAGAGCTGGAAAAACTTGTAGATCCTATCTGTGATGCTGTCGAAAAAGAAGTGCAAGAAGCTGTGGGGAATGAATTCTCCATGGTTGAAGAGATAATAAAGCTCCTGTATTTTGCCGTCATGTTTACTGCACAAGGGGGATCTTCCCTTTGGGAGCCTGGGAGTCTATTGTCACTTGAGAGGGAATGGTGTCTGGCACTTAATTACGGCTATGGTAATGAGCCGGATGCCATAACTGACATGGACTTGAGCATGATTTGTAAGCTTGGGAACCTGATGGTATCAAGACTCCAAAACTCTAATTTTTCCCATAAGCATGCGGTGGAATTTTGTATTGAGCAAGCGAGGCTGTGGCTTACTAAGTCTGATCAGTCCATTGGAGTTAACTCTTATATCTCCTGTATGAGATTTTCTCATCATTTCTCTGGCATCATATTTGACATGGTCATACTGCATGATCTGTTATGTTTGGATTGTTTGCATTTTACGTGTCTTTGATGTATTTTCCGGTTAATCGTAGAACATCCTCTATGTTTCTTTCTCCCGTACTCATCTGTGTATTATTCAACCTTTTAATGTCGCATATTTGACATGGTTATGCTGCATGATCTGTTAGATTTGAATTGTTTGCATTTTACTTGTCTTTGATGTGACTTTCTGGTTAATCATAGATCATCCTCTATGTTTCTTTCCTCCGTACTCATCTGTGTATTATGCAATATTTAATTTCGCATATTTGACATGGTTATACTGCATGATTTGTTATGTTTGGATTGTTCTCATTTTACATGGCTTTGATGTGACTTTCCGGTTAATCCTAGAACATCCTCTATGTTTCTTTCCCCCGTTCTTATCTGTGTATTATTCAACCTTTTAAAGGTCGCATATTTGACATGTCTATACTGCATGATCTGTTATGTTTGGATTGTTTGCATTCTACATGTCTTTGATTCAACTGTCCAGTTAATCGTAGAACATCCTCTATGTTTCTTTCCCCCGTACTCATCTGTGTAATATTCAACCTTTTAATGTCGCATATTTGACATGGTTATACTGCATGATCTGTTATGTTTGGATTGTTTGCATTTACATGGCTTTGATGTGACTTTCTGGTTAATCCTAGAACATCCTCTATGTTTCTTCTTTCCCCCGTTCTTATCTGTGTATTACTCGACCGTTTAATGTCGCATATTTGACATGGCTATACTGCATGATCTGTTATGTTTGGTTTGCTTGCATTCTACATGTCTTTGATTTGACATTCCAGTTAATCGTAGAACACACTCTATGTTTCTTTCCCCCGTACTCATCTGTGTATTATTCAACCTTTTAATGTCGCATGTTTGACATGGTTATACGGCATGATCTGTTATATGTTTGAACTGTTTGCATTTTACATGTCTTTGATGTGACTTTCTGGTTAATCATAAAACATCTCTATGTTTCTTTCCCCCGTACTCATCTGTGTATTATTCAACCTTTTAATGTCGCATGTTTGACATGGTTATACTGCATGATCTGTTATATGTTTGGATTGTTTGCATTTTACATGTCTTTGATGTGACTTTCTGGTTAATCATAAAACATCTCTATGTTTCTTTCCCCCTTACTGATCTGTGTATTATTCAACCTTTTAATGTCTTATTAGATGCTGGCCTGAGGGAGAAATTAAACAAAATAATGGCGTCGGACTACTTCACAGCGACGCCAGAGATGAGGGCGCCTGTTGAAGTAGCTGCTGCTGCGGGAAACTATGGCTCGTTTCAAGTGCCAGTCCACGAGAATATGTTGCCAGCTGATATTCCAGGAGTGGAAGGTTCAATGCTACCGTACGAGCTGAGTGTAAGTAACTGTCTATCACTTGTTTGGTCAATTGGTCGTATGATGTGTTATAATTCTCAAAATTTGTGACTTGATATGCTTTAGGCATTGACCTATGTTCTTCTCCAATAAATTAAGTGTAACTAAGGTGGTTGATACCTGAACTTGCTCTATCTCGCGAATAGTTCGGATGTCTTTTATGTTCCTCGGAGCGTTCCTCTCGTTGTTGTGCTGTGGATGTTAGTCAGTCATATCTATTGTGGAATTAGGCATCAATTGCTGTTGACTGTGCTTGATTGTTAAACATTTTGTGAAAGCTGTTATACTGAAGTTGTCTCTGTTGTGTACATGCTATGCCTGGTTTATGAAGTGGGGGTAAAATAAATTTTTTTGTGAGAATTGATTACTTCGCAAAAAGTTTTATTTACTCCGTAACAGTGAATTCTTTTATCTTTGAAGCTAGCATATTTGGCTAATTGCTATGTCGTTGCCCGGATATCACAATTATAATATGGTTGCTGCAGGAACAAGTGACTGCAGGAGCTGTAGATAATGGAACATACGACAGTCCATCAGACCCGGTCAGCGACTTCCAGCAGGTAAACTGTTTTCACTCTCCAAAGTTTCTTGTTCATTCGATTTCAGTTTCTTAAGGTGTAACAAGACATTTTGTTGGCAGGTCGAGGAGGTGGAGGACTTCGCAGAGCATCAAGATGAAACGGGCCGGAGGGATGTGCATTCCAGGGAACAACAGTATGTTCCCCGCAGGTCATCACATTACCGGGGTTCCCGTGGCATGAGTGGTGGTGGCCGTAGGGGATACCCTAACGGCCGTGGAGGGCGTGGTAGTGGCAGGGGAGGCGGCTACCAGAATGGGGGTGGTCGCCCCCAATATTATGACCAGGGCGGAAATTACTATCCAAGGAATAGTAATTTCCGAGGTAGAGGGGGCAGGGGTTATGGTGGGAACCATAACCATCATGGTGGGGGTCAATCTGGGTATGCTCCAGTAGATTCCTAAACCATGGTGAGAGTTAGCTGTTAGTTTATTTTGGGGAGGGTAGATCCAGAACCCGTTGAACTCTTCAAAAAGATGGATTATGTTTTTGGGGATGGGGGGGTTTAAGTGAAAGTTTGTACTTCTAGATTTTCGTAAAGTGCTTTTTATCTTTGCATATTGTCGTTCTTCATTTACTTGCCATTGTTTGACAAATGGTATTAAAAAAAGAGGGTAGGAACTGAGAAACCATTATATGCTAAAACATTATATAATAGTTCTTCTGGCAATGACTCGAACTAAATACAACATTGTGTAATTTGCTATCTGCAATTTAGCTGGCCATTTCCTCGAAATTTAGGATGTTGCATCTTCTTTGGACACTTTTAGCTGAACACAAAAGGAAATGGTGTAGGGCATCTCATGGTGCAGAATACAATTTGACATTGTCTTGTATCCAGTATCGCATTCATACTTTTCAGTTTTGCCATACATTTGCAAACAAGAATAATGCAAGGAAGACCACCAGAATTTTGCTTCCACTGGATGCAACTCACCTGCAGAATTTCAGCGGACAGCATTTTCAGTCCATAGTATTCTACCCAACGAATCTTTTAAAAGCAATCTTACGTTCTATCTCTTCTATTGTAGGTACTTGAGGGAATCTTTTCCATCACCACTTCTATCAAATCAAAACGATGTTAATTTCATAGAACACGATAATTTTAACGAAAGTGATACATAAATAACCCACAAAATGCGGGACAAAAAATACTAGCACCTACCGATGAATAGGACTTGGGAGAATCCATTTCATTCATTGACTCTGGATCAGCAATGACAATTAAAAAAAAAAAAAAGGAATAATGGCATCCAGAGAAACTCCATTTGATCTTTGAAGACTAAGTAGTCTGGTAAACTAAGTGTGTTTGCTTAAGCATATGAACTCTTGCCTCAACGGTTTAAATGACAAGAGGTCCCAGCGTGAGGAATCAATTCTCACAAGTAAAATTTGTGAACTACTTTCCTTCTTCAAAAGAAAGAAGAATATTAGTACTATTAGTGCACTTGTTTGCCACTATAAAACTCCGAATTCAGCCAAGTTTTTCAAATCCCATCCAAACCAACTCTGAGAAGACTACTAGTACTAATCCATTCAAGAGTATCAAAATCATTCTTTACTTTTCAATTTTTTTCCCCCTCACCAACTTGGATTGAGATTAGCCTTCGTTTATGCAAAGGATAATCATGGGAGCCAATGTTTCAACATGGCAGGAACCCAATGGATCATCATTACCACCATCACAAAAGAAACCTCAAGTCATTGCCTTCCATTCATCAGCCAAATGGAAAGTCCATTTTGAAGCCTTAAAACAAACTTCCAAACTGGTACAGACTTCAAAATCCTTTGATTTTGATCCCTTTTTTTCTCATTATCTTAAGTACTGATGTCATCATTTTTCTTGTGTTCCCGATTGATGAAGATCGTCATCGATTTCACAGCTTCGTGGTGTGGACCTTGTCGATACATAGAACCGGCAATCTACGAATTCGCTGCTAAATATACAGATGTTGAGTTTGTCAAGATTGATGTGGATGAGCTAGAGGTTTGTATACTTTTTGCATCAATTTTGTTGACTAAGTTAATTAATTAAGACATAGTAATATTAGTATCCTTATTATTGATGGTGGCTTTGAGAAAACAGGATGTGGCTGAAGAATTCGGGGTGCAGGCAATGCCAACATTCATACTGATAAAGCAAGGCAAACAGTTGGACAAGATTGTGGGTGCCAAGAAGGAGGAACTCCAGAAGAAGATTGAGAAACACAGAGTTTAATCCTAAGGCTGACTCCATAGCTGCTGATTCAAACCTTCTCTAATCATACTTATTTGGTCTTGAGAAAAAGATAAATAAACGGGGGGAAATCCGACAGGGGAGTTATTCTAGCTAGTCTGCTAATTTTATGTTTATTTTTGTACGTAGTTTGTCTTAGCATGGATGGATTGCGTTAGATGACCAATTCCAATTTGATGTATTGTGTCAAGATTTTGCACAAAAAAAATATATGCTTTCAGCTGATAAAAGTGTTACGTACGACATCATTATTATCAAACCAAAGGGAACAACTGAGTTGAACAACAAAGTTTGCCAAAAAAGACAGAAATCCAAGAATGCAAATTCCTCTTTTCGAATTCAGTTTCCTAAAAATGTACTGGTTGAATCAATGGCAAATTCTACACAAAATGAGACAACAGTCAAAGAAATGGCAACTTGTAAGAGAAGGACTGCCATCTAAAAATCATAGAACATCGAAATCTAATGAGAAATCAATCTACCAAACAATATGTGCAAACAATCGGGTACTGATGAAGCCGGATTGAACTTTTAAATTTTCCCCAAGAATCAAGGCTTTCTCTTCTCAGGGGGAATTTCCAGGATTCTGAGCAGGGCCGGGCAGAGGAGAGATAAAATCAAATTCATCACCAAGGAGGAAATCATCATCCTCAGTCTCAGGAACTCCTGATGAACTAGGAAAGCTAAATTCATATGGTAAGTAGTCAATATTATCCACAGGCTTCATAACACCTCCTTGTAGACCTCCAATTGCACCGCCGCCAGTTGCATTAGCAACCACCACAGAATATGACTCAGACGGAAAAGCCCGGCTATCCAAGACCTGCTGACCATTATTCTTCTGCAGATGGAATTGACATTGGATGGATGGGAGCTGGTTGGGTGAAAGACGTGCAAATGGAACAGCATTATATTCAGCACGGAATGGGTAGGGTTGCGATAATCGGTTCAACTCTGCCTGGGAATAATGGGATGGACCAGCAACAGCAGCATGATTGGGCAAACCATGAGCGACATTCTGATGAGAATCTTCTTCTACTTCACCATCATTTGGAGCAATACCACCATCTTCTTCACTCTCTCCTCTAGCTCTTTTTTTTGACTTAGGGGTTGGACTCTTCTTCGTGCCAGGTTTTAGGTAGATTTTACATAGAACACAATCATCCAACTGCCAAATCAAGTTCCATATTTGTTAGACTAATGTGGAAGTTGAAATATGGCATCTATATTTGCAATCCTGGAAATCGAATATGGCATTTCATAATTCAGAAAAGCTTTGCTGAGAGAAAGAGTTTACCCTCATATTATTAGCCTCGGCCTTGGCAGGAAGTGGAGGATTTTTTAGCCAAAATTCATGCATGAGCCATTCAGTCCTCTCCCCAGAGGAAGGTTTTCCTTTATGATAAGCCAGGGACTTCCTGAATCCAAGTTCTTCTCCCCGAGGACCACCAGTTATTATGCGATTTGCCCCAGTAGCCTTCCAAAAACCATCTCCAGCAGTCCGTTTTGGACGACCGCCTTGTGGGTATTTCCTATCTCTTGGAGTGAAGAAGAACCATCGATTTCCCCCCATATTTGGATACTTAGCTGTTCAAAGATGGCCAAGAAAAAATCCCCACGTCAAGAAATGGTGCAGGCTTAGTACTACTCACAAATAAGTTTACAGCAAAAACAGTAATATCAGTTTTTTTTTTTTTTTGATTATGTATTAATCTTGATTGCATAGTTTCAGTTCAAAAAACTGAGTTATCTTTTTTTGGATGGTTGGATTATACATTCTTATTATTATCATTATTATATGAAAAGAAAAGAACATTAGCTAACAGAAGAAATCCATGTCCCAGAATAACACTCCAAAAAGAAAAAGAATCATCAGTTTAGGAGGATGAAGGAAGATTAAAACCCTAGCTGGACACACATTATTGCTCAAAAGAATCACAACTGTCTTGTAAAAAGGCCATGAAAAAGATGAGAAAAACTCAGAACGATGCAAAAGCAAGACAAAAAGAACAAAATTATGATTGATGAAAACATATAAAAGCTTCTCCTTCTGGTTCCATACATACTAAACAAATAGTACATGCTGGCTTCTTGAGTTATAAATTGTTCTGTACAAGGCTATAATGAATTCAAGAAATTAATAAACAGAGTATCGTAAAGAGATATAAACAGAGTAAGGAATCAAACCAGTAATGGAGTCAGGGCTATCTTCATAAATATTGGCTTCAAAAAAATGATTGAGAGCCGGAAGTGGTAAGCCATGGACCCTGTTGAACAAATAAAACCCAACAAGTTCCCAATCCGTTGGGAGGAATCGGAATCCGGCGGGTAATGCGGCAAATTTATGTCCTCTTGCTCTGCCCACGCCGGTTCCGGTTTGAACTCCATGATCACCGGCCAACCCACCAACTCCGGCACCACCATTGTGGTAAGGAACTACTTCATCAGCGTTATTGTTACTTGGAGTAATATGATCACCGTAATCATCAAGATTGTCATAATTGCCGGTGAAGTCGGTTTCTTGATTGCTGTAATGAATACTACTACTACCACTAGTACGATCTGCGCCGCCTTGGGATTGGGAATTGGTATGGTTGTTGTTAGTGGTGGCGGAGGAGTAGGAGTACTGTAAATGCGGCATGTGATTTGGAGCCGCCGCCATGGATTTCACCTGAACTTTCTCGGATTGCGGGTTTTTTTTCAGAATGTGGTAACCCACACCGCCCCGGTGATCAAAAAATCAAAACGAAAAGGGGGAGAGAATCCACAATTGGAATTTCAAAACAAAGGGTTGACCATCTGGAATTTGGTCGTACTACTACTTATAGTGAAAGTCAAAGAGTGGTCTATTGTCTTATTACTACTTTTTTTTTCCCCGCTAAAAGCGTAATACTCTCTTATGATTAGATTCTATCGAAAATTTCGAGGACGAATGCATAGAACCAGGATTTAGCTTTTCTTTATTTTTTTTATTTTTTTTCATTCCATAAAAATGTTTGCTGGAGAAAGATTCCATTGTTTATGGACGGGATATCATGCTTAATCAATAACCTATATAATTTCATCCTGTTGGGAGGCGAGGACCAAAATAGTCAAACCAAACTAGCTACTCAAACACAATAGCTAGCAAGTAGCACTATGGAATCAAACCCAAGGTCTTCCCAATTTACAAGAATTTAGTAGGAACGAAAAATACCAACACCAAGTGGAAATAAAGCTACCAATGAAACAACAAGAAAGCAAAAACAACACACAATACCAATTTACGTGGAAAATCCTCTTCGGTGTGAAGAAGTAAAAACTACGAGACCAAAAGGCCTATGAAATCCACTAATCACCAAATAAGAGTAGGAGTACACCAATCCAACAATACAATAAAGATATCTAGTTCTCGTCCAAGCTAAACCAAGATACAAAGGCACTAAAATATCAAAATAAGATCAAAAGATTAACTAAACATCCACAAAAACCAACAACAACTTCAAAAGTACAATACTCACAATCTATCTGACGAACACCAAAACCCTTTGGTGAAAATGAAGATTGATGAGTCTTATAACTCCAGTCTGAATTTCAGGACCAACGAACAAAGATTGCCCTGCCAAACTTAAAGATTTCAGATGCTGCTACAGTGGAACCCTTGCTGAAAATTTTCAGCTCCCTCTCACTTACGGTTCTGTTTCCCGTAAATGGCATACCTCTCTCATTCTGATTTTGGTTGCATTTTATTATTTCTTAGTGGATTCAAACCTTGAGTTGATGACATAACACAAGTTAGGCTAAACTTACTTAATTACTTGGGGATTGACCCACAAAGTTGGGAGCCCATCCCAACACATCCCCATAAAAAAAATAATCTACGTCGTAAATTGTAAATTACAATATTCTTAGTAAAGTATACGGTTTATAAAGTGAACTAGTGTACAATTTAATTTTGAAACATATATAATAAAGTTTTCAAATTCTCAATTATCTTCACGCTATTTAATCAAAAAAAAAATATTTGCAAAAACAATAAGAATCACAGTAAGGCAAATTCCTTTCCTTAAGGCAAATTCTGGAAATAAAGAAAAATAGTCGCATGTTGTAATTAAGAACGTAAGGAGTTCAACATTCAAAGAAATGTAGAAAACAAAGAAAAGTTATTCTATCAACAAGTGCCAAAAACAAAAACCAATATATGCTGGGATATATTTGACGAATCAATTTTCTGGATCATCAATTCCACCAAACTTCTTCTTCTTCCTCTCCTCCAGGTGACTTGCTAGTCAAGGACGATTCCACTTGGGAATTGTTGCTGCTGAAAGGAGGGCGGTGAAGAAGCGAGCATATTATAAATCTCATCAGCTTCCGGTGGATTATTAGCAAAGCTAGAGTAGTTATTATAAGGGAAAACATGGTGCCCCAACTCATCCTCTTGTCTCGTAAAACCATCATGGCTCTCATCAACCTGTGAATTGGTAAAGAAGCTCGATTTAAATGGATTATAGCGACCACTCAAGTAATCCTCCCGTCTCACATAACCATCACCGACACCACCGGCTGCCACGAGTGGCGCGCCATAGTAACCTTGAGGTTGCGGTTGCGGATGCATGAGCTGGCTGCAGCAGGCCAAGTGACATTGAATTGATGGGAGGTCAACGACAGAGCTGGAGCTGGTTTGGAGAAGAGGCGGATATGGAGGAGCTAGGGTTGGATGATTTAGTAGTCGTCCATGATCATAAGAAGAGGATGATGATGAACGCGCAGCAGATAATAATGGAACACCATTATTTCCTCCCGCATCATAGATGTGATGGGATGGAGGAGGAGGAGGAGGAGGAGCAGCGAATTTGGGAAAATTCTGACCACCATTTTGCATGGTTTCATACTCATTTTGAGTAGCAGTAGTAGTAGTAATTGCTTTTGAACTACTACCACCTTTCTCCTTGCGGGCGGCTTTGGATGACGGACGGTTAGGACTTTCCTTTGGCTCAGGTTTCTTGTACAGCCTACACAGTACACAATCATCGAGCTGGAAAAAAAATTAATTCCATGTTGTTAGTTAGTTCCCAAGAATTTCAAACAATGATCATTATGATTAAGAACCTCTAATTTCAAAAAAAGAGTGTTAAAAAAGAAAATAATATTACTCTCATATGATTGGCATTGGCGCCATTAGCTGGAGCCGGAGTGTGCTTTAGCTTGAACTCATGCATGATCCAGCCGGTCTTCGTCCCGTGGGGAGGTTTTCCTTTATGATAAACCAATGACTTGCGGTATCCAAGTTCTTCGACCCCAGGCTTCACTCTTATTGGGACGTCTGCTCCAGTAGCCTTCCAGAACCCACCGGGTGCTGATCGGCTCGGCCGATACCCCTTCGGATACTTTTTCTGCCGTGATGTGAATACGTACCAACGATTGTTTATACTCGGATACTTACCTGTATTCATTGATGGTTAACCGAAAAATCTAAAGTTAGGAATATAAAGATTCAAACAGACAAGAATGAGAACCCAAGTAGAAATTGGAAACACAATTGACTTATCTTCCCTTAAAGATGTATGCCCACCAGACAGAAGACAGTACACACACACTAGCTCAAGAATCTAACTCTCTAAATGAATGCACAAAACTTAAGAAATACTAGGGTAAAAATCAATTTTAGTACAACAGTCCACATAGCAAAAAATCATTTCTAAAAACCCATTCTACTATCATATCCAGTAATAATGCTCTAGAGATATAATGCACTGTTTCAAAAGCAGCCACTATACAAGGAATTTCCTGACCATAATGAAATTAAACTCAGAAATAGATTCTGAATATATATGCTGTTAAATGGTGCCTCATTACTAGCGATTATTAACGTACATCTACACTTCTAAAATTTAAAAAAATAAGGACAGAAGAAACATTCATACATTATTGATATTTCTCTCAAACCACGTGGACTACTTTATTTAATGATTTCGTATCCTTAATAGCAAATGTACAGATGCAACGGGCTTCTAGAACAAATTAAAAGGACACGTGCTGAGCAAGATGAAGATATCATACCTTAAAGTGTAAGCATGAATACGCGATAAAAAAAAACCCATATAACAAATAATACTTGCTTAGAGGTTTATATAATACTAGTATGTAAGTAATAACCCTAAAAAAGACAAAAAAAAAACACAATATACCAACAGTCAAACAAGTGAAACACTACTGAAAACCCTAGCTAGTGCACGCACCCCCAATAACAAAAACCTAAAAGGATGTAGAAGCTCCACGAAACATCATTGCTATTTTTTAAAAAAGAACAAAACGTGATGGATGGAAACCAAAAAACCGAAAGGAGAGGGGGGAAAAAAAACCCCCCATAATGATTAATGCCATATCTTCTGAGTTTAAATTAAAAAGAAAGCAAAGTACCTTTGATGGATTCAGGACTTTCGTCATAAAGATTGAAATCGAGAATCCGGTTACGGGGGAGAGGGAGGCCATGAACTTTGTTGTACAAGTAGTGTCTAAGAAGTTCGACATCGGTGGGCTCGAATTTGTAGCCAGCGGGAAGACGGCCAAAGAATGTTTCGTCGTCTTCGACTTGGTGTTCGTGCTCAACCTCAACAACATCATGATCATGATGATCAACCATAACAAACTCATCATCAGCAGCATGAGCACCACCACCATAGTTGTAGAGAACATGATGATCATCATGATCACCAACAATATTAAGGAAGTCGGGTTCGGGTGCTTGAGGAGGATCATGGTGGTTGGGGTAATTATAGTTGAAGTGGTTATTAGGATCATCATGATGATGATTGATAGGGTGGGTTTGGTCGGCGTTGTGGTTGAGGTTGGTGATGGTTAGGGCACTGTTAGGGTTAGAGGTATGGGAGGGATAGGAGTTCTGGAAATGCGGCATGTTATTAGTACTTGCAGAAGAGCTTCTTCCACTTCCGGCGGCACCCATTGATTCACCTGAACTCTTTTCTCTCTCCGATTCTCCTGCCTTTACAATTATGGTATGTTTTTAAGACCTCCCTTTTTCTACATTTATATAGTACTCATCTGATTTATTTCATCGTTTTTTTTTTTTTTGGGGGGGGGGAGGTTGAGTCGAATAATAATATCGAAATTGTCGGGCCCCGTGTATTTGTATCCTATTATGATTTTATTAATTTTCATTTACAGTATACAACTACAACTCCTCTCCCAAACTTTGATTTTTTTATTTCTTTATTTTTTTTAACATGTTTTATATTCTTTTGGCGAGGACCAGGAACACTTTTTGAATCACGAAAGCTTTGCTTATTGATCTTGTTAGTCTCATTTAGTCATGTTAATCAGTACAGAGAGACCTTGGGAAATAAGTGATTTTTATGCTGACTCTGCCTTCATAATTGCTGACTACAGAGCATTAATCTGTTCAACTTTGGATTACGTCTTCCTGCAAAAGAATCACTCGTGTTATTATTTCCCCATATTTTACAATACAAAACAAAAAGGATTCTACAAAAATGTAGTTTTGCATTAATTTATCAGTATAATTGTACAGCGGCATTAAAGTTTATTCCTCTGCTTACACAATATTATTTCTTTCATGGCTAGAGTTAATCTCCATCTAGCGGACTTAAACGCAGTTGTTGTTTTACCAAATCCCCTGAATTCCAAAGTTGGAAATTCAGATACTTGTTTACGAATTTTACAATTACCATGAATTAATTACCCGAGTTTAGATTAATCCGAGAGAAGTGATTTTAAAGTGTAACTCACCAAAAGAAAAGCTGCAGCGTAGTGCTCTTCCCTTCATAAACAACCATACATATTTGTAATGTCGAATAATTAGGTAAACTTTAACCCCGAATTATTCTCCATTAACTTCATTTGTCAAACCATGACAACCAAAAAGTTTTGGAACATATTCCCCTCTGTTCAATTTACAATTTTATAAAATTTCTATCCATCATGTGAAGAATTTATGTATGGAGGATTCTTGCGTGAACCAGTAGTATTTATGTACGGTAATAACCCCCAAACAATTCCACATAGGAACAAACCACCATGGGAGCCAGTCACTCAACCAGGAAACACGGCAAGAACTCTAAAGTCACTCAGTTCCATTCCGAACAGAAATGGAAGCTCCATTTCGAGGATTCCAAGCAATCAAATAAACTCGTAAATTTCACACTTCTCCGTTCTCCCAAGTGTCTTTTTTTTTTTTTTTTCTTTTTTGTAATTCATACAGATGTACTTAATTCGGTGTTATTAAGGTAGGTCTGATATTAATAGTACTATGTTACATGGTAGTAAAGTAAATTGATGAATTTTCATTTTGTGTGAAGATGGTGATTGATTTCTCAGCTTCTTGGTGTGGACCTTGTCGCTTCATGGAACCCATCATCGATGAATTCTCTGCTAAATTTACTGATGTTGAGTTTGTGAAGATTGATGTTGACGAGTTAGCTGTACGTCTCATCTTCCTCTTGCTCTTGATTTTTTTTTTATATTTGTTCTGACGATCATACTAAGATATCGATAAAAGTTGCATGTTACTGGTGATTTAATTAAACCTAAGCTGAGCAAACATGGCTGTAACTGCAGGATGTGGCCAAGGAATTTGGTATACAATCCATGCCGACTTTTGTGTTCGTTAAGAATGGGAAAGAAGTCGACAAACTCAACAGCGCTGATCGTGAAGAACTGGAGAGGATGATATATAAATATAGGCTCTAATCTTCCTAATCAGTTGTTCGTAAAACTGGTTTTGAGTGTCAGTTGAATAACAGGAAAACAAACCTTTGCTTTTCCCTGGCTTTCGTTTTCCCAGGTTTCTGTTGCTTCCAGAGAGTGAATTGATTGTGTGAAGTTTGTATGTATATTGTAAAAAGTACACTATCCATCTATAGTAATCCATTTGTGCATTTCACTGTTAATCCATTTGGCCATCTCTAAACTCGATTATGAACAATTAGTCCAACTAAACAAACCCAAATCTGGAGAATTCGAGGTGATTCTGCAAATTTTAGAAACTAAACTGAAATTTAATACTGGATGTGGAAGCAAAATTTACGCCATTCAAGGTAATTATGCAGAGGTTTACAACGACCTTCACAAAATCCAATAACATTACCAAATTCCTATTTTACAATTTTGAAGCGTGGATACCAAAAAAAATTACATTCAATACTAGAATAGCATCTCATTATGCTATACTTCGGGTAAGACACAATTTCAATACTCTGCAAACGACCAAATCAAAAACTATGTTCCTAGTATGCACAGTGTTCTTCTCTATTCCGAGAAAGTGGGAGGAAAAAAATATATATATATATATATATATGTACATTTAGGTGCATATTTCACCGTAAGTGTTAGCTATACTCTTTTGGAACTCAAACCGTGGGCTGTTCATAATGCTTCCCCAATACCCTCCGCAATTCAGATTTTTGGTCCGAGGTAAGCCTCGAAGGAAATTTAATGTCAAACTTGATCCTCAAATTTCCACTCGTACCTGGTTCTTTAGATATGGGCATCCCTTCATTTGGAATCTTCAGTTCCTGGCCTGGTTTGACTATATCTTTGACAGGGATGGTCAGATTCCTTCCATCCAAGGTTGTCAATTTCAGTGTCTTCCCGGTGAGAGCATCCAGCAAGGAAATTTTCTGATGCATGACAAGATCATTTCCATCCCTCTTGAAAACAGCATGAGGTTTTTCATCAATTACAAATATAAGATCTCCGGGAACAGAACCAGGTTCATAGTTCCCTTTCTCAGGAAAGGTAATCTTTGTGCCTTTTTTCCATCCAGGTTTGATGTGTATGGCCAAGACCTCTTCCACAGTTACAGGCTTGCTGTCACAGTTACTAAAATGTCAATTCAGAGATTTAAAATTTGCGTAGATGAGTAAACAAAATAAATAAACAATAGGAAACTTGATAACCACCACTTACGGAGAGTATAAGTGACATAACAAAAGAAAGATACGGTAATATTTACAACATGCAAGTGTTTCCACCTAGACAGCTCCCTACTGGACGCAACGATTTCTCGCAGGGTTACTCTGCTACATCAGTGCAGAGAGATCTCCAACATCAAGCACACTTTAGTACGTGAAGGCTGTAGGTTAAACTTCACCACCAAAAGTTCTCTAGCGCTATAAAAATTAGGAAAATTTCTTCTTAGGAAGACATTATCCAAATGGAACAGAGTAATGCTCTGTACTCAGCATTATGAAGGCCGAGTCAGTTTTATTTCCCGAGGTCTCTGCACTAATTACTTACATGACAAACTGCTAACAAAATCAATAAGCAAAGCTTTTGTACTTCAAGTGTTCCCTGATCCTCCCAAAAGAATGACAAAGGTGTTCACAAAATAAAATTTAGCTCCCACTAGACTAGATGATGAAAGTACTCAGTGTTATCGACCATCAGAAGAATTTACAGGAAGCAAATTTTTCATAAGTTTTGGCCCTTCACCATTACATCTCACTAGGGGAATCCCAAGTTAACATCCCAAAAAGCTGAACAGCCATTTCCATGAAGGCAATTGGAGGATATCAGGAATGTAGGAGTGGCTCTATAGATTCTTGAATGCCTAGTCTACAAGATTAGATAAATTACATTACATCTACCACTAATTCTATATTGGTTTGAAGTTGAATTCTGTTTCTGGTGAATTTCACCCTCAAATTATCCTAAAAGACAGAAATATCATCATCATTCAAGACAGCACTAATTAGAGTACTAAATCCAACTACAATCGCTAAATGATTGAAGTAAATGAATCAAAAAGGCCACAATAACAGCTGTTGAATCATCAAAATTGACCTTTTCTCCCTTATGCATTTCAAGAAATCAACTAGTATATGATTGACACGGATGAACAGAATAATACAAATGAAACTTCCGACAAAAGCATCCATAAATCGCAGTTCAGAAATCATCCACAAATGAAATGAAAGCACTCACCCGGAATCATCAAGAACGATCCTCGAAATTTGCATCTTGCGTTTAGATCCTTTATACAGTTCCTCCAATGTACAAGGCAGCTTATTTTCAACCGGCGCAGCTTTCTTAACAGCTCCGGTTGCGCCGCCAACACCATAATTGGCATCAAATCCGCCGAAAAACTCAGCGAAAATGGCGTCGGCGTCTCTTGGACTGAATCGGAAACCCCTGCCACTAGCACCACTGGTGGGGGAAGCAGCAGAGAACTGGCCGGACTTCAAACCTTCCTCGCCGTACAAATCATAGATCTGGCGCTTCTGAAAGTCGCTGAGGACATCATAGGCCTCGGAAATCTGCTTGAATTTGGCCTCGGCTTCTTTCTTATTCTGGCTGTTCTTATCGGGATGCCATTTCATAGCCAGACGCTTGTACGACTTCTTCAAATCTTCCTCGCTCGCATTCTTCGGCACTTTCAAAATGTTGTAGTAATCAATGCCCATACCTTACTTCTTCACTCTCGAGACAAAAATTGGAAAGCTAAAATAAATTTCAGTGCCGCCGGCAGCAAAGGAATGTGTGGTAAAATTTTTTAAAGCTCGATTTCTGCGTTGCGAGAATCTCGAGAAAGATCTAGAAATAAATACTACAATGGTTTTATAATTTTCTTCCTTTCTTCGGAAGTCTGAGGAAAGAGAAGAAGAAGAAGAGAATTAAAAAGGAAAGGGAAAAAAAGGCTCTCTCCGGCAAGTCGGCCGGTCGTCAAAACGCGAACGCGTAGGCTAGCGAAACGGCGAATGATGCGCTAAGATACGCAGAGAGAGAGAGAGAGAGAGATATTTTAAAATGAGGGTGAGAGAGAGATAATGTTATAGTGACGGTAAAGGTGAGTAAAAAAAGGAGGGAGGCACGTGGGGGGTGTGGGTGACAGGGCTGTTACGGGAAAGAAAAAGGGGGGAGGGGGGCGAGTGAGGGAAGAACGTGCAGGCGCGTTAAACAATTCGGCCGACAGAGTATCTTCGCTTACAAGTGAGTGTGTGTGTGTGTGTGTGTGTGGAATCTGTTTTGGCGTCGCTGGTTGGCAACTTGGCGACGACTCCGTTTACTCGCTGTTAAACCCAAAAATGTTAAGCTCTGTAAAGCATATTTTATACCAAAAAGTTAGTAATTAACAAACATAACATGTTAGATGATTAGGTAGTTATCATCACTAAACTAAAGCTTCCCTTTAGTTGGAAACTTGGATGTAAAGATGCCGAGTGATCAAGTGTAAAGTTGAAAAGAAAAAGGCTAGATGAAAAGGAGTTTTGGTGACATTAAAAAAAATAATAAAATAAAAAATAAAAACATTGCTCCTTTCTCTCGAAATGTAAAATGGACTAGTTTTCACTCAATTGTGTTTAAATTTTGCTAGATAAATTTCATTTGTACATGGATTAGATGACACGATGTGGCATTTGAAAATTTGCCATTGATATATTCGATTATTTTTAAAATTACTTCTTTCACTCCTTTTTAGACGAGAAGAATTTAAATATTTTCGTACTCTGCAAAGTGTAAACAATGAGAAACAACGAATGAAGTAATTAATTTAAAATTTTATTAATTATTGGATGATTTAACTTGGTAGTTTTTACTGTATTTATCATCATTTTTCCATTTTGAACAGTGCATGCTAGTGATGAAAATATCCAAAACTCAAAAAAGGAAAAAGAGAGAACAATAACAATACAAATCCATGGGTTACACTACATTGTGTGGATGTGGTTTGAGACCCATAGGAGGGAAGTAGTGAGAATAAGTTAGGAAGGTCTAGTTAAATCTACTAAGCAAGTGGACCAACTGCACATTATTATGTTAGCCCCACTATCTTTAAAAATTATAATAATAATAAAAAATAAAAATAAAAAACCCCCAAATGCAATTACTTTAAGTGCCTCTTGTTTTTTGGAGTAAAGGAAAAAACACAATTGCACCAAACAAAGTGAAGAAGATAATGGATTCTATCAAGAACGATGATGATGATTATGATGATGATGCTTCGTGACATTGAATAAATGCTTCGGGTTTAGGGGATTGATTACTATCCTAAATGAATCAACACACGCTTTCGTTTTCTTTTGTTGTACAATTGGTCATTTTCTTTTTTTGCATTATTGAGTGTGGTAGTACGATTGTTGCATCACTTGTAAACAAGATTGCTTCATTTATTTTTATTTTTATTATTATTATTGCATAAAAGATGTGTACGAGAGAGCGAGTTTGAAAGACATTGATGACGAAGTTGGCGAAATCCAAAAAGGTTAGAAGTAAGTAATGGAGAATTTTTACAAGGCTTTGGTGGGTGTGAGAGCTGAAAAAGAAAGATGAGGTAGGGCAGTTTAATTGGGTTAGGCTCAACCCTCATCCACCCATTTGCTACGTTAACCATAACTTCATATCTTCATTATTGGGCCACTTCAGATTTTCTCCCATGGACCCAATTGAAACCATATCTCAGTCACCCCTGTTTTCTGATCCATCACCCCCCCGAGAGAGACCCTCCAACTCTCCCAACATTTACCACCTCTTTTACATTTTACTCGAGCCTCATACAGTTTCATAGATAGACACTATTGCTCCAAATATCTTGCTCTTCTAGTCAAGGTTTTTCTTGATCTTCCATTACTCCAGATAGATTCGGGAATAAACTATCGCGACAATATCATGTTCTAATCACTGTTTCATCTTGATGGTAGAGCTTCAAGCTAAAATAAGTCTCACGGGTCTCGTCATGCCAATAATGCTAAGTGATCTGTCATGCCAATAATAACTCATATTGATCCTGGACTATCCAATCACCCCAACTCTAAGTTTAGAGTTGATTTTCTTTAAATATATAGGTTTAGCTATATGCTCTATAATCTAATAGGACTTGTTCTAAGTTAGATAAATATTTTTGAGGTAGTAAAATGTATGGTTTTCAAAATTAGAAGGAAATCTTCTCTATAATCTAGATGGATTTTTCGACATAACATGTAAAGACTTAGTTACAGTTGGATCTAAATCCAAATTTTGGTTCATTGCTCACAAAATAGCACTGATTTATTTTTTCTTTTTTCTTTTTTTTTTCTCCTCTAACAAAAAGATGCGTAACGTTTGAAACATAGTGCCTATATAGTATATACACACAACTCGTATGTAACTCCAATATCGTCGTGTCAACAACTCTGAAGAGTCAACGTGTGTTTTAGCACTTCGCAGGAGGACCCAACCCAAAACCAAAAGCCGATGTTTTAATCGAAGTATCGAACTCATCAATTTAAGACGAAATAGCAGCTGACGGGCCAAATATTTTAGCTTACATTATGCTTGCAACCGTCGCCGGACCTCTGATATCCGTCACCGGCGCAACCACTCCTCCCGTCTCAACTTCAGTTACCACCCCTGCTCCCACCCATATAGTGCCTCTCTTACACCAAAGTCACCAATGCACCGACCTCTCTCATCTCAAACAAATCCATGCTCAATTTTTCCGCACCGGCCCCGATGAATACGGCTCATTTGTCTGGAACACTCTCATCAGAGCATATTCTTACAGCCCAGACCACAAGCAAAAATCATTATTCGTCTTTTACCAAATGTTGGATCAAGTAAACGTTGTACCTGACAACTACACTTTTCCCTTCGTCCTTAAAGCTTGTGCTTATTTGTTTGCTTTATTGGAGGGAAAACAAGTTCATGCACAAGCTGTTAAACGTGGGTTCGGTTCAGATATGTACATAAACAATAGTTTGATCCATTTCTATTCGTCCTGCGGATGCTTGAAGTATGCGAGGAAAGTGTTTGAGAAAATGCCTGAGCGAAGTGTTGTGTCGTGGAATGCTATGATAAATGCTTTAGCTGAGTTCGGTGAATATGAAGATGCGTTGAGAATGTTCACTGAGATGCAAATGTTGTTTGAGCCTGATGGATATACCGTGCAGAGTCTCATAGCTGCTTGTGCTGGTTTAGGGGCTCTGTCTTTAGGGATATGGGCTCATCTTTACGTACTAAAGAAGTGTAAATATGATCCCAATATTGAGGTTTTGGTAAATAATTCTTTGGTTGAAATGTATTTTAAATGCGGAGCATTGAATTTTGCCGTGCAAGTTTTTGAGGGGATGGAGATTCGCGATGTCAATTCATGGAATTCAATTATCTTAGGTTTTGCAATGCATGGGAAGGTTGAGGCGGCTTTGGAGTATTTTGGAAGAATGGTTGATGATGGTCTAGTTCCAAATTCGATCACATTTCTTGGTATTTTGAGCGCATGTAGTCATAGAGGTTTTGTTGATGAAGGTAGAGAATATTTCAAGAAGATGAAGAATGAGTATAACATCGAGCCTGTTTTGGAACATTATGGTTGTCTTGTTGATCTTCTTGCTCGAGCAGGCCTTATTGATGAAGCTCTTAATATTGTAACCAGTATGCCGATGAAACCAGATTTGATCATTTGGAGGTGTCTACTTGATGCTTGTTGCAAGCAAAATGCAGGTTTGGAACTTACTGAGGAAATATGCAGACAGATGATTGAGGCGAAAGGCAGCGATAGTAGCGGCGAGTATGTGCTTTTATCCAGAGTATATGCATCTGCCGATCGTTGGAACGAGGTTGGTATGATTAGGAAATTGATGACTGAAAAGGGTGTAAACAAAGAGCCTGGTTGTAGTCTAGTTGAAGTCGGCGGCTTTGCTCATGAATTTTTCGCTGGAGATACATCTCATCCTCAAACAAAAGAAATTTACCAGCATCTAAAACTTATTGAAGAAAAATTGAAGTCAATTGGGTATGTTACTGACACTTCACCGGCAGCCATGATAGACGAATCCTCTGATGGGAAGGGGCTAGCCCTTAGGTTGCATAGCGAGAGGCTTGCTGTTGCATTTGCACTTTTGAATTCGAAACCAGGGTTGCCAATTCGTATTTTCAAGAACTTGCGAATTTGCAGAGATTGTCACACGGTGATGAAGTTAATATCCAAGATTTTCAAAGTTGAAGTCATTGTTAGAGATCGATTAAGGTTCCATCATTTTCAAGATGGCTTATGTTCTTGCATGGACTACTGGTAATTTACAGTGTAGTTTATTCTTCACATAGCGAATTATACCAACAATTCGAGTTTCAGAAAGCTCAATTTTGCAGTGTAGCTTACTAAACTAAATTTTGATGGCTAATTTAAGAAGACAGCATGTGGGAGACTTGGTCTAACGCACTAGTTTTCCCATGGTCCGCTTCAGTATTAAGAAAATAAGACTCCCAACTTCCAATCATAAAGAGGTCAAGGAGAGGTAGACTTGATGTTTTAGGTTCATTGGTTTTGTTTGTGCCTTGGTGAATGGTGGTTGATCTTAAGATCGATCCATTAGAATATGCCAATATTAGGTGACAAAGTTATTTTTACACCCAATTTTGAGGTCGTTTGACATCCTTTCTTGCCCACCTTTTCCAATGTTTTGGTCAAGCAAAAAATAAGTTTGAATATACTAGACATAAATTACAATATAATAAGTATAAAATAAAATCCCAGGCCGAAAAAGGAAGAGGAAAAAAAAAACACTAAAGTCTAATATCTCCATTAAAGAGAACCCATAAAAATGAGTCCCTCTTCCTACGCTCCTCCATACCAAAAAAAGAGAAGGGACAAACTTACTGCTTCTGAATCCCAAAATGAGGCCTATATTTACAAAACTTATCAAAGATTCAATATAATATCATGGTCTCGGCTCCAAACTTGTGCCAAACATGCGGCAATACCAATACCAATCCCAATGCAGCTCCAAAATATGCGGAGTAGTATAATCACAGTGCGGCTACTTGTGCCGATTGAGCGGGCACCAAACTTCAAAACTCACTTCACCATGATCATTGGCTAGGTAAGGCTTCTAGCAGCTGATACATCAAAGAGAAGCAATGAGTTAAAGAGGTTCGACGATATTCTATTTTACCAATTTCCATAAAGCTGATTTTATAGTTTTCATCGGTTGACAATGTTGTGGTTGTCCAATAATGCTTATATAAGATTATCTTATTGGTTAGAACAAGACAGCAGCACAGAGTGATTCTTTTTGATACACAAAGCCCAAGTTAGTGTGTTTCTTATTTGGTACCTAACCATCATTCACAAGTCATTTTAAGCAACTCTTCAATTAAGCTTCAAAACATTTCATTCATCCTATAAATGTTGATGAGTTTTTTATTTTGAAATGAATGTTGACAAGTTGATCACACTATGCAAAGACCATAACACTAAAAAACATTAACGCATGCGTTTAGAATCATATAAACGAAAACAATGATTGACGGGGGAGGGTTCTACTCAAGACAGTTTCAAATTTTCAACATTAACATTAGTTCCTAAATGATCACACTGAATGAAGAGCAATTCGGAGTGAAATGTTTACCTCTAGAAGAGGATTGAAGCACAATAACATGCATAGTAGCATTATTTGGAGGAAGCTGCAAACGAAGCGGGTAAAGCTTCCCGTTCAAAGGACTCCTAGTACACACAATAATATCCTCCAAACCTGTCTCTTCCTCCAATCTTTTCCTCAATTCTTGAACCCCATTCCCTTTAAACGAAATAGAGAGACCCTCGAATCCCTCATCAACATCTCCATATTCATCAGCAATACTGTAATAAATTAATCTCCCATCCCCTGCTTTTGGTGGTGAACTCCCCAAAGAATCACCAGACTGTACAAAATTAATCCAAAACAGCATGTTACTAACCAAATCCTTGATCATTATTTATCAAAACATTCATATACTGTAAGAAGTAGGCATGGGAAATTACCTCCTGTCGTGAAAAACTCGCGGATTTGGAAGAGTGAGTCGAGGGAGAAGTTGAATCAGAAGCAAAAGAGTCCGAATGGTGAACCAGAGGCGGAGGCGGTTTAGGAACAGGGGATTGAACCACAATTTCGACAACGTGAACATCCCACAAAATCCAATCTTGAGTTGAAGTACGATGAGGAATATCATGAGTAACCGAGTTCCTCCAAGGTGGGAGGCCGCCATTTGCTCTCAAGAACTGTCCGTACCTAGTTTTAAGCTTCACCTGATCCCCTTCTCTAATGGGTTCCCATTCCACAGACGAATCAAGCCTCTGAGGTCGAGTCTGAAGTACCTTACGCCCAGTCATTCCCAACAGAAAAGGCTGGTTGGAGGCCGACAAGTAACGGTTGTAACAGCTTTTCAAACGGATAACATGATCGGAATTCTCGACGTACTCGACTGTCCATCTAGCTTCCTTGGAGGAGCCGTTACGGTCTTGAGTCACCGATTCCTCGTCGTCTTCAGCCGTCAAGTACTTGTTGTGAACACTCTTCAATCGCACCGCCTTTGCGTTGTGGAAAAGTTCCATCGCCGGAATCCTCACAGACGAACTCCGGTTAAAGCTCTGCTGCAATTATCAAACCAACCGCAGACACCCGAAAGAATCAAAAATTGAAAAAAAAAAATTAATAAAGAATCAAAGATGTAATGAAGTGGGTTTTTAAGCAAGGTTTTGATAAGATCGAAGGAAGTAAAGAAGATTGCTGGAGGTTGTTGGAATTGAGTCCGGACAAGCTAGAAATGAGGCAATCTCTTCTTTATTGAATTGATGATGGTAGTAGTTGCCGGGTCGCTTTTACGGTTTTACATATATAGTCTAGTCAGCTTACGTAGTTACGTGTTAATTTAATTGTAAGAATAGTATGAGGAATTAATTAATCACTTTATTTAAGGATGGGGATTCAACGCAGATGCCACAGTCAGCGCCAGCTTGGTCTAATCAGCATCGGCCATGTAATATTAACAACTGTTAAACCTCACACGGTTAAGCTTACGCGTCCATTCGGCACTGTAACATAGACTTGCAAAACCTCGTGTCCTAATTGTTTGATAATTGTTTGACTTTCTCCAATTTGGCAGCTCAGCCTTATTACGAGAAACTTGAGCTACTTAATTTTATGCTATGTTTAATCTACGAACTCTTACTTTAATCACATTAGGTTATAATAATAAAATCGATTAAGGAGCGCATATTCGCATTTTCCTAGTGGTAGCAAGTATTCCGGTTGTAAGTTCGTGATGATGCTCCCATATCAAATTGATTTGACCACTAATTTGGCTTCTAATCAGGTGAAATTGGATTTTTCTAGCAAGAATTGTGTCGGGTCAAAATTGGGTTTTCCATGCAATTTAATAAAGACTTTTCCTTCAGAGACGCCCATAAGGCTGCAGCCTTTGCACTTGACCAGAAGGTTCTGCTCTGCTCCTATGAGTCTATATCATCTATCACATTCGGGTTTGTTTCCAGATTCTATTCAGATGAATCAGCCCCCAAAAAAATAAATAAAATAAAATAAAATAGCCAAGGTCCCAATGTAGAAGAATAATATCCTAAAGCACAAAAGATCCCGAAAAAAGACACTCCAAGACGCAAATTTTTCCTTTGCTTTCTGATTCTTACTTTTGGAGTAAAAGCCAATTGTCCATGCCCGAATGAACGAACAATTAACAAAAGGAACTCAAGGATAAGACAAACAGCCGTGATCCATTTGAATGAGTTCATCATGATTCCAAAATTAAGAAAAAAACAAATTGTGATTATCAACACTAACAATTGTGAGGGTTCATTTGATCCGGATAGACGCTTAGGCCAAAATACTATCAATATTTGTTGACCAAACATACTACAAACTCAAATTGAAATACCTCCTACTTAATGTTATCGTATACCATACAACTCCCTAGACTATTTTGTCAATCTAATTATGTAAATTATTTTTTTAGGATGGAAAGAGTAGTAATATATTTCAAGTTTCCAGCAACATGCGACAAGTCTCACTATGGGCAAAGATGAAAACGCATAGGTGCCGAATTCTAATCCATTTATTACAAGATTTTGCTATACAGTAAATTATCAAAACCAACGGCTTCAAGATGGGGGACCCAAAAAAAACATAAATCATCTTTTATCATCTTATTTCTCTAGATTAGCTATGTATTTCAATTTTTTAATCTTCACCATTTTTTATTTTTTTGGATAAGTATAATCTTCACCATAGTTTGTCTCTTGTTTTGATTTATATGGTCGTAATCTTTGAAAACAAATGATAAATCGGTACAGAAAATGAAGTAGTTGAGCAAAATGGTGGTCAAAGGAGTAGTCTAATATATGTTTCATGTGAGCACACTGACTGGGGATTACGTGTTACCTTTGTCACATTCTGGATTTATGTATAAGGTTTTATTAACATAAATTAATTACTTGCCCAAACGTGTATATTAGAGCTTGGTTAGAGTGCTAACTGACTAAAGTTGATAATGACCGTATGCGGAAATTGCAACCCGATCCTTGAAAACTAAAACTTATCTCAATCAGCCCATAATAAAAATTCTCAAAAGCTAATCTAATCAGGTCCTTATCAGTTCATTTTCTTCCTCCTTCTAATTGGTCCACTATATGCCACTTCTTATGCATCCAATCGATCATCCAAATAAAAATTATGGAGTTCTTACATTCTATAATCACTATTAAGTATTTCTTCCAATCTTATTTATTACTAAACTTAATCGTGTCTTATCAATTAAGAGCAAACGCTATATTAAAGACCCCAAGTCGACTCAAAGTATACTGTAAAACTTCACAAAGGTAAACAGTGATATCTTCTATCCGATCATATTGTATTAAAATGAGATTTTTCACCAATCAATGCATTATTTTTCTGTGATCAAAAAAGAAAAAATGCATTATTTTTTCATAAGTGGGAAATAACATGCAAACCTCTACTCGAGGGCGAGGATAATAAGGACAAAAGGATCATTACATTACTCAATTAATCTTCTTGATTTTCTAAAGATTCTTATTACTAGTATTAGCCATTAAAAAAAAATGACTGTTAGTGATGAGTTTTTTTTGGTAATTGAAGAAAAATACTACTGGGAGTCGGGTAACGTACCTTTCTTGGTGTTGTTGACGTTTTCCTAGGGGAACTAAAACCCGAATGCGTTGACATGGGCGACCCGAGATCCAAACTGGATATTTCATCGGAAACCGACGACAAGTTGGACAGAATCGACAAATACTCAATCAGAGGCTCGTCCTCCGGTATCTCCACCGCCTCCGCCTCCCACAGAATCCAGTTATAACTCGAACCCGTCTGAGGTTTGTCGTGAGTGATCGAATTCCGCCACGGCGGCGTCCCTCCGTTGGCGCGTAAATAAGTCCCGACATAACTCCTTAACTTCACTTGGAAACCATCCCTTATGGGCACCCATTCAATTCTCTCATCCTTCATGTTTTCCGGCTTTGTTAAGTGGACTTTATGCCCGGTCATCCCCAGAAGGAAGGGCTCGTTCGTCGCCGTTAAATACTTCCCGTGGCAACTCCTCAGCCGGATAACACCGCCGCCGTTAACCACCTCAACTAGCCACCGGGCTTTTCTCGCTTTGCCGTTCCGGCTCTGTCTGGTGGTTTCTTCATCGTCGTCGGCCACCAAGTACTTGTCGAGATGGCTTTTTAATTTGACTGCTTTTGTTTTCTCAAAAAAATCCATCTCCACTGAACAGGGGCGGGCTGTGGAAGGGCTGTTATATAAATATGGTAATGAAATAATTACAGAGAAGATACAAATAAAGTAATGAAGAGGAAATTAGAAAAAAGAGGGGTTTTGTTTTATGGTACTTGTATTCTTACCAAAAAGTTATAAATCATTGATGACGAAGAAGAAGAAGAAGAAGAAAGGAGAAAGCGGAAATAGATAAATAAAATAAAGATGGTAAACCATATAGCGTATGATTTGATTATTACTTTATTGAAAGTAATGGGTTCATAAAATCGTATATTTTTCTAGAATCTTAATAGGTAAGTGTTTGGAAAATCCTATTACTACTTGGTGGATATGGAAATTGCAGAGTGATTTCTTGGGCCAAACTCTCAAGTCGTTGAATCAGAGAAATCACGCGCCAAAATTTCTGGTTTCATTCGAGTGTGACATTTTTCATGGGGTTTTAATAATAACCATAGAAATTCAAGGTGGCCAATATATTTAGGAAGCAACTTGGGTTGAACATGTTATGATGCATATATGAGACTTTCTTTTGGACTTTCTCTACACAATTACGAGAACGGCATTAAATCCACTAAAACTTGGCAAATCCGCCCTCACAGAGTAACAGAGTTTATTTAAAGAGTTCGGTACCCAACCTTGCTTTACTCTGTGAGGGGCTATATTAATTTCTTATCTTTTTTTCATTTTTGCTTTGTTTAAACCTTTGGAAATGTTATTTTGGTGAGATAAGATAGGAATGTCTTATCCTATAAATTGCGAAGAATTTAAAATTTTCTATTTGCAGTTCGGTGTGATTAACATTGAATCTGACGCTCAAGTTTAAGAGTCGTGTTTGTGATTGTTCAAAATTAATTATATAAATTTCGGGTTAGATGATGGTTTGGTGCTCGCTTCATTATTTTAAAGTTAAAATATGAATGCCAGAAGTTCATGAACATCAATCAAATATGAGTTTGATTTTAGCGTAGCAGTTGCGCGCATTTCATTTCATCCACTAAGCCGTGGTAAAGAAGTTCATGAACTTTATTGTATCATATCATAAGGGAAATCAACTTCAAATGGCAGCAGATCTGTAAAATAATATGTGATCGTCAATATCTCAAAATAAAAATTTTATTCGTTAAATTGGATTAAAAGGTAAATGCACCCCATTATTAGAAGTTCATGTTGGCAATAATGCATCAAATAATCAATGGCCGCCAAGCCAACTAGAGAAGAGTGAGAGTGTGTTGGTGCATGATTTTGATGCAAACGTGGCCTTAATTCAAGTGGACGAAAGCAGTTTTTACACTGATGATGTTGATGATAACAGTACATTGGCACAGTTCGAGTGCGTCTTGGTGGCCATTTTGGATGAGTCGATTGATTGCTTTTTTTCAAGTAGGTTCACCAATCAACGAAGAAATCATTATTTTTTTTTTGTATTTTATTTTATTTTGTTGATAGCAATACTTGGAATTAGCTCATCGTCGCTTGTAAAACTACGCGTGTATATATGCAATCACTCTATGACCGTATTACCAATAAAAGTTGAAGTCTTTAGCCACGGCTATCCTGTGGTGTTCAATGTTCGTGTTTTATTAATTGAAAAACAATATTGAATTATTGATGCTATTGATAAGACAAAATCATAGAGCGTAACAAAATTATATTTTATTGGAAAAAAAAATATATTGATCACTCGTGTTTCAAGTGAATTAAATAATTGGTGAAGTCCGTATGAACAACTTTTTTTCCCTCTTTTTTTGGGGGTAGTAGTACTTTAAAATTTGTAATTAACATTTAATTTGGATGGTTTTCCAGTGTATTGTACTAGTAGATATCTTATACGTATTAAAAAAAATACATGAAAAGTGATTAAGAATGGGAAAAAAAATAAACAAACGCAGCTAATATTGCATTTAGCTTTGATGGTATTTTTGTCACAGGATTACCAATTAGTACGACTGCTAGGCCACTAGACAGTGGCGTCATTCATGAGACGAAAAAAATATAATCGTGGAAACTTAATTAGACTTTGACTAAAACTATAGTAAGCGTCTGTGCCCACAAGGCCACCAAATTACGTAAGTACCCGCGATTAATATCAGCCATTCGCAGCTGTTTGTTACAAATTTTCCTGAATTAGTAAATGTTTGACGGGAAAAAAAAAATTTATACAGTACTGGAGTGTGAGGTGTCACAGGATACGTGACAATGGAGCCGGACCGGAGACTGGACCGGTGACTATTCACAGCCGGCCATAAAGCGTGGATGTTAGAATTCTGCAACCAATCTAGAAGGTCGCCCCTGATCTGAAATTTCAATTTTAATTGCCCTCGCCATTTTTTATTTTTAGTATTTTTTTTTTCTCAATTAGTGGCGCATAAAGAATTACGGCGTTTTAGAATTCAGATTGATAGAGAGAGAGAGAGAGAGAACGATGGACTATATACACGATTTCACATTTGCATATATATTCATTATTATCACGTTTGCCCAATCTTGGGTTCATAATTTCTTTTCTTTTTCTTTTCCTTCCCATCAGGGTCTTAGCAATATTGACCTAATGACTTGTATACATAAGGCTTTTCAATTTTCAGTAAGCTAACACATTGCTAGTACTACCTCTGTCCTGACTAGCACACTAATCTTCTTCCTTATAAGGTAAATTTTATGGTTGGAACACAAAATTATCATCGATATTTCTTATTCACTAACAATTATTATTTGGAGTTTTTTTTTTTTTTGCCTTCTTCCAAAAAAAATGAAGAACGAAAAAAAATATTCGTACATGTCGAAATGTAAAAATGTTAAACAAAGAGTGTCTGTGAGTTTTTTTTTTTTTTTTTCATATTTGCAGGGTGCGTCTCGCTGAATTGTAGGTATCTCGATGGATGGAACATGTGACCAAAGTATTTAAGGTTACTTCATGCCCATGGTGAGGTTCGCATAGTGAGGTTGGAACCCTCGACCTATGGTTAAGGAATAAGGGTGGAAGAGTCCCTTCCACTCCACGACAACCACTTTGGTTATTTGTGAGTTTATATATGTCTTCAACAATATCTACAAAGGGATTTGAAGCCCAACAAATGAACTAGTCAAATTATTTAACCTAGACAAAGATGAAACAATCACCAAAAGAATTTATGTGGGCTATCTCACAAAACATTTTTTGCAATTGGATCCACAATAATTCAACGTAATTCAGCCCAAGGTCCTTAAATCGCATGATTATTAAACATCATCCACCAACAAAAGCTTTTCACAATCACAAGTCTACAACTACAAGTACAAAAAAATGTAAAAAAGTCTCTTTTCTTTTTTTCCGCCTCCTTAGTGGGAGCAGTAAGTCTTCAAAGTCAAAATCGAACTCCCACAGTTGAGAATGTTGTTTGGCAGAAGAACAAAGAGATTGGCGCATAATTAATCACCATCAATTAGGTGGGCTCTATCAACCTTAGAAATTGCTAAGTAGTGTATGATGCTTTACATCCGCATTAACTTTTAACGCCTTTGAAATTCCACACCCCAATGTCTGCGTCAAAAAAGTTGAATAATTACTACAATTCAAGATGCAGTTTTGTGGAGTTATAGGGTTAGCTCAGTGCGTGTGCAAATAACAGCGGTGGAAGACCGTTAACCATTTTCTCACTACAATACATTTATTAGTGGTGTAAACTGTAAATTGTTTTCTTTTGTAGAAGATATTTTAGTGTACAAAAACTTAAATATGATAATTAGTGTTTTTAGAACAGAGAGGAAAAATAACAGATATAAAATCGTACAATTTGATTAGATTTTCAAATTGGTAGTAGGAAAAAAACAGAGTAGACCAGATTTCCACGGCTTTGGTCTCCAAAGGGAGTGACCATTTTGCTTCCAACTAATTTGTCTTCACACTAATCTCTTCACGTGACTGACTCACTTCTCTCTCTTTCCCCTTTCTTCCTCGATAACAGACCTTCCCCACCCACAGTCACGCACTGCCCTCTCTCTTCCTCCTCCTCTTCCTCTTCTCCGTGAGAGGTTGATTCCTCTGTCAACTATGCAGTCAAACCCACAACTCCCAAATCTAGATCGAGTTCTTTTAGATCTTCATTCATGACTAAACAAACCTTCTGATTCGGTTTCATTATGTTGTCATCATCTTCATATTCATCCATCGCCGCCGCTCTCTTTTTCTTCTTCTTCTTCTTCTTCCTGACTTTGAACATTTTAGTCTCAGCTGCCCACCACCACTACCCTTCTTGTTCAGCGGTTTCGATTTCCTCTGCATCCCAAACTGGTAATATTTCAGCTTCATGCCCACCTTTCAATTCCAAACTTCCCTATCCTTTCTCTTCCTATTCCGGCTGTGGCCATCCAGCCTTCCAAATCCGCTGTTCCTACCCACATTCCATCATTTCCATCAATAACATTACCTTTTCCGTCCTTCACTATGACCCCGATTCCACTTCTCTGCTCCTTTCCCCGACCAAATTCCCTCCATTGCCATCCGGGTCTTCCGAGCACAACTGTACGACCCAGCGTTCTGCCTCTTCCATCCCCGCCAGGCCAATCTCGTTTTCCGGGTCGCCTTTCCGGGTTTCCGACTCGTATTGTTCCCGGCTTTCTGTCCTCAAGCCTTGCCCACCGCCGAATCTTCCCAACTGCAGCAAGTGTTCTTGGGAGTGTCAGCTAATCAAGAACCCGGTTCATCTTATCCGTGAATGTGGGTCTTCACATGGTCAAGACACTAAGCAAGGGTGTCAAAGTGATGTTCTTGGATTTCTTGATAGTTTCTTAAAATTAGGGGTTGAGGTTGAATGGGATGAAGACCAAGATAGTTACTTTTCTAGCTGCAGAGCTTGCAGAGCTAGTAATGGTTCTTGTGGGTTCAATTCTTCACACCCTCAGAAACCATTCCTCTGTTTCGATCCCCCTTCTCCCCAGATTCGCGAGAAAGGGGCCAATAAGATTGCGATTTTGTGCATTCTTTTTCTGTTCATGTGCTTGTTGATTGTTCTTTTTGTTGGGACTGTTATTTACCGCGCTAGGCGGAAGGGATTTGACTCAGAAGAAGATCCCACCATTGTTTTTCTCAGGAGGCATCGATGTGCGAGTCTTCTTCCGCCTGTGTTTACTTACGAGGAGCTTGCGTCCTCCACGAACCACTTCGACCCAAAACGCAAACTTGGCGACGGTGGATTTGGTTCAGTCTATTTAGGCCAACTCAATGATGGCTTGGTGGTGGCAGTAAAGCATCTGCATAAGCACAATTCTAGCACAGCTGCAGGGGAAAAAGGGTTTTCTACCAAATCATTTTGCAATGAGATTTTGATACTATCATCTCTGAATCATCCAAATTTAGTCAAGCTCCATGGTTATTGCAGTGATCCAAGGGGCTTACTTTTAGTCTATGAATATGTGCCTAACGGCAGCCTTGCAGATCATCTACACGGGAAGGGCTCCTTGTCATGGAATTTAAGAATTGATATTGCTTTACAAACTGCTCTGGCAATTGAGTACCTGCATTTCTCTCTTGTGCCACCAATTGTTCATAGAGACATTACTTCATCCAACATTTTCGTAGAGAAAGATATGAGGGTGAAAGTTGGGGACTTTGGGCTGTCAAGGCTTTTGGTTTGCTCGGAAACAACAGTTGGGAGAGATAACTCTTCGGTTGGCGTTTGGACAGGTCCACAAGGAACGCCTGGATACTTGGATCCTGATTATCACCGGTCGTTTTTGTTGAATGAAAAGAGCGATATTTATAGCTTCGGAGTGGTTTTATTAGAGTTAGTAACTGGGATGAGAGCGGTGGACCAAACAAGGGAGAAAAGGGAAATGACATTGGCTGATCTTGCGGTGTTAAGGATACAAATGGGGCTGTTAAACCAGGTGGTGGACCCAACTTTGGTGTTGGACGGGGAAGCCATAGAAGGTGTGAGTGCGGTGGCGGAGCTGGCTTTCCGGTGCGTGGCGGCAGATAAGGACGACCGGCCGGATGCTAAGGAAGTGGTGGAGGAGTTGAAGCGGATTAGGGGCCGGACGAGGGTGGTTGGTGGTGGCGCAGGGGCGTTGAGGCCGTCCAACTGTAGCAATGTTATTGTTCCTGATAATAGTACTACTGGGACAATGAGTTAAAATCTGATGGGGTTGGGGCTGGGGTTGGGTGGGGAGATTCATCCGCAAATTTGTAAGTGCACGTGGGGACTTCCCACTGGAAAAGTAGTCGGATGATGTTTTGTAGTTTGATGTTGTCAAAAGTTTTAAGTGTGAATAGATCTTATTGTAATTTCACCACTATCATCATTAATCTTCCTACCTCTAGTAAGAAGGTTTTTTTTTTCACTTTTGACTTCCATTTGCCCAAATGATCAATTATGATGTACTGCCCACTTAATGTAGATTCTTGCCTATTCTCTTCCCAACAGCCTAATAATTCTACTCATCTGTGAGTATGTTTTGATTGCTTTTGACATTTTTCTTGCCGTCCGACGAGAGTATTATCACCGTACTTTCTGCAATTTCTCCAAATCCCTTTCACTTGATAAACTGATGATGTTTCAGACTGCTCTCGAGTATCCTTGATTATAAGTTGACATTTTTGAACCATTACAGAAGGCTCTTATCTACCCGACTAAGTAGGTGGTACTAAGTACAAACTGGTTCAATACGTTTTGAACTTCAAGCCTTGCCATTATTGAGTATAGTTCGCACGGAGTCTATTGATACAGAGAGAATATAAGAAAATGAACTGAATTATGATGTTACAAACTTCTCCACAAGGTCGGTTAATACACTCTTCATCTTAGCACAAATCAGTAGTACCTGAACTCGTCCTATCATCATATCTAAATGATGCGGAACTCAAGTTCATCACTATATCAGACCACCTACATCGCTGCATGCAAAAGTCTACGGAAAGTATGCAGCCTCTAGTTCACGGGCTTTCTCTCCAGCACTTGCAGCTTCTGGCCGCTCTAACATTTGGTAGCTTTTTTCCTAAATCATTAGATAAAAAGCAATAACTAAGAATTGTTTTCCAGCAGAATAACTCAAATGTTTGTTCTAATCAACGTGTTGTTGTCTATGAGAAAGCCGTACCAAAAGGCGCCACAAGAAAGGGGCACCGTCTCTCTTCTCTAGCTGCTTTTCAATGGTTTGAATGGCTACAACGGGCAAGCATCATGATTAAATAACTTAAAAAGACAACCATGGATTTTACAAGTATGAAAATAGCTTACCCTTTGTGGCTTGACCCGTGTTGATTAACAATGCAAGCCAAACTTCATTGAAAACGTCTAGCTGTTCATCAGATGCTCCTATGACCTGGAACCAGGAAGTTCCATGAGCACATGAAAAAGAAACTAAACCCCACATGGCACATGATCAAATCTCCACTAAAGTACCTTAAAGTTCATGACATCAAATTCAAGTCCAAGCAATTTCAGGGCCTTTTCATTCTCACCCTTCCCATACTCGTGTAATGCTTCTGCAAGCTATAGCAGAAGTCACGAATTGTAGGGAAAATAGATTTCACATTTAAAAACCGTGACATTGTTGTGGGACGCAGTTCAAGAACATTAAACTTTTATTAAATGTTATGCACTTCATTAACTGAAGAGTGCCATTTGAGACTAGAAAATGAAAATGTTTGCCAATCATTAGAAAACAATCAAAAACCAAGCACGGCCAAGAATATGGGCAATTGGAACAAACCAGCATCCCTTGTTGCATCAGCCGTCGCTTCTTGTCAGGCATCAGAGACAGTCTGCAGCAGAAAGTAATGTCATACAAGATACAGTTGACAGGCAAATTGCAGACACCCCAGGAAGAAAACCTTAACCTTGATCTCAATCCTGAAAGAAGATCTTCTGCTCTTGAAATTTCTCCAGCATAGGTCAATGTCCACACTATCAACACATCAAGGTGCCACTCCAGGTACCAGACACTCTTCGGTTGGAGAATACCGGAAAGAAACCAGTAATCATCTCTTCACATTTATATTCAATTTGGGAGCGAAGTTGATGAATGTAAAAGATCTTAAATATACAAACAAAAGGATAGAAACAAATAATATAACATGTGAAGATCATTTCAAATATTCTTAAACTAAACAGATACACTCTACTTGGATAGGTTTTATAAAAAAATCTGGACAGCATCTCAATGCCTGTTGATGCTGTAACTTCATTGTTGTTAAAAAAGCAGGTCCAATACTTCATGAATATTATGCACTTAATGAGGCAACTTCCTAATTAGGTCTTTCAAAAAAACAGTGGAATAAGTTTGTTCCTCACTTGATCTTGCAGACAGTTTGCTAAGATGCTGAGACAATCCTCAAAGACTTTAATTTGGCCTCTTACGTAAATGCGTAGTAATAGTCCCAATGCATTCAGGTAGACCTGCATGGATAGAGACAATTTCAGATCTGTACACCTCGAAGGGGATGAGAGAAGAATGCAGACTTCACCTCCGCAGGCGTAGCATCACTTCTTTCCAATTCCTTCCATACATGTGTGTCATAGACTTCTCTGACTTTCTCAATAGGAGAATGGCCTTCCAAGTAACAAAGAGCGACATGCCACCAATTGTGAGTGTACCTGGTGATCAATTTTCTTCAGGCATCTAAAGAAGCTTATGAATGTAGGAAAACTACTGACACTTATCACTTACATAAATGACGACAAAAAACTCCACGATGATGAACACTCCTCCATAAATTCAATTGCTTCCTTGAAACGGCATTCATATTGGTATACATGGCATAGCTGCAGCCAAGTTATTATGAAGTTTGTCAAGCCCACACGGAGAAGAAAATAATAGAGTCCTTAAGATTATACTAGGCAAATAGCTACAATAAGAAAAAAATAAGTCTTTACAATGATACGGCACCACAAATAAGCATGAAACTAATAGAATGTCAATATTTTTGAAGGTGAAACCTCATCAGGGTTCAAGTAAAAAGCTTCTTCTCCTTTCTTTTTTTTTTTTTCTTTCAGAACAATGACTAAGGCAACAGAAACATTTAGTCACCAAAGGCTCAAAAGTCAAATGAAAACGATCCATCATGCTAAACAGAAAAATTGTTCACAAGAAGGCTATAGATGCCTGATTCAAGCGTGTGGAAGACACGAAAGTAGTGAGCACATAAGAGATTCTAGTTACCGCATGTTGTGACCAAGCATCTTCTTTGTTGATCTGGATACCCTCTTTGGCTGCTTTTTCTGCATCTAACATTCGACCAAGCTCTAATAACTGAAATGCGAGCATTCCATATATGAAACTTGCTTGTTTATTTAGTGGCAGGACCTAATGATTAAACAACGGATGAAATTATTAGAACAAGAACATCGCTTATAGTTTATTCAGTTCCCCAATCCACATGATCATCAAAAGTTAATGGAGAATCCACTTTTCAACCTGCTCAACAAGTTGCAGAGAGAGATCCGGTCGGCCCATGTAAAAGCACAACACTTGAATCCTCTTAAGAGACAACAGATCTTTTGGGTAATTTTTCAAGTGCTGCAAAACATTGTCATCAAACAAATGCAACATCGAATCTGTGAAGGTGAAATATCATAAACAGCATGATTCCTCGTCAGAACTGTACCTCATCCATCAAACATGAATAATATACTTAGATGTGTGTATCATTTAACAATCAGAAGGCAATTTAATAGGAAACATAACCAAGAAAACAAATGAATGGTCTTCAATAGACTGAAATCAGTTCAGTTCATGGATCAAAGTTTCAAAAAGTACAACAATCAAATTGCTCTCTAAAACAAATTGGGAGAATCAATATTAACCAACACTAGCGGATTAAACTGCCTAAGAGAAGAAAAAGTACCTTAGAATGCATATCAACAGCTAAGTCGTCATCCCTATCAGGATGAATAAAATAGCTAACAACATCAAAAACTGCTTTCTCATATCCGCTGCCATTTTCCTATCCAGTCAAACCAGAGAAAAAGTAATTCAAATTAGAGAAATTAAGGAAATCATCGAAACTCGGAAAACACAACGAAAGGAGCAACAGACCAAATACTTCTTGGAAGCATCAAGGAATTGAGGAGTTCTAGCAGGATCAGAGGAGCAGATAAAACTGGCCGCCAAAATATTGCCCAAAACACAACGAGGGTCTGCTTTTGGAGCTTCAAGAATCACATCCCTCTTTCTCCCATAACCAAGTACCTAAAGTTTCAGCTCAATACTTCAATCCCCAGCTTAACCAATCAAAAATTAAAACCCAAAATGGTGCCAAAATAGTGAAATTTGCAAATTGGAAAAGATGCAAAAGAACCTGATCATAGTAGGAGTTGATAGCGGCAATACAAGCATCGGAAGAAGTCTTCACTTCATAACCCCACTTGTCCAATGTCACACCTTCCATCTCTCTTTTCACTGTGTGAGTGTGTTGTTAAAGTTCCCAGTTTTTTTTTTTTTTTTGGTGTCTGGAATAAGGTTTTTCCAATCCAAGGCCGCGGATTTGGGGTTTTGGATGCAGTTTTTGGTGGGGTAAGAGAAGGGACAAAACACAGGTGAAGTGGCGGGGAAGACTCCAAGAATCGACGATGTGTCTTTGTTTTTTCTTGAACTCCTGGATATTATTATCTATCCATACATTTCCACGTTCCAAGTTGCTATCACTATCTGCTCAAAGGTGATTGAAGACGTGGCAGATGGCTCGATTCCACTGATTTTATCTAATTTCTACCGGCATTAAAACTGCGGTTGAGATCAAATAATGATGTAATAATTGTACCAAAAGATATCATGAGTTGGAAAAGCAGGCTGCATATAGGAGCTATTATTCATTACATCTATCACCAGCAGTTTATCATATTATAATTTCACTTATTGGAGTAAAGCTATGGCCTTTGAAATAGAATAGCATTTCAAAATTGAAAGCTCGAGATTGAAATGATAGTTGATTCAACATGTCCAATAAAATGTGATCGTAGATCAAAGAAAGTACCCGCCTCATTAACGTCACTTTGTAATAAAACTCGTTGCATTACAATACAATACATAACGATGTCGAAAGCTCAGTAATGCCATTTTTATTGTTCTACAATCTACACAAACCCACTGAAGCATCAAATAAATGAGTCACAAAATGGCAATTTTCACTTCGATGCTTGAGAAGCTGCAGCAGCCTTAGCTTGCATCATCTTATTGTGATGGTTAACGAGTTCTTCAGGCTCTGGAAGAGTGCCCTTTACAGCTTTATGCGAGGTGAATCTTTCAGTCCATTCAGCCAAGGCAGGGGCCTTGGTTTTGTCAAGTATTTTGACATTAGCTATTGTTTCAACAGCCCTTAACCAGCCCAAGTGGCAACCAAAAGCCAAGTCCAAGAAGCCCACGTTTTCACCACCGAAAAAGCTCTTTCCTTTACTGCAGGACTTCACAAAAGCATCCTCCAATAATGCCACACCTTCAACCAATTTCTCCAAAAGCTCTCCCCTTGATTCTCCCTCGGAGTATCTAAACTGCCTCAACGCTGGAAACCACTGCATTCAACAAATCACACACCAAATCAAGAATTTTACCATAAAGGTTCAAACTTTTTACTCAACTAAATCTCAAGAAACAGAGCACAAAGAAAACTATCGACTCATCAGAGTGATATAACTCACTAATCAAATTATTTGATTCCTTTCCATATTCAATACCAATCATTCAACACAATTAAAGAAATCTTTAAGTTAGTTTACTATTTGTACGGGCAAAAAAGGAGGTAACTTTACCCCAAATGTATCAAAAAGAGAGATGGGCAATTAAACTTGATTGAAAACACAGGATCAATAAGCTAATTGCTGTAATTGAAAAGGGGTTTTACCTTGTCGTCTATATAAGCAGCCCAGAAGCGGGCGATTGCGCGGTCATACGGATCGGCAGGAAGGATTGAAGGACCATCCGACCAGAGCTCGTCGATGTACTGCACAATCACGAGCGATTCACAGATGGGCTTATCGCCGTGGATGAGAACCGGGATCTTCTTGTGAATCGGGTTCGATTTCAAAAGGAGCTCACTTTTATTAGGCAAATTCTCGGTGATGAACTCATAGTCTAATGACTTGAGGTTGAGGGCGAACTGAACCCGATTCACGAATGGGCTCGCACGCAATCCGAGAAGCTTTAGATCACTCTTCCCCATTGCTAAATTCGCCTTCGATTACAAAATGCAGGGAGAAAAACACGTATAAATGGAGCCTGGCGAAAATAATATATATATATATATATATACGTGTTTTTCAGGAAAGCTGATATGGTGATGGTGTTCAAGTGTAGTTTGGGAACTCAAATTATGGTGCGACAGATTTGATGCTTGCGACAGCGATTACGTATGCAGTGGTAAATTTCTTTGTTGTCATACAAGCCAAAAGAAATTTTTACCAGGAAACTTGTAGAAATGGTAGATGGAGATTATGATTTTTACAGTCTTTATACCCCCATTAGTCCATCAAGATTTAATAAACTAGCTATTAGTCCCCTTACTTTCTACTTTTTTTTGGATACAACGTTATTGCGCTCCAAGTGCCTGCTTGTTCCAACATGTTACAAAAATTACCCGTTTGACCAATAATAATATGTTTGATCAGTTCAAAGGTTCTAGTATTCATGAACATCGAACTCATACCACAATACTACATAAATCTTTAGATCAATAGGCCAACTCGTAGTTATCGTCCTTCAGATTATAGGTAGATAAGCAACAATTTTCATATAACATTTCTCAGAAAAGAAAAAACTATGGAACTAAGCTAGCAATATACTACTGCTAAGTACTAAATGAGAAGAATATGATTTTCTGAGATTAGTTTCAGAACTTCACAACTGCAATGCTTCCAACAATTTTTATTTTTTTTTTCCCTTCTGCAGGCGCTAAAAGCAACGTATATAGATAATGCTAGGTAGGAAAAGTGAGGTGTTCTTCTTATTATATTTTTTGTATCTCACTCACGTAGTTGGAATAGGACTTGGTCGTGAACTTTCATCGATGTGACGTGATCTCTTAGTATTCTAGGCCACTGGCCTCGATTGTACCAAAAAAAAAAAAAAGAAAGAAGCAACGTATACAGCAGTTTCAGGACAAATGCTTTTAAAACTTTAAAAGAACTCTTAAAGAGATAATGGGAGAACATTTTTCTGCTTTGATGGAGGACCCAGGTTACTTAAAAAAGATTGAATTTGTTCCCATCGGAATTCTCAGTTTTATAATACTGAATTCGATTCCTCCAAATGCTCAAAAGAAAGCACTACTTTTACAGGCTGCATCACTTTTTCGTTTGGCTAAGATGATAAGTCGCATACTAAACTACATTGCTACCCCATTTTTTGATTTCTATATTGCATTGGATGGTTGAGCTTTTAATACACTTTTCAGTACAGGCATCATGATTCCGAGGCCATTTGGATCGAACACGACCGGAGATTCTGGTTGCTGGTATTTAACTGAAAAGGAATTACTTATAAAAGAAATCCAAAAGCAGCAGAAAGAACACAAGACACAGCTCTCAATCATAGCCAAGCCATTCACAGTTGATCAATTACATCGAATTTACACCATTGAACAAAGTAAAACAGTATCAAAATAAGTGTTTGGTTGTTTGTCAGAGATTAAACAATTGCCAGCAGAATGAAAAGCCACGCCGTACCGTAAATAAACATCATCCCTGCAACAAAATCAAAATCTTTATGGTGAAAGATGGGAGATTAATTAGTGTGACAAATGAGCTGAAGAATTTAAGTGGTACCTGTCTGCCTGGGAAAAATTCTTGAAGAAATACTCCAAGCAGACCCAAAGAAGCAATCAGATGAAGTGTTAACTCCATTAGGACAATAGCATACATAAGAATTATAAGGTCCACTATATCCACAAATTCCATTGCTCTTCTCACAATGAGCGCACATTTCTGGGTAGTCATTATCAAAACTGAATTTGTACTTGATAGCCACCCCATAACTCCATGCCCCTGGATTGAATTCCTGACCATTGAATCCATACAGTCCCGAATACGAACTGCACTGAAGTTTCTCCAAATCCATCTCAAACGAGGGCCCAAGATCAACAGGCGTATAGACACAGCAACTCGAACCCGGGACAACGTTTACCCTGCTGCTTATGGCCTGGCAGGAGTACAGCGTTTTACAAACATCAGCACCTTGAGCATCACACAGTGGAAAATGGTTGGAAACGTTCGCATCAACCATGGATTTGTAGATTGGCGAAGAAGACGACGAGCAATCCAGGAGGGCGAACACGGTGTCATCATGGAAGCTGAAGGGAGCATTCCAGTCAAGGCTGAAGCCTTTACTTGGTTGTGAGCAAAAACAGGTTGACATGGAAGGATCACTGATGAACATTATCTGCTTATTGTAATCAATTGAAGTTATGGGGTAGCAACCTGAGTGGGTTGAGAAGGTTAACTGTTGCTGATTGTTACAAGTTACATAGGACTGGAAACGGATATCACCACATCCAGGGCCTGTCCCGAATGGATACTTCACCGGAACACTGCCGCAGTTCTTTTGGCAAGTTTGTGGTTTGACAGAGGGAGCTAGACAGATTATCGGCACAAAGAATGTGACAACAAATCTATCGAAATTCATTTCGATCGATTACCAGAAAACAAGCACAAGCACTAGTGGAAAAGAACTCACGGAGGGGTGGGACTAGGAAGAAAAGAGGCAGGGGAGTGAAGAAATGTAATGTGAGGGGAATATTTATAGTGGAAGGGAAAAGGGCGTCTTTAATTAGTGCATAAAGAACCGGTTCTTGGTAGCTTTGGACCATACTTAATGCTGAAAACTGAATTACATGCTTCTCGCCAACATAAAAACAGAACTGATTCTCTGATTTTTCTTTGATTAGAGGATTCAAGATTTGTTGGATGCAGCCAGAATCTCTATATTAATTTGGTTTCAGCATAATTTCTGAGCCCCAGAGGATACCAAAAATTGTAGTGCCCCAAATACCAGGATCACTAAAGTTAAGAGGGAGGAATGGAGTAAACAAATTTCATCTCCTAGGCTTTCCTGTTCCATCACAATAATCTTGGTCTAGATATGGTTTGTATCGCATAAACAAGAGATGAGGGAATATAAGTATATGAAGAGCACCATGTTCCATAATTTATGTGAGCAAACTCAATATGCTAAAGTTACCATATTGGATACATAAGTTTCTGCTAAATACAGATTAAGCAGTGAAACACACGGAGTTTGTAGGACAAGAACATCCAGTTTCATGATTGATCTTTGGCAATGACATCCGACACGACTGCAGCAAAGGACATGACAAGTAACCGTCTTTGTTCCACTAGTTTCTTGAAATAACTCTTCCTCTGGTAGAAATTCCACCATCTGACTGTTGAGCACTCCTGGAGAAGGTCTTCAGCTTGTTTGAAACTCTCGAGAAAAAAAACCTTTTGCTTCTGCAATTCTTCATCAGAGATCTTTTCTGTAGTATCGACATAAGGCTTCAACGTGAACATTGTGCTATCCAAACTTCTGACAGCGTCATTGAATGATGTTGCCTTCAGAGTCTCAAGGGATGCAATGATAGTTTTTTATGTGAAGTAATGTAATGTCAGGGTTTTTCGTGACAAATGCTTCCATGGCCGATTGATAGAAGAAAAAAGAAAATTTTGGGGAATAAGTTCAGACAGCAAAATATGGCAGAATTTTTTTCTTGAAACAAACAATTGTCCTGACTATAGACGGAAGTTGGCAGCGACTATGTAGTCTCTCTATTTAAAAGAAGCAAAAGTTTCGAGGTTTGGCGCGTAAAACTGACTCTGAATCGGTGAATCTTCCTGATTTTATTAATCATTGGATTCGGTTATCCAATATCGTTTAGGAGAAGAAGAATGTTACTTTGAAGGAACTTATCTAGTGTATTGATAAGACCAAACAAAAATTCTGCAGAAACAAAATCATAAGAGCGAAACGCAAGAGAGACAAAGAGACTGAATCGCAGAAACAACTTACTCAAGTTGGTTCGGGTTTATGTACAATACCGCTTCATAGTCTACAACACAGGGCCTGAAATGACAAAAACTATTCTCAAGCAGTCTACTAACCCAACCATCTTAACATTCGGAGGATGTAAAGACTGATGAGATTAGGCCCAGATGAAATTGATGTAACCTAGATTAATCAGGATGTCAATAGCAACCCCCTTCTGATAATCAACTGAAATGATATATGTACAAGCTACGATGCTTTCCTTCGGTGGACCGAAATCATCTTACGCTTATCATAATCATTATCATCTCATGTTGCAACATTGAGGTTTCCCTTTAATTTGTAATTTATTCCACAAGCAAATCATCTGCCTTGGAGATTGGTAATGCGCCGTATAATAGTCCTCAATGCAGCCAAATTGGCAAAACTTCAAGCTGTGCACATACTCAACTCGTTTTGAGCTATTAAACTGTTCCACCCACATTCCCATGCTCACATCTTCCATCTTGAAAAGCTGCATGCAAAACAGAGTGCATATGTTAATCGGCAGAAAGACAGATACCGGAAGCATGATAGGGAATTCGGAAAATTGAGATACTACAACTTACTCTCAACTTATGTTTCTCAAAATCTAGAGCAATAGAGTTTGCAATATCAGCTGACATCACATAACCAGGCCCGTTTGCATAAGGAGGATACTCTTCTTCTGGCCACTCCTGCAGTGCCAAAGGAAACAGGAAACCAAACAGGTAAAGATCACCCACTACTTGATGATTCAAGATTCAGGATTTAAATATAGCAGTGATAACAGTATGCCATATACTACAAAGGTTGAAATGAAAAGATGAATTTCTGACTGAGGCGAAAACTACTCTTCCTAGACGTACACCGGTTTTCAGCAAATGAAAGAAAAGCCAATCCTATGTATGGCAGTTCAAAGGTGAAAAGAAAGAAAGAAGTGGAGAAGAAAATATGGGAGAAAGTTTTAAGAGACTGTAGTTGGTTTCACATAAGACTATAGATGATAGAAAATCAGAGCTTCTTACATAGAAAGTGAACAAGGAGCAGAGAAAAGAAAGTGTCCCTTATTTGGTTGACTAAATATGTTAGCATAGTTAAGCCAAAGGAATAAAGATTATACCTCATATGTTACAGCCCATTTTCCATGTCGCAGGGGTCTGTGGTAGTAATTGATGTTTCCAATGTATAGACTTCTACCACTAGGAACTTTTTTCACTTCTTTCATGACAGCATCCACTCTTACAAAAGTGTCATCATCACATTTCATAATGTACTTTGCAGCAACAGTGCGAATCTGTTTACACATCAAATGCATAATGCTGTCATATCTTTTCAGTAAAGTGCCTAAAACTGAAATGTGAAAACCTTAAAACCGGTCAACTCAAAAAATTGCAACGTTTCGAGCTTACCCCGTATTCACAAATAGCAATGGTCTTTAATACAACTAGATCATAGTGATCCATGTAAGGCACTATAATAATGTCACGAAAATAATCTACTTCTTTCATCAGCTCCACATTTACTTCCTGTCTTCGATGCTGCAAAATTTAAAGTCACAGTTACTAGTGTTGAATAATATGCAAACAAAATAGCAATTCCATCAATAAAGTGGATAAGCTTGAATTATCTTTACCATTGCGACAAAAAAACGAGCGACATATTTGGACGATTTGATTGATGGATGTTGCATCCATGATTTCCTCACTGCCATCCGCTCAGAAAAATGGTTGCCAGCAGAAAGGATGCCAATAAAGAGCTCCACAGGTCCATCGGGAAGAGGTGGAGCCTGCCATTTACTTTCCATCTCCAGATGCTGTTGTGAGGCGAAACTTGGATGTGCAGTGGGTAATGATGCAGCAATCACTGAATGAACATCAACATCTCCATTCACATATAGTCCGGTAGCGTCTTCCAGAGTGAAACCCTGCCAAATGAGATTTGGTTAGCCAAATGCGCTCTTAGCAGTTCACCACCAAAGAGAATAAATAACAGTACTTACAGGTCGATAAGGGAAAGAGGTGATATGCCTCCCATCCACGTAAGTATGATAGCCTTCCAAACCAGCACTGAGAGTAAGGACAAACAACTTGTCCTCAGCAAAAGGGTACGGCCAATCAACTGTGACCTTCTTTGTCTTACCAATAAGCCTCTTTAACCACCAAGTGGCCTTGGATTCTTCGGAGTGATCGTCATCATCTCGGATCCACTTCTCACATTTGACCTGTCCATCAACTTCAAACAAGCCAAAGTTCAGAAACAAGCATAGCTTCTCTAACCAGCCTCACAAATGTGAAACTTGAATCTAAAGCAGGAAACATACACAACATGCCCAATCCCAAATGTAACATATAAAACCTGAGCAACAACATTTTGGAGTAACTTCTCCACATCTTTTCTCCGATACAGGCAATACTTAACTTTATTTAATTTATAATGGCCTACCAGAGAACAATATGTTCCATGTGCTGAGAAGATTTTATGCCAAATGTCCAAATTCAAAAATCAAACTACAACGACATAAGAGCTCATCACCCATCAAATCCCATTGAAGATATAACTAACACAGCTCTGTTATACCCCCATATGCAATCAGTACCATATATCACATTAACAGAAAGAGTATCATCAGAGTTCAGAAACAGCAAGCAGCCATACATTCACTCGTTTTAAATCAGAAGATACCACATAAATTAGAAAAAAAAAATAAAATTCTAAAATATAGTATTCCAATTTGCAGCAAATATATCAAAGTTCCTTACTAGTTTCATCCTCAGCTTTGGACTTCCATCCTTCACACCTCAGGGCTGATCCCCATTGCATCCTATAACACGTGTTCTGCTCGATCACGGGCTTCCCACTCCAATCCCCTTTTATCCTCGGATTAAAATGCAGAATCTTGGGAGGGTCCTCCCCATCCACAACCTTCAATCCTTGCAATTCCATCATAAACTGTGACACCATCACGGTCTCGCCAGGCTCCTTCAACAATGCTATCTTGGGATCCTTCTCCCAGTGGGCCCATTTTGGTTTTGCCACCACTGTTATGTGGGACCCCAATGTCAATCCACAAGGTATAACCATTAATTTCCCCTGTTTCATGAACTCCTCTGCTGTCAAAGACACAGAACTGGGGCACGACTCGTTGGCGTTTCGGCTCACATTTTCCAAATCAACCTTAACATTCCCCGACTCAATTTCTTCCAAAAACTTCTTCCCAGAAAGAAAAGCATCCCTTACCGCTCTATGCAACTCCGAGAACTCATCGTTACCAACACTGTCAAACGCAGCTTCGTCAAAAGTAAGGCCGGAAACTTGTTTATACTCCCCCATTTTCCTCTCCGGCATAGGCAACTGGGAGGCTTCTTTCACGGAATATCCATGGGCGTCAGGGGTTCTAATAGGCAGAGTATAAATAGAGATAGTGGGGTCATCCTCTGAGGATTCGAAACCTAACCCATTACGCAGAACTAAAGGAATTTCAAGGCTCATTATGAGAAGATAAAGAAACAAGAACCCCATCAGGATTTGAATCGATCTGATTCGACTCACTGAGAGCAGCGAGTCGAACTTAGACCTCTTCATCTGTAATAATCTCTTAACTCCCCACACACAAGAAATGTGGGAAGAATGAATCTTTTTGAATTGGGTTTTGAGGGGTCGGATCGGATTTAAAGGAACCAGATCAAAAAAAAGGTGGTTCCTTTAATAAAAGAAAAAACAAACTATTCTGAAAAAAAGCGAAATGCAATATGAACCCTAGATTACCCAGGAAAGCAAAGAGACAATGAAACAAAGAAGTTGGTTAGTTCATCAACTCAGCTAAGATGAGAAGTATTTTCAGAATTCAATATGTGTGAAATGCATGTTCAAACACAAAGATTGAGTGTAAGAAAGATTTGGGTTTTTTTTTTTCTTTTTCTTCTGTTAAGTATATATGGACAGAAGGGATCAAAGGGGGACTAATAACTCCAAAAATTGGTAATTAACGAAATCGATAATAAACGCAAGTGATCACCACTATCACTTTACACTCTAAAAAACAAATTGACAAATCTGAGCGGTCACAAACCCACGCAATCTGACAAATCCACTAAAATCTAACTTTAACGGGAAGCATACGACAGCGTTTTCTTAATGAATTAGGACTCAAACATGTTTTCTGATGAAACATGCGCTTTTGGGTGGTCAATTTGTCAAATTTCAGTTTTTTTTTTTAGTACTATATATATGTGGCATCCTTTATTAATTACCACCATTTGCATTCTGACTTCCAAATGTTAAAAATCTGTGCCATTTTGGAAATTTTTTTTTTCTTTTGGTGATAAGTTAATTACGTTTTCAACAACTTTAGTTTTCTTCCCAAATCAGGGAGTCAAAGGTTTCAGTTTTTTTTTTTTTTGAATTTTTTTTTTAACTTATCAGAAAGTCAAAGGTTTTTTAGGCAAATTGCTACCTGTTAAGTTTAAGTTACATTTGTTTTTTCCTTTAAACATTAAACTTACAATTGGAATCACAAGAAGTTTGACTTTTCAAAGTGATTATGGTAATTGATGCTCACAATTTGGCACGCTCTCTTAAAAAAGCAAGTAGGACTAAAACTAAAATAAATTTAACTGATATGACATATGACATCTTGTTTCATTTATAGGTTCAACTCTACAAGATATCTTACAATTGTAATACAGTTTAATGTAACAATATTCAATATCTTTCAAACTTTGGAATGTAATGACACTACAAATTTTTACTTCTGAATAATAAGAAAATATTTCAACTTTTTTCTTTGAACAATCATATCTAAGTGGCACTCTGACTTTGGATATGTGAATTTTACAATATTTGAATTATCTTTTAGTGATAAAAGTAAGGTCGATGAACCAACAAACGGAAAAATGTTTTTTTTTTTTACCATCATTATGCAGTCAAAATCTTTTGGGGCTTATTGTTTTTAAGATAATTCTGCTCATTCATTCCTTACCCTTCTAAGATTGCAATTGCAAGTCAAACTCTTGTTAACTTTTTCCTTCTTTGGAAGAGTATATTTATTTTATATTTTTGGTCACAATCACCCAACTTAATCACGATGTGAAAAACAAAAGTTAAAAATAATAAGCTAAACGAAGTGAAGAAACTACAGTAAGTAAAAATTTGGGGTATATTAATCCAAAAAAAAAAAAAAAGAAGTAGACCAATTAATTGGCTTCGCTAATTCCAGAGCCATTCCTTGTATTTGTCAAAAGATTCTTGATGCGGTTTACTTTCACCAATTCAAGAAGCTACCACAATTAGAAGTCATTCCATACACAACCAAAGCCCCCTCTCAATAATATAAACGCAGCCATTGAAGTAAAAAGAACTACCATCAAACGTAGTATTTTCGCACAAGTGAAAAATAAATATAGTTGTAGTTTATAGGACTCATGTTTTGAACTAACTTGACGATGAAAACTAAATTGAATCTAATTCTGGAGGGTTCGCGCTCCTCTGGAATATAATCAACTTTGACTTCTAATCGCGGAGTGTTCAAGAATTTTTCTTTTTATATTTTTTCGAAAGCCTCGAACATATTGCATTGAAGACAAACTATACGTACTAAAGTAAAACTTTTGATGACAAACACTTGCTACCTACAAAGATATTCGATACAAAACACAATGAATTTATTGATATATATTGTGAATAACCTTTGAGAGAGATTTTTTTTTTTTTTTTTTTTTGAAAAATACATGTTTATTAAGAGCTTTGTACATGTTACATTTTACAGTCAATCACTCATTTTGTGTTCGAAATAGTTGCATTACTATTATCTCCATAGCCATTGCCAAATATATATCAGGATGCTCTTCTTAGCTTCTAGTTCCTAAAATTTGTTGAGATTCTTGTTTGCTTTTCTGATATAGATCTCCATCTTTACGTCTAACCCCAAGTCCATATAAGAGAACATCGTATAAAAATTAAACGAGGCACATTAACTCAAGAAGATACCAGTAGTTTACCCTTATTAGCTGGTCCGACACCTAGTTCATTCACTAAGAGGGAACCAAATCAGGCAGTCCAGTGTGTTATCATTAATTATTAATTATTATGATGGTAAATTTAATCTGTATGAAATCTTAGTGTGTATATTATGATAAATTAATTATTCAGTGTATTTCGTTGTACCAAGTTAACATATACTACAACTTATAGTTTTGGGGATAGTTCATAATTTTATGGGGAGTTAATTAAAATTAAGGGGGGAGAGGGGGGGCAAAAAGATTTTATTATTTATTTTTATTATGATTTTTTGATGTGCTAAAAAAATAATATAACATAATTTTTCAAAGGGAGGTGATTATGACAAAATAAAATTTAGCATTTAGAGCAAAATTTGAGTGAGAAGACATAATTGCCCATGATAAAAATACAACATTTTTTATCATCTTCTATTCTTCTTCACCTCTTGCTTCCGCTCCTCAAACCCACATAGTTTCGCCGCCGCCACAATGGTAAAGAAAAAGCAAAAAGTTTGAATAATTGTCTTACGCCCTTATTCATCTCTTCTTCTTCTTCTTTTAAATTTTTTTTTTATCAAAACTCTTATTTATTTCTTGAGTTCTCTCGCCTGCCTCATAGAGAGCCCTGTATTTTTATTCCCCATTCCAAAAAGTGAAAAACTTTGTTTTTTCCCTCTCGGTATTACATGTTTCAATCCTTTCAATATTATATTTTCTCTTTTGCAAAATTTGAGAATATTTTGACAAAATTAACGGCTCTCTTTGTCTCTTTGTGCAACAATGCGCATATAAAACTGGACTTTCTTTATAATTGGTTGCGAATAACATATCAATCCCAATTTTTCACGTTAATGGATATTAATTCAACCGATTCAGGCTGATTTGTCTAAAGAATTGGATGAATTTTCCTATAACAATCATATGTAAAAGTGAAATGAACTGATATTCATTGCCAAAAAGAAAAGGAGGGGGCCTCTGGTTTGAGGAGGGGCTGCCAAAACAGTAAAATATGGTCATAAAGGTATTATCACTTTTTTTTTAGAGATAGTTGTGTCTTTTTACACCAAAATTATTTTGGATGCTAAAAGTTATTTTAGCATAATCACCGGCATTTTTCAAATATAGTATATAATTAATTATTGGCCGACCTAACATGAGCTTCCTAGTTCCTAGTTCACACCCACTTTTATTAACTCTCTGAATCACTTATAGATTTTCGGTGGGTTTGTCTTAATTGCACTTTCAATGTGTAAAGTTTTGTTGCCGTAAGAGATACTCCATTTTTTTCCCCCAATAAAGGTATTAAATTAAAATAACTTGTGAAAACAATTCATCATATCCGATCTCTTTATTTGTAGTTTTATCATTTCATGTATTATTCCATCTTGTTTGGTTAATCTTGTGGACTTTACCATTATGTACCTTTATTTGCGGTAGTAAAATCGGAAATGTTATTCAAACTTCATTCTGATTAAATGAAAAGCATTACGTATATGGAGCGGGAATACATGAAAGAAAATACTATAATGCGCAGATTGGAGCAAGTAGACAAGTAGTATTAGGACCCTTATTTTGTCAGTACTTTCTATATAGACATAAATTATACTTTTATTACTACTAATTATTGTGTCAGGTTACATATATTCATAGAGTTGTTTGAAATATTTACTCTAAATATATTGGATGATGTTCAAATCTTATTGGCACAATCTAATTTAAAATTAAAAAAAATAGAAATAATGTTGTACTTCCTCCGTCCCATAATTATTGTCCAATTTTACTAAAATGAAAGATTTTATTTTTAGTCAAACTTAACTATATTTTACCTTGAACAACCAGATATACCCCTACATAAGTGATTGTTTAACCACAAAGATTTTATGGATAATGTTTTTTACTAAGAACAAATGTGTAACTTGATCCGTAAAAAGTCAAATTGGACAATAATTTTGGGACAAAATCTTTTGTGCAAAGTGGACAATAATTATGGGACGGAGGGACTATAACGTTATATCACGAATCCTACATGGTATGGCGCGGTAGGTTAATTTATTGTAGAGATCATCGAATCAATGTTAGTTCCAAACTTGTACTAATTATTCTACTTTAATTAATTACTTCCATGACAGTAACAGTTAATCTATCAGACCAGTACAGTCAGCAAAAAATTTTATGATTTATCTATGATATGTACTGGAGGACCGGATCGATGGAATAGTGCCAATAGCTGTCGTTACATTTTCACATTTGAGTCATTTGACTTTTTCCTCTGGGACGCAGCTTGCTAAGACAGAAAATTAATAAATTAATTATACCGTGAAGATTACAATTGACATGCAAAAGAATATAATGAATCTAGGAAAGGAAAAGGAGATTTGATATTAAAATGGCGATCCATCCTAAGAAGCATAAATGTAAATTGATAGCAAGTATATGCATCTCCAAATTAATAAATTCCTTATATTTTTGTAACAAGCAAGGCCAATTAAGTTTAAGCTATTCGGTTCAATTTTTTTTTTTAATTTTTGGTTAAAAATAGAAGAACCACCTAAAGATAATTAACCATCGTATTTGAGGGGCTAGTGAGCCTTGCCATTTTTATTTTTATTTTTTAATTGTGAAGGTTAGAATGGTAGCGGGAGTTTTGATAATTAAAGATGACCGTGAATTATATTAGTCTCTTTGTAAATATGTGTCAACTTAGTGATTAATTTAATTCCTTCTCAAATGATTTTTCTCATACCCCATAGTGGCCTCTGTTCATTAGTCACGATCAGAATTATGCTCCGGTGACCCCCACGCTTTTTTCCTTCCTTGAATTCTCAGCTCAATTTTCTTTTTTTTCGTTGTTCTTGGTTCAAAATACTTGTGTCCTTCACCAAATAATCTACGAGTTTCTTCTTATACTTTGTCATCTTCCCTATCCGTAACATCTATATATTACCCATTTTCGAAAGTAAGTTGAAATTCAAGAAAGAGGTTTCTTCAACATTTCAAGTTGCAACTCTTTCTTCTCATAATAAAATATAAATAAATAAGAGCCATTTTGGTAGCCAAAATGATGACATCAACATTTCCAACCGTCGATAAATGTGCATCAATCGGTCGCGAAAAGGACACGGTGGTGGCGGACATGGACGGAACCTTGCTAAGAGGTCGAAGTTCATTTCCATATTTCGCTTTGATTGCTTTTGAAGTTGGAGGGCTTCTAAGGCTCCTTTTCCTAATCTTGATGGCACCCATCGCCGGACTTCTGTACTATTTCGTATCAGAATCGGCCGGAATTCAAGTCCTCATATTTGCGACATTTGCCGGGGCGCGAGTTTGCGACATTGAGTCGGTGGGTCGGGCTGTTTTGCCCAAGTTTTACTCGACGGATCTCCATTCGGAGGCTTGGAGGGTATTTTCGTCTTGTGGCAAACGTTGTGTTCTTACTGCGAATCCGAGAATAATGGTGGAGGGTTTCTTGAAAGATTTCTTGGGAGCTGATTTGGTGATGGGAACCGAGATTGGGACTTACAAAGGTAGGGCTACTGGACTTGTGAACAAACCTGGTGTTCTTGTTGGGAAGAACAAAGCTGATGCTCTTACCAAGAATTTCAGAGATTGTCAGCCTGAAATCGGATTGGGAGATCGGCATACTGATATTCCTTTCATGACTCTTTGCAAGGTTAGTGTATGCACAGTTGAATTTCTCGTATCACGAAAAAGGAAAAAAAAAACACTTTGTCCATGGAAAAATGGAATAAAAACAACTACGTAAGGAATAATTCCAAAGTTAGGAAGTAAAAGAGGAAAATATTCCTTGTCATTCTATCATGGCCGATGAAAACAATGATGAAGTTCACTAAATCCTATGTTTCTGGTCACCAAAAAGGCACACTACTTCGGAGCCTTGCATGTAAGTTACAACAATTCTTCCATAACTAAGTTCCTAAGAATCCCAAGTCAAGCTGTTAGAACATCACAAATCAACCTTCATCAATCTACTCTAGTTAAAATTTAAATAGTTGCGTCTCAAAATTATTATCCTGTTTAATATATTATTTTTAATACAATTTAAATTAAATCCAAACTGGTCAACAATTTCAGGACTAATGAATACTAATAATTACCATTTTCACGATGTAGATTTTTCTTTTTATCCCGATTGTAATCAAACTGATAGTTCTAATTTTATGATGAAATGCGCAGGAAGGTTACATTGTTCCACCCAAACCAGAAGTGAAGGCCGTAACAAATGACAAACTCCCAAAACCCATAGTATTCCATGACGGCCGATTGGTCCAAAAGCCAACCCCGCTAATGGCATTACTCACCATCCTATGGATTCCCATAGGTTTTCCTCTGGCTTGCCTCCGAATCGCCGCCGGATCCCTCCTCCCAATGCCGCTTGTCTACTACGCTTTTTGGGCCCTCGGCGTCCGCGTCTACGTCAAAGGCACTCCGCCGCCTCCGGTCGACAAAAACACCTCCTCCCAACGCTCCGGCGTCCTCTTCATTTGCTCCCACCGGACTCTCCTCGACCCAATTTTCCTATCCGCCGCCCTCGGCCGCCCCATCCCGGCCGTCACCTACTCCGTTTCCCGGCTTTCGGAGATCATTTCGCCGATCAAGACGGTGAGGTTGTCCAGGGACCGCGCCATGGACGCGTCCATGATAAAGAAGCTGTTACAAGAAGGTGACTTGGCAATATGCCCTGAAGGAACCACGTGTCGGGAACCCTTTTTGCTACGGTTTTCATCGCTTTTCGCGGAATTAACCGACGAATTGGTGCCCGTGGCGATGGAGAATCGGATGAGCATGTTTCATGGTACAACTGCCCGAGGTTGGAAAGGGATGGATCCTTTTTACTTCTTCATGAACCCTAGTCCGGCTTATGAAGTGACCTTCTTGAACAAGTTGCCGGTGGAATTGACTTGCAAATCCGGGAAATCCAGTCACGAAGTGGCCAATTATATTCAGCGGGTGATTGCTTCCACGTTGGCTTATGAATGTACCAGTTTCACTCGGAAAGATAAGTATCGGGCACTTGCTGGAAATGACGGAACTGTTGTGGACAAACCTCGGATCAAAGCCAACAAAATCATGGGATGTTGAATATTGGTGAATTCTTCAACTTTTACTATTGTTGCATTTTTTTTTCCCTTGTATTTTGTATACAAGATAAGCAAAACACTGTGAATGTATTTTCCTTGTTACTTGTTAGCTAGGGGAATAATAATAATAACACTAGCTGGAATTAAATGGGGAATTCACCCCTCAGTAAATGAATATTGTAATTGTATAATTATTAATTGAGTACTTTCAATTCAATTATTCTTCAATGGTGTCGATGGTGAATACGCAATCTCATGATCCATCCTAGCGACTCAACTCCTTAATTCCCAACACCACCTCTGTGCGCACCCAAAAAAATCCTTTGGTTTTCAGAGAAATGCATGTCCAATTCTAAACGACTAGGCTTTGTTTGGCCAACATTCCATTTTGTATTTTGTCTCATTTTACCTCTTAAACACAAAACCCAATAGAAAAGAAAACATCATTCAAATAACTTTCTGATTTACATTTTAAATTCCAACTTGAAACACTTTTTGTTAATATAATGACCATTTTAGAACTACAAATAGTTTAGTGACAAATTTGGCAGGATTCCGTTATTGAGTGATTGTTTTTGAAAAAGTTCTTTTTTGCAGTGACTATAATTGACAGTAATTAATTGTTTAGTGATGGCTTGTACTTGATATTTCAAAATGTAGTTCAAAATACTTTTTTTCAAAACCAACATCCAAACAATATTTTCATTTCCCATTTAATTTTCAATTTGAAATACTTTCTAATTTTAAGTGGCAAAATAAAATGTAAATTGACGTCCAAACAAGCACTAAAACTTTTATGTACAATCAGGGTTATTCCCGCAATAATAATATTTGAAAAGCAAAAGAAACAAAGAAAAAGCAAAAAAGAAAAAAGAAAGAGTTCCAACTTCCAATCACAATTTGCTATAACCTTTCAAGGATGTTCCAGCCCAACTATAAATATTATATCAGCGTCAATAATAGAAAGCCCAACACAAAACAGTGAAAGCTTTTGCAGTTTTCCCGATCACTCACAATTTACTATGATTATCCAACGAAAGGGTAAACGGATCAATTGGGTACTCTTCAGTCCAACCAATTATTCATCAGAGCCCAACCAATTAGGTTCTAGTCCACGATCACTTTGTTTATTTAAACCCATTCTCGTAAGTTTTTATTCTATCAAGTGAAGTAAGATTGTTTTCTCGTACCAACACCAGCTTAGCCAAAGTGGTAAGGTGCTTTCGTTCTTTTAAGCAAGTTCTCAGGTTCGAGTCTCGTGAATGGATCTCTCTGAAAGGAAACTGACCCGACTCGGTGCAAATTAGTTTGAATGCAATGCACTTAAGACACCGTACGCAGTAGAAAAAAAATTTATTTTCTCACAGACATCCCGTCTACCTCTCTCTGTGGTCCTTAACTATCCATTTAAAAAAGAGAAAAAAAGTCTTGAGTGTTAATTAAACTACTCGAGATGTTTACAAAGCTTAAACAAGGCATTCAACTATTTTTTTCCTGTGAATTTATGTTCCCGTTTGATTAATATAAATGGTTTCATTTCATTCTTTCTAGGCTAAAAAAATTGTCCAAATTGGATTTTTATGTTTGAGTATTAATTGTCTGATTTGTATTTTTTTTTTAGTACAAATTGTACTAAAAATAAAAATTCAAATTAAACTTTGGAAGAGAAATTATAACTTTTGGGACGGAAAGTCCGAGAGAGTATGCAGGAGCCAGTGGCCACTATCCAAGTTGCTTCGAAGGCATCATTTTCCAATGTACCCACTATTCACTTGAAGTCTTTTAAGCTACCCCTTGCCGACCCGGATTGGCAAATTTAAGCGTTGAAAAAACCCTGATTCAATGGGCAGCGACCTTTGCATTTAAGACCTGGTTTTTATATATTTCCGGATAAGAAAACATGGGCACGGACAGAGGTAGCTAGCAGCGAAGAAAAAAAGAGTCAACCCCAGTTATAGTTTAATTGAATTGAAAAAAAAAATGTTTTTAATGGGAAGTCAACCACAAAAATCAAATCCTGTAGTTGTATATGCCATTGAATAGTATTGACCTTCCTTCTGGCAGTTGGCACATGGTGGTATTAATGGATGTCATTTTAATTTAATTGCAAACTTGCAAAGCAACAGAGTAAATGAGGACACAAAAGTACTACTAACAAAACAACCAAACTCTTGTTTCATCACGCATTCCCAACAATTTCCAAAACTCATGCAACACTACCATCATCCTGTGGATAGTGTGGTTGGTTCAACACACTTATTTGGTGTAATTGGCTCGTGGGATGGGAACAAAAAGTCTTGGCTAAATCTTCAATGGCATTGCTGTTTGTAACTAGAGTTTTTTTTTTTTCCCTGCTTGGCTCAGTTTATTTACAAGACACTAACCTTTGTTTCCTAGTTGTTACAAGTTAATTACAACCTTAAAAAAATCAAGCGCATATTGAAGAAATTCAAGTATCAAAATGAGACGAGGAGTTGAATAAACCTGCAATGATAAATGTACATGTAATATGGGTCGATTAGGATTGAGAAATTAGTGAGGGATCAGGATAACAAGTCACTGATTTATGGTTCAAATATAGGCTAGCTTATATATTAATCTTCACAAAAGAAAAGAAACGTAGTACACTTTCGCTTACAATGGATTCAATGTAATTTTGTTTTTTTTTTTCATATCATAAAGTGTCCATTGTCGACAATAGTGAATAATTCGCATCGCTCATGGTAGGCATCTTGAGGGATAGGAAAGTTGGCAAAAAAAATTTAAAGTTGTTCTACGCTCATGGCTGATTAAGAGCGACTGCTCCACAACTCTTTTGGTTATGGATTCAATGTAATTAAATGAATAAATTTGTACTCCAAGGATTCAATGTAATTATGGATTCAACTCCTTTGGTTTTTGTATTATCGTTGTCAATATAAAATTACAAATTTAAGCATTTAAAAGAAGAAGTCAAAAGCTTCAAGGCGCGGAATTGGATGAGAAGAATTGAAATATTGGCAACCCATAGCTTCACAGGCAGATCAAACAGTTCAATGCATTGATTTATTTTTGGGGTTACTTTTTTGCAACCGAGAATAAAGAGAAATTACTCCTTACTATAAAATGTAAAAACAAGGATGAGCAATGATGAATCTAACAGCGAAGCAACCAACCAACACAAAAATTAATGATGAAAGCTGGATACCTCTTCATGGTCCTGCTTCTTCATAAATATTCCCATGATATGAGAGGTTTACCATCATACTTTAATGACACTTGTACAATTGCAAATGAAAATTTCTCAAAATGGAACATGACCTTTGTTATGATGTTACTTCCTCCAATGGAATAGTGGATTGAGATTGAATAAATGTTGAGAGAAGAGATATTCAATGTTGCTGCAAAATTACAGCTGCGATTTCCCTGTTGGAAAGCTTAGGGCATGTGAACCTCTCTGACTCAAACATACCAAACAGCTTTAACATCCTATTAGGTCCACTGCAAATTGACCTTCCTGAGGTATAAACTGTGAAGCATATCCCTATTTCCCTATTCCCTTTTTGTGTCCTTTTTCTTTTTTTTCTTTTCACCTATTTTTAATCTTAACATCATCAAAATTAGGATATAATCATTTCAATTTTGTAAAGTAGAGTTGCAGTGACTTTGTATAACGGCTGATGTCATTAATTACTATGTACTTCAACATGTAACATGGTATCACATCAAGATGATGATATGTGGTTAACATTTTTTTATTTTTTATTTTTTGTTAGGAGCTAAAGGGGCCAAAGGGGCTTCCCAAAATTGTGCAAATGGCAGAAAAGTGATGAAACAAAATGAGTATGCAAATGAGCAGAATGCAGGGAGCCAGGGACAGCTAGCCTTATTGGTTCTGCCTGCCCTGGTTGAAGAAAATGTGTTGTGGCCCTTAAAACAGTTTACATAATGGTTTCTTATGTTGGGATTGAAATTTAATGATGGCCTACCAACAACATTACACGGAAATTATTAAAGTTCAACGTTCCAACCGTTGTCTTAAAGTGGATAGGAGTAGTAGTAGATTCCTATGCTTGACTAATTTCACTCTAATCAATTGACATTCATCATTATTGCGTTATCACTTGAACTACTTTATGCAATCTGAGTTTGAAGTTTGAACCATACAACTCCGGGAAGGCAAAATCTAATCTAGCGCCAAACACCTCCTAAAAAATAGTCCACATTATTTATTTTTTTATAAATTGTAGTAAAAACAATAAAATCAACAAATTATAATGTGAACTATTTTCTAAGACGAATGAATTATTAGAGTAACATAGCCCGTTGATTGTTCGGAAGTTATATCGACAAAAAATAAAATAAAAATTCATTGTGCAAACATCCCTGAATCAAAGAATGGAACGTTGGTCATCTTTTCACATTAGCATTGTTGACTGCATTAGTCAAAGGATCGGTGAACAATAATTTCTTCAAACCTCAAAGGAAGATTTGCAATTTTTCCAAACATTTGGGGAGGTAATATGGTAAGTATTGATGATTATTTTTAACTCTATCCTAGTATTCCTTAGGTAAGCCACAAAGAGTTTTGCTCTGCCTCTGGCATTCATCAAAAATTCATTATCCATCTAGTAGTAACAGTTTTGCCAGTTTTAAACTCTAAATCCAAGGCCAACAACGTTTCAATCAAAATCTCATAATATCAATCACCGATTCTGAAAGAAGCTGCATTGTCGTTGCTATTACTTCAAATGAAATAAGAGGTGAAGAAGAGTAGTCTCCGAGAAGAAGAAGAAGAAGAAGAATTCATTGGCATAAAAATATTAGGCCAGAAGTAATAATGGATTAATAGAAACAGAACATGATCAGCTCTCAATAGAGAAAACAAATTGTTTTCACATCAAACAGTGAAAAGAAGTTAGTAACATCTAACCAAATAATATCTATGATCAAAGAGACTCCATTCTACAGATACTAAAGCAGAAATGAAAATCTGCAGTCAGGCAAAGTGCCACTATTTTTGTGTTCATCGGTAAGACTTGAGAATGGCACCACAGAATGTACAAATGATAGCCCTCCAAGTCTTCCAGTAAAAGGGTACAGCGCAGAATCTGGTGGCGGTCTTCATGTCGGCCACACTAGCTCCTCCGCCACACCTTGAGCATATTCCGGCTGCCGGTTTGCTCCTCCTCACCTTTTTTGTTTGATCGACTAGGAAACAGAAGCAAACCATTTTCTTCTTTTTATGTTTTGAGAGATTTATCAGAGGCAAAAATGTGTTTGGTGGTGTTATGAAGTTTGTTGATGGTTGTAGTGAGAAAAAGTGGTGGACTCCGTGTGTGTATTTATAGGCCAATTAAGGGATGGGCTGTATTAAACTGTTAGTAGTTGACTTGCAGTTTGGATGATCCAACTTCTCTCTTTTATTTCTTTTTCTTTTCTATTTTTTTTTTCCAAATTATGTTGAGTTTCTAGGTTTGATGGGCAGAATTTTTAAAGAATAAAAAGACAATTTTGACGAATTTCTTATTTATTTCACTGGCCAGATTTATTGCATTACACTCCCTCCGTCTCAAGCAAGTTTGATATTTTTTCATTTTTAGTATAATTTATACTGAAAAAATCTCAAACTGAATAATAATTTTAGAACAGAGAGTGTACATACGAGTAGTAGTAATATAGTACATAAGTTTGGAAAAAAAGAAAAAAAAACATAACTTTTCTGATTTAAATGAATTACTAACATGGGAATTCAATTTAGATTTTGGTTACTATTGATTAGAACCGTACTAGTACAATTGCTTTCTTAGCTGGGCTGGCCATTTGAATGTTTCAATATCAGCAGCTCATCTGTCACCGAAATTAATTAAAACCATAAATACAAAACGACATCTCCCTAGGAAAATAAAGAGAAAAAAACCAGAAACTGTCTTTGAGGTGATGCTCAGGTAATCTGGGCCGTCCACGTATTCCTGTTTTTCAGAATGCTACTACAATGTAGTTGTGATGGATGAATATTGGTGCTCTCATCAATTCAAAAAACCATTACAGAATGGCCAAATTGCCCATTCACACGTCCGGCAATGCAAATTTGAAATGTGAATGAACTGGAAAATGGGTGGCACCATTTATGCTCACACCTACTGAACCAATTTCTGCTTCAGTGTCATCTTCAGAGAGTAAAAGACACTACACATTTAGTACATTTTCTCAAGAGGCAAAAAGGCCCTCATCTGTAACCATTGCATTCAATACTTTGACGAATAGTCACACCTTTCAACTTCTACAAACTTACAAGTTTTGAGCCAAAACTGGAAAATGACGCAGCTACTTAAGTAGAGAAGATGAGTCTAAATGATTGGTGGGTTAACTAATCATATGGTACTTTTGTACCTAACAAAAAAACCCTAACCATGCATTAAAAAAATCTCGGCTACTATTTCAGCAAACGCGTCTGTCATTGGTAGTGCAATTAAACTTAGTTCTCCCTGCAGCTACATCATTGCTTCCTGTTTCCTCTTTCAATTCACTGTTCTTGTAACAATGAATTTACTCTAATACAAACATGTCCACAGGTGTCCTTTCCCCATGGTCGTCTGCACGGTAAATTCAGAAACAGCTGTCAAGCCTTCAATATTAAAGCAATAATACAAACCGTATCAAGAAACCAGGAAAAAAAAAATCAATGTCTGGAAGCTCGAGATCAACAGAAAAAACACCTAAAACCTTACTCAATGACATGGGGACAAATGGTCTATTTCATCAATGAAGCTACATAATGCAGCCCAACCAAGCAAATCATGAATAACCCCATCTGCGTTCCAACCCTTCAACCCTTGATCCCAAAGGCCAATCATTTCACTTTAAGTATACTTTTCAATTCGGATCTGCTAACTATAGAAAGTTCATGTGTTTGAACCAGTTTTATTCATTATAATCATCTGCTGTTTATGGTCAAACATGTTTCCTAAAGCTACATCTTAACAAAGCAAATGGAAAGATAACATTGTTATTGGTCACTAGTGTTCCCTTCAAGTATCCACATTCTTTATTAATGCCTTATTGTAGTCTATTCAATTTGATAGCACTTTTCATTGAATAATTAAAATAGTGTGCGGCAATAGGTACCTTAGTGAAACGCACACAACAGCAGGGGCCTGATAACATCTTCTGGTGTCTGTGCTATGGTACATACATCTACGCAAATTACAGGAACTTTGGCTAAGAGGTTCATTCCTTGAATCTTTGGTTCTGTCATTGGTGCTATTTGCATCCTCATCAAGCTTACAAATATATACAATATGGTGAAAGATATACCAGCGGCCTCAGCATTATTGGTGATGAAATACTTCAAAAGGAGAGGAAACATAGTAAAGATGCTATGCAACCATCTTCTTTATCCAGATTCCTCAAAAAATTTAGCCACTGTATCACTTTTGAAATGCACCGATGCCCTGTTGGTGAATCAATCAGAGGACCAAAGACCCATTTTCTCCTATTTAAAGTTATTGAACATCCTCCTGTATTTTGCATCACCAGCAGAAATGCAATTCACAAATGCTACATACACCAAAGAGCACACCAAGTATTCAACTTCTATATCACAACAAGCCACGCATTGTTAACTTTTAACACACAGTTGTGAGTGCCTCATCTAATCTTTGCAGATGGAAAGAAAATGGGACATTCTCACTTTCAGAATCTGAGTTCTGATAAGCTTCAAAAGCAAGCCTCATCTCTTGATTTACCATGTCAGCAAGGTCATTCCTATTGGCACTCCTATAGGCATCGACAATTGCCATGTACAATGACTCATTTGGATCAATATCGCCAAGTTTTAGTTGACCATAGATACGCTTGATACCTTCGATCATGCCAGTTTTACCATAGCAACTTACAAGGTGAATGAGGGTGACAATGTCAGGTTCCACTCCTTCATCTTGCATTCTCATAAAGATATTCAATGCATCATCACTTCTCCCTGAGGCCCCATAAGCATATATAGCTGCATTGTAGGCAAATAAACCAAGGCCCATCTCAGCTTTTAAGAAGATCTCACAGGATTCAAGAGCATATTCATGTAATCCCACAACAGAGAAAACAGAGGTTATCACAGCTTGTCTAGCAAAAGGTTTTCCTTCCTGATAAGATGATTCAAGCTGTCTTACAGCTTCAGTTGGAAGCTCCCCCTTCTTTAGCACAGTAAATAATACTCTAAAGGTTCCAATATCAGGCAAAAGCTTTTGTTCAACCATGTCATGTAAAAGTTCTCCACAAGCAACTAGTTGGCCGCTTGTGGCATAACATGCCATCACCTTATTAAAGGCAACACAATCCCTCAATAAACCAGATGATTTCATCTCCTCAGCCACAGCTATGGCTTCATCAAGCATTCCCATGTTCTTGTACACATACATCATGGTCGCAAATGTAACTCCATCAGCCCAGCCTCTTTCTTTCAAATGATCAAATATCAATCGTGCTTCAGAAACCATCCCCAGTTCCGCATACAGATTGAGCATACTGTTGGATGCCACTATGTCCGGACCACCATCCAAATGTTTCATCTTCTCATACAATTGCTTTGCTCCTTCAGCATATCCAGCTTTACCATAAGCCTTAATCAAAGAAGTTAAAACTATCTGATTAACTGGAATTCCCGATTCTTTCATTTCCTGGAAATACCCAACAGCTTCTTCGAAATTTCCAGCTTCTGCACACCCATCTATTAAAGACCCAAAAACAACTTCATTTGGTTTTATGCCTAATTTTGACATTTCCTGGAAGACACTGACTGCTTCAGAAAGTCTGCCACTTTGCGCATAATTTGCGACTACAGAAGAAAAAGTTAGACATGACGGTTTAAAACCTGCTTCTAGCATTTCGGCTATCAAGTCCCTAGCTTGGTCTACCAGCTCGCTCCCAGCAAACATTTGAATAATAGAGTTAAATGTACATTCATCTGGCCATGTACCGTGATTTTTCATTCCTCTAAAGAGTGAAAAAGCTTTATCGTACAGTTTAGCTTTGCCATAGGCCTTGATCAAGACATTGTACTCCACAACTTCCTTCTTCTGTCCAAAGATGTCCATTTTCCTGAGAAAAATGGCTTCAGCTTCAGCCCAAAGTCCTTTTTCTGCATACACGTCCATAACTGCAGCACAAGACCTTGATGACAAAGTATTTCTTAATTGAAACTGCTTCAACAGTAAGTTTGCCTTTTCATTGGATCCCTCATCAACATACATCTTCATAACAAAAGCAAGAGAACGGTCATCAATGTACTTGCGCAGCTTCTCCATTTCTTTAAGGACAGCCTCCACCTCTTGAACCATTTTCCTCTCACATAACGCCTGAAGAACAGCTCTACAGGTCACATCATCAGGAAAAAGACCATCCTCCCTTATCTTCTTATAATACTGAAGAGCAACGTCTATGTTTCCAGCTTCTGCATACAGAGACAAAAGTATGTTGTATGTCTTTGTATCAGGATTGATTCCTTTCTCCTTCATCTTAACAAGCAATTCCTCAGCCTCTGACAAAAAACCATGACTTCCAGAAATGAAGATCATAGTGTTGAAAGTGATTGTATCGAAGGCCACCCCCAACTTCAACATATCAGCAAATACATCTCCAGCTTCTTTCAATCTCCCGGCTTTTCCATACAAATCAATCAAAGTATTATAAGTAGCTGTTAGACGAGGTGTCTGTACAGATATCTCTCCATCTTTTAAACCCCATCCACTAGAAGGGCTATTTCTGCTCCCTGTTCTAAAAAGTTCGGTCAATAGAAAATGTTTCAAACTAACAGGTCCCAAACCCTCCTTAGATTCCATGTCTTCTAATGAGTCCAAATCAAGATCATCCAGATCAATATCTCCAGTGCACCAGTCCTTATAAAACCTAATCCCTCTATCGTATTCCCCTGCATCCTTCAAGACCCTCACCACGGTGTTCATTGTGACCTCATCAGGGAAAATCCCCCTCAATTTCATGTGCTTAATCCATAAAAGAGACTCCTTTACAAGCCCTGATTTCCCATATACATCAACAAGCATCGCATATGTATTATTGGTGGGAAAAACACCCTTCTTGGCCATATCAATCCAACAAAGCCTCAACTCATCCCACCTTTTTGCCTTTCCCAGTGACCTAAGCACAACGTTGTAATGAATTACATTAGGAACATAATCTTTCTGTGATTTCATCCAATCAAATACCCTCAAAACCTTTTCCCAACTTCGCTGCTCTTTAAGAATAACAGTGAGCTCCTTCGGATTGAGCTTCCCATGATTCGATTCAAGAACTTTCTCAACATCGGTTTCACTTTCCAAGGACTTCAAAATAGGAGGCAAAATTCCTCCATACCTTTTTGGCTTTCTACCATTGGCAACACATCTCGTTGGGAAAGGTAGAGTCTTTGAGCTGCACTGTAGCTTAAACCCTGCAAAAACCCTACTTTCTTTAAAACCATGCTTCTGGGTGAGCGGAATTTTTACAGCTAGATAAAGGGTTTGATCAGATAGCAAAGTCGAGTTTAATTTTTGCCATTTTTACCCTAAGCTAGGAAAGAATTGAAGGGCAAGTTAAACCCCAGAAAAACCCCGAAATTAAAAGGAGAATTAGGGATATGAAGCTTACTTGGTTTCAATAAGAAGGGGCTTCGAATTGGATTCTGAAAATGTTCTCCGACTATTGAAAGTTCTCTGCAAGTGTACGACTGAAGCATCGTTTACCTTTTTCTTCCCTCCCAGAAGCGACCCTGTTCTCTGGCAAAAGAGAGAAGCAAGAGATTATGCCCAGACTCAATTATCATTAACGTTTTCCATTAGAAAATCAAAATGGTAAGTAATAAAGTTTGTGAAAGTGGCGCGTGCACTATACGCATGCCTTGTTATTTAAAAAAAAAAAAATCGGAGTCCAAAATATCAAAAGTTAATTTGGCAAATGCACTTACTTTAACTTTTTTTCCTCTCTGGGTGAAAAGTTAATTGGGCAAATGCAAAATAGTACCTTCACTTTTAGTATAATTTGAACTAAAAATTAAAATCTAAACTGTTACAATAATTTTGAGATCGTAAGAATACAAAAGAGCCATCAAAATAACATGTTATTTTTTTCCTTTAAAAAAAAATTACTCAACGGCGAAATCAGCAAGGAATTATACAAACAATTTGTACCAAGAACCAATTTTTTTTTTTTATAAAAAAAGGGGGAAAATGAAAATAAAAAAGAGGAATATGTAAAAGAATCAAAATAGGGAAAAATGATTGGGTGTAAGAAAGAAATTAGCAAATCTTACTATATTAGAAACAAAAACCACACTTAAGAGAAAGCACCACCATTCGCCATGTGGCATTTCCACATCATATTTTTAAAATAAATTTTTATTTACACATCTCCTAGGCTTAAAAGGCAAATGCAGTCCAAATCCACCTCTACCTCCTATTTTGACCAAAACTAAAAAAAAAAAAAAAAACCACGAGTTCATAAACAATCCAAATCCTCATCCACATCTCCACGACAATCGACTTCCTAATTAATCCCTTCTTCACAATAAAGAAAAAAAAAACAAATTCCTCATCAATTATCAATTGAGAATATGTGGTGAAATATACTCCTTTCCTATCAGCATGTTCAACCTTTTCATTAGCGATGATCAACTACATCCTAATTGGATAAAATTTCGATTTAAAAAAATATTCTCTTTAACTCTCCATATAAACACAAAGGGAAAAAAAAAATTCCTCATTGATCTTGCTTCGGCCGTTGTGGTGGTGCCATTACAGGTATTAAAATTTAAATAATTTTATTTTCACAGATTATTTGTTTGGCTTTTATTATTTTTTATTTTTCCCGTTTAAGAATAGTGTTATTATTATTTTTTTTACACGTCCATCCATTACAGCTACCGTAGCCGTTGTCAGGTAATATGATGTGATTTCTCATATGGTTAGTTAGCCTAGAATTTTTGTATGATTTTAATCATGTTTCGATTGAATTGATTAATTGGGTTTTTGTTACAAGGTGTGGTTTTTTAAATTTCTTTTTTATGTTTCATTCAATTAGAGTGGTTTTCTTTTTTTAATTATGGAGTCTCAATTTTTTTTTTCGTATATAGTCAGTTATGAAGTGTGTTTTTTCTTTGTTTAATTGCTTTTGATTTTGTTTCATACTCCCAGTTGACCAATTATTATTATTATTATCATTTTATTTTATTTGCAAACGAAACGCGTTTTTTTTTTGTGTTTCGACTTTCAATAATATACTTTTATAGATTTAGTTTTTGGACTTTTTTTAGTTCCTCATCAAATAAATAGTTCAGGTCGCATCTTCTAACTAATTTATGGGGAAGTCTTTTATGAAATTGAGGTAGAGAGTGAAGGAATGATGTTTCTACGTTTATTTGTGTTTTTATACATCATTTTTACCTACAGAAAAAATTTTAATAGCTTTTTTAGAGTGAAGGTGAGTTCATTTAATAGCTTTTTTTGTTTACATATGCAAATTTACATTATTTTCATTCTCATATTTTTGATCAACCAGTTTCAACAATTAACTAGTTTCAAAATCATATTTTTGATATTTTACTACCTATAAACTTTTGGAAGAAATAGTTATAACAATTAAGCGTATACCCTTTGGAGGAATCTTACTACAAAGCTATTATAAATCTCCAAAACTAAGTATTGATATGGCACAATCAATGGAGAACATCAATAAATCATCTTACTAATATTTAAACTTATTAGGATACTTTTATATTTTGTCTATCATTTATTTCAAGACATATATTTGATCAAGTTTATTTATATTTAAGAAGTAACACTTATAAAACATTTCTAAAATCTTCAAACATTTCTAAAACGTACCGGCCCAAATAAAATTTCTTTTTATGCCAAATGCAAACATTTCTATGATCACACTTATAAAAAATTTCTAAATTCTTCAAACATTTCTAAAATATATTTTGCCAAATACAAAATATTTTTTTTTCAGACATTTCTAATATCTACAGATATATTGGGTTAGGGTCGCGCACCAGACATCACTAGTAATAAAAATAAAGGAGGAGCGAGTCGTACGTGCATGATTCAAATATTTGCAACAGAAAAGCAGCATTTCCCCCATTTGAGGTCGTCGTCCTCGCCGCTCTTATCCCATGATCCAAATATGGAATTATTCTTCTAATATTATTTTTTTTTCTCTGTTCTGTTGTTAATGTTTAATGAAGTAAGAGACTGACTGTTAAGAATCAAGAAGTTAATTGCAGAGCTAGAGAGTTGAGGGAAACAATTAAGAGAAAAAAATGGATTTCGGTTCATTATCAAGCGTCGGGGATTCAGTGGATTTTGATCGTGATCTTACACTCAGCGACAAACTCAAATTCTTCAAAGCATCAAATTTCGACCCAGAAGGCTTCGTTACTGCAAGATGCCGCCGAATGGGTGAAAAGGTGATCAACCCCTTTTAAATTTCCTTACTTTGGAATTCATTCTTTCCTTTTTCTTTTTTTTTTTTTTTTTTCTATTCCAAAAAACAGAGAACCGAAGCAAACCCAAAAAAAAAAAAAAAAAAAACAGTCTTTTTGACGTGTCTTCTAATTAGTGCTAATTAGGCTGATGAATTGATTGTTGGGCTATTGGAACACAGGAAATTAGACACTTAACCACTTACCTCATCGATTTGAAGAAGGCTTCTGCTGAAGAAATGCGCAAAAGTGTCTATGCTAACTATGCCGCTTTTATACGGTAATGCATGCGTTAGCCCATCAATACTTGACATTGTTAATAATGCCCGGTACATGTAAATATTCCCGTGAACTAGAAGAATAGCAATCTGATCATGTGAACTCTTTGGAAGTATTCTTACTCAATGATCATGGTAACAATCTGATGATGTTTGCATCTGCAGGACATCAAGGGAGATTTCTGATCTTGAAGGCCAGCTTCTTGCCTTAAGAAATCTACTCTCAAACCGGGCAAATCTTGTTCACGGTTTAGCTGAGGGAATTGGCATCCGCTCTTTAGCAGCCAGTTCTGAAGGTTCTGTTGATGACATTGTTACAGATAAGGTACCTTCAAAAGTTGAAAATTGGTTAGCACAGTTCTTGGAGACCCTTGAAGTCTTATTGGCTGAGAGAAGAGTGGATGAAGCTTTGGCTGCCTTGGAGGAAGGGGAACAAACAGTCGAAGAAGCCAAAAATCGCAAAGGTTTTACGGCTTCAGCAGTGCAATTGCTGCAGGCAGCTATCATGGAACAAAGGAAAAAATTGGCTGATCAACTGGAAGAGGCTGCTTCCCAGTCTTCAATTACTATCGTTGAGCTTCGCTCAGCAGTACAAGCTCTAAAGCGACTTGGCGATGGCCCTCGAGCTCATACTCTATTGCTTAAAACTCATCATGAAAAGTTGCAGAGCAATATACAGAGTCTCAGACCATCAGGGACTTTGCATGGTGTAGCATATACTGCTGCGCTTTCTCAGCTCACATTTTCAACCGTTGCCCAAGCATCAAGTGATTCCTTAGCCATATTTAACGAAGAGCCTGCATATGTATCTGAACTTGTGACTTGGGCTGTTAAGCAAACTGAGAACTTTGCTCTTCTCATTAAGAGACATGTCTTGGATCTACCATCTGCTTCAGGTGGTCTTAGACCTGTTGCTGAGTCTGTTCAAATATGCTTTGGGCATTGCTCCTTACTTGAAGCTCGTGGATTGGCTCTTTCTCCTGTTCTTTTGAAATTTTTCAGGCCTTGTGTTGAGCTGGCACTGAATGCCAACCTTAAAAGAATTGAGCAATGCACTGCTGCGCTTGTTGCTGCAGATGATTGGTCACTCACTTATCAGCCTGTTGGTGCACGCTCTTTAAGTACTACATCTCTTAGCAGCGCTATATCATCCCAACCGAGGCTCTCAAACAGTGCTCACAAATTTAGTACAATGGTTCAGGTACACCTTTGACACTTTGAATTGGCAAACCAAAGTATTTCCTCATATAAAAAGCATTTTAGCAAAACTAGTTGCTTGCATTGATTTTAGTAACCTTAATTCACATTTGTGTAATGAATGTTTTGGTGTATTTCTTCTCTTTTATATCAAAATTTAACCTCAGAATCTGGAATACCACTATTCTCATTTTTCAAACTGATTTTTCGGTTGTGCATTGAAAAGTAGAGCGCACATTGTTTCATTGTTTTGTTTTTCTGAAATTTGATCAGAGAGAGCAAGGGAGTGAAACTATTTACTTTTTATTTTTTAATGCGAGGAATCAATTTCCTTCATTTTATGTGTAAACAAGATGATGAACAGATTTAGTATCTGATCTTGCATTATGAGGGGTTATCACTACTTTATTTATGTTGTTAAGTTTTTTCTGTCTGCTTACAACACTCGATTTTAGCTCAGGAACTTTGCGAGGATGTCAGTCCCCTTGAGAGCTTGCAGTTGTCTGATACAGCTCTCGAAGGTATCATACAAGCTTTCAATGAATATGTGAACATGTTGATCAGTGCATTGCCTGGTTCGACGGAGACAGAGAACTTGGAGGGTTCTGGAAGTAGAATTGTGAGAATGGCAGAAACTGAAGTCCAACAAATAGCTTTATTGGCCAATGCGCTGATGCTAGCAGATGAGCTTCTTCCACGTGCAACTCTAAAGCTCTCATCCTCACAACAAATGTTCAGAAATGATGAACAGTTTCGAAGAACTTCAGATAGACAAAATCGCTTTCCAGAGCAAAGGGAACTGAAGCGGCGGCTGCAGCGCATGGTTGATCAGTTGCGAGATAGCTTTTGCAGGCAACAAGCACTTGAGCTCATATTCAATGAAGATGGTGGTGTTCGTTTGGGGGCAAATATGTATCTAAGCATGGATGGAGTTTCTGAAGAGCCAGAATGGTTTCCTTCTCCAATATATCAGGTAATCAATCAATGAACTCTGCATCTAAAAATAATAGGTAGATGCCAAGGAAGCCGAATATTTTTTCCATTGGAACTGATGGTGCCATTATTTTTCAGTAAAACCGTGAACATTTTCCAATTATTGGAGCCACTTTTATGGATCACTTGTCATCATCGTCCCATTTATATTCTCTTTGGAACTTATCCTTAGCCCCTACTTTTAAATGAGATGTAATCATTCTATGTTTCTACACCCTTGTATCGGCATTTTGAAATCGCTTTAACTGAGTTTATCGCAGTTTGGATATATGGATACTAATAGCAATGCTTCCGCTTCATACATTGTCATTGTTCTCAGTAATCTAATCACTCCATTGGATGAAAATCTGTCCAGGAACTATTTCAAAAGTTGACATATGTTGCGGGCATTGCTTCTGATATGTTTGTCGGGAGAGAAAGATTTGCAACCATTCTACTGATGAGACTCACAGAGACCATTATCCTATGGCTTTCTGATGATCAAAGCTTTTGGGATGAAATTGAGCAAGGTCCAAAGCCACTGGGTCCTTTTGGCCTTCAACAGGTTTCTCTTATTTATTAATTTGCTTTCTAATTTTTGTTGATTGAATCACTTCAGCAATAGAATGTGAGAGTTCTCCCTCTTTCTGAATTGATTGCAGTTTTGTTTAGATATGGAGTTTGTAATACTCTTTGCATCTCAAGGCCGGTATTTATCCAGGAATTTGCATCAAGTGATAAAAAACATAATTGGCAGAGCTATTGAGGCAGTTGCTGCAAATAATGTGGATCCGTATAGGTGTGTTTTTCTGGTCAAAACATTCAAATTCTCCTAGTTGTTGAACAGCCTTAAGTATCTCATGTCATCGTACTTTCATTTCTTAATAATTTTAATTTGCCAAACTCAGAATAACAATGCGCCATTTTTCACTTTCATTTCTGGATTTCTCAGTATGCTTCCAGAGGATGACTGGTTTGCTGAGGTAGCTCAGATAGCAATTAAGATGTTGACAGGGAAAGCCAACTTTGGGGCGACAGATAGAGATATTGGCAGTCCTACTGCATCCATTTCTGCAAGATCCGTTTCATCAATCCATTCACATGGAAGCAACTAAAACTGCTACTCCTTGAACTTATTGCTTGCTTAATTATTCTCCATATTATATGGAGGCCGCTGTTTGTTTAGATGTTACAAATCTGCCACTCTTAACACCACATTTGACATTCTTTAAACATTTTTTATTCATTAAAAGCACAAGTGATGATCATTATTTCATTTTGTGTAACATGTGAATTGTTTGAGACTTTCTTAACCAATCCCAACTTGAAGGGTACAATGCAATAGATGTTCTGGGATTTTAAACCTGCTATAAATGCTATAAGTAAAAAAAAAAAAAAAACTGAAACGGGTTAGAATTTCATTTCTTAGATAGTTTGGTCTTTATTGAATTTGATGATATTTGAGTACTGGGATGGATTACAGGAATCTGGGCAATCAAGGAGGAGTTTGACAAATGTGTGTTTAATTCACGACATATACAATCCTTTTGTTAGAATTTATTTGATACTCCAGCTCAACACCCACCCAAATACAATTCAGAATGAGGAAAACACTTCTTTATCAAAACAACATGGGTTATAGGGCTGTTTTGGTTGTGATGATTTTCATGATAAAGTCAGTGTGCAAGGTAAGCAGTGTTGGTAAGGAAGGTTGCCACCCTGATGATCTGAAGGCTCTAGAGGATTTCAAAGCCAGGATTACTTATGACGATTCACACCGGCTGAAGACATGGACGGGAGTGAATTGCAGCAAATGGGAAGGCATTTCCCGTGACAATATAACTGGTAGAGTCACGGAGATTTCTCTCCCCGGCCCGATTACCAAAGGTGGTGCTCCGGCGCAGACGACAATGGTAGGCGAGTTATCGCCTTCCTTACACCTTCTCAGCTCGCTTAGAGTGCTTGATTTGTATTTCCTGTCTGAACTCAAAGGACAGATTCCTCTGCTCATAGGAAACCTGAAGGAACTCCAAGTTTTGGACCTCTCCATGAACAAATTTAGTGGTCCAATACCAGAAACCATTGGTAAGCTATCTGAACTTGAAAAACTGAACCTTGGTTTTAACCATTTCTCTGGTCCTTTTCCTTCAAGCATAGGAAACCTCACTAAACTCAAGTCCCTAAATCTTAACGGAAACCAGATTTCTGGTCCAATTCCCGAGTCTCTTGGAAATCGCACCAGCCTTACTTTCCTAGATCTTAGGTCAAACAATATTTCTGGTGCCATTCCTGAACCCATTAGTGAAAACTTGATCAACTTGGAGACCTTGTTTCTAGGAAGTAATTTTCTAACAGGACCTCTTCCAGAGAATATTGGCAACATGCAAAAACTCGTAGATGTTGATCTGTCTAACAATAAAATACAGGGCGGAATCCCAAATTCGATAGGCAATCTGAAATACATGACCCGTATCCTACTAAATTCCAATCTTCTCACCGGAATCATTCCTTCCTCCTTTGGTAACTTGCAAAAACTTGGTGTACTGGCACTTGGGCATAATCAGCTTGAAGGGACTATCCCTTCTAGTTTAGGGAATATGCCTTCATTACGGAATTTAGAGCTAAGTTGGAACAACTTGTCTGGTAGAATACCGAGCACTTTCGGCCGCCTAGCAAAACTTATGTGGCTAAGTATTGATCATAACATGATTGAAGGACCATTGCCGGAATCTTTCGGAAACTTGACGGGCCTTTCTAGATTAGATTTGAGTTACAATCAGATCAACTCTGTCCTGCCGGAACCATTCGCAAAGATTGGGTATTTGTTTGTGCTGATGCTGCAGAATAATCAGTTCACGGGTACAATATCTCAAACATTCTTGAATTTGAAGAATCTCAGAGAGTTAAATCTCTCAAATAATCTTCTTTCAGGGCAAATTCCATTCAGGAAGCCGCTGATTGATTTTCCTCCGAGCTCGTATTCGGGGAACAGGGGATTATGCGGCGTACCTCTTGGCCCTTGTAGTATTAGTCCTTCGCCAGCTTATTATCCCGAGCCTGAAACTATGGGATTTTCCTTTTGATAAAACTAAAAGTATTCCTGTCTTCTGTACCAGCAAATTTGCTGTACTTTTTGTCAGAGGAAAATGGTGTAAGCTTTTTACATTTACTCATTCAAGATCACTTCTTTTCATTTTCCCAGTTCTGGCCGCGGTTCCAGTGTAATATTGCATGCGAAATTGAGTTACGATCAACAATATAAAATGCAAAAAGTACTTCAATTTGATCCTTTTCAAGTATCTGAACGACCAAAACAGCCAAGTTTTCTTTTATTTTGGGGGTACAGAAAACCAATTTAACGTGTGAAAACAAAGAAGATTGGAGTAGTACACAATCTGTATCATTCCAAAATCATTATTGCTGCAAAAGACTTGACTTGAAGAATTTACTAGGAGTTTGTTTGATCAATTAGAAGCTTCAGATTCAGCAGCCGCAGCCTTAGCAGATTCCATCGTCTTGAAAAGGTTGAGGAATTCTTCAGTCTCCGGAAAAGCACCCTTCACTGCTTCATGAGAGATGAACCTGCGAGCCCATTCCGCAAGTGCAGGAATCTTGGTTTCGTCCAGTATTTTCCTGCCCAAATGAATCTCTGTAGCGTTTATACCACGCAAATAACAGCCCAAAACTATGTCAATATAGCCTAATGTGTCTCCACCGAAAAACCCTTTTCCATTACTAAACTTCAAAAATACATCCTCCAATGGTACTAATCCTTCTGTCATCTTCTCCAAAACTGCTGCCCTTGACTCTTCATCTTGTTTTACATCAGCCAGCATCCTAAATACTGGAAACCACTGCAAAGTGCAAACAAATCGCATCATATCATCAATTCGGATCAAGGAAACAAGCTATTATCTTTCTGGTTCGGATTAAGGAAACAAACTATTACCTTGTCATCAATATAAGCAGCCCAAAAGCGAGCAGTTGACCGGTCAAAGGGATTAGAAGGAAGGATTGATGGACCATCTGGGAAGGCTTCATCAATGTATTGCACAATCACAAGTGATTCGCATATGGATTTATGGTTGTGGATGAGAACTGGGACCTTCTTGTGAATTGGGTTGGATTTCAGAAGGAGCTCACTTTTTGCCTGCAAATTCTCCAGGATGAATTCATGGTCTACTGATTTGAGATTCAGGGCAATCTGAACCCGGTTCACGAATGGGCTTAGACGTGACCCGAGGAGCTTTACATCACTACTTGCTGCCATTGCTCAAATTAATGGAGTAAGGACGGATTCAAAGAAGGGGAAGATTTTGCTAACTGAAAGAGTAAGTTGTTGTGGATTGTTGAGTTGATCAATTGATAGTAGCTACGTTCTGTTTCTTGATGAGGCATATTTAAGAGACTGATCATGAAGATTCTTCTCCTCCTTTTTTCTTGTTTTGGCTTTGCTTAATGCATGCGAAAGTACTTACGTAAGTTTGTGTGGTTTGCAAGATGTCCACTCATGGATATAGTCGAAGATTTTTCTAGTTCTATTTCCTTGCTTTCATATGAAAATCCCACCACGGAACCCCACTTTGTCTTGTTGTTAGTCAAAACTGTTTCTTTCCGGGTCGGTCAATGAAAATTTCCTATGCGTGTGAATACAGCCTGCATTACATGTGGTGATGTGGGAAATTGTGAAAAGTCCATTTTGAAAAATCTGTTGGGGACTGATTTACTGATTTGATCTTTTCATGATTAAGAGGGGCATGAAGTGAGCTGAAGATTGTAGAATGTTAAAGAGGGAAACACAGCACATTCTCAAGATGAATCTGACTGTATTGCAACGAAAACTGGAGTTTTTATAATTGTGTATGCACTCGAATGGAAGTTGTATACGCTGTATCCAATGTCCATTCAAGTTGTATGCACTGAAATGGAAATTGTTTAGAATCTCCATAAACAGTGTTTCTGCATTTTTGCAGTTTGCTATACCTTTTTTGTCATTCAAGATCAGTTTTTTTTGTTTCTTCCTAGTTTTCCCCAATTTGGTCTGATAGCTGCTGCGTAGACTTAAATCATAAAATGCAGAAAGTACAACGTGATGGTTCCCAAGTGAAATAAAACCGATACAAATAAGTTAGGATTCTCGTGTACATTAGGGGTACATCTTTTAGTCAATCCTCCTCAGGAGATCATCGACATAATGTATAGGGATATGGTGGGTAGAACGGATACACCAACTAGGAGATCTACGTTGTAATTTTTAAGCCCTTGGCTTCTTAGGTATGTTTAATTCCGGGGGCAGCAAAAAAGCCAATTTATAAAGAAGTTTGAATGGCAAAGACTACCATCATTTTAACCGAATCAGACGTATTAACCGAGACTAAAACAAAGGAGACTGAAACAATGGAATAGATTTGGGAAAAGTTTTGTGTACTTTGCTTTACACATCAGATGCCAATTTATACAAGAAAGTAGGCTACGGGCTACCAAAACCAAATCACTAAATTAATGCTCAAATCAAATCAAATATTCTAATCATATCTTGTACTAATCCTGTCCCATTAATCACGCCCTATAATCACGCTAACACATCTTTATCATTCAAAATTCAGTAAAGTGGCACCGGACTTGACTCAGAAGAATTGACTTGGAACCTTGATCACTTGGAAGCTTCAGATTCAGAAGCAGCAGCCTTGGCAGCTGTAATCATCTTTAGAAGAGGAAGGAGTTCTTCAGGCTCAGGAAGAGTTCCCTTCACAGCATCATGAGAGATGAACTTGTGAGCCCATTGCGCAAGTGCCGGAGTCTTGGTTTCGTCCAGTATTTTCATGTCAAAATGAATCTCTGTAGCCTTTATACCACTCAAGTAGCAACCCAAAACTATGTCAATGTAGCCTAATCTGTCTCCACCGAAAAACCCTTTTCCATTACTAGACTTCCGAAAAAAGTCCTCCAAAAGCACCAATCCTTCTGTTATCTTCTCCAAAACTGCTGCCTTTGACTCTTCATCTCTTACATCAGCCAGTGACCTAAATACTGGAAACCACTGCAAAGTACAAACAAATCACATCATATCTTTGTGGTTTTGAATAAATGGAGAGAAAATTGTAATTGATTGGACATAGAGAGTACGTTGTCATCAATGTAAGCAGCCCAAAAGCGCGCGGTTGACCGATCATAGGGATCGGAGGGAAGGATTGTTGGACCATCCGGGAAGGCTTCATCAACGTATTGCACAATCACAAGCGATTCGCAGATGGGCTTATCGTTGTGGATGAGAACTGGGATCTTCTTGTGAATTGGGTTCGATTTCAGAAGGAGCTCACTTTTTGCCTGCGTATTCTCCATGATGAATTCATGATCTACTGACTTGAGATGCAGGGCGAACTTCACCCGGCTCACGAAGGGGCTTCGACGTGATCCAAGAAGCTTCACATCGTTACTTCCTGCCATTGCTGAATAGGGTTCACATGGAGTAAACACAGAATTCAGATAAGGAGAATTATACTAACTGAAAGAGTGTTGCGGATTCTTGAGTTCAATTGATTGCAGCCACGTTCGGTTTCATGATGAGGTGACCGTATTTTATTATAAGACACATGACCACTTTTTATTGTTATGAGTCAATAAAACTTATGTGTACGTGTAAATATTGTTTTCATTACTGTGTTACGTGTAAATACCAAAAGTCATTTTAAAAAAAGGCTGATGGGGAGCGATTTAGTGATTAGAGTACACAGCTCTATATAACTCATTCAATATCAAATTTTTTTTCTTCTTTTTAGTTTTCCACGGTTGGTCTAATTAATTTAACTAGTTGCCGTTCCAGTTCAATATTGGATTGGATACAAAAATGACGATATTACACAGACTATAAAACGAAGAAAGTTGGCGTTCCCGAGTGAAATAAAACAGATATAATAATAGAGAAATAAGGTCTGGATGAACGACCCAAAAAAGCCCAATTTTTCTTGTTTGGGGCCGGGTACAAAAAAGCCAACATAACTTGGGGCAATAAAGAAGATTGAGTAGAGCACAAGCTTTTATCATTCAAAAATCAGTACACAGTGTCACTGGAATTGACTCGAAGTTTGATCATTTGGAAGCTTCAGATTCAGCATCAGCAGCAGCAGCCTTTGCAGCTTTCATCACCTTCATAAGGTTGAGGAGTTCTTCAGTCTCTGGAAGAGTTCCCTTCACAGCTTCATGATTCTTAAACCTCTCAGCCCACTTCGCAAGGACTGGTGTCTTGGATTCATCCATTAATTTGAGGTCAAACTCAATCTGGATTGCTTTTAGCCAACCCAAATAGCAACCCAAAGCAATGTCAATATAGCCTAATGTGTCTCCCCCGAAATACCCTTTCCCATTGCTACACTTCACAAAAGCATTCTCCAATAATACCAAACCTTCTGACATCTTCTCCAAAACTTCCGCCCTTGACTCTTCATCTTTTGCATATTCTAGTGACCTAAATGCTGGAAACCACTGCAAATAAACCAAACCATCAGATCTCTGTTTCATATTAAGAAAAAAAAGGGGGTAAACTCTGTTTTTTAATCATGGATGATGAGAGTAGTTACCTTGTCATCAATATAAGCAGCCCAAAAGCGAGCAATTGACCGATCATATGGATCGGATGGAAGGATGGAAGGACCATCTGGAAAGGCTTCATCAATGTACTGCACAATCACAAGCGATTCACAGACGGGCTTATCCCCATGGACCAGAACTGGAACCTTCTTGTGAACAGGGTTCAATTTCAGGAGGAGTTCACTTTTGGCCTGCAAATTCTCCGGGATGAATTCGTAGTCAATTGACTTGAGATTCAGGGCAAACTGAACCCGGTTTACAAATGGGCTTGGACGGGTCCCGACAACCTTTACATCAGTGCTTGCTGCCATTGCTTCTGAATTAGGAAGAAGGATTTTTTCAAGTATAACTGAGAGAGTGCAGAGTACAGTTGATACCTAATGCTCTGTTTCGTGAAGAAAAGTTGCCGTATTTATTCATTTATTTCATTTTTTTTTTTGATAAGTTAAATGGCCTTTAATGCTTGCATGCGGAAGTGATTACGTATATGTGATTTATATAATTCAATTTCTCCTGATTACTACTAGTAATATTGAGTTTGACCGTAAGCCTTTCTGGCTTTCTTAAGTTTGAGGCGTTGACTCTTACTATCAATACAGAAAAATGTCTCTTTAGTCAAATAAACTACTCGTTCCATCCTATCTATATAAATAATTTTGAAATAAATTTATCACTAATTCGTTATTTGTACATTGTACTAGGTTGTTTTTTTTTTTTTTTTGAAAATCACATTGTACTAGTTAAATACTAGTACCGGAGAGTAGTATAATTTTTCCAAAAGTTAAATTTACGGCAGTTTGATTTTTATTTATTTTTTTTTTTTTGGAAAACATAATATCATTCACACAGAAACACAGGAAGTGCACGCATTACATGGCTATCTAATTAGTCTCGATACTGGTTGTAAATACTTTGGCTTTTTGTGTGCCTTAATTAGTTGGATAACCTATGAGGGGTTTTTTTTTATTTATTTATTTCATTTTCTCTATGATGCATGCATGCAGTTGTCAAGTGTGAAAATTGGAGCTTCCTAAGGAATCTTTGGACGTTTCTAGGTGAGATTGATGTGGATTAATTGGCTTGAATCGAAAAGGTCAACATTTCTTGAATCACAAGACAGTACCATACAACAGTCGCAGTAGCTGAATTATAAAATTTGTAGCTTGGCTACGTCGAAACCTCCGTCATAATGAACCCAACCACAATAATGATAATAATAATAATAATAACGATGATAATAAATGGCACATCCGGTTCGTGAGGTTCACGAAGTGATCAAATCGCCACTCAGATTTGATCTTGAAAACAGCTTAGGATTATTTACTTGATCGTTAAAAGAGTCATATTTTGTGAATTGTACATTATTGTTTGATTCGCAGTTAATGGAATATCTTGTCTTATAGTCTTGGCCGGTTTAAGCAGGGGAATCTGGCTTGTTTCAACTAAGGCCGGCCCAAGAGCATGAGTCGACGAATCTCTTATAAATTCTCTTGGTTTGTACAATAATGTACACAAAAACTTACAACCTAATCAAATATGCTTTCTGCTGAAGGTCATCTAGCAAGGATTATGAATCCCATGTCGGAGGCATGAGGACATATGAATCAGTTAATGAATAAGGTGGTCTCAGAACCCATTAGCTTGAGCTTTTGAGTTCAGATGGGTTTTATCTTACTTATTGGGTTCCATATAGGATTTTCTACTCCAGATAAATCCCCAACAATTTCAAAGCTTGAAGAAGCATACGCTGAAATAGTATAAGCGCAACCTATTCGTGGAAATAACATGCCGGAAATTTACTTTTATTAAAACCATTAGTAATTTATTTGAAAGTTTCCAAGAGGACTGTATCTCAAAGAAATAAGCTTATTACGTCCTGTTGTATATGAGGCACAGTAATTAATATTGTTTAATCTAATGTATTATACACTATATATATAGAGATAGTTAATGAATTTCTTTTTCTTCTCCAAGTGAAAGTTGTGGAGGAAAGTGATTCATTTGTGATGGGAAAAAAAATAAAAATGGAGAAACGCATCGTTCATGAGGTACGCGCGCATTTTGTGCAACTACAATATTACCACAAAGTGGACTGGTAAATGGGCACCAAGAGAATGTTATTTTTGGGCTAACAGTGTTTTATTAATCCAACCACAAGATCAGTACTGTGGCACAGCACTGGTCTCGAATAATTACTGGAAGTTTTGGATCAATCGGAAGGTTCAGATGATTGAGCAGCGGCGGCGGCGGCGGCTTTCCTCATCATGAGAAGGGGAAGGAGTTCTTCAGTCTCCGGAAGTGTTCCTTTTACAGCTTCGTGGGACTTAAACCTCTCTGCCCATTCCACAAGGGCAGGTGTCTTGGTTTCATCCAGGAATTTCTTGTTTATTTCTATCTGTATTGTGATTATCCACCCCAAATAGCATCCCAGAGCAATGTCAAGGTACCCTAATGTGTCTCCCCCGAAAAATCCTTTTCCATTGCTACACTTCAGAAATACATCCTCCAATAATGCTAAATCTCCTGTTGTCTTCTCCAAAACTGCCGCCTTTGATTCTTCATCTGTTGCATCAGCTAGCGATCTCAATAACGGAACCAACTGCAAACCAAATTACATCAACATATATCACTTAATAATATTGTCAGGAATTCCGACTCGGGAGAATAGGCTCATGGAGTATTAGTACTATTGAGTCCAATAAGTAAGTAGGATTTCATCTCAACCTAAAATCTTAAAGTAATATGTCTTGGGACCAACTTATTAACTGCTCTCTAAGAATCCCAAACATCGATGTACCATAACTATTCCTAGTCATGTTCTCAATTAATACAAATTGAAAGACGTTCTGAATCTGAACAACTAAATGGAGAGAAGAATTGTTAGAAAAGAAGGAAAAAGAAAAAAATAAAACTGCATTTTGTTGGGCTTCAGCTGAAATAGAGTACCTCCTACCTTGTCATCCATATAAGCAGCCCAAAAGCGAGCGATTGAGCGGTCATAGGGATCGGTGGGAAGTATGGAAGGACCATCTGACCAGGTTTCATCGATGTATTGTACGATCACTAGTGACTCGCAGATGGGCTTATCTTTGTGGATAAGAACTGGGATCTTCTTGTGAATTGGGTTCGATTTCAGAAGCAGCTCACTTTTTCCTTCAGAGGGATTCTCCAGCATGAATTCATAGTCTACTGACTTGAGGTTCAAAGCAAATCGGACCCGGTTCACGAATGGGCTTGGACGGTTCCCAAGCAGCTTTACATTACTTACTGCCATGTATATCTAGAGCTACAAAATTAGGTTTTCAAAGGAGTAAAGACAGATGTGTGATATAGACTGTGTAGTTCAATTATGTTGTTTCTCATTTTGAAACTACCGTATTTATAGATTGCATTTTTGCAAGCTTTATTCCTTATGTTATGAGTACAAGAAGAAAATGATAGAAGTATTTTGTGTGGGGAGGATTCAATTGCAATGCATGTAAAGTGATTACGTTGTCAGTCGTATTTCACAAATCGATTATTTGGCTTGAAAATGACGTAAAGAAAAACAATACATGTACAATCTAGGATTAGCCAAAGGGTACATTATATTGGTTCCTTATTTTGCACCTTCTTAGACATTTCTTTTCGGAGTCATTTTAGTTTTAAGGTTCTAACTAATATCACAGTCTAACACCTTACCTTTTCAATTTTATTTAATATTATCAGACTCAATTTCGCGTTCGCTTCACAAATCCAATTAAGTAGTTTGATGCATGCAAAGTTAACATATAATCATTCACATCGACTTCCTTACGTTGTCTATAATAATTACGAGATGGAAATTTTTCTATTTAAATTCCCACATAAGCCTTATTGTTGATTTCTTTTTTCTCCTTAATGAGTAAATCGTGTTGACACAAATTCTATAATAAGTTCACGTCTATTTTCATATTTCACAGAAAGCAAAATCCTCTATTAACTCCCTTGTTTGCTTTTCTATCCCTAAACAAACATGTCAAAATGCATGTAAATTTTTGGACCAACCTACCAAATTTGATGACGACGACAACGGAAGCAAAATTGTCATTTAAACATTTATGTCAACTTTTTCGTCGAGTTTTCTGGTGCGATGATAAAGTCGACGAATGATCAATATTCTTGTAGATATTCGTGTTGATATTTTCGTCCGCTTTCTTACTCGACAATAAAGTCCACGGAAAAAAATTAGCATAAAAATTTTTGCGTCGACTTATTCGTCGATGTTTCTAACTCAATGATAAAGTCAATATTATCAAAATTCTACTGGATACTCTGGCGTCAACATTTTCATCTAGTTTTTGTAATCAATGATGAAGTTAACAAAACAAAATTTCTTTTGAAAACATTGGCCTGGATTTTTCTTACTCAATGATAAAGTCGAAAGTAAAATTCTCTTAAAATATTTTGTCGACTTTCAAAACTCCGCGATAAAATTTACAGGAGTAAATTTTCTAAATATTCGCGTTGGCTGCACTATCTCAACTAGTAGTTTGACATATTATCATGCGACGTGAAATGGAATTACTGTGTGTGTCTTTATCCAAAGAAAGTACACTTGTTCATATTAAAATTTTATACTACTTTTAAATTGACATTAAAACTTAATTGCTTACCGAAACCATTCATACCTTCTAAGTTCTTATATCCTTGGCTCTTTGTGAGGCCCTAATTAGGCAGTACGGAGCTAATATAAAACAAATTACCATGCAAGTTTGGATGAAAAATTAATTTCTAATTTCTTCATGGAGTTGTTGTCAAGGAGGTGATTCTGGAATTTCCGGAGATTCCTCGGATATTTCTAAATGAGATCGATGTGAATACATCACAAAGTAATACTCTTTCCACACCAATTTATAACTAACAATATAAAATAGTCACAGTAGATAAATTACAAGAACAGTATAGGCTGCTTACGTCGATATCATCGTCTTAACGTACAAAGTACAAGCCACACAAGAAAATAATTATGTAACCCAATCGTGTTTTACGAAGTGATTAAATTGGTTACTTTGCTCCGGTTCCGGCTGGGAATCTCATTTCTTTCAGATAAGACGACCTTATTTGTGAATGTACATGTATGAAAATCCATGTAGTTTGTCAATCACATAAGTTACTACAAAAATGGTTCATCTGAAAACTGTCGGTAAAGTTTGGTTAATGTAACATATATGTACTTATCCCCAACCAACCAAGTGGAATCAATGTGAAATGGCTTTAGCACAACTACGTAATTGCTGTCGCATGCATTCCCCTATTTAATTACTTCGCGCCCCCACTCTGCACCAATAATTATTTTTCATTTTATTCTTTTATTCACTAAAAAAAATTTATTAAAAAAACGGGGACAAACTTGGTTCTATAAAATTTATAAGACTTGTACCTAAATCTTAAACAAACACTTCTTCTCTATCTACTGAAATTCATCTCAAATTTGTCATCAGTTCATTCCAATCTTTTTCTTGTTATCTATCTTGCAATGGCAGCAGCAAAGGATGTGAAGCTTCTGGGAGCACGTCCAAGCCCTTTCGTGAACCGGGTTCAATTTGCCCTGAATCTCAAGTCGATTGACTACGAGTTCATTCCCACAAATCCCATGGCAAAAACTGAGCTCCTTCTCAAGTCCAACCCAATTCACAAGAAGATCCCAGTTTTCTTCCATGGCGATAAGACCATCTGCGAATCACTTGTGATTGTGCAATACATTGATGAAGCCTTTCCGGATGGTCCTTCGATTCTTCCTTCTGATCCCCACGATCGGTCAACGGCTCGCTTTTGGGCTGCTTATATTGATGACAAGGTAAGTATATATGAATATTAATCCGTAAAATGAAGGAAAATTTTCCATTAATGTGATCTGATAGAGTATTATTTCTTTTGTTGGCAGTGGTTCCCATTGTTTAGGTCATTGAGGGATGCAAAAGAAGAAGAGTCAAAGGCTGAAATTGTGGAGAAAATATCACAAGGTGTAAAACCGTTGGAGGATGCTTTTGTGAAATTGAGTAGTGGAAAGGGATTTTTCGGTGGAGACACAATTGGTTACGTCGACATTGTTTTGGGTTGCTTTTTGGGATGGCTTAAAGTTAATGAGACGATTTCAAACTTCAAAATATTTGATGAAACCAAGACTCCAGCCCTTGCGGAGTGGAGTGAGAGGTTTAAGAATCATGAAGCTGTTAAGGGAACTCTTCCTGAGACTGAAGAGCTCTTCAACATTCTCAAAATGATGCAAGCTGCTCAGGCTGCTGCCCAATCTGAAGCTTCCAAGTGATCAAGTCAGCCCAGTGGTTCTTTTTTTAATCCAGTTTCAATACCACACATCATTGATTCTGGAATGATACAAATTTGTACTACTCCTGAAACATTTTCTTTGCTTTTTTTTCCCTTCCATTTCCATTTCCATTCTGAAGTTTTCTGTTCCATCTACAATTACACTACTTTTTGGGTTACACGAACAAAGCATAAAGTTTGAGTCTTGAGCTCCAGCTTAATAATCCATGAACAGAAAGGAAAAGAACAATTGAAGCTATATTACAATCAAAAAAGGTAAAACCTATCAAACAATATCACTCCCCCAGAAATGAAAACAAATCTCAAATGGCATGAAGCTTAGGAGATTTTCTCCTGCTTTCATTTAATTATTGTTGAGGCAAATATATCTCTGTTCAAAATCAGTTTTCTATTTTTCTCTTGGACATCACTGCAGTGATGAAATCATCAATAGCTTGGACAGAAGAACCCTTATAGCCTTCCTCTTCCCGGACAGAATCTCTTATTAATTTTCCAACCCCAGCAGCCTTTTTCCTCATTTCATGTCCCCTTCCTTCTTTATCAAGTACCATTTCTATGACCTTCTTCACATCCCCTGGCTCCAAAATCCTTTGCAGTCCCCTGCATAACTCCACACCCACTCCCATATCCTCCATTAACATCTTCGAATTGTACCCTTGTTCAGCTGCAATTGGCCACCCAATAATGGGCACCCCTAGGCTCAAACTCTCCATGATTGAATTCCATCCACAGTGACTCAGAAATGCCGCAGTTGATTTGTGGCTCAGAATCTCCAACTGGGGTGCCCATTTATACACAAGCAAACCTTGGTTGGTTCTTGACGTTCTTTCTTCAAAACCTTCTGGTAACCATTCTGCTTTGAATTCACCTTTTGGATCAAATCCAACTGGAGGCCTTATCAACCAAAGGAATGGCTTTCTACTCTCTTCCAACCCCCTGGCTAATGCCATCATCTGAGTAGGACTAATGCTGTTTTGAGAACCAAAACAGATGTAGAGAACAGAGCACTCAGTTTGTAAATCAAGCCATTCCAGACATTTCTGATTAGGCAAATCCGGTTCTCTTCCTCTGAGATGATGCATGGAAAGTTGATCATCTGGCTTTTTGTCGTTGAGCAACTTTAGTGGAATAAGTGGCCCAATGCACCAGACAGGAAGTTTTGTATTCTTTCGTAGTACACCTAATCCCAGAGGTTCAACTTCCTCCACAGCATTGCACAACCACCCAAAAGATCTCAGGGAATTTGATATCTGTGGCCGGAAAAACATTGACCACTCATCTGTTCCGTCTGCAGCTTGAAGAAACCGATGTAAATGCGAGATATGGAACTTGCAAGAATCAGGAAAACCAGGAACAACAAACTCATCTTTCCCGGAAGAACGGTGAGGCAGATTTTGCCAGATTGAGACGTAGGCAGCAGTTCCATAAGCACCACCGGTGGTGAAACTCACATGAACCGTATCAAAATCTCTTGCAACATCCACCGACCACCCTGTAAATACATCAGAGATAATGCATAGTGGAGGATTTCCATCTTTTTGTATGATCTCTGAGATGAGATTCCGGAAGGGAACTTCAAGTGCAGATCCAGCATGAAAGAGCTTAATGATTTTGTCAAAAGGTAAGGCTTCAGAGTTTTCAACATTAGGTGGCAACCCATGGGAAGCGCCATCAAAAGGAAGGGATTCCAAGTGAATGTCTGGAGTTTGAAGGGATGAGTCCTTGGAAATGGAAGTTTTGAGGTTGTTGATGTTAAGAGGGGTGGTAGCCAGAGTGATGGTGAAGCCATATCTTTGTTGAATTTTCTTGGCTAATGCTAAGAAAGGGATGATATGGCCTTGAGCCATGAATGGTAGCATTACTATATGCTCCTTCGACCTTGCCATCTTAACGAGTGAGTGGTGATCTAAGGAAGTATTTGAAGTTTCAATAGCAAAATCTCTTCATGAAGTAGACCTTAAAGATATAGAATTGCATAACCATTCTGAAACAACTTAGGTGGGTATCTTTTTCATTAGCCTTTTTCAGCATCTTTTGTCCTCAATTTTATGTCTTATTATTGTACCCAAAAAAATAAAATAAAAGTGGCGTGGCTCAATAACCAAAAGGGTCATGATAGAGCGGTAAGGACTCCTCCACTCTTAATCGGGTCATGATAGAGCGGTAAGGACTCCTCCACTCTTAATCATAGGTTGATGGTTCGAATTTTGTCATGGGCATGGAACAACCTTAAATCCGTTGAACAGTTCTCCTACCCAAAAGTGGCGTGGCTCAATAAATAAAGAAGCAGTTGCAACATATTCTGGGTTCACGTGTTAAAATATGAAAATCTGTGCTTGTAGTTTAGTCCCAATAAATTTCAATTAAGACATACCAATTATGAAAATAGTTGAAATCAAGAAGTGAAAGTACACCCCTCGTTCCAAGTAAATTCTAAACTATAGCATCAATACATGAATCAACTAGAATTATGTTTTCGAAAAAATCAATTGTATGCGAATTTTACATCAGAAGAATGTTGAAACAACGTAAAAGTTATGAACACCCTATCTCAATTAATACGTGGTTGTGTCGTGCTATTTAACTTGAGTTCATAGATAAATTACTTTTTAAATGCATTTAATGATGAATTTTGATTACGAGATACTAATCTTTAAATTGGTTTGAGTACAGAGCAAGAAAATTTTGAAATCAAGAAGAAATGAAGGCACACCCCTTGTTTGCATGACATTAATTTTAAGATACGTTATCCCAAAATTTAATTGCTGATTTTTTTCCCCCCAATTTCAAACTAGTGCATAATTACATAAAATCATTGATAGTTATATTGAAGATAAGATGCTTTTTATGTGAATTCCACATCGTATTTGTTTCAAACACCCCATCTTAAAGTCTTGAAATCCCAACTCAAAATTTTTTTCTTTTTACACTTTGGGAATGAAATCACTTATCTCCATATTTTGGGACTGAAATGGACTAATTCAAGAAAGTTGGTTGTCCAAGTAAGATTATTTACAACAAATTATAGGAATCAATTAGTAAATAAGTACACCCTTTACCCAAAAAAAAAAAGAAAGAAAAAATTAGTAACTACACCTCCGAAAAATTGATCTGACTTTGACTCATTCCATTTCCACGGCCTGATGTTGACGTTCATGACTTCATTTCATGGTCTGGTCCTCAAAAAATTCAAAATGTTCACAATCCTCAAGATTCATTCGTTCAGCTCATCAGTTTGTAATCATCGAATCCAATCTATGGCGGCAAGTAGTGATGTGAAGCTTCTCGGATCACGTCCAAGTTCATTCGTGAACCGGGTTCAGTTTGCCCTGAATCTCAAGTCAGTAGACTATGAGTTCATCCCGGAGAATTTGCAGGCAAAAAGTGAGCTGCTTCTGAAATCCAACCCAATTCATAAGAAGATCCCAGTTCTCATCCACAACGATAAGCCCATCAGCGAATCACTTGTGATTGTGCAGTACATTGATGAAGCCTTCCCGGATGGCTCATCAATCCTTCCCTCTGATCCCTTTGACCGGTCAACCGCTCGTTTTTGGGCTGCTTATATTGATGACAAGGTGTTCGATCTTCAACCAATTACGATTTTTCCATCCATTATATTCAGATGATAGAATTTCTTTTGGCTTTGAGAATCTGAATTAATCATCTAATCTGATGTGATTGGTCTGCAGTGGTATCCAGCGTGGAGGTCGCTAGCTGATGCAAAAGAGGAAGAGTCAAAGACTGCAGCTTTGGAGAAGATAACAGAAGGTTTAGTGTTATTGGAGGATGTATTTGTCAAGTGTAGCAATGGAAAAGGCTTTTTCGGGGGAGACATATTAGGCTACCTTGACATTGTTCTGGGCTGCTATTTGGGGTGGCTAAAGGCTACAGAAATCAGTTCAAATTTGAAAATAATGGATGAAGCCAAGACACCAGCTCTTGTGGGGTGGGCAGAGAGGTTCAAGAATCATGAAGCTGTTAAGCGAACTCTTCCTGAACCTCGAGAACTCCTCCACCTTCTTAGAAAGAACTCCTCTGAGCCAGAGAGTGCGCAATATAGAAGTGTACCCGTTGGAATGGAATCAGAGGATTTAGACGACTCCTTAATTGTATGCCAGCGAAGGCCGTCGGGAAAACGCCGGCTACTTCGTCCCAGTGACACTGATATTTATTCTCAATCAGTTCAGTGAAACTTTGATTAAATTGTACTACTGCTTCAAACTTCTTCGTGTGATCTGGGAATGATCATACTGTACTTTCTTAGTTTCACATAATAGAGTTCCTTCAAAAAAATCATGTTTCTACATATATTCATTTTGGTTCCTTCACTTCCTTGTCGATGAATTTCATGCATGTCCAATTGACATATTCTACGTGGATTTATAAATTTATTTTTTTAAAAAAAAAAACTGCTTCTGCCTGTATATTAATTCCTACATTCTTGATCAGTTTATCACATATGTTCAGGAACATGATTAGTAGGTAAACATAAGGCAAACACTTGAACGTAATTGCTTTCGCCATGGTCAGGTGAGTCAAAAAGTGAACATTTCTTTTACAATTTTGCAAATCAAAACTAAAAAGTACTCTAATAGACATACTCCATTGCATTACTCCTTACTTCCCTCCACAAAACTATAAAAAGCGCTACCTTTACTGTCAGTCTGTCATAAAGTAAGAAACAAGCTACATTAATTTTACCTTGTCATTCAGCTTGCGTTTCCTACCTTCTCATCATATGGCTGCAAGTGCTCACGTCCGAGCTTATTCACGAATCGGGTTCAGTTTGCCCTGAACCTCAAGTCAATCAACTACCAATTCATCTCGGAGAATGTGATGGCGAAAAGTGAGCTCCTCCTGAAATCGAACCCAATTCACAAGAAGATTCCAATTCTCATCCATCGCGATAAGCCCATCTGCGAGTCCCTCGCGATTGTGGAATGCGTAGATGAGGCATGGTCTGATGGTCCATCTATCCTTCCCTCCGATCCCTATGAACGGTCAACAGCCCGATTTTGGGTTGCTTATCTCGATGACAGGGCACCTTTCTTGAACTAGAGCTGTATATATGTCATTAAATTTGTTGATCATTCAATTCCTTTCCAAAATAAGAGTCACGTTTATCATACACAAGAAAAGAAATTTTTCATCAGGTTGAATGAGTTGGATTTATTTTGGTTTTGCAGTGGTTACCAATGCTTCGGTCGCTCAGGAATGGAAAAGAGGAATCAAAAGGAAGAAATGTTGGAGAAAACAGTTGAAGGTGCGAAGTTGTTGGAGGATGTTCTTTAAGTCCAGTAATGGAAAGGATTTTTTTGGTGGAGACAGTTTAGGTTACCTTGACATTGTGTTGGGGTGCTATTTAGGCTGGATCGAGACGATTTCAGAGCCCTTGTGGAATGGGCAGAGAGGTTTAAGAGTCATGAAGCTGTTAAGGAGTTGAGGCAAGGGGTTTTTTGGGGAAGACAGACAAAGACACCGTCCCTTGCGAAATGGGCTGAGAGGATTGTCTCATGAATCTGCAAAAGTAACTCTTCCTGAGCCTCAACAACTCTTCAACCTCCTCGGAAAGACGAAACAATCTCAAGCTGCTGGCTAAAACTTCCAACTGATGCTGCTCGTCTACTTCCTTGTTTGGTTTTTGCTCTGATAAATTTGTTTCGGAACCTTCCCTTTTCTTTAAATTTTGTTTATTTCATGTATTTTAGAAAGGATCACATAGTGTTCTTTTCGTTTCAAATATTAATATGTACTCCTTCCGTCCCAAAATTATGCCTTTGAAATTTCAATTTTAGTACAATTTGAACTAGAAATGAAAATTCAAACTAGACAATAATTATGGACGGAGGGAGTATATGGCAAAGACGGTGGCAACCCTGCCGAAGATCACATATAACTTCCTCCCGGTGCTACTTGTGAGACACAAATAACACCAAAGTACAACATAAACTCCTATAATTATTCCTAATTTGAAAACACTCATCACAGTTATTTCTTTGTTCATTCTAAACTAATGCAATCTCCAATATCATCGACTTTGCTGAGTTTATTCATCTTTTGCACCAATCGGATCAAAATCAACGCAACTTATTTGAATCCAATAGACAATTAGGTGATCTAACTTTATTTATTATATTACTGTTGTTATTATTACTATTATTATTTGGATTAAGAAAGCAAAGAGCCTCATATCATCATTCTACTTTTTATTTTCTTGTTGAAAGACATCATCATTTATTTATTTATATATCATTGTGGAGTACTAGTAGTATTCTGGTCCATACTATATATTGGATCTCTAATCAAAAGTTAGAAAATCAGCAACGTAATGTAATTGCTTACGTGCTTCCACCTTCAATTGGTTGACTCGTGGTCAGAGGTCAGTTCCTCGAAAATTGGATGTCCTGATATTTTTAATCATTTATTTTTAGAGAGTAAACCCTTATATTAGTCTTGTACATTTGGTACAATATACATTTACGTCTCAAGCATTAATATTTATCTGAATTGGTCCCAAACATTATAATTCCTAACTCTTTTGGTCCGTTTTACTGTTCCGACACTTTTTCTGTTCGGTTGACTGTTGACTGAAAAACTGACAGGGGTATTTTTGTCTTTTTATTTTTATTCTTTATTTTTAGAAAAATAAAAAATTCTTAAATATTAAAATATTTATATATTATAATTAAATTAGAAAAAATTCAAAAAAATATTAAAATATTAATAAATCTTTTAAAAGCACTTTAGAACTTTCAATTTACCTTTATTCCTAAGCCCAAGTAAATTTCTTAATTACCAATTAATTTAATGTTTTATTTACCTTAGTATCGAGGGTGAAATCCGTTAGGACGAGGGTCAACGATGTCTACGGACCTGAGACCTGCAAAACAAGGGTTAGCACTCCGACGAGCAAATCAGTGTCAAGAGTGAATGTATAAAATGTGAACCAAGAAGGGAGTAATGAAATGAGCCTACTCTCCACCACCAAAAATGAGGTATATATAGATAATGTGAGGGGAATATTCCCCGAGAATACTCCTTTCAATGATGGGCTTGAGCCATTGTTAGGGTTTTAGCCGGCCCAATAAGCCATATAGGAATATTATCGGACCCATGAATGGTTGTCGGCCCACGTGAAGTTGCACCTCCAACACTTAGAGGTCACTTAATTTTTACCATCAATCGTTATTGTCAAATTTTAAATTCATTATTTGTTTATACAGATGAAAAGTTAAGTTAATAACTTTTAAAACTTTATGATTTGTTATTTAGGTTTTTCCTTCCTTTGGTAATGATTTACATTTATTCTTACCCTAATCCCCCAAGAAACCAACTCTCACCAGTCGCTCCACTTACCCCCACCACCGCCACCAGGGCACACACCACATCGATAGCCACCAATACCTTTTTTAAATCCTGGTCTGGTTTTCTTTTAATCACCTCTCTCCCAAAATCATTAAATCAGCCATATCTATGCTATTTATCCCCGTTGCTCTAGATATCTCTGCTGGCATCTCTCCAGATCCACGCCGCCACCAACATCCTTGATAATCTTCACACTCGAGGTTGCTGATGGTGTTTTTTCTTCAGATCTTAAGGATATAGATATGACGGCGGTGGTAATGGGTTTATTCTGGGAAGTGCTTTTACCCATTTCAGAAATTTTTTGTGGGAGTTCAAATTATTTTTAAATAGAATGTGGCTATGATTCAATAGAAGAGGATTGGGCAGCAGTCATGAAAAACATATTGGCTACGATTGTGGGTGGTATTAGAGCGGGGAGGTAAGAGGATTTGAGTCAAAATAGTAAAAAAATTATTGTTGTTATTGTATTGGCCTGGTGGTGGTTATGGTGATATATCACATGCGTAGATGCCTAGTAGTGGAGATAATTTGAGATTATCAATTATAACCCGTAAGATTGAATGTAATTTTCTAAAATTTCAATTTTTTTTGGCGGTCGCGGTTGATGATAAAAATAACAATCCGGTATAGAGAAAGGAAAACAAGCTAGAATAACTGGTAATAAAAAAAAATTGTTGTGCATACTACCAAGAAGAAGTAGTAATTGCTTCTAATTGAAATTCTATTTGAGGTTTGGAATAAAAGGTAAATTAAAGAAAAATTCTAAAATATCTTTTTAAGATTTATTAATATTTTGATAGTTTGTTGAATTTTTTCTAATTTAATTAAAATATATAAATATTTAATATTTAAGAAATTTTATTTTCCCGAAAATTGAGAATAAAAATAAAAAGACAAAAATGCCCATGTCAGTTTATCAGTCAACAGTCAACTGAACGGAAAAAAGTACTGGAGCAGTGAAATGGACAAAAAAAGTTACAAATTATAATGTTTGGGACCAATACAGATAAATGTTAATGCTTAAGATGTAAATGTATATTGGATCAAATGTACGGGACCAATATGAGAGTTTACTCATTTGTTAGAAGTACTACTTTGAAAACGTATGGATCTGATCTTCCCTTCATTAAAAACAAAAAAGAACTCTTGTACTCTGTTATCGTTCAGAACTTCAGATTGATTTCTTTCTCTTCACATTTTCAGCCCATATTAACGACGATGGCAGCAGCAAGTACTGATGATATAAAGCTTATTGGAGTACGTGCAAGCCCCTATGTGAATCGGGTTCAATTTGCTTTGAATCTCAAGTCAATAAACTACGAATTGCTTGTGGAGAATTTGGCCGATAAAAGCGAGTTCCTCCTGAAATCGAACCCAATTCACAAGAAGGTCCCAGTTCTAATCCATGGCGATAAGCCCATCTGCGAGTCACTTGCGATTGTGGAGTACATAGATGAAGCCTTTCCCGAAGGTCCCTCTATCCTTCCATCGGATCCCTATGATCGAGCAACAGCTCGTTTCTGGGCTGCTTATATCGATGAAAAGGTAACCCATTTTTCCCGATCTAATATTTTGTACATTTTATTTCATATCAAACTATATAGCTCAACTCCTCACTCAGTACAATTCAATGGATTGGGTTTGCACTTTGCAGTGGTTTCCAATGGTATTGAGATGGCTAACTGATTCAAAAGAAGAAGAGTTCAAAAGGGCCCCAGTTTTGGAGAAACTAACAGAAGGGGTAATATTAATGGAGGATGCTTTGGTGAAGTCTAGTTATAACAATGGGAAAGGATTTTTTGGTGGAAATAGTCCAGGATACCTCGACATTGTTTTGGGTTGCCATTTGGCCTGGCTTAAGGTTGTAGAGATTGATTCGAGTACAAAATTACTGGATGAAACCAAGGCACCTGCACTTGCAGAATGGGCTGAGAGGATTAAGTCTCATGAAGCTGTAAAAGGAACTCTTCCTACAACTGAAGAACTCTTCAACCTTCTTAGAAAGAGTCAACAAGCTCAAGCTGCTTCTAAAGCTTCCAATTGAAACTGCTTGTTAACTTCCTTGTTTTGCTGATTTGCTAGGCTACATTTGTTTTGGAGCTCCTTTTCTTTTTTTCTTTTTTTTTGGGTCAATTTCATGTATATGTTGGAAAGGATCACATATATTGTTCTTTCGTTTCAGTTTCTGGCAATATCATTTGACTTGATAAGATCCAAGCGAAGGCGGACAAATTACTAGTAGTAGTATAATTCTTTAGTTGAGCCAAAAATTAATTAATTTGTGCTACTACTATGATAAAATAAATTTACTATACTTTACTACGATGTGAAACCATTAAATTAAGAGCCAATTAATTCTCCGGCACTTGTGGGATATTATGATCTTTCAAACATGTAATCAGCGTGTAAAGCCGATTAAAATGACTGGTATTTCTCGGTAGATCTTTGTCTATGTCCATATTCTCATCGGAATAACTAATTAAACGAACAGGGCTACACATATAATTTTCACAAAAATAAGTGAGTATTTTGTGAGTTCCTTATCGATAATGATATATTTATTACTTACCAAATTATAATCCTATAACAAAATTATTAAAATTGTGACAATTTTTTAGTATATTACGCACCTAGTATCCGAAATCACCACTCTGACTATTCCGGATTCGAGCCAATAATTTTTTATGGATTATCTATGCCTAAATTGATGATGAATGACCTAAGATGTAGACCCAACAACTTTGCAGGAATAAGATCTCTTGTTACGAAAGATAATTACTTTGAATAATAAACTGGAAAGTGTGTCTTGTTTATACTACTTTTTAAGAAAATAAATTTTGTGCTAATACATTAGCTGAAGAAATTCTTAATATAGACTAGGTTGCTTCTTGTTGTGCTTTGTGCGACTAATTTTTATATAAATTATAAGTTTTTAAAATAAATAACAATATAAAAATACCACAAAGGAGTAATATAAAAATAATTAGGTAACAAAAGAGAATATTTTTATAATTGAGTAACAATATAAAAATACAACAAAAGAGAATATTTTTAGCGGCATTTGACGATTTTGAAATAAACCCTAGACCTATTGAGCCTGGGATTAAGTTACTTGGAGATTAAATCATCGTCTAAACCTATTCCGCTAGGGTTTCAAGAAACAGGTAACACCACCTCTTTATATAAGAGGTGGTGTCTCTCCCATAATTCACATCTTCTACCTATCTTCTACACCTTCTACACACGATACACATCATTCTCTCTCTACTCTCTTTATTCCCTTATTGACTTAACCATCGGAGAGTCTACCCTCGCGAGACACGCAAGACTCTGTCTTGCAGGTTTTAGGCCGTCCGCTGCCGCCTAGATCATCATCGTCGTCCATCCTAAGGCACCGTGCAGATCCATGCTTCGTCAAGTGGCACGCCCAGTGGGACCGATTTGTTTGGTCGTCACAACCAAATAAACTTCTTAGCGAAGCACGAAATCTTTTGAATCTTTTGTTTACTCCGATTTTGCAACAAGAAGATCACGCAAAAAATTATTTTTTTTTGGCCAAGAAGACGTCAGCCGACAAGTAGCACCAAGAAGCTTTCGATTGCACAAATAATCGAGGAGCTGCACTTGCTCCATAGCTGATCGAGAAGAATAATTAGCAAGGGACAATCTTGAAGATTGGAGTTTCGAGAGATACATCTACTCGAAGGGCAACAATCCCTCGAGCACCATATTGCTACACGAAGTGGTCGAGAAGATACATCTACTCGAAGGGGCAAGCATCCCTCGAGCACCTTACTACTACTCGAAGTGTTCGAGAAGACGTATCTCGACTTTCATCTACCCAAATAATACCTTTTTGGAATTGAGGTAACACCTTCTCGAGTAATCAATTCATCTCTCGACCTCGAGGTACTTCTCAAACCTATTTTGATATATTTCTCGAATATAACTTAATTTTCAGCCGATATTCTTTACGAGTATTTTATTACTACATGTAACGAAAGACCTGCTAGTCGGGCAACGGCCAAATAAGACCTGCTAGTCGGGCACAGCCACAAGACCTGCACGACAGGCAACTACAGGCTTCTCACCTTCAAATTAGAGAATCTAGGTGCCATCCTCCTAATTCGTCATCCACAAGCTTCCCTCTTCTAATCAGGAACTCACTAATACAAAGACCTTCTCGAGGCACTTGATTCTCTTTATCTTATATAAGTGACACCCGAGAACGAAAGAGTTCAAGAACTGGGGCAACACCACGAGAAGACATCAACACTCGTAGCAACCTATATGCTTCTCATCAAGTCTCGAGAATATGGCTTGCTAGGGGCACTTGACGAGTCTGAAATAAACCCTAGGCGTATTGGGCCTAGGATTACGTTACTTGGAGATTAAGCCACCGCCTAAACCAATTTCGCTAGGGTTTCAAGAAACAGGTAACACCACCTCTATATAAAGAGGTGGTGCCTCTCCCATAATTCACATCTTCTACCTATCTTCTACACCTTCTACACACGATACACATCCTTCTCTCTCTACTCTCTTTAGTCCCTTATTGACTTAAGCATCGGAGAGTCTACCCTCGGAAGATACCCGAAGTTCTGTCTTGCAGGTTTTAGGCCGTCCGCCGCCGCCCAGATAATCATCGTCGTCCATCCTAAGGCACCGTACAGATCCATGCTTCGTCAGCATTGCCAGTTACAGAAATTAAGATAATTATTTGTCTTTATTGATAAAGTTCAAGAGAATATTGTATGTTCACCAGATATCTGGTTTTCTTCATCCTTTGATACAAGCTCCATGAACTTTCTAAATCATTGCACCAGAATAAGTACTTCAAGAAAACATGGTAAGTAGTAGCATTTGGACTCAGCCTGTTCCTCACCATCAAAATAAATTCAAAGAAAAATTATACTTTTCTATTTTTCTATTTATTTCTTTTTCAGTTTTTTGGTGGTTTATAGTTAAAGGCTCCAATGTCTCATACAAAGGATAGTTTCTGGTCTCATGCAACCACCAACTCAAGGCTCCACTTAAAATGGAGAGCAATCCAAAAATGAGAAAGCCTATATAAGGAATGAATTTGCCGACAGCCACCAACAGAGGAGCCATAGATATCCTTAACATTAATGCTTGCTGCAACATTGAGACAGCGAAATTTATCACATTCGTTGGGAAGAGTTCTACACAAAAAAATATACAAAAAATCAAATGCAGTCAAAATTGCCATGAACCCAAGCGCTTCAAGGATCAATTGCGGCCAGCTTACTCCTGATTTATTTCCTACATTTGCAAATATTATGCAAAGAATGCTTGAAAATCCAGCTACATAAGCTGATTGAGAAAAAAATTACCCGGCGATTAGCCATGCTAAGTAATAAGCTACCGAAGAACACTACTAGTATCTCCATTGTGGCGTTTACTGCTACTGTGAGGTATATGTTGAAGTTCAAATTTTCAACATTAAGTTGAAGGCCATAGTATACAAAGCGAATTCCAAATCCTGTTATCATGACCAAAACCAATCTTCTGGCAGCCCATTTCGTGCTCTATATAGTTTTTTTTTTTTAAAAAAAAAAACTTCTTCGCCTGTGCTAACCTTTTTAGCAGCAAGAGAAGGCTCTCCAATAAGCATAGGTTCTCCATTCAACTGCCACAAAAACTAATGTAACAGAGATAGCTGTGTATCTAGCAAGCTTGATTCAAAGAAGCAGTATAGCACATACTTGGGTATTCCAGGGGAAATCGAAGTAGAGCATGAAACTTGTGTATTATACTCAAAATTTGGCAAGCGATTATTGTTAATGAGAATAAGCACCACGAACATCCAACAACACCATCAATTTTAATCATTAAATTTATCAAAAAAAATTTCATTAATGAAAAACAATAAAAAATAGGACCAAAAGGAATGGCCAAACATAAAACTGAATTCCGTTAAAGAAATAAGGAGGTTACAATAATGGTGGAGACATCACAATTCTATGACGGGAAATAAATCACAATTCTTCGAGAACAATTCATTGATTTAGAGACTACGAAATTTAGCCATAAAAAGAAATGCGGCATTTACAGGACAATAGAAAACGTGAATTCCATGGGTGAGAAGGGGAGGTGGATTTATCAAGGGCTTCTCCCGGAAACGTTCCACCGCCACGACCAACTTCTCCACCAATCTTATGTTGATCAAATCACTATATTCAACCAGTCGAGGGCACTCTGGATTTCAGAAGTCAAGCGAAGGTTTAGTGCTATTGGGGCGAATTTGGTAACTATGACGGGGAAGATTGGCGGAGGACTGATTTTGGAGCACCACCGAAAAACCTCCATCGTCACTAACAGTTCCACCTTCCCACCGCCTCCACCAACATGACTTCCAGATTCATCACTGCTGCTTTTATCAGCAACCTTGGAGGCTGAAATTGACGCGGAGGAGGAAGTGAACCAATGGAAAATTGGAGTATGAAATTTGTGGGATTAACAAAGTCGGAGACTGGAGGTGGAGGAAGGGTAACGGAAAAATTGTATAATTTTAAGTGGGAGTTTTGGGTTATACAGGAGTCAAAACGACGTCATTTTGACGTTCAAGTGTTTAATTCTTGTGTGTCTTTTACTTCATTAAGGAGAAATTGTTTAAAAAATAATATAATATTTAATTAATGACAAGTATAACCCCTTAAAATAGCTGATGTCATCGAAGTACCTATGAACCAATCAAAACATTATAATATAATTGGAACTCGTACTTTTATAAGTAATATAAGAAATAAGGGGTTATATTTTTTTTTTTTTTGATGTGGTTCTTAATTTTATTTCTCTATTTCTAGAACAGGATCATTGGGTGCTCTACCGCTTGTACTAGTTAAGACCGTTGCCCTGTGGTTAAAAAGAAGAAAAGATAATGACTTCCCCATGTCTCATTTTGAGAAGGTGCAACGTACTGGTTGATTTATACAATTTCTTCCGTGCAATGATTATTATTAATATGTTCCGGTAAAACATTGTTCATATATTGAGCTCAACTCGTGTTGATTAGTATGCAATAGTGCTGGCGGGTTACCATTTGCTTAGAAGAGTCAATATACTGAAATCATGTGAAAGGTCCCAAAGTTGGTGGGAGGATGCTTTTTTCAAAAGTCTTAGTAAATGGAAAGAGAATTTTTTTTTTTTTTGTTTTGAAGTGTTTTTGGAAAAAGGCTGATAAGGCGGCTGCCGGCTGCTAAAAGCTGAAGCTTCAAAAAGTGACAAGCTGTCAGCAGTTATTCTTTCAGTACAGGGCAATGAATGGCACCGTTTTTCATTTACAACATGATCAAGAATTTTTACATCTGAAACGATGAAACATTTTTGCGTTCTTTGCCAATTTCGCTTTTCTTCAAAGAAAAATTAGGCCATCTCATACTGTTATTTTTATCCAACAAAATAGGGTATGCTTTTTTTTTGTTTTTTATTCGGTCCATGTGTACAGAAAGAATACAATATTATCGATTCTTTGACCGTCATTAGTTGTTCGTTTTCATTTGTTCTGGAATGTAGAAATTTGTACGTGCTGACGTACGTCATGACTCATGACATTCTAGACTTCCTAGTACTATAATAATAATAAAGGGGATTTAAAAAAGCGTTCAAATCCCAACGCCTACGCGTCAGTTGTTGAAAAGTCAAAAAGTAAACAAAGTATAAAGATGTTCAATGCAATCTTCTTGGCTCAATAAAAAGGCGCTTTCCATCATCTTCACCCTCACCAAAATAAAAAAGAAAAGAAAACTCTCTGTTTTTCCATAAAAAAAAAAAAAACATTCAATCCTTCCCGGCGGGAAAAAACAAATTAACAACCGATGGCAGCCAGCATTTCTTCCGATGTAAAGCTTCTCGGGTTCCGAGCAAGCCCATTCGTGAATCGGGCTCAATTTGCCCTGAATCTCAAATCGGTAAACTACGAATTCATTGTAGAGGATACCGATAATAAAAGTGAGCTCCTCCTGAAATCGAACCCGGTTCACAAGAAAGTCCCTGTTCTCATCCATGGAGATAAGCCCGTTAACGAATCCCTTGTGATTGTTCAGTACATCGATGAAACCTGGTCTGATGGCCCTTCTATCCTCCCTGAATCTCCTTATGATCGCGCCATCGCCCGCTTCTGGGCTGCTTATATTGATGACAAGGTTAGTACTAATTCGGTTGTTTCAATCATTTTTTTTATATATATATTTTTTATTCTTCCTTCAAATCAAAGCTCAATTTCTATAATTACAACTCAATGGATTGTTTTTTTGCTGCAGTTGTTTGGATCCATAATGAAATGGCTAACTGATGCAAAAGACGAAGAGTCGAAGGCAGCAGTTCTGGAGAAGTTTAGTGAAAGTTTAGGATTGCTGGAGGAAGCTTTTGTGAAATCTAGTCATGGAAAGGGATTTTTTGGAGGAGAGAATCCAGGGTACCTGGATATCGCGTTGGGTTGCCATTTGGGGTGGCTCAAGGTTGTGGAGATGGATGCAAAGGTGAAGCTTCTGGATGAAACCAAGACGCCGGCGCTTGCAGAATGGTCTCACAGGATTCAGTCTCATGAAGCTGTGAAAGGCACTCTTCCTGAGCCTGATGAACTCCTCAGCGCTCTTTAGAATGAACTGCTTGCTGAAGCTTTCCACTTGAAACCGCTTGTTTCCTCTGCTAAAGTTGTTTTGGAACCTTTTCTTGTTTTGGTTTTCATGTTGTTAGTTTATTGTATTTTGGAATGGATCACATTGTGTTCTTTGTTTTTAATTTTTTTTTTTCTGGAAATTTTCATTGGATTCAATGAAAAAGCTGGGTGTTACAAGATTATAAAGCAGCCTGATTTTCAAATATTTCGTTTCATTTGATTGAAAATTTCATCGACTAAATCGGAATCAACTTTCAAGCGAAGGTGGCCGCAACGCCTATTGAAGCTTAACAGGTTACAAGTTAAACTGTAGTTTGGGTTCAGAGGAGACTATAAACAGGGCTATCATTATCGATCTTTAATTAAGAGATAAATTTTAGGCTTTACATAACTAAATTCTAATATACATTCAGCCGAATTTGTGTTCATCATAATTCATATTCACAAAGGTTGCTTGTAGTGGTCTTGAGTAATTTGTACAGGGACAATGCTAGTGAAGTGTAGTCATGGAAAATTGGAATTTGGAAAGGGATCTTTTATAGGGGACAGTAAAGACTAAAAATAGTACTTTTCTTATTTGGCTCTGTAGTGATGTTGACTTATTGGGATTCAGTGAGTGGATAAGGTTCTATGAATTTAGTCGTCATGGGAAAGTTCTCAGACTCAAAAGTCAAAACTCAAACTATTTTATCATTTTTGCACCTTCAAAGAAAGACGGAAAAAAAACTATAAAGAGCGCCACCACTATCGACCTCTTAAAGACAGCATTCCTTTCTTTTTATGCCTTGCGATACCATTCAGCTGATCAATTAGTTCTGCTCATCATCATATTCAATCTAATATATTACCGAGATGGCACCACCACCAAGTGATGTAAAGCTTCTTGGGTATCGTCCAAGCCCCTTCGTGAATCGGGTTCAGTTCGCCCTCAACCTCAAGTCAGTTGACTATGAATTCATCCCGGAGAATGTGATGGCAAAAAGCGAGCTGCTTCTGAAATCCAACCCGGTTTACAAGAAGATCCCAGTTCTCATCCATGGCGATAAACCCATCTGCGAGTCGCTTGTGATTGTACAGTACATAGATGAGACCTGGTCTGATGGTCCATCTATCCTCCCTTCCCATCCCTATGACCGGTCAACCGCCCGCTTCTGGGCTGCTTACATTGATGACAAGGTAACCCCCTTTTCAACTGAAACTCTGAAACTTTCTTTTCTGATGAATGATCTGTGATTCGAGTGTTCGTACAAGTAAACTGATACAAAATAACCTTGTAAATTAATGATCTGGGTTGGAGATGGCTCTGTATTCATTAGTTGCAACAAAAAGACCAGATCCCACGAAATTCATTGGTTGAGTGAATTTAAGTAGTGGCATTGAACATAGAGACAATCGCGGTTAGAAACAGAGTCCCTTGGCCTGTTTTTTTTTTTTCGATGTTTTTGTGAAATTTTCAAATCTTATGTCTTTCTTCTATTTTTGGGTACGTTGTATGGTTTGGGTTGTGCAATTTTGCAGTGGTACCCAGCGCTGAGGTCTTTAGCCGATGCTACAGAAGAGTCGTCAAAGGCAGCAATTTTGGAGAAAATCCTGGAAGGTGTGATTTTGTTAGAGGATGCTTTCGTGAAGTGCAGTAATGGAAATGGATTTTTCGGGGGAGACAAATTAGGTTACCTTGATCTTGTTTTGGGCTGCTATCTTGGGTGGCTAAAGGTTTCAGAGGTGAATTCGGATGTGAAAATATTAGATGAAACCAAGACTCCGGCACTTGTGGGATGGGCAGAGAGGTTCAAGTCTCATGAAGCTGTTAAGGGTACTCTTCCGGAGGCAGATGAACTCCTCCAGCTTCTAAGAAACATGCAAGCTGCTGCTAATGTTGAAGCTTCCAAGTGAACCCACTGCTACTTTGGTCTTCACAAGCCACAACCTTATTCACTTGGTGCCACCTTGATTGTCTTGTCGGAATAAAAATAAAAATACTTGTGATACTTCCTTGTTTGCTCTGAAAACAATTTATCTCCTCCAGTTTGGTACTACCTTTTTACTCCTTTCAAAATTGTGGATTTCGCAACTTCTATTGGGTAAAGCCCAATCATTTGTGACCAATTTTCAATTCCTAAGTAGAGGTTCCGCAAGGCAGTTTGGTACAACTTTTTGCTATGGAAGCTGCAAACAACTGATCTGATCTCCTTGATTAGTGTAGGACACACATGAGACTTAAGAACACTGGTTTTTATTTACCATGCAATTTAATCCGATCTTATATTAAATCGAGAAACCAAATTGAATCCCATCTACATTATACACTTTGGTAGAGAAAATAGCCGTACCAATGTAACATTAATCCCTAGAATCTCAGCCGTACTCAATACCATCTTGACTACACAACTGCTGTCCACATCGGCCATTAATTGATCAAGATTGAGGCTGATAAATACTGCCACAGAAGTTTTATTTCGCGCCCATAGCATCCTTAACGTAACTGAGTTAGATCCTCTTCTTAGATGATGATTCAATGTACACACATCTAACGAAAGCTGGGAATTACAATTTACATGTATTCAGTTTCAAGACTCTGGTTTCTAGCAGGTTCACTCACTTGCATGGAGAGAAATCACAGAATTTCAAGACCAAACCAATTACAGTACAACACATTCTCAGAAAATTCCCTCCAGTCTACGAGGTTTAGAAGATCGTTGTTTTAAAGCATGCATAGTTTTACTCTGTGTGTGTTTCAAAAGGTAGGAAGATATATTGTTGATAATGGGAAGCAAGTTTATTTGTATGTACCCTGTAACTGTTGTTTCTTTATAATGAAATCCTTTCTTTCAAAAATAAAATAAAATCAGCCCACAAGTTAAAAATCTCTAGAACAGTCACAGTTTATATCTAGCAGTCAGTGACGAACCCAGCCTTCCAAGTCCGCAGGGCTAATCTAAAGTATTATTCTTGAGTATACTAACGGGAAAAAAAGAATATGAATTACATAAATCACTATGTAAGTTTTATTTAAAAAGATCACTCTTCCAGTTATAGCCAATGAATTCTTTAGTTAAAAAAAAATTTGCCAAAATATTTTCCTTAACACAGGTTTTTCTTTTATAGTTACTCAAACAAATCTAGACTGGGCGAGACGGTCTCAAGATTAGATATAAGCCCAAGAAATAAATTATTTAAAGAATCGGGCCTTTAGTTTAAGAAAAATGCCTTAGTCCAAAAGTAATCTTCTTCTTCATTAATATGAATTCCCCACATCTCTTCGTTCTGCAGGGGCGGCTCTCAATTGACGGACCACCGGAAACCTAACCGGAGATACCTACTAGGGGTTTCTCTGGTCGGCCGCAGGGTCGACGGACCCTGGAGGCCCTATGGTAGGTCTACGTCCCTGCTAGCAGTAGACTACATAAAAACAGACAAATTTGAGTCGTTCAATCATCAAATAATAGTACAGCTAATTAGGGAATCTCGAAAGCGGAATTAGGACACACTATACGTAATAAGGGTAATCAGTCCTCATTTGTAGTCTTCTAGTATCTGCATATACCCAGGAACACAGATGGAAAGCAATAATCAAAAGAAAGTTTGGAAGTTGTACAATGGCCAAACAAATAAAGTCGAAAGCAATATTGGTACTTGATTTCCTTTCTTAAGTTCTCCTGAGAACATATGAGGTTATCTATCTGAACCTCCAACACATCAGACAGCGAATGCAAATATTATAACTAGTAGAGTTTCCAAGAACTAGGGAAATTCAAATTTGAGAAGCGCCCGCGCCCCCACACACACACATATATATGGACTATATAAATTGGCCCATCCGCCGTTAACGTCCGACTGTAAGAGGTTATAACTAATAAATAACACTACTTCGCCCTAACGCGAAGGGAAAAGGAAGATCCCCGAACAATCTCCTCCTCCTCCTCTCCCCTACCCTTCTATGGGAGTACTTAGTATTCTCTTAATCTAATTAATTAATTATAATGTGTTGAACTCTTAACTACTTTTTTGATCACTATTAAGAAGTAATGTGGATGTATGGTTTCTGTCCTCAGATAGTACATTTTTGTCAGAATTTTTTTTAACCATTATATTTTTCGATGGAAGTTGTTTATTAAATTTTTGAACCTTAAGTTGTAAGACAAACGCCCGTCTATTGCAAACAATCGGCTGATGGCTGTCTTTGTATGACATGTACAAGTAATGGTATTGAATATTTGACCATTTAGGGTCAAGAGAAACTGAAGCGCTTGGTGCTATAACGAGTTTTGCAGTGCTTTCATATACTGTATATATTTATGAGATAATAACTGCTATAAATATTACGGCAGACTTCTTTTCTGCCTACAAAACGGGGTCCTTACTAAACCCCAGCTGTTCATAATTCACATAATCAATTTCATTTAACCTTACGCAACATAAAATCTGCTCCGGCAACTCCTCGGATTTATTACCCTGTTCAGTGAAAACAACAATCAATCAATCTCGATAATATTAGTACTGAATAATTGAAAGCCAACTAGTGAATTGAAAAAGGGCCAAATCAAAGTGCTTACTTGAATTGTGAGGCCAAAGTCCAAATCGCAATACTTTAACCGGTCTAGGAATGCTTCAAAACCCTTCCTGGAGATGTAGCTGAATCGATGCATATCCAGGTCGATCTCAAGATAGTTCTCTCCCTGCAAATCAGTTCTCTTAGTTTATAAAAAAATCAATGTAGTACTACCACTTCAAACATTTCCATGTTGAACAAAATTAAAATGCAAAAACAAAATAATAACGATAACATTCTGAAACTAGAAGCTACACTGACCAAGTAAAATTCATGTTGAGGACGCGAGAGCACAGGCTTTTCGTTATAAGCATGCATAAGCTTTCTCTCAGCTGCACTTATAGGAAGGTCGTCCACATTGCCTACACGTCCAAGAATTTTTAATCTTTCCCTGAAAGGTACGATTGTGTCTGAGGGAAAACCTTTCACTTTTTCAACTTCGTCATCAATTATTCTCTGATCCAAAAAGGGGAGGCAAACACCAATCAAGGCACCATGAGTAAAACTATAGTATAGACTAGCTCAAGGAAAGAAAGGAAAGCGATTCAGAGATATCCAACTAAAAAAAGAAGGAACATAGTTACATTCAAATTAGTCAATAGAGCTTCTCTTCAATTATTGAGAAACTACACAGCCATCTTCAAATTGCAACGTTCTTGAATATCATCAATTGCAATGAGCAGGGAACCATGCTTACCAGGATGCTTTCTTGAAATTGGGATGAAAGTTCCTTTGCATAACGTTCATTAAGTTTAAAGTACATCACAATACTGAAACCTTCTCCATCAGTTTCATTCTGGAAAAACGTGGCCGGATACAAAGGAATCTGAAAATGTAGCACGAGTTAGATCACAGTGCAGAAGATCTAGCCAAACTTCAGAATTCTATACCAAGACGGTTAACATTATTGATTCCTCATTCACATAAACAAAACTGTTTTCCTATTGCCTTGCTAATCAACACTCCCCATGTGTGGTTACTCTTTTACTTGTACCCAATAAATAAATAAATGAAACTCAATTTTGAATGAACTGCTAATCATGTCAAGGATCCCTTGAACTGCAAGCAGTGGTACCTGAGCATTTACAACAAGAATTGGTGGAAGTTTCGCAGAGTGATTAATGGCAGGGAGTTCTACATATCGAGCAACATGATTTATCTTTTGAGGAGATAAAAATACATCAACACCAAATGGATAATACGCTGCACAGTTGGATGCAAAATCCTTCTTTTTATCCCTGCATGATGCCATAAGTAGATTGAATGAGTGAGAGAAATGAAGACATACAATTCAAAAGGAAAGCGGGGCAGAGTAGATAGAAAATGTGTATACAACAGCTTTTCTGGACCAATGCAGCTTCACCTAGGAATATATAACCACAAGAAAGTAAGTTGAGCACAGTTCTCTTACCTAGGATAATTTGCTCCCCGAACTTTAAAACTACTTGGTTCAATATGTGACCAACTGTCAGAAACCTTCTTTTCCAAAGGACAGAAAGGTACTTGGGCACCAGCCAGTGGCCTTTGCAAGAGCGCTTTGGAAGAAACTGCAAAGATTAAATGTTTAGTAGTGTCTCTCACTTTCTGGGTGCAGTTAAAAACTCAGATGTAGGTGAAATGGAATATTCAGCATTTAGTAATCAAACAGTCCAAAAAGTATTCACATTGACACTTCCTCACAGCCAAAAGAAAAACATAAGCACAAGCAAAGAGCTAGATGCAATATTTCTTATCTTTACCCCTTTTTCTCTTCAGATCTTTCATCCTAACCTTAGAAGTTACAACAGTAACACCACAGGAAGGCAAAAAGACAACTTTGCAGGAGAAGGACATCTGGTATCAGACAGCTTATGCTTATGAAAGCGATCTAGTCAAAGACTTAATCTCCCCATCTTTTGATTTCGAAGATGAGGATAATAGGTCTAAATCAATGGCATCAATTAAATAACTAAAAGATCAATACAGACAGATGCACACAATGACATAACCTTTCTTTGTAGGTCTAAAGTACCAATTTCTACCTGAACCAGCTAATAGACAAGTTTTAATTTTGGTACTCACGTAGGTTTGCACTAGAATTTCCTTCCTTCCACTTGAAAGGATTTTTCAGAGCAGCCTTCTTCCTAGCACTGGGAGGACTTGAGCTAAGTGATCTCCTCTTCTCCACAGAGGGGGCAGTCGAAGCAAGACAAGGCAAACAATTATTTGGAAGAATACCGCAGTTATCAAGCAATCCACTCTCCCCATGTGCATCATCATCTGCAAATGAGAAGATTTCATCAACAAAAACAGCTTGCACCTCATTGGAGGGTACATCAGATTTCAACTAGAAATTAAAATAGTTAGGGTGTCTGGCACTTCTAGAAACCATACTGGCAGAGATGCGAGGAGACTCCAAATGAGATGAATCTTCTGGCCTCTGTAACAGGTCGACAGAGGAGGAGCAATGTGAATTGACATCACCATCTCTGTGATTAGAAAATCTGGGAGATGTAATACTAGACTGTGACAAAGCATCATATGCGCTGACAGAGTGTGCATCTGCAAAAAGTGATAATGTAGTTTGAAGGTCAGTATCAGGTTAAGATACATAACATGCATTAGAAAGATTCAGTAAATAAATAATCCGCATAAATGGTGCATGCATCGAGCTTCGACACAGCACATTGGAGTCTCACAAACAATTGACTCAGTAAACATAATTATTTACCATCAGGAGCACTTTGAAAATCCTCATCGCTACAGTCAGATTCAAGAATTGCAGCTGAATCAAACCATGCCTCCTCAGCGCTTCCTGTTGGCACATTGCAAGGGAATAAACAAATCAATAATCATATATCTGATTCAGAAAAGTAAAGAAAGAGATTTCATAGCAGAATTTCAACTCCATTATGAAATGTCATCAAGTTATCATTCAGTAGAACCACTATCAAATCCTCAAATCCAAAAACTGAAGTACTTATAATCTGACACCATGTCAAATTCTTCAGTGCAGATACAACTCGCTACCAAAGAAAATTTGAATGTGCATTGCTAGTTATAGCACTCAACGCGCAAAGCCTCAACCCAAATAATAAACTTGTCTCAGTTACATCTATTGCAGACTGACAACGATGACCACATTTGTGCTCATTATATTCAGAGTCTAACATATTGAAATATCGAAACAAGTTCTGATCTCTCCTATAGATGATGAACTAATAATAATGAAAATGTGTGATATCACTCTCAAAAGCTATAAACTTTTCAAATTACACTCCTGAGGACCATTGGTGCTTTAACCAACCAGCGTGAATTGGGTAAGAACCTAAACATAAATAAAGCTGTTTGCCACTCATATCTGCCCGGGCAAGTTACAAACTTTCCAAGAACCTAGAATCATTTCTGTACATTGTTTGAATATTATAAACCCTGACAAGTTATAATCACATTACATCAATCCATTAAGTCAACTCCAAACTAAAACACACCAAACCAAAACCAGTCCGAGACTGACTCCATTAAGAAGATGATACACCATATACAAAATCTCAATCGGTATGCTCATTAACAATCCATATCAATGTGATCACTTCAGATTATACAACAACAAGTATTCCAACCCATAAACACACAAACGGATTGATTTTTCTGAGGAGAAAGACAGAACCTTTGAAGGTGGGATTGTTGAAGGAGCGATCCAGAGGAAGAGGCTTTTCCAGTCTATCCAGCGGTGGATCAGACAGTTGAAAAGACACCTTCCGGTTGACCCCTTTCCTTCTCCTTCGGGTCTTCTTCTTTAAACCTCCCAATTTACCCCCAACACAACTATCTGGCCTTGATACGCAGGCCCCCATTTTTAATTCCACCTGGGCTTAAATTACTCCTCCAAAAACCCAGAACCCGCAACTCTAGAATCTAAAACGAATTCGAGACCGCATATATACAGGTCACCACAAAAGAATATTTGATCAAGAGCACTGTGTATAAAAATAAATAAATAATAATCTCTCAGATTGGAAAAGGAGACGTGAAATGGAAGAGAACCCAGGAAGTAGAATAAGAATGGGAGAATAAATGGTGTAAAAGGAATGTTGCATCAAACGTGTGTAAAACTTTTCCACACAAAGGAATCAGAGAGAGCTAAGCAGCAAAAAAAAGAGATTCAAAAAGAGGAGAAGAAGAAAGAAGAAGAAGAACAAAGTCAAAATAAGCACAATAAGAAAGAAACAGAACACGCAAAAATCAGTGTGACGGCAGTTTGAAGACCCCCGGGCGGGGGGAGGTGGGGAAGGTGGGGTCACCGGAGTGGACCCCAACTTGAGGAGGAGATCCACGTGGCGAAATAATGGGCTCCTCAAACGTGTGGGAAGAAGAAGGATTGGTACGTCTTTTCGCCTGGTGGGGGTGCAGTTTCGAGTTTCCGATCGGCCGCAGAGTGACGGCCTTGTTTTTTTAACGTTATTTGTCTCGTCGGCTTATCTCAGCTGCCTGTCACCCAAAATCTTAAATTTTACTGGGATTTGTCAAATGAATCTCATCATCAATTCAGTCCCCACGCCGTACTCCTCCTACTATCTTTTTCCTTTTTCTTCGTTTGTTGTTTTCTTTTTCTTTTTTCTTTTTAAAATGTTAATTACGTACGTATCAAAATGATAAATTTCATTCGCCGAACTGAAAAGGAAGGGAAAAAATGTGATTTTATTAGATAGAGTTTACGGTCTTGTTGATAGTTATCGTTACCGCATATTAGTCTTCCAGAAAAAAAAAAAAAAGGTTGTAAAAGACGAAAAAAGTTCAGAAATAAACCCAAATGAAAAATGAACAGAGGCTCTCTCTTTTTGCCTTATTGTAAAGGACAATTCTATCTGTATCATTTAATGTAGTTAAGTATGAAAGCTGTTATTAGCCATTTTCTTTTTCTTTTTTTTTTAAATCGAGAGCGATTGATAAATTTTGGTTCAAAGTAGTGTATATAGTACTACTTCTGTTCTAAAATTATTGTCCAATTTGAAATTTTATTTTTAGTACAATTTGAACTAAAAATGAAAACTCAAACTGGACAATAATTATAGGACGGAGGGAGTACTATAAACTTATTAGAAAAAAGACTAATACATGTGATTTATAATTAGAAGAAACCACCTAGTAGAAGAACATAATCACATTAATAAAAATGTACGGATTTGGGCCGATTTTGTATAAATTGCATATATTCTAGTACCAAATTATTTTGATGTTGGATTATCACAAGATTTTTGTTTTCTTTATTTAGTATGAACTTTTTTATGGAATATATATTTTGGGGCTGGATTTTAGACACATTTTTACATTAAAGCGAACTACCAAACTGGTGGCTGAGGTTTGGTGTGATTTGAAGGATTTGACCAAATAGGTTAGTTTAAACTTGTATTTCACATCTCTCATCATATGCGTGACAAATTATGAGAAGTCACATAAAATCTTCAACTACCCTTCCAACTTAAATCTAATCTCTCAATTTGTCTTAACCCTTTATATTTAAGAATTAAGGTCGATAGTTGCTACGTCATCGAGTTAAATTATGAAGGTTTAAGACGTCATATTTTTCTTTTCTTTCAAAACCCATGACTTCATCGACTGAATCACCTTTCTAAAAGAAATGCAATAAAATCCTATAAAGTAATACTATATCCATTCATTTTTATAAGATGTCAATACCTAATCCTACACATATAAATAAACTGAAAATGATATATATAGTGAAAAAATAATGACAAAATATAGTAACTGGTGTAGAGTAATTATGACCTTCTATTTTGAAGTTACTTAACCATTAAAATTATATCTTTCTCATAAAATTACATTTTTACCTTTAATTAACAATTCCTCTGTCCCAAAATTATTGTCCAGTTTGAAATTTCACTTTTAGTACAATTTGAACTAAAAATGAAAACTCAAACTGAACAATAATTATGAGTCGGAGGGAGTAATATATTCAGCAAGTGTGGTGTACTTGTCTTTTTATTAGTCAATATACATCTTGAATATACTTAGTTGCTCTAAATAAAATTCAATAATTTTAATTGTTTGTTACAAATATGTTATGAGTTTACTCACTTCATTCTAAAATAAGTATCATTAAATAATTTAAACGGAGTCTAAGTAACAATCAAATAGAGCAGAGAAATCACTATAATATCCTTAACCTACTATATAAAAACAAAAAGGTTTATGTTAATAAATTTTCTTTTGAGGGTAATTTTAAAAATTTAGACAAAAATTGTACTAGAATAGAAAAATGACACTTATATTGAAATTTCTCTATTTTGCTAAAAAAAAATACTTACATATTTCATAATGGAGGGAATACTAAATTGGCCTTATTACGTACATTGATGACTTTGGTTGGAGTAAATTGAGAGATATACTACTGTTGAGGGGTAAACAATGAAAAAAAAATATATCTAAGGAAAATATAAAATCTATTACAAAAAGAAAAAAAAAATTGTCCAATTATAACTCTAATAAAAATATAGAGGTAGTATAAATTAATGGCACACTTTTATGATACAGTAAGGGAGGCTTGTGGCAGTAAATAACGGGGTGGGAATACTGGAAAAATGTGCAGTAATAAATGGGGGCAGTAAATACAGTGCTCAATTTTCACACTCAGCAGTAAAGCAAGGTAGCATTTAAATGTAATAATGTGTTATATTTAGAGCTCTCATTTTCATTTGGTTAGGGGGATCTGAGTAATGAGTAGGATTCAAGTAAAAATGACTTCTTCATTCGTTAGGTGTGGAAATTATATCTGAAGTTTCGTATTTTGGAATGATACAAAAAGAAGAAAGAAACATGTATGTAGTATCTTCTTTTCTTCATTATATTTGTTAAAATTGATAAGTTGTTTAGACTAGAACGATAAAGAATGTAAAAAGAAAATACAAAGTCCCCAAGCAAGTTGATAAAGGCGTTAACAAACAAAAAACCCAAAAAAAATTAGTTGAGCTTTTAAGCATTTACAAAACCCTGCAAGAAATCAATGGCAACATTCCTATCTAACCTTTTTTTTTCGACATTTTCCTTAATTTACTTTCTTATCGTCTAATATTTAACAATTATTGATAGAAAAATTATTTCGAGATATAAAATGAATAAAATCTACAAACAAGAAAATCGACTTCAATTATTCATTGCACTTAATTACTCTCATAAAATAAAATGCTTAAGTATAATAGGGTTAAAATGTAAAGGACAAAGAAAAGAGACTTTTAATTAATCCCCTAAAAACTCATTTCGCACAGCTCGCCATCATTGGTTTTCAAGGGGTGTAAACGAGCCGAGTCGAGCCCGAGTTTACCCATGCTTGAGCTCGAACAAGCCTAAATTTTTTGAGCTCGAGCTCGGCTCGGTCTCTTAACAAGAAACTCGAACTCGATTCGTAACTCGAAATAAATATATATTTTTTATTTTATATATAATATTATAAATTATATATATAATATATTATTTTTTTTAAAAAAAAAAGGACTGGCTCGTTTAGCTCGATGAGCCAACAAGCGAATATTGTTTAAACTCGAACTTGGCTCGTATTCTTAAAAAATCAGCCCGAGCTCGGCTCGAACTCAGTCAACCTCGAACTCAACCCGAGCTTTGACCGAGCCAGCTTTGGTTTACAGCCTTATTCATTCATTTTTGTTTCTGGAACAGAACCACTTCCTTCAAAGTTCAACGGAGATTTTTAAGGATCGTGGTCCCTTTAAAATGTTCAAACATAGAGTGGCAAAGTACAATTATTTATATGATCAAATAGGAAAAAAAATCAACACAAAAACAATATAAATTGATCCAGATTTGACTAGAATGGAATCTTGGATATACCCCAGCACTGCATGTGTGTGTGATCCTAAAACATGAAATAAATTCCTACAACTCATAATGTGGGAAGATGGTTCAAAAGCCTTTGGTCCGAAGTTAATCTAGTGATTGATTATGGATCCAGGACCCATTTCACTCTTCTTGTTGCGTCTTTTTCCTTTCTCATTTATCTCATTTAACTCTCTACATATCTATAATCTTGCTAGGCTTTTTATCTCATCGGCACCAGTTTTTCTGAGGTCTAAAAGGGGTAGTTAATTATGGGAACAAAATTGGAAAACACTCTCTTTTTTTTTTCAACATTTGATTGACAACCACAATTGGCAGACGAAATAATTGATGGATCTTCGCAAAACTCGCATGCATGAGTGGCAAATGTGGCCACTTTGAAGTTTGAATTGACATGGGACTGGACCCATCGAACTCATGAATGATGATGATCATTATTGATGTTGAGTCTATAAGTAAATGTGCGCAGAAAAAAAAAACTAATAGTCTGAGATCTGAAAAAAATGTAATGATAATCCAGCTTTAAATGCGATCATCCTCCAGGACCTCCACTATAGTAAAAGTCTCCTTTACAAAAATTACCACCCGTAGTAAATTTTTCACGATGATGCCTAAAATTCTGGCCCACAATGAGGTAGATGATGCATCAATGGTTAGAACACGTCGATGTTATCCGCGTTTCTTATCATTTGAATATTCTAATTTAGATTTTCAGGTATTCTATCTTCTTTCTTTGTATCAAAAAAAAAAGAAGGAAAAAATGAAAAGAAAACCGCAGTTAGTAGTAGTATTGGGAAAGATACAAACTGATTCTAGAAGTGTGCCATTGGGCGTTGGTGGAGTAAATTGCAAAGAATGGGAGGGAGGAAAGCATGTGTAATTCATGGAAGGATTCGATTTTCTGGCTTTAATGCGAACTTTACCATCTAATCTTGTTATAAAGTTCTCTTCTGACATTGACGATGAAGCAAGATCTGGAATCTCTAAATCCAACCATATCTTTATTTATTGTTCTGCGTTTTTTCGTGATCAATTCTTATCCGAATTTTGACCTCCTTAAAATATATCGTATATTACGTACTCAAACTTTGTCACTTGTCTGATGCCTCAAAAGATTTGTTCAACCATATAATTTTCTCTTAAAGTACAAAAAAAAAAAAAAGAAAAACAAGAAGAAATATAATGGTCAACCTGTTTGAACAGTCTCACAAAAAGGTTTGGCGAAGAGGTACAAACTATCAGTATCATCACTCAATTATTTTGCATTCAACTCGTCGCACTAGGAAGAATTGTTCATGGTGTCTATAACCAGTATGACTTTTCTTTGGAAAGTGATAAGAAGAAATTGAGTGCTTTTTACATCAAGAGCAACCGATCAACATTTATATTATATAGCTTACATCTGTGTTTAATGGCGCATGATAAAATTATAAAGTTATAACAAGTGGATGGAGCTTTCTTTAAAACGAAAAAAAAATGATGCATTTTCTCCGAGACGATCAATTTTTTTAAAAAAAACCTCAAAAGCTGGAGGATACGGTATTATACACCTTTATGTTAAGAATGAGGTGCAGGTCGGTTGCCACTTCTGAACGGCACAAAAACCAGATTCCAACAAACGGATTCTTCTCGTGGCCATTATCAAGGATTTCCCATCATGTGGTGGCCGATACTTAAAATTATTTTTTATGGCTAATCCGAATCCCTTCACAGCTTGACTTCACTGATTTCCATGGAAAACAAGACACTTTGCATTAATTGGTGGATAGATTGTAAAGTCGGTTTCCGTTTTTGTTCGCATGCGCCTCAGTGCATTGTAGTCCAACAAGGCAACAATATGCAAAAAAAAACTTGGAATTTTTTGGTTTTCTGGGGTTTAAACAATTTTTTTTTTATTGTATAGAAAGTCATTGAGGGTTTGAACAAAATGCTCATGGCTGAAGGCCTGATTCCGGAACCTGACAAAGAGTAAGGAGATAACTCCAAGAATCGGGCCTGGGTCAGACAAGGCCAGCCCAAGATATGAACCCTATATGTATCTGTATGTGCTTTGGAAAATCACACTGTTCCGGGTGTTTCCAGAATTTTGAAATGCAAAGTGAACGAACGCACGCAGTTAAGCATTCTTAACAATAAAAAACTAAGAGACTAGAGGTGTAACAGATATTCAACTTATCTATGCATAATGGTATACCTTTCTGATCTCAAAATATGCATTGCATTCGTGATTTTGCTCCTCCAGGTTTCTGCATTATGTGAGTTTTGACAATTGACATACAAGGACTCTTAGGCCGGTGAATGATCTTCATCGTGCTCACCCCTACTGCAAGAGTCCTCCACGGCGTCTGATTTTGAGGGCTCGGAAGCAGATTTTGCTGGGAAATGAGCAGCCTGAATATTTCACATGAAAGAGCGCTCGCAATCAGTATTATCAGGAATATTATTTCTACGTAGCATATGCTATATTATCCATTGCCTCAGAGGAAACAAAAACGAGATTAGAGTCCTAGAATCCAACTCCAAGGAAGTAGGCTGTATATTATCGCTAACCTCAGAGACACTGGAATTAAGCTCGAATTCATTCAAGAGCTTTGCTGTAGGAGTAGAGCACATCTGACATTCTGGCGAACCTGCCAGCAAGATACCTAGAAAACTTTAATAATGAGCATAGACTTTCAAAATGTGGTACATAATACATTAATTGGATTTTACTTTTTCAGGAGATAAACCTGAATTTCCCACAGCTTCTGCAGGAATATTTTGATTATAGACATCTTCAGTTGTTCCAACATTTTCCGAGCTGCACTCAAATAAATGGAAAAGGAATCACTGAAAGCTGAGAACTATACTAACTACCAAAATCATCCACTTAAGAGACAAATTTACGTGATCATTCAATTCAGTTATGGAAATTCGTGGCAAGAAACTATAAACCAGTAATACACAAATACGCAAGAGACGTATATTACCAATTCACTTCATTTCCTGTTAATGTTGCACATTCCTCTGGGGCATCCAATGTTGAGAAAAATGCTTTCTTATCCTGGAACAGGTAGTGACAACGGTTCAAAAGAGTAACAAGTTCAGTTCTTGAAGCAATCAAAGAAATATGTCTTTGGACACTGTGAAACAAATGAACATTATACATTTTAGGAGTAAACTTAGAGCTCAACTTGAATTCAATTAAGTGAACTGATCAAATCATTTCTTACGTATCCCAGAGCTACAATATTTTAAAACAACAGAAGTCAAACTCTACAAGGCAAAAAATAGCATAAATGATAGAGGAGAAAAAAAAAAGCTGAGAAGTGTTATCAGTAGCATTTGTCGAAGAATCACAATCCAGTGTCATGAGGAAGTAAATCAGAAGAACACAACTTAAAGGTGATAGAGCAGAAGAATTCTTTTGGATATAAATTTTATCTAACCTCTTCGTCCATGCGTGACATAGCATCTTGGAACTTCTTCATGACAAAGCCAAGACGAGAAACCTCAAATTGTAAAGCCTGAACAATACATAGCCCATAACAGGAGTAAGAACCGAACTGATGATTTTGAGGTTGACGAAAAAGGTCAATAAAAGGAACAAGTAGTTTTGTACCACACCTGTTTCTCCAAGGCTAGATTCTGTATGATTATTTCTTTGGAAGTTATCGCATTCTGAAGGTTTTACTTGTCAAGACAACAAACTCTACAAGTTTCTGTTGATTGCTAAGATTATACAACAAAAGAAATATATAGAAAGTACAACAGTTTCAAGGATATCTCGTCGACGCTGGGATGGAAGTCTTCGCTAAAATTTGCAACCTCTAGTTGTGCTTCCAATACCAAAATATTTTTATCCTTTCTTTTAAGCTCCTCTTTATAGTGTCTAAGTTGGCTTTCAAGGTTATTAATCTTTTCTGCAACAAAGAAAGTGGGGGTGAAATCTTTAATAAAAAAACTATGTGTGCAATATGTTTCTCCATCTAAGAGATTCTCAATCAAACTCATAACCCATAGGTCTCATAAAACGCATTATCCATAGATATATGCTCTTCAGAAAGTACACAAAGTTAAAGTTGACATTTTCAAAAGAATGTTGCAGAACTCAATGCGACAAACAAAATGCCAGGAAAACTAGGAAATAAAATTACCAAAAAATTGCTTCTCCCATGTAGAAACCTCATCTAGCTTTCTCTTGAAACTAGCCACTGTGGTGGGGGAGGGGAGAAACAGAACTATTAGAAAGGGAAATGAAAAAGCTGAAACGTCATTTCCATATATAATTCAAGTTGCTAGCACACAAGGAATTGGTACCAGTAGAAGTAAACTGAAAAAGCTACGACCTACTTCATCTCTTTCTTTAACAATCCGATCTGCATTATTCATGACCTGCTTGATAGAGTTAGCATCCTTTTCAATTATGTTGAACAGATGTGTATGAGCTTTGATCTTCTCCAAAAGAATAGAAATCTTTCTATCCCTGTCTTCGATTTCTCTTTTCAATCCACCATAAGAGTCCTGTGAATTCATATGAAAAAACTCAATCGTGCACATAGGCCTCTTTGATAACATGGTCTAGAAAAATTAAATTTTTAAACCATCCAATTGAGTATAGCAAAAACGAGAATACAAACTTGATCACAAGTGATTGATTATGAATGCATTAGAAGGACATAAAGTGAGAGTAACCAATAGACATGTAAACGAGCAAATAAGGCGATTAGACATGCGCGTAGGATGCTTTGAGATGCCCCAACCAGACATTGAGAAAAAATAGAATCACTAACTCAAACAAATAAAAATCAGGGAAAAAAAAAAACCGATTGCAAAGATGTCATAGCACAATTTATACAACCTCAGAGAGAATATCTGTATTAACCAAACACGCAATAAGGCTCGTGATCCACATAGCCAACCCTGAATTAGGAGCCACAGAAATGTTCATTGCTATTATATTTGAACTTGGATTAACAAAATTAAAATGATCATTCTCTTTCTTTTTGTAAGGCATCTCTTTATACAGACAGAATTTTAGTTTTGATCTTGAAACTGGAGAAGAAAACAAACCTCATATACTTGAACAAAACTATCTTTGGATTGAAGTAGGCCAGTTATAGTCTCCTTCAATTCCTTCTGCTTATTCTCAAGCATACAATTTTCACTCTCGAGAAAAGTCACCTGCAAAACAAAAATAATCCCCTCTTACTACTACAGAATCGATTAAATTCAATCTGATGGAGAGAAAATCATTCAAACAATAGTGGAAAAGCACGAACCTTCTTTTCAAGTTTTTTCCGGATTTCATTTGATAACCCTAATTCAGCTTGCAAATCAGCTATCTTACGACAGAATTCCTCGTCCTTCTGAGTTTGCTTCTGCAAACATTCACCATCATCCCCAAACAATTAATGTTACTACGGCCACAGGAGAGTCTCTAAGAGAGGGCAAAATGCAGAAATTCGCGCTTTTTCCAGGAGGAGAAGAAGAAAAAAAAAAGAGCGAAACCTGAATCATGAACTGAACCTGATCGCTAGCCGATCGTTCCTTTTCCTGCAAATCATAAAATTAGGGCAAAGAACCGTAAGGAATTACTAGTAATTGCAAACATAGGGGTGAACGATTTTTTGAATTTAGTGATTGATTACTTGGAGTTGTTTGACTTCGGAGATTAAGGCCTTCAGTTGGAGCTTGAATTTGGAGAGCTTCAGAAGCTCCATTTTCCCGTCGACAATTCTCTGCAACGTCGCAATTTTATTTTCTTTATTATTCCTTCCTCTTTTCCAGTTAAGTTATTCATCAATTCAACTATTCAAGTTGATAGCATAGCCGCGAAGTAATAATCAAACGTCCGGTCAGGATGTGCTAAGCGGCGTCGTTCGGGCCATTTAAGGTTGCCGTTACCCCCTACCTTCTTCTAAGAAAAAGGCGGGAAATTGGATATGTATCTATGTATTATTATTATATTAATTTATTTATTTGATCTTTCATATGTATCTTTTATATCCACATTTTTTATTTTCTATTTTCAATGCTTAGGATACAAATTTAAAACTAAAATATAAACCGAAAGTAATGTTCGCATTAATCCCTCAATCTAATCATGGTGATCATCATTAGAAATGTAAATCGGATACCAATTTACGTACTTATATAATTTTTATTTTCCACAATGGTTTATCCAGTCTCCGTAAGTACCAAGTTGGAAAATTAATTCCCGATATTTTTCTGTTTGAAAGTTTTTTTTTTTAATTCATATTGGATACACAATAGACAATACTTACAATTTCAATTGTGACAAGGTTGCATGATGATGATGATGATAATAATAATAATAATAATAATAATAATAATAATAAATGCAAATTTAAGCAAGACGTGAAAGCAGGGGTCCGTGCACCCAATTCATAGAGGCTGAACCTACAAATTCGATCCAAAATGCTTGACGTATCAAGCTGTAGTTGTCTACCATTGGGCCCTTCGATCCTTTATTCTTTCTCTTTGTGATTTTCGTAAGTACATTTCCATTTGGTGGGCGGTCCATCGTGTTTCTTCTAAGAAATTTTTGCTTCTTGTACCTAGCTGCCCTTTTGTAGATACAAACACACCTCGGTATTGCTATTACTTCAAGACTTTTTAAGTCTACAACTAGAGTCAGTACTCTGTACAATGTGGATATACGTATAGTGATTCGGTTTGATACACCATAGCCATACATGTATCGTGTTATGTAACGAGAATATAACTTTTGAGATAGAGAAAATGATAAATGTAAAGAAATATTTATCGTGTGCATTATGCCAATACAAGATTGTGTGCCCGTGTAATACTCTCATGTTAAAATAATTGTACTCCATTTGCTTTAAAATGATTGTTATTTTTTTTTAATTTTTACTTTACATATGATTTTTATTATAGATGAAAATCTAAACTAAACAATTATTTTGAGATTGGGGGAATAACTGTTTGTTCAAAGTATATTTGAACTACTATGTGACGTAGAGTTGAGTTGATGATCATTCTTGGAAGCTAAAATAAACCCAAGCCCTTCATTATCACGGAAAAATGTATCGTTGGAAGTTTTGGACGAAACAGCGAGATAACAAGTACTTGCGTTATGTATCCACCGAAATACAACGATCTTCTTAGATATCAGAGAATCAAGACATTGACCAACCCCTATAGTAGTTTAGTTGTCACTTTTACTTGGTGAAAATTACGAAACTTACTTACTATATGGTCCATTTTGACAAAGACTGGTCACTCACGCCTCCCCACGCATTGATTCCCACCCAATATTATAATTTGCAGTGTCACGTTTCATACTGAACTCGAGAAAACAAAATGTTAAAGCCGAAAATCAAACGAGTTGACAATAATTTGCGAGGTACGCAGTCCCCTCTCCTTTTGGTTCAATACACAATCGTATTCGAAATCATTGTTTCAACTAATTTAAAATCGAATAATTATACAATTCTCATTTTCTCTTTAGTTAAATGGACATATTAATTATTGATCAGAGAAACTCTAAATAATAAGGAACCCAAATTTGTTTTGACAACGTGAATAATTTTCCCACATGGAACGCATGGACTATAAGTAATTAGCATGTATGTAGAATCGCATCATATTATAGAGTGACCCTAGCTATACGCATGTTATTTTACCCCAAATGGAGAAATGCATATATTCTAGTTTATCCACGTGAATAAACCCAAAGGAGAATTTCTTACCACAAAGGATGATATCTCCAAAACAGATGCTTTCAAACTTGTTCCTAACGTCAAATTGGTTTTATATGGAACAAAAGTTCAATTGTACCACGAAATCTCAAGAGGAAAAAAGAAAAGAAGGTTGATCAAATGGTTCATCAACACGTGAGTATTGAAAAGCTGCTTAGATATATAAGATGGTAGTACATGAATGCATGGTGGCGCACAGCGCTTTAGGTTGACGTTAACAATGTCTGGCTAAATCTGATATGAGGCAGGCACATTTCGGTTAGCTTTGGGCATCAATAGTAGTTTTAAAGAGCTATCACTACCATTCTCTTTAATGCGCATTTTCCATCTTTCTTTCGTGTTCTTCTTCTTTTTTATATACTATACACTACTAAACAAGATAATATTCTTTCCGTCTCGAAATAATTATTTACTTTGAATTTTTATTTTTAATATCTTTCTGTTCTAAAATAATAATCATGTTTGATTTTTTCTTTACTTCCATTATAATTTCAATAAATAATTAAAAGTTAAATTAAATAATTATTTCGAAATGAAAGAAATATAAATACTACGAAAAGTGAAATCTCATAACGTTAATAATTTTTGTTCAGCTGGAGTATATGTGTATATGCCATGACCAAGACTCGGGAGTATTGTTAAAGTTTTTTTCATCTTTCATTTTTTTTAAAAAAAATAATAATAATTATTCTTTTTTTTATTACAAAAAATAATAATTTTTCTTGTTGGCTGGCATTAATCAATCTGGCCCAGTTACCATTTCATAATGTTTGGTGGGTAATTAACTACCACCAATTGTCAGTATATAAGCGATAAAAATGTAATTGACTTTTTTACCCAACATCCGCTGACAATTACTACTTCTTTAATGGCAATAATTTGTATAAAATTACTGACGCATATACAAGAGCAACGCAGATTTCGTTGTAGAACGCCCGGACAGGTATCAGAACTTTGACAGTAATCTGTGCCTAAGACATTGACGTATTTACATACGTACTTTATCTCAGCCACGTAAACATTTAATTGAATAGTGGTAATCTTCGTTATAATTACACATTCATTCGTTGTTATTCGTTAAAGGAATTGACAAATTGAGAGCAAGTATTTTATAATACAAACAAAATTTTATCAATTGTCAATATTACACTCATATAAGATTTGAAGAATTTATCATATTTAGTCATCCTTAATTTTCTCTCCTTTAATGTTTAATTCTAGTATCTCTTTTTGCAAAATTATGAAATTATGACTTCTCAAATAAGAAAAAGAGAAATATTATGTTTGAGACTTAAAAATTTAGATATAATTAGAAAAAAAGTCTTTATTGAACTCCTTATAGCAAAAGTACTCTTCTTTTATTAGGATTTTGTATGCATTATTTGTTAGTAGAAAAAATATAGATTTTGGAATAAATTATTTTGTGTGTTGCATTAGTATTGTTGCATCTTGGGGTGATAATTCGTTGTTAATTAGTAAATCAATTTTTACTAATCAACATACTAAATATTTTTTGGTTAAAATGTAAATGATTTTATAACTCCCACAGTTTCAACATATAAATATTGAAAAATATTTTTATTGAATTTTTTTGAAGTTGTTTTCCTTTTCAAGTTATTTGAAGCCAGTAAAAAAATCATTTTTAGTTGTTTTGCTAGGTTATGGTAACTTTTTGGTGTTCTAATTTACTATTTTCTTAAGTAAATATTTTTTTTCCTTATTGTTGTTGTAAAAAGAGGTGGAGTTAAGGAAAGAAGGGAGAAATTCAAGGGCTAATAAGTATGATGTATTGAAATCTTACTGAGGGTAATATAGGTAATTTTAAAAATTTTGCTCTCAATATAAAATTTTAGCTCTCAATTTATCAGTTTTAATGGCTTTGATTTTTGGGGATAACGATTTACTAATGGACGTTTGTGGATAGTCCTATGTTGATAAATGTAAATTACCTACTACTCTTTCCATTTCAAAATATAAGTCACTTTAGACTTTACACATAAAGTAAGGAAGCAATCATCCAACAATTAATTTATGCATTAAACATCTGTTTTACCCCTCATTAATTACATTGGAATTATAAACAGAACTAAATAAAAATAACTTAACATCATTTATTGAGAGCAAAATTAGAAAAATAGTCATTAATTTGCATAGAATTTGTAAAACGACCTACATTTTAAAAAATTCTCTCCAAACCTAAAACGACCTACCAATTGAAATTAAAATGGAGGGAGTAAATCTTGAAAAGTTGTAAACACCAGATAGATTCTTATTCTTCTTTCTTTTCATTTTTTTTTAATACATGTGTGTAATGGGTTCGTGTACTGTTTCGGATTTAATAGGTGAAAATAATGTTGAAACTGCATTTAAAATGCGTGAAAATGTATTCCTGCAAATCTTGATGGCCGGCCTGAAAAACAAGAATATCTCGCACTAGCTGTAGTTTGTCGATGTTTTGCCTCTGATATTGTGGGGGCAATGAATTGCAACTTTTCTTCGAACTGGTCTGTTTAGTACGATAGAATTGCAGTCTATAGTATCTTCATTACTCTATTGTTCTTATCACTGGTCATCTTATCTGGTTTTTGGCCTCTTGATCTTGACATCAATATCTTTCTTCCATTTACGTTTCATTTATTGCCCAAAATATCACAAAGAAAATAAGTTCACCTTCATCAACGATGGTTAGAGAACCTGATTCAAAATAGAAAGGGGTTAAATGTAATATTCATTTTGCAAACTGTATATAATAGATCATGACAAAAATAAACAGGAGTCAAATTTTTTCTTATAATGTTTGATGTAAATTTAAAATATATTACTTTATCTATTCTTTAATTTTTTTTTTTTAGAGCAGCGTGCTCAATTACATTTTAGTCACCTAATAGAATAAAAATGGAAGTATGTTCTCTTCATTTTTATTATTTTTCTTGAAGCCGGGGTAATGAGGAGATACATTTAACAGAATAGTTGTGTCATTACACGCTCTCTTCATTTGGAGTTAGCTAAACAGCAAGATAGAGTCCACAATACCAGTTGAATCAAATTCTATTCAGGCCCTTCGGTTAGTTGGCTGTCTGGACGATGGAACTCTAGATATCAACCTTTTGAACTCTATGCGCAAACAATGTTGGCTTTAGAAGGTGCTTATTGATAAGAAAACTGTCTTCTTTTTCTTCAAAATGAAGCTGCAGATATGTGCAATTGTAACCTGAAGTTTGTGTTTGACCAGAAAACAATAAAAATAATACTTCCTCCTCCGTCCCACAAAAATAATTCATATTGAATTTTGAATTTTGTACTATTTTTACTACAAATTTAAGAACTCAATGTGGACTACTTTTTGGAGACGGAGGTAGTAACAAAATAAAAAAAAATGTGATGTCTACATCTAGCCTTCTAGGGTTGGGACATTTAATGCGTGGGTGTATAATATTAGAGACAATTCAGAGATTGGCAGGGATGGAGATAAAATGGCTTCTCTCTTCAGTGAATTGGATTAATGAATCTGACCAATCTCGACATTTGCAAGATATACTACTCCCTCCGTCTCAAAATTATTGTCCAATTTGATTAAGATATTGATTTTATTTTTTGGTCAAACTCAACTAAATATTTGCAAAAGCTTCCAAATATACCCCTGGGTACATAATGGTCTTACCGATGCACAAAAAGAAGAAGAATTTTTTCTACTCCTTCAGAGTCCCTTTTTTTAGCTTCTCTCTATAATCTCTCTCTAAGCTGAATTCTCTTGAATCAATAGCACTAGTAGCCATCTCCGTTTATCTCTTATTATGTCCACGTTTAATCGACATGGAGGCTGAGGGGTCAGTTCTAATGAAACACGATAATAACAGCTTCCCAATTCAAAAATCATCGTCAATCTCAAAAAGTTAGAACAATACACATCTATAAATTCTCCATTAAGACTCCTAGCTATAATTGAACTAAATTTCAAGTTTGGAGTCTTCTTATTCTATGGTTCAGAGAAGAAAATGCTTTTATATCGCCGGAAAGTTTCCCGCCGGCAGAGATCGGATAGAGTTTCACCAATAAGGCCATCACTTGTGCTAATAGAACCAAATTTTCAAATGAATTCACTCGAATTCGGAGAAAGTTTATACTGTGATCTTCAATTTGATGCTCATCCATTTGATACGGATATCCTTTGAATTGATTGACTGCGGTTTCGATCCGACGCCGGTATTTATCCTGCATATTTTTCAATTACCCGGTCACCTCATTTTCACCACCACTTGCCTTTTAGAGTTTAGCCTTCCTTTTCCTTTTCTTTTTCCTTTTTTTTTTGATGAATATTAGCCTTCCTTTCCTGTGTAGTTCGCTTCTGCAGTGCATTGAGAGAATACGGGAGAAAAGGTTTCAGTTGAATTATTGTTTTGACTCAAGGGTATATGTGTAACTCAACTCATAAAAAGTCAAATCGGATAATAAATTTTAAGACAAAATTTTTTTGGTAAAGTGGATAATAATTTTGGGACGGAGGAAGTATTCAATTTGCCCGTTCTAAACGCGCATAATCAAACCATAGTCTTCAATCAAAACATGTTGAAATGGAAGCATCCCATTCCATTCCAAATTGGTAACTTCCGTAGTGGCATGAATCGAATTAAAGGAATATATACATGCATCGTATTTAAATTAATCTTCACTCGACATATATAAATTCTTATCGAATTAATTTATTATCATAAGTTGTCTATTTTTTACTCCCACTGTTTCAAAATTATTGTCTAATTTGAGATTTCACTTTTAATATAATTTTAAATTAAAAATGAAAATTTAAACTGGACAATAATTATGGAACGGAGGGAGTACATGTGATTCCTGCTCATGTCAATTGATACCGACGTGTATGAAAGTTTGCATTGAGAAAAATAACCAGTGTTAGACATTTGTAACGTTCGGTGTCTTTCTTTCTATTTTTTTTGGAATTTAACAATAATTAGTGGAAACAAATTTAGTGGAAGCGAATTATTTACACACAAGATGTTCCATCATGCTATCTTATCGTTCATAAAATTACACATCTACATCACTTTACATGTATAATTGAGACAAATGTCAAAGTCACAACTCACAAGCCTTTATTCTGCAACTTAAAAGAAAAAGCAAACAATATAATTACCTTGACATGATAACTTCAATTGACACATCCTTAAATCATTAAGATGGATCAAGCTTTTCTTTCTTGTTCCTGTGCACAAAATAAGCAGTACTCCCTCCATTCCAAAATAAGTGTCATTCTAGAGTTTGCACATAGTTTAAGAAAATATTAAATAAAGTAACTAAATTACTAGAATATCCTCAACCAACCTCATTAAAATAAATGTTTCCCAATAATATTATTTCTTTTGAGGGTATGTTTGGAAATTTTTGACAAAAAATGCATTGAAATCCGAAAACGATACTTATTTTGGAATTTCTCTATTTTGCTAAAACGACACTTATTTTGGAATGGAGAGAGTATTAAAAATTATAGTTCAATTGAGATACCGTCCCAAAACATGCAAATTGCAAAACTAAGCTCCAAAAAGGTGGGCCAAATTATGTATGATTAGCCTCATAATATTCCAAATCCTCAAAAATCTCGCACATACAAAGCTTTGCCATTTTTCTCAACTCCACAACTATCATTATCACTAAATTTCCGCAAATAGACTACTTAATCGCAATCCAATCCAAACAATCATTAAATCACTGTACTTTTAAAGGTACTCACTAATCTCTTTTCCTTTTGTTTATTAATAATCCAAAAGCCATCTTTTACATATCTTCTGGTCATTGCTAGTTTTATAACCTAATAGCGGTTCCCGTCAATGTCCAATGAATCTCCAGCCGTCGATAGCGATACATTTTTTATCTTACCTCATCAATCTGAGATCCCATAAAAAGAAAATTACATCTAAGATTATCAAAGATATCATTTATATGATTATTTTTTATAGTACGTCTTATATTTCCCATTAATTGGTAGATATATCGAAAAAAAAAATTACTTGAAAAGAGGACTTTTTTTTTTGGGAAAATTTTGAAACTTAAAATAATGAACAAAAAGCTCCCACACACACACAAAAATGTAACAACTATAATACAAATTTATTTTTGTTCATGAGTACCGTGTACATATTTCACGCTCAGATTAATTTTTCTTTTTTTCCGATTAAAAGGCCCTTTTCTACTTCTAGTATTCATCCCCATATTAGACGTAGAGACTTTATTTTCAGTTATGGTAATTTCAATGATTAAAACACTCCTACTCGACCATATTAGTTTTCCAACCGTAGAGTACAAATTTATTAATACTACAACAAATGTTAATTGTTTCTGTCTAAACAAATTAATTCACTTTTATTATTTGTTGGGAATGTGTGGGTTGAGTTAAATATACGCGCGGAGGGAGGGGTAAGGGAAGTGAGCGATCTCTTTTTAGGACAAGAAACGCTGGACCCTCCGAGAAAAGCTCACTCAAAGTCAGTTGTTTTCAACTCCCGAGGAATGAGAGAGAGTGCAAAGGAGTAAGCTAGAGTGAGCCAGTGGGTACAGTGAACCAACGACCGCCATAATCTCCGTCTTTTACTCTCCGGTTCCGATTGGTCGCTGTTCTTTCAACTTATTCCTCCGTCTTAGCTCAGAGACAAATGTGGTGCTTCAGTTTCTTCAACTGAATAAAGGAGAGGAGAATCGATTTGCATTTCGGATCGGGTTCAATAATACATAGACATGGATCCGCAAGCGTCCTATAATTTAGGAGGTGATACGGCGGCGTATAACTTACCGGAGATCTGGCAGTTCCCGATGAATAACGGTCCCGGTGCCAGTGTGACGTCGTTTCACCACAGTAATGCCACCACGAATGATTTAATTGCCAGTATGAGTATGAATACAAGCATGAATTTGAGTGTAAATCGAGACCGTGATCCGAATATAGTTATGGAGCAAGCTCCGAATCCGACTCCAAATAATAGCGGTGGCGGGGGCGGCGGTGTTCGGAGGAGAAGAGAGGACGATGAAGCAGTTAAGGGTGCTTCAACTAGCAGCAATGGCAATGCCACGGTAATGTCTAAATGAGCTTGTTCCAATTTTTTAATTGTTTTTTTCCCCTCCAAGTCAAATATGATAGTCTGAAAGTTAAATTCAGACCGTTGTCTTCATAACTTATCCATTTCTAGCTCAGTTGATCCGGATGGAGTTCTTGCTCCCCAATTTGAACTTGTTCGAGTTAAATATCCGAATGCTGAAATTAATGTGTGAAATGCTTGGATGGTTTACTAGGAAAACTAAAAAAGTTATTGAAATTCTTATACAGGACCTTCTATTGAGCTACTGACTACGATTTCTGCTATTTTCTTGTATTATCATTTTTTAAAGGCTAAACTATCAATACCAGATGTACAATCTTTACAGCAGACTACAAAGGCTATTCTCAATTTTTCGTCGGATTTGTTGACTTAGTTTTCTCCAAAAAGTGGAGATTTAAGTTGCCAATCCTTGAATTCAAAATTAATTCAATGTTGCCTATGGCTTAGTAACTTTTTTGTAATTTGGCAGAATGAAGGCGATGCTAAAAGGCTCAAGTCAGGAGTATCAAGTGAGAATCGCGAATCAAAAGCAGAAGGAGAAGCAAATTCAGGGAAGCCGGCGGAAACATCTGGAAAACCAGCTGAACCGCCTAAGCAGGACTACATCCATGTGCGAGCGAGAAGGGGTCAAGCTACAGATAGTCACAGCCTAGCAGAAAGAGTAACTTTTGCTGATCTTTACCTTCTGCTTAGTGAATTCAGTTATCTTCCCCAGTGGTTTAAATTTCATAATTGAATGAAAGATTTACCGTTCTTAATCCTATCGAGACCAGCTAAAAGCTGAAAGCTGCGATTTTGGTTCAGCAACGTTGCCAGTATTAATTGATTTCATAAATATTGTGTGCAGGCCAGGCGAGAAAAGATAAGTGAAAGAATGAAAATTCTCCAGGATCTAGTCCCTGGCTGTAACAAGGTAAAAGCATTCTACTTATTTGCCTTTGAATTTTATTCTAATCTTTTTCATTCTCTTGATGCTGTTTAGTGTTCTGAATTTTCTTAACATTCTGACAACTGAAATGACATTAATAGCAGTGTATATGTATGTTATTCTCTTTTGTGAAAAAACCTACTTTCTCGCACAAAGAGTCTAATCTTTGTTCCATTCATTTTTTTGGCTGTTCTACTTTATCTTTGTTGGATGGCACAAATAGAGCTCAATTCTATATCCTGCATTTGTTACGTTTTCGATGTTTATGGTTCTGGACTTCTGGGAATAAATTGGAATACAACTCATGCTTGTATAATATTATTGAGGCAGCATACAAGCTTGCTGGCAGCATCATAGAGCTTTCGATTGCAATTTACGTTTTTGTATTATTAATACTGCCCATCTGGTGAATGTTCTCATCGAATGGAATCCTAATGACTAGCTGGCATTATCAGGAATTGTAGCTGATTTAACTATTTAATAGCAATTTTACCCTTTCCCAAGGCAAAACAAGTGCTCTAGGATGAGAAAAGAATTTTATAAAGAAGATGGGATCATAGACATTACATTTATTTAACAGTATACTGTTGCGAAGAGTATATAATGGCACTACAGTTGTAAACTGCTTTCCTTGTTCCTAGGACATCTCTCTTTACCTTCTTAGTCTTATGTTCTTTCACCACTGTTTGAATCCATGAAGTTACCTTTTCAGCTTCCTAGGAGACGAGGCAATATGTCTGTTGGTTGAGAGCCTTCAGGCTTAACTGTTTCTTGAGAATTTGATAAGAAAAAACTACAAAACTTATTCCTACTTGTCGCCATCACACATACTGAAGTCACGGGAAATAGCAGCCTCCTAACACTAATTTCTGCATGAGTTCAGGTGATAGGCAAAGCTTTGGTCCTTGACGAGATTATCAACTACATCCAGTCCTTGCAGCGCCAGGTTGAGGTATGCTTCTCTCAGGCTCTTGTGCTCATTTCTGGTAACGGGGAGTATACTTCTGATGTAGCCAATAGTGTAATGTCTTATGGAATTTAAAATTATTTGCCTACCAGTTTCTTTCCATGAAGCTTGAAGCAGTAAATTCAAGATTAAGCCCTGGACTAGAAGGATTTCCTGCCAAAGATGTAAGTGCTTAACACAACTCATTTTTTTCCCCTAAATTATAGGAGTTATATTGAAATGTCATTTGGAAATAGTGGTTATGTGAGGTGAGTTCCTCATAACTTGCATGCAACTTGTAAATCCATTGCAAAATCACATACCCTTAAGATCGCAATACTTTTTCAGCATTGTAAGAGTTTGAGATCAAGCTATATGTAACTATCTACACAGAGTTTAATGGACTTACTCAAGCTATGAAAACACCTGGGTTGGATTGTCAATAATACTTTTACTTAATATGTTAAAAGTAGTGGAGCAGAACTGTGCTGAAGATCAAAGATAAGTTGTGTAGTCAAAGATATTCTGACATCACCGCTAAGCTCAATAATCATTTGTTTTAACTATTTACTGAAGTGTTTAGAAGCTATTGACTTTGCTCCGGACTTGAATTCATCATGTACAATGTAAAACCGAGGAAAAAAGGCTGCATGTTGGCAGTTAAGTGTGTCTTCTATGACAGATAGAAAGAGGATAACTTCCTCAACATCATTTGTTAAAGTTTGATCCTTACATCTTTTATGTTTGAAGTTGCTCACATTGACATGTTATGTTTTCCAGTTCGGCCAACAGTCATTTGATGCATCTGGAATGGCCTTTGCTTCACAATCAATGGCGAGGGGTGCATCACCTGAGTGGCTACACATGCAGATTGGTGGCGGATTTGAACGGTCGTCATGAGTAAATAATTTATATCAACTACTACTAGTAAGAGTATTGGGAACTTTGCCCATTCTTTCAGTGGCCATTAAATACACCCATCTGTTCGGTCCAAAGAAAAAAAAAACAGTATCTCAGTTCCACATTCCTAATCATGCTTCGGACGTGAGTGCTGTCTGTGTGACTACCGAAGCTCATGTCATATAATCACTACCATCTTTTGTGTCTCAAAGAAAGAAATTGGTCAACATCCATACAGCTTCTGGCAGGGTTAATCGTTAATTCTGGTATAGTATTCTTGTGAAGTTTGCATGCGAAGAACTTATACACTTGGATTGATTCTGTTCCCAAAGTTGTTTGAGATTGAAGGTACTGAGAAGCAAAGTTCTAGCAAATAAATGAAATTTATGAGCATGTAGTTGCTTCTTTCATATGTCCCGTTTGCGTTTGTTTTGACCTGTGGCTGAAACTGGGAATTGTTGGATTCTAATGGTATATCGTATGCAATGATTTTGGAACATCATAAATAATATGTATACAGACCTTCGAAATCCCTCATCACCTATAAAAATTTAACTATGTATTGAGGGCTCTGTCTGTAGCAATCTGCGCAAGATAATACTGAAAACATTCCACAATCTAAAAGGACTTTAATTTTTGAATGCTTCTTGTTACTTGTGAATTCATTGTCGAGTGTTTTTCTGTGTCACACCTAAAGCCGACTGAAGCATGCTGAAGATGCATCATCTGAAGTACATAGAAATGTGTTACCATACAAGGAACGGAACAGATCTTGCGAATAAGGACATAGCTAATTAGGTTATTGGCTGTGGTCTGCCGTAAGAAGACCGAGGGTGGTGAGGACCATTCGCACTGGATTGAAAGTATGAGACGGCAGACCAGATAACCCGCAACAGCAAGATTACCCCAAAGACAGTTCCACCAAGTGTGCAGACCACCTAAACGAAATACAGATTATTATTTATTTTCCTTCTCATCATTGATTTTGAACAATCCTGTGTAGCTTAAGGTAGACAGCAATGATGTAATACTACAAAGTAAGAAACTCAAACAGTAATGATGATGAAGTATACCTCAAGAAGCGCTTTCAAAACAGAAAGTGAAGCCAAGAGCAGAACCCCATCAACTGCAAATGATACCTGATCGATTTGATGGAGTAAATGGATAAGAATGGTCATCAAGAGTTCAAGGCTTTGAGATACTACCAATTAACCGAAAAATTAACATCCAGAAATGTAGAAACGTTACCAGTTGGGGTGAGAAAACGTCGGGCAAAACGCTCCGGGAAGCTTTCCGAACTTGCTTTGAGACTTTCTTGAACATGCTGTGAAGCAACTTTAATAGCAAATCAACGCTGCTCTCCGTGTTATCCTCTTCTTCTTCATCGTCATCAATGTCATATTCCTCCATCACTTCACTCCCTCCAAAACTTACTTCATTCAAATCCCCCGACTCTGCGTTTGTCTAAGAAAAACAGAACAAAGAAAAAAGGTCGAATAATAATGTTAGCAAAACGGGATTCATTTCGTCGTATTATCTGTAATTGCGGTGGGTACCTTGGCTTGGCAAAGCAGTAGATGTGTGATTTTGTGGGGATGGGAAGGAATTGAAGAAGGAAGTTGGATTGATTGGAGACGTTTGTGGAGCGGAAATACATAATTAGAGGAATTGAAGGGTAGCTGGGTCGATACAGTGGCAATGGCAGCTCCCGCCATTGGGGAACACTCTACAGTCTACAGTGATGAAGATAATCTTCCTTCCTTCCATTCCAAAATTAAGACTAAAATAATATAAAAATGGGTCAATTGGACTCAAAAGTCAAATAAATTAATTTGATCCATTTAATATGTAAATGGTATAAATAAAAGTTCCATGTCAATGTTTGACTGGCATCCAAGGCTGTAGCGGATGATGCATTCCATATTTCCTTGTCATCATTACCTTCCAATCCTCGATATATGTAAAATTCATATTTTCTTGTCCGTAAGATAATTTTAGTCAAAACGAATATAAAACAAAACTCTTCTTATCTACTGCAGGAACTGTGTTATATACACACCGAAGGGTGTATCTATGTAATTAATGATCCAATTATACGCTTGGTTTTGTTCATTTCTGGGTGTTTTCTTAGATGTTGTACACACAAAAAGATTGTCAATTTCTACGAGAAAGTAGAAAGAAAATTAGGAAGAAAAAAAAAAACAAACATTCCATCGCCCGTTGGATATGGGCTCAATGGATTGGAGTGGCAGTCGCTGTTGAAGAAAATGAGTGGACTTTGTGGAAGGCAAGAGTTATCAGGAAACACAAAGGATTAACTGAAAATGTAATTTACGTCTTTCTGAAGATTTTGATCTAAAGCCCAATTTCAGAAGTGTAAATCCTCTATTATACATTACTTATATGATAGCAACACGGGATGAAACCATCAGGTTTGGTTGGAATGTTGGAACCTTCAACGTAAGTTGTAGCACATTTGTACTTTAATTTTGAAACGGTGAATAAATCAAATACAACTCTCCTTTTAGGAGAAAGTAATTTGTTTTAAAAACTTTTAGATGCGTCATTACCAAAAAAGTTAAATTATTCCCTCCGGTTCTTAATATAAGACATTTTGATTTTTTCTGGATTTAACTTAGTATTTATTTTTAATTGACAAAAAAAACTTTAAAAATATTTCATAATAATTAAGAGAATACAACGAATGCGAAAATAAATTTTTAATATTTTTTCGTCAATTAAAAATACATATTGGGTTAAATCTAGGATAGAATTAAATACCTTATATTAAGGGTCATAGGAAGTATATAAATTGCTATATTTGTGTGTGTGGGGGGTTTTTCCCCGTTTATTTCAAACACTCAAAAAAAAAAAAAACAGATGTACCGGTATAACCGCCACGTCCGACATCACTACTACCTTAAAATTTAAACTGTCCAAATGAAATATTACTGACGCCATCCATCACCGCCACTTGAAATGCCCCCAGTAACTGACGTGGTAAAATTAGCGCTTTTTAACCCACCTATGGCAATTACTTAACGACGAAACTAATTCAAAAAACGATGACGTTCACTGTGCCGGATTCAACTTTCTTTTAAAATCCCCCAATCATCTTACGCGCGTGTGACTATTCTCACCCCTCCCAACTCAGCGAAGTTTCTCAACGCGCACGCACACCCACGCGATGGAGAAGTTCATCATCAAAATCTAATTGCCTGATTATTATACAACAATACAAACAATAATAAAAGGAAAATATAACAGAAAAGATTTCACGCGGAATAAAAATGGTTGAAATTTTGGTCGTATTTAGCGAAGTGGTGGGTCGTTTAATTTGCCGTTCCCGCAAAAGCCCTTTCATCTTCTCCTCCGCCCCATTCTGAATTTGTTTTACCCATCAATATAACTTCCCCAATTTGTTTCGGTTCCCCATAAATAATTGTTTTTTCTTTTGAATATATATATATTGGGGAACTTGTACGCTGATTTGCAACGACCGAGGTTATCGTTTGATCGGCCTGGTTCGATCGGCCGATCCTGATTTGTGCGGCGAGTATTATTATGGCAGGATGGAGAGGATCCAGATCGAGGTTAGGTGGCTCCGGTGGTGGTGGAGGAGGTGACTTAGCCAGTTCGCCAATGATGGAGCGCGTCTCTTCGTCTCGTACTGTTCATCTTGGAAGGGTCCAACCTCAGGCACCTGGTCATCGCACCGTGTTTTGCAATGACCGTGAAGCAAATGCCCTAGCCAAATTCAAGGTGCATTTTTGCATAAGCAAGCACAATGCTCATATTCTTTCATCTTTTTAATTTTTAATTTTTTTTTGTTTTTAAATATTTATCCGAAAATTTGGGAGTGAGGGCGACACATTGGGAATGTGGACTCGGACATGGACTTCCCGTTGATTTGTTGATTGTTTTTAATTTATCATCTGTAGGTTTATTTAAGGTTTAGTTTATCATGATGATGAAGTTTTGGGATCACTAAGCGCATCCATTGATGCGTTCTGTTGAAACTGTAGATTTTATAATGTTCCTGAAAAACCAAATGTTTCTCTTGCACTGTTGGTATTAGGGTTTAAGCTGTCTGTGGTTAATGCAATTGGTGTATTGGATCCATAAAGGAGTGTCTACAGAAACATAAACTTGCGGATTGTAAAACTTCCATTCAACCTGAGATGCTTGCCAGCCTTTGTTTGTTCTTGTGTTTTGCTGACAATTATTTTTGTCAGGGGAACTCGGTTTCGACTACTAAGTATGATGTGCTTACCTTTCTACCCAAAGGGCTGTTCGAACAGGTAAAATTGGCTACTCTCACTCAGCTGTAGTAAGGATTTGAACTGATTCCCAGCTGTTAGATTTTGCAATGTATCACACAAGTTCATCATGTAGCCATATTCTGCCTTTCTTCCGCATTGTATCTTATTTTTCTTCTTCTTGTTTTGTTCTGTGCTGACAGTTCAGGCGGGTGGCTAACCTTTACTTCCTTATGATCTCTATTTTGTCATGCACTCCAGTAAGGTAAGCCAACTGACTTAGTCACCATGTATGGAATTTTCAATAATCTAAATTTCCGAAGCAGGACTTGGAATGTGAATCATACAGCCTAGTTTACGCCCTCATTGTGCCTAAATATTAAATAGAAGGATATAATTATGGAAATATCTCATAGAAAGAGATTGCCGATCAGAGGAAGCTTTTCTGTGATTGTTAAATGTATGAGTGTTTTTAATAACATGGATCAGTGTTTTTAGAGGTGTGTGTTAATGATAAGCATCTTGGAATTACCATGTTGCACTTGTTCAAAGGTTTACTCTGAACTGCCGAATTGCTTCACCAAATGAGAAGAAATTAAGTTCTAGTTGCTGCAGCATCAATCTAAAGTTTTATGTCTCTGTGCAGTCCGGTGAGTCCAATCACAAATGTGCTTCCCTTGAGCTTAGTGCTTCTTGTTTCTCTTATAAAGGAGGCATGGGAAGATTGGGTGAGCAATAATACGATACTTAGCTTTCATCATGTGTTCTTAGTTGCAGTTTCTTTTTTCTTTGTGATTTTTTTTCTCGATAGCCTTGTTATGGCTTTAGAGAGGTACAACAACATGAGTTTTATTTTAGTTTACTGAAGGCTATATTGCTCACTATAGTTTCATCTCTCTTTTACTGTTATTATTTATGAGCAGAAGCGCTTTCAGAATGATATGTCCATTAATAATACTCCCATAGACGTTTTACAAGATCAAAAGTGGGTGACTGTTCCTTGGAAGAAACTCCAGGTTGGAGATATAGTCAGAGTAAGTGATTCCTGCTTTCCAGTATCATTTCGTTTGTATTTTTTTAATTATTTATTTTAATATTTTGTAGACTCTGTAACTCAAAATATCCATGTTCCACCATATACGTGTCAAGTTTTCAATAGCAGATTCTTGAGCTGTTTATGGAGTTTGTTGTTTTGACCAATTGTTAATGCAGGTTAAGCAGGATGGGTACTTTCCTGCCGATATTTTGTTCCTAGCAAGCACAAATCCTGATGGTATTTGCTACACTGAGGTATAACCTGTCTTACTATGGATGATTCCTTCTTTACGTTTACATTGTCCCGCATCTTAAAAGTCTTTGCTGTAGCTAAGATAGATGTTTTGACAAGTATCTATCTATCTATCTATCTATCTGTCTGTCTGTCTGTCTGTCTGTCTGTCTGTCTATTGGTCCTGATGCTATGTATATTCTTTTGTTACTTCACAGACTGCAAATCTGGATGGTGAGACAAATTTAAAGATTAGGAAAGCTCTCGAGAAAACATGGGATTATGTGACTCCTGAGAAAGTCTCTGAATTCAAAGGTTTGGCCTAATCTTTTCATGCCTTCTTCTCACCAAATTGGTCCATAAGTTCAGTTGAAAAGTGTCCATGCAAGATGTTTCATTTTTATATCCTCAACTTTTATGGAATATGTATGCATGTGATGAGGTACAACTGCCTTTTTTATTTCGCAGTTTAAAGTTTTGATGCACAGTAGCTTGTCTTTCGCTAAACTTGAACGTATATTTTTCTCACTTTACTTGGACTAGAGTATGCATGTGAACTGAATAGTTTTTCCATTTGAAATTTTCTTCTTTCTTCTTCTTCCCTTTCTTCCCTTGGTTTCATTTTTGGAACTTAATAGAAGATCTAGAATTTACGTGATCGAGATTTGTGTCTTAGGTGCAATTTTGCAATCCATACTAATTCACTTAGAAGTTGACTAATGCTGGATGCAGTTATGTGACTGTGACTTTTCGCTGAGAATGAATTAGCCAATAAATCATGTTTTACTTGTCAGTGATGGCATATGTGATGGTGATTGCTGATTGTTTTTTCGTTTTTGATGTTTTTCACGGGACTTATCTCCAACTTGCAGGTGAAGTGCAATGTGAGCAGCCTAACAATTCCTTGTACACATTTACTGGAAATCTGATAATTCAGAAGCAAACCTTGCCACTGAGTCCAAATCAAATTTTATTGCGAGTAAGGTTTTGCCTTCTGATGTACAAACTGATGGGATTCTGTGTTCTTTTTACTTTTTTCCCGAGTTAGAGCGGCTAACTATTTGTGCATTTATTTTGAACATTGAGGTTTTTCAACTTCTTTTAATTTCGTCCTTGTGTAATTTTCTCATTTTTGTGCATGACTGTCTTATTGACTTGTTCCCTTCTTCAAGATATATATTGTGTATGTGCTGCACGTTGGAGTTTACTTAAAAAGATTCTTCCTCTAAATTTTGTAGGGATGTAGCCTCCGGAACACCGAATATATTGTTGGTGCTGTGATATTTACGGGACATGAGACAAAGGTAATTTATTGCCCATCACACGATACCATACTGTTAATGTTTTGATGCCCCCCTTTTTTGTCAAACAATTGATCATAAGTTAGTGTTTTAGCGGAAATCTAGTCTATTATAGCTCTTATTGGATTGTTCTGTATCGTGACTCACCATTTGCTTTCAATGTTATCTGGGAGTTTTATTTGTATTATGTGCTAGATTTCCTCTTTTCACCCTTTCATTTACGATTGCCTTTCTTCCCCATCATCTTTTCCACTTGTTCTCATCATGTGCAGTCCCATTGCTTCTTGATCTCTTCAGGTTATGATGAATGCCATGAAAATCCCCTCGAAAAGAAGCACTCTAGAAAAGAAACTTGACAAACTTATTCTCACCCTTTTCTGTGTCCTCTTTGGCATGTGCCTTTTGGGTGCCATTGGCAGGTTTGCTACTGTTGCTGCAGATGTTTGCTTTTACTTCGTAACTACTAAATTAGTTTCCATCTCTCTCTACGAAGAGTATAACTATTGTTTTTGGATTTGGCAGTGGGGTTTTCATAAACCGGAAGTATTACTACTTGCGCTTCGAGAATAACAAGAATTCAGATGCACAATTTAATCCTGACAATAGATTTGCGGTAATGTTGCTTTATTTTATGGTATTTTATCTGTTTTCCATTTATGGAAGTTGATTTTGGTTCTTCTATACAGGTTGCTGCTTTGACCATGTTTACCCTTATCACTCTGTATTCTCCAATCATACCAATATCTCTTTATGTGTCAGTTGAGGTATGGATCTGTTCTGTACTTCCTTTGTTTCTTTCCTTTTGATTGCATATATTTATTTCTGAGCTTTTGTTTTATTGTTTTTGTAGATGATCAAATTTATTCAATCCACCCAATTTATCAACAATGATTTGCATATGTATCATTTAGAGAGCAATACCCCAGCTTTGGCACGGACTTCTAATTTGAATGAAGAACTTGGACAGGTAAAGAGAATGGATTTTGTTTTTGTCTTCATGACTTCAGTGCAGTTCATCTGCACTATGCTCTCACTTTGCTCTTTCACCCGCGAGCGAAATATGGATGAAGGATTAATATCTATGTCACTATATATTTTCCTTGTTCACTATTTGAATTCGGTCATTCAAAATTGATTGCATCATATTTCCCTTTGCCAGGTGGAGTACATATTTTCTGATAAAACTGGAACTTTGACGAGAAATTTGATGGAGTTCTTCAAATGTTCCATTGGTGGAGAAATATATGGTACTGGTGTGAGTGAAATTGAAATTGGAACCGCACAAAGAAATGGAGATAAGATAGAGGTAAACAGAATGGTCTTGTAAAGGGTGCTTTATGTATATCCCATATGGATGTTTGATGCTATTTAATTTTCACAGGTTCAGAGATCGTCACATGCTGTGCATGAGAAGGGTTTCAACTTTGATGATCCTCGTCTAATGCGAGGTGCTTGGAGAAATGAACCTAATCCTGATTTATGCAAGGTAGATAATGTTGATCTAGACTCTATTATCGGTGTAACTTATGTTGGTTATCTTGTCCTGTTGTTTGAATCACTTTATTGTTCATTGACATAGAAACATAATTTGCTGCTTTCGTTGAAGTTTTGGTGACTGCTTCAACAGTCTTTTTGTAATTCTATACTTGATTCAGCATCTCCTTCGAAATAGTTCAGTTTTTATGATAGTTTAAGTTATGTTTGGATTTCCTCATTTAGATCGTATGGAAAGTTTTTTTATTTAGAAGGGATGTTCTAGTGACAAGTTTCAGTTCCTTTGTTGAATGTCTAGGGTTGTTGGTTATCATTAAATTTTCTTTTCTTGGTTTGTCTTTTATGTTTTCTTCTGGTCTTCTTGTATTTCACTCTTTTGGTTGGTATTTAGGCATGTTTATGAATCACTCTGCCTTTTTCCTGAACATTTGGGGGTTTCGCTTACAGCTTCTTTGGTTAAATGCTTCCTTCTCTCTTGTAGGAGTTTTTCAGATGTCTTGCAATATGTCATACTGTACTTCCTGAGGGTGAAGACACCCCGGAAAAGATTCGTTATCAAGCTGCTTCTCCTGATGAGTCCGCTCTGGTTACTGCAGCAAAGAACTTTGGGTTCTTCTTTTTTAAGTAAGTACACATGAGTCTCCTACTACTATGTCATGAAGAAAGACAAAGTTCTTTTCCTTGTTTCACTCTCTGAATTTTGGTAGAAACTCTATAAGGAGAAAGTGTTACTTTTGCCATTATGAAATGGCGTCTTTAGTTTAGCGTGTGTAACACCTTTGATATAAATACATTTCCTTTGGAAAGGTTGAAGTTATTCCTCTGCCATTTTGCTTAGAATCTGTGATGAAGTTTTACCATGTTAGGACCGTCAGCAGGGCTTTTGGTTGAGAAAAACATTGCATTGTGGTTTGAAAATATGGAAAAAGTTTCACTTTTGGGTTCATAGATATTTATTAGAAGTAATGATGTTATTGCGACTAATATTTCACAGACGAACTCCCACAATGATCTATGTTCGTGAATCACACGTTGAAAAGATGGGAAAAGTTGAAGATGTTCCTTATGAGATTTTGAACGTTCTTGAGTTCAACAGGTGGTTTACTGTTTCTGACGTGCCTTATGATTATGGTTTTATGCATTAGTACCTGAGGTTTACTTCAATATTTTATGCGGTTGTAGCACAAGGAAGCGCCAATCTGTTGTATGCCGCTACCCCAATGGCAGACTTGTTCTGTATTGCAAGGTAAAAGCTTATATTTGTGGTTCATTATATGATTTGAAAATCATCAGCCTTCTATGTGGATATGGGTGTTTACAGACAGAACTTTGACAGGGTGCTGACACAGTCATTTATGAAAGACTGGCGGACAGAGATAATGATTTGAAGAGAGTCTCTAGGGATCATTTAGAACAGTTTGGAGCTGCTGGATTGCGTACTTTGTGCCTAGCATATCGAGATTTGAGTCCTGAAGCATATGAAAACTGGAATGAGAAGTTTATTCAGGCCAAATCTTCTCTAAGGGATCGTGAGAAGAAGTTAGATGAGGTCTGCCTGAAACTTTACCCTTTTGAAACTTTACTGGGCGTCGTTTTATAGATTCTATTAGGCATACTGGACATAATTTCTGTTGTTGTCCCCATCTTGAATTTTCTTCTTTTTTCCCCCTTAAACATCTGGATTTTAGTATGGCTTCGGTTATTTTGTCTTTCAGTTGGTCCGTTTCTTTCCCTTGGATTTTCTTATTCTTGCTTTTTCTGCTGACCCTAGGCTTGAATCTCATGACTAAATCTGTTCTTAATATGTACTTTGTGTGTGCTTATGATGCTCTGAACGACAATGAACCTATAGTGCTACTTAATAAGTTGCCTTGATTGACATAGAGTTGCTATTCTGGTGATTCAGTTTCTTGCATAGTCTATTTTACCTATCCAGATGTCAATTTTATGGTGTCATATATACACGATAGGATGTTGAGCTTTTACTTTTACTTTTCCCCATGTGAGCGTTTAGTATGAATGCAGGTGGCAGAACTAATAGAAAAGGACCTTGTCTTGATTGGCTGTACTGCAATAGAAGACAAGCTTCAAGAAGGAGTTCCTGCCTGCATAGAGACACTTTCAAAGGCTGGTATAAAAATTTGGGTGCTTACTGGGGACAAGATGGAGACAGCCATTAACATAGCATATGGTATGTTCTCCATGAACACTTTTTTCCTGCGCAGTTTGAGGGTGATATCAGGAAAGAATGTTTTGTTTTCTTTATCACAATTTAGCAGCAAATATATTTGCTTGTAAGAGTGTTTATTTTCTTTATTATAATTGTTAATATTTTGTATTCATGTTATTTGCTTGTAATCTCATCTTTTTTCTTCTTTTTTCTTTATTCATCAGCTTGCAAATTGATCAATAATAGCATGAAACAATTTATCATCAGTTCTGAAACAGATGCAATAAGAGAAATTGAAGATAGGGTGAGTAGTATTTCTTCCTTGCAAGTTTCTTGATTTAATGATAGATAGAGTTTGAAGATAATAAAATATTCAATTTTAGGGTGACCAAGTGGAGCTTGCTCGATATATGAAAGAAAGTGTGAAGAATGAGCTGAAGAAGTGCTTTGAAGAAGCTCAACATTGTCTTCGCACCACTCCGGAAACAAAGTTAGCCCTCGTGATTGATGGGAAGTGTTTGATGTATGCATTGGACGTAAATTTGCGAGTGATGCTGTTGAATTTGAGCTTAAATTGTAGCGCAGTGGTGTGTTGCCGTGTTTCTCCTTTGCAAAAGGCACAGGTATGTTGTGTGTTCCTAGACGGAGTAGTGGTTCGTCTGCAAATATATGTTTATGTTTTTAAATAGTCAAACAGGTCGTTGAAAGTTCCATACTGTTTTCAGGTCACAAGTCTGGTAAAAAAGGGTGCAAAGAGGATTACACTCAGTATTGGTGATGGTGCCAATGATGTTAGCATGATACAGGCTGCTCATGTTGGTGTTGGAATTAGTGGGCAGGAAGGAATGCAAGCAGTGATGGCCAGTGATTTTGCAATTGCTCAATTCCGTTTCCTCACAGATCTACTTCTTGTGCATGGCCGGTGGTCGTATCTTAGAATTTGCAAGGTTTGCTCTTTTGCTTTGTTAATTGAGAAATTTGTAAAGTTGACGAGTTATGTGATACTTGCCCACCTTATGTTTTGGTAGAAGTTATTTCTAGCAAGAATTTCTCCCCTGGGAAAATGGCTGGCATTTACAGATTGATAGACGTGCTCATTTTATACAGTTTCTTCTATATTTGGCTTAAAAAGATTTTGGATACAGCAGTAGGAAGATGAATGGATCTGACAAGCATGCTACCTTATGCATGAGTGTGTATGTATATTACTGGATTCTATGTATTGGAAATTGAAGATATTGAAATAAATGTCAGCATCTCATTCTGTGTCAGAGCATTGAAAATGCTGATAGTTAGATTAGGGTACTATATGTCAATGGTAATTTCTTCCTTGAAACTTCAGAAGAATGGTTCAACTTTATATCAGAAGTTTTTCATACTTTTTTGGTTATGATGTTTTAAGTTTCAATTTTCCTTTTGCAGGTCGTGACATATTTCTTCTACAAGAATCTGATGTTTACTTTGACACAATTTTGGTTCACATTCCACACTGGATTCTCTGGTCAACGGTTTTATGATGATTGGTTTCAGTCTCTTTATAATGTTATCTTCACTGCCTCACCTGTAATTGCCCTTGGAATATTTGAGAAGGTACTATTGTTTTCAAAAACTGCCTTATCCTTTTTAATTGGGAATCGTGCAATTGACTGCATTACAACGCTATTAACGTTTCTTACAGCCCCACCTCAAGGTTCAGTTTGCATTTTATATTAGTGATTTGCTGATACACCATTGCATATTGGACATTGCAGGATGTCAATGCAGCCCTTTCGAAGAAATATCCGGAACTATACAAAGAAGGGATAAAGAACACATTCTTCAAATGGAGAGTTGTAGCTGTGTGGGCTTTTTTTGCAATATATCAATCACTCATATTCTATCATTTCGCGACGGCTTCTAGTAGTGCAGGCATGAACAGAGCTGGCAAGATGTTTGGTCTTTGGGATGTCAGTACGATGGCCTTCACATGTGTTGTAGTTACTGTCAACTTGCGGCTTTTAATGATGTGTAATACGATAACGAGGTGGCATCATATTACTGTTGGAGGCAGTATATTATCGTGGTTTATATTTGTGTTTATATACTCTGGGATCGTTTTGCCTAAAGACCAGGTAAGCTGTGCGAAAAGGCTTTCTTAACTTTCAAGGCATTAAATGCCCGCATGCTTACTTTTTCTTCACATTCTACTGTGCAGGAAAATATCTATTTTGTGATTTTTGTCTTGATGAGTACGATATATTTCTATCTTACGCTGCTGCTTGTTCCCATAGCTGGACTTTTCTGTGACTTCATATTCCAGGGGTAAGAACTACTAATATTCTGCTTAGATATTTTCTCATTTTACTAGTTTCAGTCTTTGCTGTGTTGGTCACTACTGTGATAATGTGATTGAGTAAAATTCAAGCTGCATCCTCTTTAAAGCTTATAAATGTGTTCTGGCCCGTACTTGAGTCTACCTACCTCAAGCTAGTAATGGCTTTCACTATTCAGAAATTTTACTTCCCTGCTGAACTTGTCATGATGAATCCAATTATATCCAAACTGGACAATCATTTTGGGAGAGGGGAAGTATGAGAAATCTTAAGTCCGTTCTGTCAGTGTTCATTATAACCGGGTAAATCGCGTCCTCTGTCAATTAGGAGATGCATCTGCTAATGCATGTGCATGAGTAGAGTGTTCATCCATTTTTAGGCCTACAGTTCTTATTGGATCTTTTGAATATCTGGTTTGTCGATTTGGGTCATGCGCAAAGGACTATAGCTGTTTGTCATAAACACTAAATGATGGCAGTTTTGCTGATAAGTGCCCGCATATAGTCTCCCTTTCTTTCTTGGTGGAAAAAGTTGATTTTCTGATTTTCTGAGTCGAGATTGTTGTTAATAATGTTTCAGAGTCCAGAGGTGGTTCTTCCCCTATGATTACCAGATTGTTCAGGAAATCCACAGGCATGAACCTGACAGTAGTAAGGTTGGATTGCTGGAAATTGGTAACCAGCTCTCACCAGATGAAGCTCGAAGCTATGCTATAATGCAATTACCTGGAGCAAAATCAAAGCATACTGGTTTTGCATTTGATTCACCAGGTTACGAGTCTTTTTTTGCATCGCAAGCAGGTGTATTTGTCCCTCAAAAGGCTTGGGATGTGGCTCGACGAGCTAGCATGAAGTCACGGCCAAAACAACCTCGAGCGAACTGACTTTGACTCCAAAGAACCTGTACAAAATTTTTTCCTTTTTACTTCATTTTATCAGCTCCAAATGATAGTGTAGGAGGAGAATATATGTACATTAGTTGTATCATATCATGTCGGTAATCCTTGATTTTATTATTTCTTTTTTGTTTTTTGGGTAGTATTATCCCAGCGGCTGACCAACGGGTAGAATTTTGTTTGTGATAGAAAATAGGTTATATAGGGATAACAGCAATGTCTGGGCTGTGGCCAGCTGACATTGAGCATATTTTGTAGCAAATGCAGATTTGAGTTGGTTATGGCTGGGGTCTCATGTAATTTAAACTGTAGCTTTTGTTTTTTTTATCTTTTTTTTCAGAAAAATTGATAGTGTAAGGTTGTAGCTGTTCGTGATTTTTGGACGGACAGAGTATTAAAATGCTCCTGTAACTTTATCAGACTTAATGACTTATATCCCTTTCCTATTTTGTTTGCACATTCAATTAGTATAAACTCTTATTAAGATGATGATGTATAAATGACCCCTTTGACGGTCAATATTTGGTTCCACAACCTTTGACGAATCCTCATTGAGTTTGAGAACACTTCTTTATGCCGAATGCATAATGCGTGCATGTTTGTTTATTCTTTTCTCTTTTAACTTTACCTTGTAACCAAATGGAACTTTGGTAACACAAAGTTGTGTTCGAATCCATAAAGTAGACAAGATTTTTTGTTGTTTTTTCACTCATGCTGTATCCTTGTACTTAGAGATCTAAATGAAATCGCATAATAAATGATATTCTATAACAAAGTGATATTCATATTGGAAAATCAACAATCAACTTGATTTTTTTTTTTTTTTGGCAAAAAATATGAGATTAGTATGAAAGAAGAACATAACATTGATCTTCAATTTAGTTCAATTTAACTACATTTTATTAATGTAATTTAATTAAGCGACTGAATAGAAGTGTTGCGGCTCACACGACTGATTTATTAATGTGTATCGTCATCACATGATTAAAGTCGCTATTTTTTTTTTAATAGCATTAGAACACCAAGAAGAAGAAGAAGAAGAAGAAGAAGAAGAAGAAAATAGAGTTATTATATTGGTCACTCCTAGATTGTACTTCAACATATATACCAATGTGGGGATCAATGATTCACAAGTTGAAAACTTGTTTATGTTCTACTATCCAGAAAAAAAACCTTCTACATCTGGAGTATATAGTTTTGTACTGCCTCTCTCACAAAATTATTGTCCAGTTTGTGATTTCACTTTTAGTATAATTTGAACTAGAAATAAAAACTCAAATTGGACAATAATTATGGGACGGAGGGAGTACGAAAATTCTCTGATACTTGATATACGTCAATCATATGAACAGATATATCAGCCGGTACTGTCCCCATATCCCTCCATTCGGCTTAGTATTTACGTAGACAGCAAAAGATTCTCAAAGTAAAGACAAAACTTGTTAAGTTGCCTTTTATGTTCCCAGGGAGTCGTTTTTCCTTGAGCAGAATATTCATTGATGCTTTGTTCACTTCGTGCACTTGCAAAGGCATTCCAATACATGAGCCCTTTTTGATCGCAGACATGAGTGTACTACTCTATGGTTTGTAATTAATAGTTATACTCCATAGCTTAGGAGATCCTGCTGTTATAGCAAGCTAGGAAGTTTGAAGTACTTTTGTATAAATTCAAACTTTGAATCTCCTGAAAATTTCGATTGATAACTTTTTGTAATGAATAACAATTAACATGAAATTCACTTGCTAATGATCCATCCCAAAATATAAGTGAATCGTTTGTACATTTCTTTTCGTGCAATAAATAGGACCAATTTTTCAAACGTGTGATAATAGCGTCTTGTATTTTTCACCCTTATCAGTGGGTTTTCTCTGATGAATAAGTAGTTAATTAATCACTATTCATAGCAATGACCGACGAATAGACTGAAATAGGCAAAAGAGAGCAAATTGTGGCAAAGCAGGCACATTTCTAGTAACTAGGGCTGATTGGTTGGGTGTTTCAATTATTAATCTTGAGTAGGAAGCTTTTATGTGCTGTTAGATCAAAGAATTGATTCTGTGTTTTTTCATCTGTTTGAGTAATGTGCTAATAATGCTAATGCTATGGATAGGAGTAAATGTACCTTAATATTATTTGATGCTCGACGGAGTTGTGGGCGATCATATTCCTTCCCATCATCATCGCCAATACTAACACAGTACCCGAATCATTAACCCTAAATCCACTTAAAATTTGATTGAATCAAACAATTTCTGGATTCCACGTGGTAACTCGTGTGATTTGGTGATTAGTGGGATATGATTAGGGTTTGTTATTTTGTAAAGAGGTCATCATTTATACTACTCCCTCCATTCCGAAATTATTGTCCAGTTTGGATTTTTATTTTTAGTTCAAATTATACTAAAAGTAAAATCTCAAATTAGACAATAATTTTGAAATATAGAGAGTATTCCCTATGTCCTGGAATGACTCTCCAGTTTAGATTTTTTAATTACTAATACAAATTGTATTAAAATTGAAAATATAAACTGGACAAGTATCTTGAGACGAAAAAAGTGATAAATATATGAAAATGTAACTTTCCGATGTGAGACGGGGCCTTTTAATTAATCGCTTTTAACACGATCTGCTTCGTTCGAGTAACTTGAGATAGTCGATTGATATTTTTGAGTATGTCTGTTTTAGAAGTTTCCGGCAAATATATTCCAGTCCCCCACCAATCCACCACCAAAAATCATATCAATCACCATCATTAATTGATTAATTATCCGGGCACATGAAACTTCAAATAAGAGTGGCTCAAGCTTTTGAAGCATCTAAGTGGACCTAGCAATGTGTTAACGAGATGTAATTAAGATGACTATGTCAAAACATCAATTGTACATTATATCAGATTTTGATTGCAAAAAGGTTCTGTTGGGATACCAAAACTTCTCGTATTGATCCAGTAGAAACAAATACAAGTTAGAAAGTTCAAAAAAAAGAAGAAAAAAAAAAGGAAAACAGTAATGTCAAATTGACAAATTAAATTATTTTTTTCCGGAAGGAAGGTAGTGAATATGATGGGAGTGAAAGAGAACAAAACATTGAAATAAAAAAGAGAATAAAATCAGTCAATTTTTATTTTATTTTTTATTTTTCCTTTCAAAATTAATCATCCTCTCAAAAGCTTTTAGAAATTCCAAACAAATTTTCACACATCTCCGTATTTTGAGTACTTTTAATTTGGATAACTTTAAAAATAGTCTTCATTTACAATATGACATCCACATGAGCATCGGCCAACTTAAAAAAAATTGAAGAATAAACAAACGTTGTAGTATGTATATAAAGTAGAGTAGATACACCAATAAGAATTTGTACATGTTCAATTACTGCGCTTAAGATGCGAGAGCTTGGTATCTGATGATATATAATAATGTAACTTTTATGGGAAGATCTTGCCTAAAAAGCTTTTTCAAAGCTACCCCTAGCTAGAGATGCAAAGGCTCAAAGGCATATATTTCAACCTCCTAATCAAACTAAGCGGCATATAATGATTTCAAAATTGACCGAGCTACATGTAAAAATAACTCAAACGAATTATAGCTGTTGCGGAGGTCCTGAGTTTATCTTACTTATTAATTGATTGAAGTGTCTTCATGCCTCCGATGTGAGATTCACAACCCTTGCCACATGACCCGTAACATTTTTTTCCGTTATGGACAATCTCTACATCAGACTTCTAAATTATCTTAACAAGCCCAAATATGTATTCTACATGAGTAACTGGACCGCCCATCCCTACACTTCCACTTTTAATGGGCCTTTGACTGCTCGGATACAGTCAGATCAACCGAGATAATTTAAGCTGAATCACCTACTCAACTGATCTAACCTGGGCTCTGATATCACTGTTGGGGATTTATCTGATAGAGAAAACTCGACATGCAGCCCAATAAGTAGGATAAAACCCATCTGAATCCAAAAATTCAAATTAATAGGTCATAAGTTTATCTTACTTATTAACTGATTCACATGTCTTCATGTCTTCGATATGGGATTTATAATCCTTGTTACACATGACGCTCAACAATAACAGACTATTTTTCTATAACCAAGGCAGAATAATAATGTTACCTTTATCCCTAAAAAATAATCTACATCGAATTTTTAAATTTTTATTGAAAACAATATAAGTATTAAAAATCAATGTGGACTCACTTTTGAGATAGGAGAATGAATATGTTTTCGTCTTAAAACAATAATTCGTCTTATTTTGATGTTTTGAGTGCTATTATGGATTGAGCTCATTAAAAACAAAAAGGGCAAGAAAACTTGGGGCATCCACTAATCATTCAAGTGTACGTAAGGAATTATAGTAAGGCATGCTAACGTTGGAATCGTATGTTGCATGAAAATACACACACTTCAACAAAGTAAAGAAAAAAAGAAAGGAAATCGCTAAAGAGAATGAATGTGTGGTATAAACAAAGGGGGGTCCTAAAATGATGATCAGTATAAAGCAATATATCTTCCCTCCCTCCATGTCACGTTCGAAACCAGCTCATTTCTTGCTCTCAATGTTCGAGAAAGGGAACCGAATCACTCTAACCCATAAAGAAATCATCCCAAACCCATCCCAATAACCCTAATATAAGTAGCAAAAAAATCCCCCTCTCCTAAAGCTAACCTAACACTACTATACTTCTATAGACTTATCAAAGTTCTATATAGTTTCTTCTTCACCTATATATTGTTGAAGTATATAAGGAGAAATCCCTACTAAAAGCTCCCAAAAATAGTGTTTACTTGAAGGAATATATGATCATCATGAATTGTCGAAGGAGTAATTTTGCCCGTACTTGGCGGTGGTCGAAGGCGGTGTTTCGAGTAACCTTGGTGTTAGGATTACTTTGGTTGTTTTGTGTGGGGGTTTTACAAAATGAAGCAGCAGCAAAATTAAATGCTCCAGCGGATGAAGGAGGAAGTAGTAGGAAGCATATGATGAAAATGGTTGAGAAGAGGCATCTGATGAATGCTCACAGAGATGTTCAAGTTAACTTCGTTAGCAAAAGAAGAGTTCCAAATGGACCAGACCCTATCCATAACAGGTTTGTTGTCAATTTCTTTGTTCTTTCCCTCCTTTGTTTGAATTTGCATGCATGCTTCTATAGTACTCTCACAAAATAGTTGTCTTATTTGATCACAAAATATTTCAAGGTGTTTAGTACCGTTGATAAATCTAAGTTCTTAATAGTTGAGATAGAAGAATTTTAGACTACTTCTTTCGTTCACTAAAATTTTCAAAGTGTTATAAAACTTTCATTTATTAAATTAACATAGTTTAAAATAAGATTATCCTTTTTGAATGAATGGACTATTAGGATTTTTTTTGGCTGGCTTTTAAACTAAAAATTGGGTCCATATCACCATCAAAAACAAGTTCTTGTTTTTCCCGAATAAATAAAAAAGAGTATAATTGGAGCTGCGCCATCATAATCAAGTTAGTACTTTGTGTCTAGAAATAAAGGTCTTCTGTTATTTATTTTCTTTTTTAAAAGAAGAGTCAAATTTTATTTTATTTATTTATTTATTATTATTATTTTTTTTTGGAGAAGGAAGAGTCCTGTTATAATCAATAGTTCTACATACATGAATAAATCAATTCAAAGACAAAAAAAATAAAATAAAGTATAATAATAACATATACAAATTTGTTCCATCTCTTTTTTTTTTTTCTTTTTTGTGTATGTATGTATGTGTGTGGTCCGTTAAGGACCTATAGTCTTGATCATCAAGGGTACACAAGTCGAATTATACTTAAAACTACTTTATAAACCAAAATTTTGCTTATGTTTTGGTCGATTAGCTTGAGAGAGACACGACTGCCAATCTCTTTATCTGAAGGAGATTTTTCGTACTGTTTACAAACTTATTAAAGCTAATAACTCTGTATACAATTTTTTTTTTCTTCCATGTTGGCTTCTCTCCACTTACGAGACCTTTAATTTAACCTTTTGATGTTGTGTCTTCTTTTCTTTAATTCTCATTCTCTTTTTCTCTTTTTTTTTCTCCTTCCTTTTTCTCCCTTTATCCTCACACATCAAAGCCTCCTAATTAAATTGCAAAAAATGAGTATCATTGGTAAATGGGGAGCTGCAGTTTTCAGTCAGGCATATATTCTCTTTTCCAAAAGTGAAACAATAGTACTTCTAGATTTCAATATATCACAGACCTTGGAACTGAGCATATGAGTCTTATCACAAAATTATAGTGTACCTTTCGAGTCACAACATGCAACATATATAATAACTTAATAAATTTTGCAATTTAATTTTTTTTATATACAAAAAATATATGTTTCTTAGTTCATTTTGATCATTTTTATCTTAAATGAACAGAAGAGCGGGCAATTCCCATCGACCACCAGGTAGGGCATAGGAGACTTGCATGGTAGCTGGAATTGAAGAGAAAGCAGTTTGATGCGATTAACCACGCATCGATCATTTACTAATGTTGTATGTACGTTTTGGCAATGTGACAATTGATAATGTCTCGTTGACATCAATTCGGAAAATCCCAGATTGTTTAGATTGCTAACTAACTTGAATTTTCATAGGTTCTTTGGGATTTAATTAACTTTGGGAAGAAAATTTTGTGAAATATATCGGACAAGCTAGCTAGGTAGCCATGTTGAAAAAGTATCTAGGTTTATTTTCCCCCGTGTACGTAGTTGTGTACGAGTTCTATTTTTAGACCCCCTTTAACAGATGTGGTCTTGAGTAATTGAGTTGATTATTTGATCAAGAGGAAGTTTTGGATATGGAGAAGTTTCATTTATTATTATTATTAAAAAAAAGAAAGGTTTCAGCTGCCATGCATGCATGCACATTTGGACGAATCTGTCTCTATGCATAAGGTCTAATCAACAAGGATTTGTTCTCTGAATTTATTCTTTCGAATGTAAACTGTTACATTCTATAAATAAATATATATAGATGTATATGTGTTAAAAAAAAAAACAAAAGCAAATCCACCACTTAAAGGTATAGTTTGCACTTGTTAAAAAAGAAGGGGAAAAAAAAAGTGGGGTGAAATTAAAGCATCTTGTGTTAGTCTTTATCACTGGATTCATTGATCTCTCCCTCTCTCTCTCTCTCTCGGGAATTTTGTATGAAAACACTGTTTTGGTCATTGGGTCTATTCAAACTTGCAAAGAAGGATGCCCAGATTCTCCAGCCTCGTGGTTTGCAAAGATGGCCACCAAAAGTTAAAGGTAAATTAAAGAGCAAAAAAAAAAAAAAAAAACCTAGCTATTCTACTCACAATATACGTGTTTCTTCTTTTTCCCCTTCTAATTTTGAAGTGAAAAATATGATCTATGTGATGGTATGTGCTAGTGTGTTCCAAAGTAGGTCAAATAGAACGGTGAGCTTTTTCTATAACACACTATGGAAGCTTTGAAATTAATTCATTTGGTTTGAAGACATTTTACGTGAAGTATGTATGTATGATTATAAAGATAAATGTCGAAAAGAGCAACTTTAATTTCCATTGCCAAGCAAAACAGCAGGACTAGATAGATAAGTCGAAAGTGAAAGTCATGATTGACGAACCTTAAATCAAATGAAGTTATTCTTTGAACATTTGAACAACCGGAAAATGATAAAATTCAAGCCCTAGTTCATTTGGCCTGAAAGCCTCTAACATAATTAAGCCATTAATAATTGCTACAAGCCGTTACCTATGGCCGGCAGAAATGAACGTTTCAAATGAAATTTTGGAACCTTTGAACAAGTTGGTTTGGAGCGTTATTTTTGTTCCAGTTTGAAGCACTAAAAATTATGAAAACATGGCCCGCAAAGCTGACAAGGAGAGCAAAACTTTGAACAAGACCGCCAATTGTTCAAATTATTGTCATATATAAATATATCCAAATAATGTAAATATATATTTATATATATTTCCCAACTCCAGTATTGACTTTGGCCTCTGATTTCAAATTTACATGGCTAGTAGTAGTAACATACTACTACTATTAGCCTAGAGGACACCCCGAATTGACTTGGTTAGTATACCCAAATTGAAAGTATTACTTTCGTCACGATCAGTAATTTTGTGAAGAGCAGTGGTACTACGTGTGCATGAAATTTACAAAGAATGATGTGTCAATTATCAAAGTTATGTTCTAGTTTTAACTATTTTAACTATGAATGGAAAGTGCTAAAAATAAATAGTTATGATTCATTCGCTGTTAAAATTCTCTTTAAATTTTCCCTGCACAAATCATTCTCCGTGAATACCATAGAAATAGTAAGCGTCCAACAGCCAATTTTGAAGTCAACGTCCAATTTAAGAAGTCAACAACCTATAAACATTTACTAGAATTTTTAAAGAACCAGAAAATCTAGTCAACAAGCTATAATTTGTTTTAGTTCAAATTATATTAAAATAGAAATTCAGATTTAACAATAATAGTAAGATAGAATGAATACCAATCATTCAATTTCCAGAAACAAAAAACAAAACGTTTTTTTACAGAGAGTCAGGGGTGTAGCGTAGAAAGATTCAAGTCTACTTTAAAATCGAACATTCAATTCAAACTTTGATTAGGGATGAACCATACAAGTCATGCCACTCTCACAAACCCTTTCGGTAAATCCCTTTTTTTTGTGTGTGTGTGTGTGTTTTATTTATTCTGGGCTGGAAGCCTGGAACTGAATCCAGAGTCTTTACACTGAAATACATCAATTCTGGGCTCCCCATCAAAAGAGCCTCAAACAATGGATTCAGGCCCAGTTTATTCTTTAACCAAGGTTTCATATTTTATCCAGCGGAGAGCCATCGGACGAGAAAATTTTCCTTTTTCTCATTTTTTTTTTCTCTCTCTCGCTTTTTTAAAGGCCACAATTATAAATACAGAGTTTTCTAGGTTAAAATTAGTGACGTCAACAATTTTCATGAAAGGAACATACCAAAATTTTGAGTAAACTGTGAAATTCAATTACAACTCTAAAATAAAAGAAAATCAACTTGCAAATTTATGGCTTCACTTATAATGTCCATGCTAAAAATGGGTTAAATTTGTCAATCAATTCCTCCACAATACTTTCTGCAAAAAAGAAGAAGAAGAAATTCTCTACAACACAATATTCATTCTATTGTCTCAAAATATTAGTTATAGAAAAATTACAATTATTTTGAAACGGCAGAAATATTAATATGATCAAAATAGAAGATGAAGAAATTCTCTACAACACAATTCATTCTATTGTCTCAAAATATTATTAGTTATAGAAAAATTACAATTATTTTGAGATGGCAGAAATATTAATACGATCAAAAGGGAAGGTGAGGTTATGAACAAAGTGAAATTAAAGTGAAGGTTAAATTTAGTAAAAGAAGAGAAAGAAAATCAAAGATTGTTTCATTTGCATTTGGATTTCATTTTGGTTTCATTTGGGCTAAATTTCACATTCCACCTCCGCATTCCCCCAACTCTCTTAAACCTTTCTTTTCTCTCTCTACTTCTTCCGCACCATCATCACACACCTTGATATATACATACAGCTATTTGTTTTTTGTTTACTTATATAAATATGGTCTCTCAAAATAAATTTTTAACGAATTAAAAATAGAACATATAAATAGGAGTAGAGCTGGATATAGAAAGAATTTTTTCCTCTCTGCTTTACCTGGAGAGATATGGAGAGGAATTTCAGTAAATAGAAAATGATTTGGAAATCGAACAAACCCTAGGTTTTTCTAATTTCCGCGGCCAATTATTCTTATTTTCTGCTTCTATTTTTTATTTTTTTTGCTCTTTTAGCTGAAAGATATCGGTAATTTAATCAGCGGTAGGTTAAATTAATAGTTTTTTTTTTTTCGATTTGAATCTCGGTTTTTAGCTAATCGGAGCTCGTTACAACCGACGAGGAAAACCTAGATCGGAAAAAACGAAGGGGGAAATAGACGAAAAAATTGGGGAAAAATGCCGTCGCATGCGGATCTGGATAGGCAAATAGAGCAATTGATGGAGTGCAAACCTTTGACGGAGGCGGAGGTGAAAACGCTCTGCGATCAGGCGAGGGCGATTCTGGTGGAAGAATGGAATGTGCAACCGGTCAAATGCCCCGTCACCGTCTGCGGTGATATTCACGGCCAGTTCTACGATCTTATCGAACTTTTCCGGATAGGTGGCAACGCGCCGGACACTAATTACCTCTTCATGGGCGATTATGTCGGTAAGCTTTTCATTCTTTCTGGCGGTGGCTTGAATTTGTGAAGGTTGGGAAATGTTGGATTTTTGGATAGATGAAGGTATTAGATTCGGTGATCTGTGATTGATTTGTGGGTTGCATGATGTTTGATTGAATGATGTAGCTACTTGTGATTTTGATCTATCTAATGATATCTGCCCCCTGGGTTGCATGGATGCTTGTTAAATTTGGCTTTTATGTTAAGCTATGTAGATCTAGGTTATTTGTTTGGAGGGAATTGAGGAATTGCCAATGTGTTGAAGTTCTGGGGTTTCTTTTCCTGCTCTCTTTCTGGGGTGTTTAGTAGAAAAGGCTCTAGGCTCTGGATTTTCTTTGAGGTAGAATTATATATGTTGGTTGCTTTTGTGGGTGATTTTGTGCTTCTCTGGATCATATACGTGGAAAGCCGAGGAACCCTGGAGGTGAGAATTGAGTGAGATCAGGTAAGTTTCTTGTGATTCTTCGGATGAGGTGGCCAACTTTTATCCAACGAATGACGGCTTTTTGCCGATTCAATGTCAGTATGACTTGTTTCTAGCGGTGATTGCTACGTGTTCAAGTTACATTTGAGTCATTAAAACTAAAGTGGAACCGAAAAAATGAATTTTTTAAATCCTTCAAATAAAGTGGAGATATAATTGTGAAAAACAGTGGTGTGACACGTCTTGTAAATTCAAACCATCCTCGATTAGTTCGCTTGTTATTAGTGGTTGACTATTGCATAGTCAAGTTAGCTCTTTTGAGAATTTGAGACATAAAAGTTCCGTCGAAACTGAATAGTGGGGGAGGCTTTATTAAAGTTTTATAATTTTCTTACCATTCAGATAAATTATAAAGATTTTGTTGTGTAAATAAGGGTTCGACATGCTGGCATCATCAATGTTCACTGTTTCTATTGGTAGATAACACGATGCATTTATCCTTTAAATTTTCAAAAGTAAATGGGAAAAGAAATAAATTTTGTTCAACTTTTTAGTTGGACGGTTAACAGTTATGTCCGGAAATAATGTATCGCAGTTGAGATCAAGGATGTGCTTTTGATCTTTGCATCTTTCTGAGTTTTTCCAAATGCACGCTATATGAACTATTTTTCCTTTATTTGTCTAGATGATATGTGACCACTTATCTTTCTTCGGTGGCATATGTGTGTGTGTATATTTACATATATTTTATGAGAAAATATTCTAAGTTTTGTTTTAGGGTAATTCTATTTAAGTTCCATTTCCTTTCTTGTTGCAAAATAATTGGCGTTAGACCTGGAATTGCTTCACTGTTGATGGTTTACAAAGTTGTGTGGCCTAGAAAGTCGTGTTTCCTGGTTTTTCTATTTATACTTTACAAAATAGATGCATGTGTGCTGTATAACTTTAACTATAAAATATGATCTACTTTCAGCGTCTTTCGTGGCGTGTTCATTTACTTCTGTACATGCAAGCTCCATTGTGTTGTTGATGAAAATTTCACTTTAATGCAGACCGTGGGTACTACTCTGTGGAAACAGTCACCCTGTTAGTGGCTCTCAAAGTTCGTTATAGAGATAGAATTACTATTCTTAGAGGAAATCACGAGAGTCGACAAATTACTCAAGTGTAAGATCTGTAACTCTGTACCTTGGTTGCACTTGTTAGATATGTATTATTTTAAGTGATCTTTTGGATTAAGTCCACATTAAACTTCTTTGGAGAATCAAGCAAAGTATCCTATATAGTTAAAGTTATTATTCGTTACTAATACAGAAAAGATTGTTCATTCGTTGTTGGCGGAGAGGATAACATCAATGAATTTGAAGTTTTAGAACATAGTTTTCCTATTTATAATTCATCTTGTTTGTGCTGTTTGGTCACTGTGGAATTAGATAAGCAGCCTGCCTGATTTGGGATTGAATATATCTGTGATCTTCTCGTAATAAGCGATTCTTGTGCCTGCATTTTACTTGTTTCATAATATTGATGTCAAATTTTATATGGTACACTTTGATGATGGAATTATTAAAATTCTTCATCAAGCATCTTATTTTTTGATTATGATTTTGTTAATTAATTTTGCCTGTGTTACATATTTTGTTTTATTTTTATGGTTAACCTATGTTTCGTTTTGTCAATGGCAGGTATGGTTTTTATGATGAATGCTTAAGAAAGTATGGAAATGCTAATGTTTGGAAGTATTTTACTGATCTTTTTGATTACCTCCCTCTGACAGCCCTCATAGAGAGTCAGGTCTGTGCAATACTGCTACGTTTTTGTGTGATTAGTTTCTGCTTGCATTCGAGCTTTGGACTTTCTCCAAAGTTTTTGATAGCAATCATGTTCTGTTGTAGGTTTTCTGTTTGCATGGAGGACTTTCTCCATCTCTGGATACGCTAGATAATATTCGAGCTTTGGACCGCATACAGGAGGTAATATGGTAGATAGAAAGCCTAATTTCAAGTAACTTGAGTTTTTAATTAGCGATCTTTAGTTATTTGTTTTACCTAAATTTCCTTGGATGCCTTTCCACTTTCTAAACTTTGTTTATTTTCGTTTTATTCTAGTTGGGGTCTGATCTTCCTGCTCATTGACATGATTTTGGTGTTTGTAGGTTCCACATGAAGGACCAATGTGTGACCTGTTGTGGTCTGATCCAGATGATCGGTGTGGGTGGGGCATATCACCTCGAGGTGCTGGCTATACTTTTGGACAGGATATTGCAGCTCAGTTCAATCACACCAATGGACTTACTCTGATTTCCAGAGCCCATCAGCTTGTGATGGAGGGCTACAATTGGTGTCAGGTTGGTAGATAGGTGAACTATTTGATTTCATCCACCCTGGCTATCGCTTTACTTAAATCTCTTAATCATACAATCTTGTGCTTCTTGTAGGAAAAGAATGTCGTGACAGTATTTAGTGCTCCAAACTACTGCTACCGGTGTGGCAATATGGCTGCTATACTTGAAATTGGAGAGAACATGGAACAAAATTTCCTTCAATTTGACCCAGCTCCTCGGCAGATTGAACCTGACACCACCAGAAAAACCCCAGATTATTTTTTATAAACTTATCTGTCCGAGGGCGCTTTGTAGTCATCGCATGCCTTTCTCTGTAGATGTGTCTTTAAAAAAGAGGAGTTTTGTTGTTTGAAGATTATTATCGCCATCATTCTTTTTTTGGAGTATGCTGTGCTGCTGACTTCGGTTAATGCTCGGGATTCTTGCCCAACAATTGATGGGAAGGCACCAAGTCTTTTTGTCTTGTATATTTTCTTTTTTGTTTTTCGGGGAATAGAAGAAAGCAGCAATAACATGACATGGTATTATATTGTGTTGTGTATGTCAAAATTCCCATCTTAGGAAAACATGTCTCAGTGCCGTATCTGATCAGTTCTGTTGTGTTTAGTATTTACTGACGGACTTTTGCTGCTAAAATTTACTAGGATCAATGACAGATGTTTATTTTGCTATAGTTGACCCGAAGCACCATCGAGTGATTGGTTCTCTTTTGTTCTCAGAACATGCGCTTTTTGGCATTTGGTCTCTGATAATGGGTGGGTATTGATGACTCGCTGCAGTCTGTCAATCAGGAAAGCCTATCGATCATTAGGAGATGACTTTTGAGAAAATTTCTTTGTCCAAAGTGGTTAATTAACTTCAGGAATCCTCCCTGCCTTTAAGTTCCAAATTTGAGATGCTGGAGAATTTGTGACGGCACATGATGTTTTACTGAATGAAACGAGTGAAGTACAGACTTTTACATTTGATTAATGAAACGAGTGAATTAAAGACATTTTTTTATTAGTGTCCGTAAACTAATGTTTAAGCTTGAGAATCAAAATATTAAGGAGAATCGATGGTAGTAGAACCTTATATTCAACAGTACCTTGATGGTTATGGATATGAATTTTTTTTCAAATATCGACTTTTTGAAAATTTTAATGTGAAACGAATGCGTGAATTTTCTCCTTGGAATAATTAAGACATCAGTTTCAAACACCATGAATCAAGAGTCTCCTTAAGCGATGACCAATTCCAATATTGACAAAGTACAAAATTCAACAAAAGCCAACTTAAAATGAGCGCATAGAGAGCTAATTAATAAATAAGAAATTCTAGGTTGCTGCATACAAAAAGCTAAAGAACAACTAATTCAACGGATGGAGGTATTAATCTCATCAGTTGTGTCTCCACACGATTTCTTGCTTCTTTTTCCATCTTAGGATGCTGAAGACGTTGGCGCTTGTAGAACCATTGACTACGAGGGTCAACAAGTACTCTTTCTAAAGCCATGGCATTTTCTAACAGGTACATCATAAGTTCATTCTCCGCTGTACGACCATAATACCCGCGAAACTCGACAACTTTAAGATGTTTGAGAGGAGAACCTAAAGCTCTCTCAAACTCCCTTTCTGTCTTACGCATTTTATCATGCCAGAACAACTCCAGCACAAATTTCTCCAAGTTGGGCGATGATCTTATGAAAGAAGTTAAGCGCATCATACTATCATCTTCCCATGCGTAAAAGGTCTAGTGTAACTGCTTCAAGGAAGAAAGTTGTGGTACCTGAACCAAATCCTTTTCCTCTCTGACATCACGAGAGCGGACGTGTATGGCAAGAACCTCCAATCTCGACAGGCAGCTTGAAAGCAACGGAGGAATGTGTCGTACCAGCCATCCAACAACAGAAACATCCACAAGCATAGGGTTATTTTCAAGCACCACATTAAGCACCATATGAAAAAACTTGTGAATTTTCAGTGAGACAAGCGCACAATAATGGACGTTAAAAACCTACAATGATCTAGTTCGAGATGTTTCAGTGCAAGAGATGGACCACAAACTAAGACACTTGAGAAATCCTGCGACCACGAAGCGCGTATGATTAGCCCCGGTCACCTCTACACCTGATAAACTCAATGATTTGAGTGACTTAAAGTCGGTGAGAATATCATCAAGAAGCCCACAAGAGAAGCGATAAGCCCGTCGAATTCCTTTTCCATGCAGCTTCTTAAGAAGTCTAATTCTAGAGTTTGGACTCTCTTAGAAAGGGCATAAGCAATCCACTTATCAATGTCTTCCTGGAAGGTTTTATCCAACTCAAAACAAACCCTAAACTCATCAATCACCGGGGCTTTTTGAACTTTCACCAACTCATTCACCCAATCAACATACCAAGCACTAGTTGTTATTAGATCAGATTGTTTTTGCAATATGTTATGACCATCAAGATCAAGTCGGGCTCTATACATCCACAATCCTGTCCATTGTTTGGACAAAATACTTGTCGCAGCAGCTTCTTTCAGCGTCAGCAAAGGCAATAGTTGTTGGATAAGAATATCAGTTGGTAAAAAACTAATACGATCCACAAGAGACTGCTTCCTATCTGCGGAACATTGGACCATCATCGTACTCATCTTCAAGATTGATTAATGCTTTTCACGAAAGAGAGCGCCTTTCACCAACTAGGTTTAGAACCGAGGGCGAAAGAGTATAAAGAGAGAGATATTACACAAAGTGTGGCAATTTATATCGTAGTTGTATTGGGACAATAATATTCCCTCCCGCCCATACAAATAGTCTAATTTACATATATGGTTTTTAGTGCAATTTATTACTATTTACAACGTAACATTATCGCCCCCCTCTATGTTTGTCCAACTCGAATTTGTATCAACTGGTTCCGAAAACATAAATAAATGAATAAAAAAATAAAACTAAAAATAGTTTGGTATCTAGCCATAAAATTTAGGCAGAAGCCTCTGTGTAAGAGAGCTCGAATTCGGCTCGCGTTATAGGTGGTAGATTTCAGAAAACACAAATTTACATTATACGATAATCGAATCCAATTAAGGAAAAAGAAAAATGGGCTAAACACAAAAGAAGAAGACGGATTTGCGCTACAGAGACAATGGCGTAAGATTGTAGGAATATGGACGTGCCTTTCACAGGAACAGTTCTTTGGACCGGATTGAAAGCACTACAACATCAAGTTCAGTCTGCAACAACTTTTAACAGCGATCATGGAATGTTTATGTGACAATTTGTACTCCATGTAAATAGTACACCCATTGATATTTTCGTCAAAGGAATTCTTCCACAACAGTAACAAAGTTGAGTAAGCTAAAACAGAGACGAAGCCTCGGAAATCTCCAATTGTTTACAAAAGAGAAGCCATCAACCAAATGAAAAGAATCTATATTACCAAAATCATTGTCCTTGAGCAGATGCAGTCTACGTTACAGTGTGTAGCTGTCCACTTTCTAGTTTCTATGTTGAAAACCTCGAACTCCGAGGTTAAGAAAGTAAAGTAATTTGTACCAGTGAACTACTCCAACTTACAATCTCCTTGCGAATAGCTTGGGCCTGCATTTCAGGTTGTAAGTAATGCCTTGATATCCCTTCAGAATACCGTAATAATGTAATAACCGAAGGATGGAATGGTGATCTGAAAGTATAGGCGGGACAAACAGCGGGACAAAAGAGGCAACAATATACAAAATTAGCTGTTGAAAATGTAAAATGTGGTGGTATTCATCCCTATTCAAATGAGGGCAGATTGAAAGTAGTCAGAAACCATGGCCTTAAAACCTAGAAGTAGGTATTCTCACTGCTCCAGCTGGTACTACATTGACTCTTTTCCGTCTATAATACATGGCTGAACCACTCAGAAGCAGCAAACCTAACATCAGCGCCTGAAAATAACAGCAGCATATTACATTTGTGTAACACCAATACATCAAGGAAAGAGAAAATAAACCATTCTGATTGATGCCAGACAAAGAAAATCTTATAGATGCCATACAATATAGTCATAACACAATGAAAACTTATATTAACACAAGTTATCATTAAAAAAAGTAAAATGATAGGCTTTGTCAGACATTTCTAAACTACAGAATCTATTAACTGGTAATAATAAGCTGGGGATATCTGGTATCGGACTAAACCGCAGTCTTTTATGCATAAGACCCCATTTGAGGAGGAACATAAAACTCTGAGATAATAATATACAGGAATAATATCTTTATCAGAGAGATTTTAACACAGACACAACCAAAGATTCAATAAGCCTAAACCTTCAGGTCTATAGCATCCTAGGTTAGGTTGATCAAGAAATTTCCAAGAATGTTATAAGGAATCAAGCACGGCCATTACCTGATTTCAAAAGAAGAACATACAGAGTAATGTCCAATTATTCCAATTAAGAAAACTACATTTAACTTACCTCAAAACCAATGACAGAAAACCTTTCTTCATTAACTGCAGGTATACAACTTCTGTAAGTAATATAAGCTTGTTTGCCATCCTCTGACCCAGATGACTCGTCAAGCAGATGCCTTCGTGTTAAAGAGGAAGCATGTCCTTCAGCAGCATTTGATTTTACAAGCAGATTAACCTCGCAATGTATGCTTTCCAAGGTAGATCGGCCCTTCGGTTCTTTTTTGCCTTTTACCTCCTTCGATCCAGATTCAATTGCGACACATTTCAAAGGTATGCGGTATCCAGTTTCGCTGCAGCGATATTTTTCATCATTCTACAAGAAATACAAAAGAGTCAAACTAAATGATTGCTTGAGGTGCATTTACAATTTCAAAAATAGAGGACATAACAAAACTAATGTCCTCATCGCCAACTTCTTAATCTCAAGGTTCAAAAACAGAATCAGCAACTTGAGCTAACGCGTCTTTTAGGTTCTCCTTTCATTTCCTCGAGGGCGATAACAACATGAGAAATCCTCAATTAAAAATGCAAAATCCTTATGACAGAGATCAATATAAATACATATGGATTCTCAGTAACACGGTTTGCAGCCTGCCTAAAAAGTGGTGTTACCAAAAGAGCATTGCTCTGGTAGACAGGGGACAAATTTCTAATGTTCACAAAGGAAATGGCGCCCGAGAGCATTCGCTGGCGCTTAAAGTCACAGAATTACTTTATCACAACTAAGTAAAGCCAAGTAATCCAGTTCGGATAATAATATTTTCCGACATCTTCCACCAATCAACCCCAAAATGCTTGGCAAATAATCCCAAATACTATCTACATCCAAACCAACAAAATGCTAAAAGAATGAATATTGTACTTGAGATTTGAGCGCATATTCAAGCAATGGCGAAACTAACAGATTAATTGTTATTTGCAAAAGCAAGAAAGTTAAGTTACCTTTTCAGAATAAGCACAGGGGATACAGGGTCCTGAAGGTGAGCATTCATAGGTAATATTTCCTCCACTAGGGGTCTCCTTAAAACCCATTAAAGCTCTGCCCCCAAGTTGATTTGTATACCCTTTCCCAACCTCTCCTCTTCCTTCATTTCTAAATCAACAAATCAAAGAGAAATTTCTCAGCATCAACACGCAAATAAAAATTCTGGAAGACGATTCAATCATAATAAAGTAAGAATCTTTAAAGAGGAAGGAACTGCGTGTACCCACCTGACGACTTCTGCAGAGGTATATGAAAATACAAATAGGAGAATCACAGGGACCCAATTTGAAGAAGCCATAGAATCCTCCTATGCTTTCACTGTGAAGAAATCTTGTGGAGACACTCTGGATCTCCGTGGGTGATTTAGTCGCCGGAAATCTGGTAGGCAAAAACCATGATTTTTCACCTGAAAGCGCGAGGGAAACGTGTGAAAGCGGGCCACTAGAAAGATTAGGCGTTGCGAGTTTTCATATGTTGCTCTACGAAAGCCCAGCAAACAGATGGGCCCTGATCCAGACTTATGGGCTCGAATTCATTCGGAAGAAAGTGGATCACAAGTCACTTCTTACTTGTAAGTTGTAACATAAGTTCTGTTTATTTGATTAGTTATCTACTTTGTGAAGATTATATCAACTCAACCCATTATGTTCACCGTGTTATTCAGTTTAGACTTTTTGTCATTTAATACTCCATCCGACTCCAAAATTATTGTCCATTTAATATTTTTATTTTTAGTACAAAATGAACTAAAAGTAAAAGTGGTAAACTGGATAATGATTTTAGGACAAAAGAAATACAAATTATATAAAAAATAAAAACTTAAACTACATAATTATTTGAGACAGAGTAATACACAGTTACTCAGTCCTAAACATTTGTGAATCTAACTGGACGTGTTAGATTCTACCAAACATGGTCAGAAATGGCATTCGCTTTATCAAAATAGTTTTCCTTTTTAGTATAATAATCCAGAAAAATATTTTAAGACAGAAGGGACACACAGAACTATTATTGTACTACACAAATCAGTCACTTCTATTTAATGGAGTCTGCCATGCAAAAGCACCTTAATTATTGTGTACATTATAGGTATAGGTTAAATTTTAAGTAGAAAAATAAAATTTCAATGGAAAAGTGTCAACAAAATAAAAAATCATAATATTACAAATCAATACTATTATTTTTTTTTTTACTATATATTTGTCACTATGAATATCATTTTCCCCTTGATGAATAGTGCAGAATTAGTTATATAACACTTTCTTTGTGTAATGTAATAGCATACATAATAATTACAGTCTACTAGTCCATCATTATATATGATGTACTAATTATTTTAGACAACTCGACTATGAAAATTGCACGAAAAAAAACGGAAAATGTAAAAGAGGAAAATCTAATTAGTTGTAAGTGGTCAATGATAAATCTTTAACCTCGGGAGGAGATTAATAGTATAATTTAGCGTACGAGATGGTGTTAAAGTTAAAGTCAGTAAACTATTTATCTGTAAATAAACTCAACTAGAGGATGGGAGGATTGGGTGGGGTGGTTAGGGGATTAGGATGGAGGATGGTTATTATCAAGAGATCGAGGGTTATATCTAGTCATAGTGATAAGCAGAAGTTAGTACATTATTATTTTATTTTACTATAGCTTATATGAACATGTGGTTTAACCCAAGGTTACTTTATAGAACTATCTATGAACACGAAGATTTTTGAGACCTGCTTAGAGGAAATTATTAATGATCTCTTGATGTAAATTTAATTTTACAGTATATCATATTATTATTTTTCTTGACTGTTTCATCTTTGGATGGTTTATGGAGACTTTCAGATTCTCCTAGCTATCTCAAAGCACAAGTACATGATTATAACATGAAGCGATATGTATTATTATTCATTTTTTTATTTTTTTGAAGCGGTATGTATTATTTATCAGTAACCAATATGTATTATTTAGTTGCAACTTTTAACGTGCCTGATTTTATTGTATCGGAACCAAAAAAAAAAAACATTAATTTACAATATTGTATCTACAATTATGTTTGACCAATTAAAGTCTACAGTAGCTCCCTAGGTGTTCCCCATCAATTTCCCCCCGAGTAGAGAGTAATTTTGAAAAAGTGGGTGTCATTGTTAATGTGCCAATGGAGTTCAGACATTGGAGCAAAACCGAAAAAAATCTGGTTACAAGGATTAGGATTGTAGATCCATTTTAGTACATATATATGTGGTTTTAAAAATTAAAAAAAAAAAAAGGCAGAAAGACAAAAGAGCTAAAGAATGCCGCATTCATACATATAATTTCTGATAAATCAAAGCCTAGAAATGAATGGAGACAATGAAATATCATAATTTAGCTTATCTCCTTATCTCCCATGTTCCCCACTTTCTACGAATTAAGATTAGTCAAACAATCACAGCAGATTAGTGGTGGTTCCTACTGGATTCTCCCTCAGAATTATACTATCACTACGGCTGCTGGCCGGATTATCTGTCTTGTAACATTTTTTTTTTATATATGAAAAAATATGTTTAAAATAAAGGTTTTTCACTATATCTATTTTGTCATTAATTTTTATATTTTTCTCAACAATCATCAAATAGCTCGGCAGAATTGATTGATTTTTTTTGTAAAACTTCTACTGGATGTGAAAGTTCAGCATTGAATAATAAGATTTTTTTTCTTAAACACTATATATTAATTTTACAGATCGTGTATTATAGTGATATTCGCCCTAGAAAAAGAAATGATACTGCCCAAATAATAAAAGGAAAAAAAATCATGAACATTTGTTATACTGTTTTAAATTTTTAGTTCAACAAATAAATTTTTAATTGGAAGAGAGCATATATCATTACATAGGTAATGCACAAAATGGAGGTAGCACCTAAAAGCGACAAACTAATAGTATACGGGAGATCAAAAGCAGAATTGAAAGGTTCTTTTTTTCACCATTTTTATGCAATTATTATTACACGCACCACAAATTAGAGGAAGTGGACAAATCAATAAAAATAAATATCCCTAAACAATTGAAAATGACAGCGTCTCATTCCCATAACCTTTCATTGATATCAACTCAAGCTACTGTACAACAAAGGAATTTGGCTCTGATTAATCACCCTAATTTGGATTTTAATCCACGATCATCAAAGATTAGAAAAAGCTAATCAGACCTATCAATCTATAGCGGATCCCATTATAATAATTCTACTTGAAACTCCTTCCTACTTTACAACGTAAAAAACGTACCAAGAAACCACTAATCTTATATATATAAATTTATAATATCATCGTCAATCATCCATCAGATTCATCACCACCACCAAATTAATAAAATAAAACTCTTTTTTTTTTTTTGTCCTTCAATCCCATTGGATGGATCCATCTCAATTCTCAAGCAACACTGATGATGCTATCCCCACTACTGTTGTCGAAGCTACTTGGCATGCCTTGAAATGCTGACGTGTGCCTTGTCGGTGGCCTCGGCGGCGACTGCTCCGATGACGGGGTGGAAAGTTTCAACGTTAAGGGCAAAGGGTCGGTTGAATTTGTCGGGTTCAAGTTAAGATCCGCCATTTTTGAGGATGGAGGAACTGGAACATGAATCGGAATCGGACAAATGAGATTGGGTGAAGGAGATGTAGTAGTATTTTTTAGGAGTATTACTTGATTATTGCTTTGTCCTAATGTAAGACTCTCTAGTGACGATGATGATGGCAACATTACCGGAGCAATATTCATAGGAAAAGTAGTAGTAGTAGTAGTTGACATCGGAAAACTTTCGAGATTGTTGATTATATTTTTTTGAGATTGCAACGATGGTGGTTGGGACATAGATTCTTCTTGCGCTCTATTCTCGATTGATGTACAAACAACCTGCGATTCCATTCAAGAATTTTAATTTTTGGTTAAATCGAAGATTAACTTGATTTGGTATACAATCAAATCAATAATACTTTAGGAAGATAGTAGAAAAGGGAGATCAATAATTAAACGATGGAAATGAAAAAAATTTCAAGTGTGAAAATAAAAAAGTGTGGTTGTAGTTGTACCGCATCAGTAGTGATGTCGAAGAGACTAGATCTCCGGCGGCGGCGGGAGTGGTTGTTGCGGCGGAGGAAATACTTCTGAGCATGACTAGCAACTTGAGTTGGGGTACGAGTTTTAACAAAGTTTCTTGAGATTCCTCTCCAATCTCCTTTCCCTACTTTTTGCAATCCTAATAGAAACAGCCTGTGTTCCTCTTCAGTCCATGGCACTCCTACACAAATTAATACGCACACAAAATAGTCAAAATATGTATACATATTTGAGGGTATTTCAATCAAATTAGATTTCTAATATCCCTAATGTAATTAACGATATGTAGCTAGAAACATTTATTAATTAGTATCGAAATCTAGTTACAGAAATACGACTGTTATCCTGAGACGGAAAAAGACAGAACAGACATAAGAATGGACAGTTATACCTCTTTTTCGCTCGCGGCTTCTAGCGGAGGGATGAACAACATCATCAGAAGCATAGCCAGCATTGACATCAGTATTAATCATGGAGTCTTGAGGCATTTCAAACTGAGCAAGATTGTTCATGCTCGCACTTTTCCTAAATGATGATGATGATGATAAGCCTTCCATAACTCTAACCCCAAAAAGCATGAACCCTTTTCCTCCATCGCCGATACCGGCGGAGGGCAGCCCGGAACCGCCTCCGCCACCAACCTCCGAGCAATTTTGAGAGCTTTGACCATCATTTCCGCACTGTGAAGATGAGCTAGCCATTTTGGTTTCTTTCTTCCTTATTTGCGGCCTCGATCGTTCCCTTCTTCTTTAAGGAAGGTAATAAAATGGTTATATGATGTAGATTTTGATGGGGCTATATCAGTCTCAGCCGCCCATACAATCAAAAAGAGAAAAAGAGAGAGAGAAAGAGAAAGAAGGGAAAAGAATGGGAAAAAAAAGGTTGGAAGGAACGAACGCTTTTCGTAGATATAAACCACAAGAAAAAATGAAATAAGGACGGTAGTAGCTTGGAAGATGGCTGTGGTTGATATTATAGCTCTTTTTTTCCATTAGGGTTTTCTCTTCTTTTTTTTTTAAATAAATATTTTGTCCTTTTAATCAATTAACTAGGACTATTTTGTACTATCATAAATTTATTGCATTTAAAAATATTAGCAATATACATCCCAGGGAGTTGTATCTAGCTACACACAAGCGTTAATATTCATACACGAACGGAACCCATCTAACCATCCACAGAAATCCAATTATTACAAAGATATACATAATAAATAAATAATAATTAAACCCACAATCCTCAAAGTCTTATTGGAGGTTGAATTCTTGTCTGGAAATTATGTTTTTATTAACACAAAACCACGTGTATCCACGATCCTGAGTACCATGATTCCTTATGATGGGGGTAAAGGCATGTAATTGACTAATCACAACTTGCCATTATATTAACAGCTTTCTAGGTACGTACGTATTGAAAATTCATTAAAAATAAATTCTTGAAATTCTACAAATCTGAAGCAATGGTACGGAATATATTTTTTCGTATCGAGTATGGTGTGAAACAGAAAAAAATCTTTTAATTAATATGTTCAAGAGATTTTACTTTATGATGATCTTCTAAATACAATCCAATAATTTACAAGATAAAGAAAATTTGTAATCGATGTGAAATTCAATATCTAATATTCGATATTCAAGATGTTAAATATGTGGGATCGAATGTGGCTGCATATGCTGATCAATGTATGGAATTACAAGATCAGATTATCACTTTTGTGTATACATATTGTGGCATATGCCATCGTGCTAATCAATTTGGGAATGAAACAATTGAGATAAAAAAAAAAAGAAAAAAAGTTAGGTTTATGGGGATAGAGATGCTTGCTTTTTTGTGGGATTTATGTGACAAGAAAAGATGGATTGTGTTTATTATTAAAAGAAGATGACGAGAAGAAACAAAAGAGACATGTTTGAAAATAAATGGGAAAATAATGAGAAAAGAAAAGGATGGTGGAGGGGGAGGAGGGTTTTCTACCGTCAAAATGGCATATTCCCTGCTTCTTTGGAAAACATTTGCTTGTCTCTATTGGTTTCTTCTCAAAGCCAGACCCTTCAAACCCCCAAACCACCCCCCAAAGGGGGGCTCTTGGCTTTGTATAGTGACCTTTGGTGGTGGGTGTGATATGTGAGGATAAGGGGCATTAAGACCCCACTCATCATCCTTCTTTCCTAACTCTTTTTTTGCATCAAACTTTCTGAGTGGTTGTAGTGGAAGTCCTTTCCACTCATGGTCCCTTCCTTTTTTGATCATGCCCTAATTCGTAAATAACTTTGATCTATACCATTTGTTTCTTCTTTTTTTTTTTCCTTTTCATTTATAGTGCAGAGTTTGTAAAAATCTTTCTGATTTTACAATTTAGAATATTCATTGTATTGTATGCTAGGTCAATCAACAATATTACCATGTCCTTTTCCTTTCTGATTGTAATGATCATCACATAAGGGTTCCAATAAGTCCTTTCTTTTAATTTTGTTAGTGTTTTTCTTTTTCAATAGACATACTTTGCGGTAATTAGTCACATCAATTTCAAAGCATCTTACTAGTTCATTTCCGAGATGCTAAAAAAAAAAAAAAGCTTCTGAGATGAACACATAAGAAGACAATATGAACTTTCTCATCAGTTCTATATCTATTTATCATGTGTACGGTTTAGAGGGAAATGAAAAAGAAGAAAAGTTGTTTTAGAACTAATCATGGTAGATTCTATCGTTTATGCAACATTGCAACTACTATTGACTTTGTTTACCAAAATCAATGATGAAAGTTTAGAAGTGAAGAGTTGGATTACGATTTCCACATGTTGAATACCCCTTGGGCATTTGATCCTTTTCAATCCATATGTGTCTTGTGATACTGATTATCACTGATGAAGGAGGGCGTCCTTATTTTGCCATTGTATTGTCTCCATACTCTGAACAACATCATCTTCGACATTTATGTTTGTCGCGTCTTAGAAAAGACGAAGTTATATATGTACATATATATATATATATATATTGTACTACTCTTTGCATTAATGCACCATAATCTAGGTAGAGTACTATACAAGACAAGGTTAATTAACGCCTCTACTCGCTTGAAACTGAAATGAACCAAATTAGAATAGCAAACCTTGTTTTGTGTTAAGAAAATAAAAACGGTTAAAGAATGATTTTAGCTAGTGTCTTTAATTACAACCATTAAATGAACAATAAAACAAATTAGCACAAATATTTCATCCGTTCTGTTTTAACATTTGTCCTTTTTACTAATTAACATAATACACTACAATATACGACTATTAATAGGAGTTTGTAAGCACTAGAAGTGATCAGTAAATTAACCAAAAATCCAAAATGCAAAATGAAATTCACTATCCATGTTTGCATTTAACACTTCTTATTTATTTATTCTTTTTCATTTTGAAATGGAAGTCTCTTCTTTCATACTCCAAACATTGACATTGAGAGAGATAATGCAAAATCTGTGGTACTCGATTAGACAAAATACAGAAGAGATCTTATGAGATTGAGATGCTTAGATATATGAAGCAGATGGTCGATGGGGATTGGGGATCGATATGACATTGTTGGTGCATATATAATTAAGATCAGGTCCCTCTTTGTTGCCCAAGAACTTTTTTCCGGTCCAATTACATCAATAATATTCCATCACGTTTATCTACATCCTTCTTTTATTTTTAATTTTTTTTCAAGAAAGAAAAAGAAAAAAAAGAGCTCTCTATCCCAAGATTATAATGCAATTTAATATTTCACTTTTAGTATAATATAAACTAAAAAATAAAAAATTAAATCAGATAATAATTACGGGACAGAGAGAGTATTTGTTCAGTAATATACGAAAGAGAGGGGGGCTTAACCTAGGAAATTATTCAACAGAGTACATAAGGTGTGTTGCTTTAGTAACATCATGACTAAGTTAATTGTTAAACATGTTCAATAAATTAATTAGTTCTCTAAACACTCAATTTCCTATGCTCGTAAGCCCTGAAAAAAGATAAACAAAATTGTAGTGTAATTCGCCACTATTTGTATATACCTACATCATAACCACCGTGTAATCTTACGAAATCAGCTCTCCGAACTCCGATCCATTGGAGCAAAGCCAAATGTGGTAGACAATTAAGAAGATTTAGTAGTATCATGCCATCAACAGTAGCAGAATAAGACAATTTAGTGCAGCCAGTCCAATAATCCTTTTTTTCCCCCTAATTCTTTTCTTTAGCTTCTCCAATATATCTAATGATTAAATTATCTAAATACTTGCGTAATTGCTTGAAAAACATGGACGGCGTTCGAGCTATCGTTCGTTACCCCAACTTACGTGATGTGATATGCATCTCATTTTACTCAACATTTTTTGAAAATGCATTTTACTCAAACATTATTAATCAACTTAATCATCTTAGTAAGTTGTATATCTATGAGATAGATAGGCACATTTTTGCTAACTAATTGATAGAAATTTCAACTCCTTGTAATAAATTACTATGCATTCCTTTGGTTTCAAAAAGAAAAATAATTATACTAAAGAAAATACAAGTTGTAAATTATAAATTGTACGATAAATTATACTAAAAAGAATACAATTTGTTAAATTGTGCAATGCGAACTATTCTTCGTTTAGGATAGAGAAAGTACGATTATATCATTTTAATTTCGATATTCACCTACGTCAATTCTATTGCTGAGTTCCATAACTTTTCTTTCGGTTGTTGCCTTCACCATGTTAAAGCTAGCTAGTCTAACCTTCAAAAAGAAAAAACTAAATTAAAATAAAAATGTGAAACCTAATCTGGTTGTAGTTTAGAACGTAGTTCCCATTAGTTTTATCCCCTTGTTTTTAACAAGAGGCCATGCACAAGAATTCCACCAGGCTGCTGTGATGTGCTGATGTGTATGCAAAAGCATACTTTATATTTGCTTTTAGTGTTTATACCTTTTTTAGAAAGGGGAAAAAAAGAGAGAGAGAGAGAGAGAGAGAAATTACTTGTGTATGATTAAGCGTACGTTATTCGCCAATTTGGATGAATATCCTTTTCCTCATTAACAAAGGGCATTAAGATACAGCAAACGATTTTATAATTCAACCGAAATGAACAGAAAGTTTTGCTGAACATTTTAGATGCAGGAATTGGTTGATACATTTAAAACATCTATTTCGCCAAATAAATTTTGAGTACGGTTGTCTGCCCTGCCGTCACTAGCAGCAACTGGCTTGGAGACTTACACAATTATTATACAATCTCCCCTTTCTGACAATAAACTGTGATTAAAATGTAGCACAATTGGTGTTCCCATTCCCGTAATACGATAATAACTTTTTAGTTTCGACTTTCTTTATTGTACTCAAGTTTTTTACAAGTTTAACAAAAAAAAAAAAAAAAAGGAAAGTGTTACATGAATCGCTCACAATAGTAAAACTATAAATTTAAACAAAAGTAAATTCTATTTTTATGATCTAAATTTGGATCTCATGACCACAAAGTTTCTGCCTAACAATTGGACTAATTGCTTCTTTTCTTTTCTTTTCTTTTTTTTTTTTCCATAATTGACCGTTGTCTACCGTTAATAACAGTGACTAATCCACCTCGCTCATGACAGGCACCTCGATAAGTGAGAGAGATGATTAAAGGATTTAAAATTGCTCCATATCCATGACGAGTTCGAACTCTCGACCATAGTTAAGAGTAAATGAGTCCTTACCACTCTACCACAACCTCTTCAATTGTTTTTTTTTTTTTTTTTTTGGTCAGAGTCGATTGCTTAGCCCAAGACTGTCTGGGAAACAAATGTCATTGTGGACTGAACTACATTGTTATGGGCCAGACTTTGTTATCTTTTTTTTTTTTTATTTTTATGGGCTAGATTTTAATGGTAGCTCGGTACAAAAACCCAGTCCACCGGTACCGTAGTCCGTAGCCCATTCCCACCACACACAGTCAAACACGTAGAGATATTTTCATCGATAGCTCAAACTATAACTGAAATTTGGGAAAAACCGACATCTTTCACTTCCAAGTTCCAATGGAGGCGGGAAAGCTTTTCCGTCCAATTCCGTTAGAATTGAACCCCAGAAAACGGCATCACTCCCCTTCTCCCAAGCTCATTCGCCATTTCTCTTCTTACTCTCGCTCCCTCACCGTCAGCGTTACGGCTTCGCTGAATTCTCAGGTACGTTTCTCCTTCTTCAGATGGTTTTGTCTCCAGAACTGATAAATCTTTGTACCTAACTTAAGAATTAATGGATAGGAAGATTATCAAGGACCAAAGCCTAAGAAGGAATGGGTGGCTGATTGGGTATCCAAAAACGACGACGTCGTTAGGAGCTTGCCCATTTATGTTGGAGGTCTGTCTTTAGTTGCTGTTCTGTTCAACCGCGCTATCTCCGGCATTGCTCCGGTTGCTGACGCCAGCAGGTCAGTCCCTGAATCTCCAGCATTGTAGTACAATTGAAGGCATGGCTTCAATTTTAGCAACCCTCAAAAGATTCTGGTCTTCCTTAAAGGATTATATTACTAAAAAATGATTTGTATCGTATTTATAACGTGTTTTGAAAATTTTTTAGGCTGCAAACTACTACTATTATACTAACATACAGATTCAACTTAATTGTGTTGTAATTGCTTGTTCCACACTCGATTAACATATATTTTTAGGTCAAATTTAATGGGAGGAAAGTTAGGGAGGAGGAATTATAATTTTGGAATCGCCCAAAGTATCTTTATAATTATATCAATATGTAATTTTATATACTTTGTTATGCACGATCTAAATAAATAAATAAAAAAAAATATCAATGTTGAGCTTTGAGTGCAAGCGTGAATGTAATGCCAACAAGGCCACAATCTTTCAAATTAATGGTGTATGCTACTATGCTAGTATCTTGATGACATTCTCAAACACAGTGATCAAGTGGATGGCTTATGTGAGGAAAGGGAAGAGGATATGGTCATATGGTCATAATATTTGGTGCCCTGATAATTAAAGACAAGAATGGACCTTTGCTTACAGTATTCTTTTCCATCGTCATAATGTTGAATTCTCATGACTTAATACTTTGTTTCTTTGTAGTTCTCAGTCTAGAGCAGATCTTCTGACCCTCGGATTGGCTGTCACAAATATTCTAAATGGACTTGTGTGGCTTTCCATCAGACCAAAGACGATATACCCAGTGAGGCTTGTGCTCGTTATTATATCCGAGAGGCCATTGATATAGATCAATATTCAATAAACAGTATTTTGAATGTTCAGCTTTTAGGGTCCTACTCCTTGCAGCAATAAAATGTTTTTCCCATGATGAATTAATCTTACAAAACTCATTTTGGTTTCAGGTAAATCCAGATGGTGTGGAGTGCCAACGGATATGTTCGCTCCTTCCAGATAACGTTGTGTCTGAGCTTCTTTGGTAGTTCACTTCACATGACTGATCTAATCATTTTAATTTTGATAATTCATTTTAGACTATAGTTTTTCAGGTAAAAAAGTTCACAGCCTTTCGTTATATTTCTGGGGAGGTTTTGCCTCATGTGTGGGATGTAGTGAAGGGTCAGGCCTTCAATCCAAATGATTCGCTTACTTCTGCAATCTAATTTCTGTTCCTGCTAGGCCATTTCTGTAGAATTTTCATGAAAAACAGTGAACATGGCTCAGATGTCTTCAAATTTCAAATTTCACTCAAATTTACTTATAGCATAGATGAAAATTTAATGATAGCATTTGTTAATGGCTTTCAGCTGAAGCATTTTATGACCAAATTGGCTGATAACATGATGCTCTGAGGATTACCACTAATAGTTGGTAAGGTTGTAGCGTTATGTCCACAGAGAATGATGTAGAAACTCGTGGACTGAGCACACTGTGGGGATAGATTTAATTATTTGTAGTGCTGAGCAACTAAGTGAAAAGATATCAAGTATCGGATTATGAACATCATCCAATAGTGTTAAAGTCTGAATGTTAAGGTGAAACACCCTGAAAATCTGCAAAGCTGAAGATGATTGGCCCCCTTTTAAACATTATTCTTTTTCTCAGGTGGTGGGAATCTCTATCTGATGTGACATGCTGTGTATCCTTAGTTATAGTGTATGAAAAAAGATGCATCATGCAAGTTGGGTTTGCTGCTATGGCTTCTTCTGAACCTGATGTTGCAATTGGAGTTGATGCTGACAAACTGATGGAAGGATCACTTTACCAGGGTATTATGAGATCTAAATCACGTAAGGGACATGCAATCGCCTCCACGTAGTTCTTAGCTGTTTGTTGTACTCTATATCTATATAGTGTTTATTGAAGATTATTTCGGAGGAAGCCAATTTTCATCTTCTTTGCAGAAAGTTACCTGGCAAACTTATCTCTTTATCCTGCTAAGTCTGAATTGCCATTTCTACCTTCAAACACACAGGTAATATTGATAATCTGCTGTCTGCATGTTTGAGGGATTTCGGATTAATTTTTTTATCTGAAAAGTCTGTTATATCCAGAATATTGAGTAAAACTTTTATTCCACAATACTGTGCATGCTTCTGTCAGATGCATGTTTTCTATTTGGGATTGAACAAGAAGTTTCTGCACGATTTTGTGATATTCAAGATTATGCAGTCAGGTTTTTAGAAATTCTCATCGACCTTTATACCCATGATATTAACGAATAAACGAGTTACAGATCTCAAAGGAAAAGAATAAACATATTCTGTAATCCCTGAGATTTCCTTCAGTTTGTTGTCAGCATTTTGTGTTCCCACAATAGAGATTGATGCTGATTGCATTATGTAAACTGTAGGCCGTCATCTTGCAACCTCTTGGAGATTCAGGACTTGCTGTAATAGGTGGTGACACGATAAGAGGATTCACAACTTCTGACCAGGTGATTGTTTAGGCCTATGTTTTGATTCTAAGAATTATTTAACTTTATTGTATTCTTTGTTCTCCACCGCAAAAAGGAGAATACTTTCTGGATTCTTATTTGTGGATCATCCAGCTTGCAAACATACTATTTTCCCGAAGAATATATACTTTTACTGGTTTTGGATGCCTGCCTAATGCTTTTTGGGATTACTACTCTGTATGATTCAGATATCTATTTTGGCTGCTAAGACGACGAAATTCTTTTCTCATTTGGTGACAGGCATGGATCTCCTTGGTAGGACAAAAGTTAGATGCTACGCTTGGGAAAATGAGTGGTATTCCAGTACTGCAAGAGATAGAAAAGGCAAGTTGAATTGATCGGGTACAAGTTTTGAAGTGGCAGCGAGACGCAGTTTTTCCTTGAAGTGCCAACAGGAAAACTTTCAGTTCCCTGCACATTGCTGCATCTCAGCTGTTGGGCAAAACAAGCTGTGAACCATCTCTCAGGTTGACAATTCGCAAGTACATAACACGACAGCAAACACGACCCCCAGTTTGACCTATTAAAGCCACATTTGTTATAGTGCACAGGAATATAACTTGTTGATACACATTCAAATCTACTGTACTCGGTTCATAGAATTAATTTCGATACTCAAAACATAAAAGAATCTGAAACATCAGTGGGCACTCCGCCCAACAGTTCCTGTTTCCTAATGGCAACGGCAATTTTCGTGAATTTAAGATGTTCAACAATACATAAAAGCGAGTGAAGGAAGCGTTTTCTAGCTTCTTGTCGGTTTCCCATAATGACTATACAAAACTTGATTTTCAACTTGCTTTTCTTCAAGATAATCCACTGTAATAACGGACAAATATCCAAAGCAACGGTCTTCGTTTCAAAGTAAGCTAATGAAATAACCTGTGTTCTCTCTAAACGTCAAACCCGGTGATGAAGAACAATGTGTGGCATGCCCGATATAAGAATATTGGCCTTTACAAATCTTACAGCTGGAAATCGTGAAATATGTGATTCAGATTAAAAAAAAAAAAACAAAGCAACCAGCAGTATTATTTAAATTGTGTATTCGGTATTTTCTCCCAAGATTTTAAGATTCATTCGTCCAAGGGAACCACAATTCCCTTTCCTTTTGTTTTTATTTAAATGTTTGGAATAGATTATGATTGTCTTTTACACATACTTCCAGCAATGCTTGGCTCTTTATTCCCAAGAGAATCTTGATTATCTTTTTGAAACACTTTCCTGTCATCGACCTACTGTCCTTTAATCACGCAACATCAGTTTGCAATTCCACTAAATCTCATCTGAAAGAATCATTTTCTTTTTAGGTTATTCACTGAACAAATACTACATTAAATGAGAGAACCAAAAAATGAAAGAATGAGAGAAAATATAATGGTAAGTGTTATGTTACACTGCAGAACAGCTGCAGAAGTGTCAAAAAAAATAATGTGTGAAAAAAAAATAAAAAATTCCCTAGTGTAATCTGTGCCATATTTTCCATTCAGTTTCTACCAATAAAAAATTTGGGTTATATAACTACTGATCTGAAGAAGATCTTTCCCAAGGCAGCAAACTAGTTGAATCATCAGTCAAATTGGTCAAGACAAAATCTCTCAAGCCAGTGTCCCGGATTTCACAGAACTGTTGTGACCAATTGGGAGGTTCAATGGCCTCAGTTCCTAAACCAGGAGCCCTGTCCCTAGATCCTTCATTGTGGTTTTCTTGCCAATCAGCAACATATGTTGCAACCCTTCTGTAGAATTTCGCTTTAAAAACATCCCAAACCTGGTACTTGTAGTGATTAATGACAGCTATGCCCTGGTGTAAATTAAGGTAGGTGAATCCACTTCTCAAGTGGAAATGATGCACCACATTGAGAAGGGTAGGATCAAGTGCCTCGGGCCGGATAATGGATTTGTGTCTCTCTGGTCTTTGCAACCGGCAAGTGTATCCTACTGTGACTCCCCTTGGAGGAGGTGAATTCAATCCTGAAGGGCCAAAACTATGGCAAGTTGTTCTTATCTCTGCTATTGTAGGGGATGATGAAGAAATATTTGCCACCAGGGAACTTAAAGATTTCGGGCCAGCGTCTCCTGATTCCCAGGACATATAATTCCTTGATGAATTCGGAAAGTAGAAGAATTCATCCACGTCCATGAATGAAACCCAATTGCACTCTTCCTTTGCTCTAACAGCACAATGTGAGAAACCAGCTTCCTGAGTCTTAATCCATGGCCAAACATGCCTGCTGACATTGTAGTCCTCCTTCACAAGTTCCTTAATTACCTGTTCTATGTTGTCATCACTGTTATTATCATAAATAAACCATCTTTCAACTCCTAACCAGGAGTGATAGGTAATCCATTCACGCAGTGCCGCAGCCTGATTCCACAACATTGTGCAAACGCAAAGTTCATACTTTTTCCCCTGATTCATCTCCACGCCTTCATTACTCTTGGAATAGGAAATCTTGGCAACTGAAGGTAAAATCTCATTCCCAGGATGACCCCTTAAATGAACATGGGGTCTCACACCAATTGTTACCCTAATTCCCTGAGCCTTTTCTGGGGTCATCTTGATACTTCGCGGTAACAAACACCTCACAACCTCTTGGGCGGCCGTGACCGCTCTAGTAGTGAACATGAAGCTCCCATTCTTCTCCAAATGCTTCAACCCAAAATGGCAGTTGAACTGGCTTGGATCCGATTCTCGCTCTTGCCTGAGATTCAAGCCTTTTACAAACACCACTGCAGTATCCCCATCTAAGGTAGCATCATACACCAAATTTTCCCAAGAATGAACAGACAGGTTACTACTACTAACCCCAAATAAACCATTATCATCATCCCTCGAACCCTCAATCTCAGTGCTTCCAACCCTTTGTAAATTAACCACAGCAGAATAATTCACCGGAGGAAGTGGGCATCTAACAATCAATCTAAACTCATCATATTCGTCCACAGACAAAACATTCAGCTTGGCAAAATCAAGACTCTGCCTTTCATCAACAAGAATGCTTTTCTCATAAACACAATCCAACCCATTAAATCTCTTTACAATCCCATCATTCTTAACCAACAAAAGTATATGATCAGGAAACAAAACCCTATCCTCTATCTTAATCGGCAATGATACAGAGTCACCAAAATCTTGAAGAGAGTTGATACTACTATCGCTACTAGAAGACAAAAAAGACAGCCTCGAAACCCTCAAATTGGGTCTAAAAACTAAAGAATTGTACCGAATCGTGACAGACAACATGTAAAGCAAAGTGAAAAAGCTCATATACAAAAGAAGAGATCTTACTGAAAGCAAATGAGAAGGAAGAAGTGAAGAAGATGATGGTTTAAGTGATGACGATGTTGAAGTTCTAAGTAATCGTTTCCTCTTCCGGCGTTGCTCTGGAGAATCCATAACTGCAGAGCCCAACTAAAAATGATATCTTTTTCTGGATTGTCTGAACCAATTTCAGTTTTTGATGGAGAGGCTGAGGTTTGGAAGTTGGCCTGATTGATGGATGAGGCGTAGATCTATGTGACTTTGGGAGGAGGGAAGAAGGGGTAGTAGTAAAGTACGCCGACAGAGGTTCTTTTTCTGTTTAAGGTTCTTCTGATGCTCTGCTGGTCATCTCTCTGGTAATTTGTCGGAAGGCTGTGTTTGGTTGGATGATTTGCCTTTTATTCAATTTTTCTCAAAGGACGAACCTTTTTAGGCCAGGAAATTGGGGAGGAGAAGGAGGAGGGGTTAAATCAATTGGGCAGTAGAAAATCTGAAAATGGGAGGAGGATTGGCCTAAAACTCCCAAGTGTCAACTGTCAAAAGGGTCCAACTTGCAATTTATTTGCTTGGACTGAAGGGAATAATATACGTACACTAATACGTAATTATTAGTAGTTTTTTTTTTCCTACGAAAAGAGAGAAGAAAAAGAAAGAGAGATGAAAGAAAAGGTGGTCCAGTAATTTGGTGATTGGAATCAATGGAATGGGCATTAAATGGTTTTGATTTCTGGAGTACTTTGGAAGAATGTCTTTACCAATCGGTCTGTGTGTAAAATGGACTGATTGGACGAAAATAATGAAAATTTAATTATTAGGATAAAGTTTACTAACCAAAATTTATTGATTATGATTGACGACGAGAGCAAAATTTTGAATAAAACGATATTTTTTTCCTGTTTTTACCAATCGGTCTGCATGTTCTCTCAAGTCTAATCATATTTGAAATTTCAAATCGTTGACCTCCTTCAAGTAATACCTTAAAATTTGAATATTTTTAATGATAAATTAATGGTAAAGTATAATCGACTAGTACAGTATTTACGATAATGTATATAATGGATCTCATATTGTATGTGTTTTATGTCCTTCATAATTGGAAAAAATAAACAAATGTAATCATCACTTTAAATCCATACATATACCAAGTATAAACTACTGTGTTTGATTCCTTTGACTTAGAAATGAACGGAATCGAATTCCTTAATACCATATATAGGAGTATATTATATGATGTGCATTATGCGGTGATTGAGGCCAAACTGGTTGAATAATAATGAACATGGTTAACATTTTAACAATAGTCTGTTCACTAAACTCAAAGTTCGGCTGGCACGCGTTTTAAATAATTCCATTGTTGGCAGAATTACTCTTTTCCTCATTTTCTTGCCAGAAATACGATCGAATCCAAATTATTGAATTGGCTTTCCTTCCGTCAAACTCTCGAAATCTTCGTTCGCATATCCATAAATTTAGCCATCTTTGAAAAGTATTCGTGGATGACCAGTTGGACTTTGCGGACCTGGCCGGTGCCTTAATACGTCGGCTTCATACAGTTTTCTAATTTTTCCCTTCTCTTTCTTTTTTGTCCATGTGCCCAAGCTGATAGTTTTTGGAAACTAGAAACCCGACGAGATAAACCCTCAATAACAAACTTCCTAATTAATCCATAATTTGTAAGATTGCATTTCTTATTCACAAATTAACTTTCTATCTTTGTCACTAAGGTTAGGTCCATCTATACATCCTCTACAAAGTGTAAAAAAATATTACATACGAATAATTTTTTTTTCAAATGATTCATTTTATTAAACTATTAACAATACGATAAAAATGAATTATATTTGTGGGATGGTCGATTTTGAAAGAACCTTATTTGGCTATTTTGCTTTGTGAAACCCTTTTTCGCCAGCTAGCGAAAGTAGGCATTATCGACCAGAACATACACGAATAAGCAAAGGGTTGTCATATATGCGAAACCTAATGCACCTAACATTGCCTTAATTTGTCTGCCTGCATATGTTGACAAAGCCATATGTCCTAGAGGCGAGGTTGGCCATTTTGTCACAAAGTAGCTACCGCCCTATATCACCAATTTCCGTCTTTGGAAATTCATGGTTGACGCAATTCTATTGATCGGCCTGCTGCTTAAGAGCTAAGTGCACAATTTAATTGTACTATCTCTATCATTATTATTCATATTGGTATGGATGTAAATTGTTGAAGAATGGAACAGCGCGATCACGTTTGTTTCTTACTTTTCGCTGTTCTTACGTACGAATCTAGTTGACAGAAGATGTAGTTGTGAATACTTGTATTTAGTGAAACAAATGTGGTTAATTGTAGTATGTCTCAACTTTTCATGAGAGTTGATTTAAGTATAATATACAAAATGTTGGTCCATCCGTAAGGTAGAAGAAACTGATTAGAAAAGAAGGAACAGGGAATGTTTTGAACTGAGGCAGGTTCCTTCGGTATTAGTATAGGAGCTGTCATTCTTTACGTAGAAAATAATTAAAGGAATCTTTTTAATCCAAAAGGTGCACATGTCATCCGATGACGATCCATCACAATAACCCTCAATTATGTAGTTTAATAATCCAAGTTCACAAGTCATTACACAATTTGAACATGTAATATCTCATATAATTCGTTCATCCAAGTTCAATTATCAAATTTAATTTGATAAATTGTCACTAATTATGATACTGCCAATTGCACAATATTGTACTATGAAATTGGAAATACATGAGAGCAGTGGTACGTAGTGGGTCATTGGTGGCTCAAGAAAGAAGAGAACAACAAAACGGTGGCCTCCACATGTATCAACGGCGTAAACCACACGCCTGCTTAGTACTACTCCATTTCTGAGAATGAAATAAAAACGAAAAGGTAAAAGTAAGAGTAATAATTAATTAATTAACTAACTGTTTTTCCTGGCACGAACGCCATAGTTGATTGGTTTTCAATGCCGCTAAAGCGCCGCCCCTGAAAACTTTCATTAGCAAATGTGCAAAATGCAAATAAAGGAAAGGCCATGCTGGATTTTTTTTAATTATTATTGAAAAAAAAAGTGTTTTGATCTTTGGAAATCTGTTCTTTTTTTTCTTTTTTTTTATTTCCCAATCAGATTCTTCTATTGAATGTTGATTTGTAGGCCCATACAAATATAAATGAAGTCTTCTCCACAGTCAAATTTTGATCGAATATAATGAAGTTCTTAGTTATTGATCACATCAATGAGTAACTCACTTTCATCATAACTTAATTGAATTTAGAATTTGGTTTATGTTATACCCAATAAATGAAACTACAACTAATCTGAATTCGAATAGAAATTTTTTTTTTCTTTTTTTCGAAGATTCGAAAATATTTTTAACACATATTTCTTCTGTCTCGAAATGATTAGCCATATTTGGTAGTACTAATTTAGTGGAATAAATTGACAGGTGAGTTTTTACTTACCTTTGCATGTCTATACAATGAACTTAATGTCAAGCTAAATCATAATAATTATAAACTAATCCGATTCTTCTTAACAACTGGTCCAAAATGCTCTGATTCTCTTGGACTGAACCAACATGCTTGTTAACTGGACTTGTTTTTTGAGTGTACTGGATAAGACTCCAAGTCAGAGTTTCATTTATAACCTAGTAGTCTCATGGGCGCATTTCAACAAATAGACAGTGACATTGGGCTTACGAATAATGAATCCATAGAGTTGGATGAGAGCTTCAAAGTGTAAGACCATGGACAACACAGATGATGGCTTGGCCCATAGACCCCAAACGAAATTATTCGCACTGACAAAGAATTTGTCTCCTCCAAACTCCCAAAATTTCCCGTGATACTGCTTAGAATTCTAGTTCCACATGAAGTGTTTAGCTGAGCTAAAATTTTTGTGAAACGTTTGTACTTTGTTGGCACTATAGCAGAGTGATACTGCTTAGTCTGCTTAAACTAATACTGGATAGAATAGGTTTTTTTTTTTTGGGGGGTGTGGAGTAATCGCTTAATCAAGTTATCAGTAAAGATAAGGATTATAATAGTTCAATCGTAAGTCGGTGTACAATTATTTCTAGTTCTAGTTATAAATATGTGTTTGTTACGTTTAGTGCAATGAACAAAATGAAAAATATATGCCATATAGATGATGCAAGAGTTTGATGCTTCTGCGAAGAATTGTGCATAACAGGCGCTTGGTTCAAAGTTCTGTTTTATAGGCCAATGAGAGTGGTGAATGATGAGGAGAGAACAGTAATTAGAAAATAATAGACATGCTACCTCATAATTTATCATTTCCATTATGCAGTCACTCGTGACTGTCATCCCTGCTCCAGGCCCTAGGCGTTGATAGTTGAGTACTACGTTTTAAAGGAACTTCCAGAAGATGTTGTATCTGCAATTCACAAATCGTTTGACCTGTAAGAATTTGGGAAGGACAAGGTTGGCCGACTAGTTTGAGAAGGACAACTCTGTTACTGTTACTGTCTTATTTTGGTGTATATTTCACTACTGATTTGCATTTCATCAATCTGTCTCACATCCTCAGTTGATAAGTGACAAAATTTCCCCATCAAACAAGGTGGTGCGCCTCAATTGTTTCAAACCATGGCTGATCAAAACATCATTATAACGACTTTCTGCCAAGAAAATGAGCTGTACAAATTTTCAGCTGCAAGTTTTCTTCCTCGGAAGAACAATTTGTTTTAGGTTGGGAACTGAGAAGTAAATATGGAACATCTAATCCCCCCTCAACAAAAACACATTACAAGTTTACGAGGAAACAGCCCCGCCGCAGAAAAAGAAAATGTGATTCCAGCCTAAACCGCCAAATCCACTTTAATTGTCCTCCAGATGAATCCTTTCTCAACATGCTGTACTCAAAAGATCTCTGCTTGTGAGCTTCAAGCTAACCCTTTCAGATGCTAACGTGGTACCGGCTTTAATTTCATAACTGGCCCCATCTCAACATTTTGGTGCGGCAGATTGGCCAGGGATAGAAGATTTCTATCTATAAATATGATAATAATTTACTAGATAGAGAATGAAAGATGAAGAATCAAATGCTGCAAACTGCATTTGAGGGCAAGATGAAATGAATGCTAACTCTCAGCTACTTAGATTTGCTTCTCCATACAACTCTGAAGATTCGGCATAAATTGAATTTATCTTACTGATCCTTGCCTTTGAGTATGATCCCAAGCCTGCTTCTGCATATCTCCACTCATGTCAAATTCAGGCACAACTCCTACTTGATGCTTCTTTGTGGTATACGTAAGTGATTGGAATCTGTTGGAAACATAAACCTTGGAACTGGGATTTGGTCCTTCAGCTTTTCTCCAGAACTTTGGGCTCAAAATTCTGCCCCGGGAAGCATACAACATGTGTTTCCTGCAGCATCAGAGTTTGATATCTTGGCGGTTGATATCGCTAGATCATGCGACATTCCACCCAAAGCCTTTTCCAGACCATTTACGCGTCTCTCCAGAGAACTCATCCCATTCTGGGAGTGCCCAATGAACCTCTGATGTAAAAAGAACAGAACTCTTGTCAGCTATTTCTTTTTTTTTTTTTTTTTTTTTTGTCTGTGGGTGTTGGACAATAATGAGGTTTACCTAAACAAACCCCACAATTATACAGAACAGAGGAAAAGCACAAGAAGCCTCATATCAGAAGGAAACTGGGAAAGGAGTAAGAAACAAAAAAAGGCATAAACATGAGAGGACGAGTTAGTACCTGGAGGAGATCCATTAAACTAGATTGTTGACTTTCGATCTGACGAAGCTGTTTCTGAATCAGAGATATGCTTTCAAACTCTTGTTGGCTCTCAGCTACATTACCAGTATTTGTATCTACAGCATTTGAACTATAATTCCCGTTGCCATGCAATGGTACCACGCGGGTACCAAATCTTGAACCCGAAAACTTTTGTGCCCTTTCATCAGAACTTCTGTTAAAAGGGAAGCACTTTACTTCAACCTTTGAACTCTTGCAGCTTTCAGTATCAGCTGAATCTGAATCTGAGGCTTCAAGCTTTTGGTTCTTCTGCTCATCATTCGCCAATTTCAAAGAGTCATTCTGTGGTACATTGATTTCAACCTTATAGTCCAAAGGCTTTCTGGGATCCATCTTAAAGGATCTCGAGGCTTTCGGTTTCCCAATGTTATTCTTTGGAGGACTTCTCTTCTGATTACTATCATTATTAGACGATTTATTGGATACAGGTGACCTGACTCTGGCAATTGTTTTCTTCTGCTGAGGGGTTATGTAGCCATTGTCATCACTTCCATTATCTAAATCCAATACAAAAACACCCACAAAGTTATTAACAGATATCAAAATTTTCACTTCAGTCTAATCAAAGGGAAGCATGTGACTACTATGATACCATATAAATTATACAATCATCAGACTGACCCCTCTAATTCGTTCCATATTTCATTATTGCAGATTAGAAGCACGTTATCAAAATCTAAAAATTCCAGAATGAGAGTGTGAAAGATGATTAGTCCAGTTTAACTTGCCACATAATTCATTAAGAAATTTCATCCAAACTCTCAACTAGACATTTCAGCAAATTAGGCTACAACACAAAACTAGAAACACCATTAGCCATAATTTACAAAGGATAATTTTTTAGAAGATGATTGTGTGTTTTTCTGGAACTATGCCAGTCAAAGCATAGCAGTTGTCTAAAGAACAAGCACAAGCAAATACTGTATGAAACAAAAGATTCCATAGTTTTCACCCCACATAATTGTTGTTATGTCCACCAGCCACCACTAATCAATAAAAAGTAGTACTAATTACTTTTCAAAGAAGACTTGTATTCTGTACCATTGGATGCCACATCTGAAACTCCCGGAACATCTTTCCACAATTCCATCGCCCTATTCATGGTCTCTCTCACAACCTTAACCTATATTTGAAACAAAATGATTAATACATTTCATCCAAAGTTTACAACCAAAAATTTGCACCCCAAATAAAATTTTTAAAAAAAGGAAGTACCTTGTCAAAACGTTTGCTTTCTATGGAAGCTAAACAGGATGACTTGAATTCCGATAAAAGATTGGACTCTGCTTCCGCCAACCGCCCTAATGCATCAGCGGCGGATTTCCTCGCTGACCAATCGTCATTGCTCAAGAACTCCACCAATGCCGGTACTAAACTAATCAAAACATTCCTACTAGAAGCCCCACCAACGCTAACAATGCTACCAATTAGTGACAGCAAAGCGGGTTTTGCTTTGAAAGAGTCATTCTTTACCAGCTTTAGGAGTTTGGGCAGGAGTTTCTTGAGCTCTGCAGGCTCCGGTTCAGGGGAGGCCTCGATTGCAGCAGCCAAACAGAGCGAGGCACCGATCTGGGCATTGTAATCCTGCTCGCGACAAATACATTCAATCAGAGGCTTGGAAATCAGAGAGAACGGCGGTCTGGTAACATGGGAAGCGATACAGGAGACGGCGTCGACGCAGGCGGAGCGAACAGAGGAGTCAGGGTCACGAATGCGGCGGAGGACAGAGGAAAGCATCTTGGAGAGATGGGGAGACAGGGCATCGCCGTGGGAGGCGGAGAGAACGCCGAGCATCCGGACGCATTGGCGCCGGACGGGGGATTTCTCGGAAGAATCGGTGGTGGAGAGGCAGTTCAAGAAAGGGGCGAAATCGTCGTTGTCAAGAGTTCTGGCAATGAATTCGAGCTCGTTAGTAGCCAATGCAAGCGTATCCCGGTCGGAGAGCTTGTTCAGGCAAGTGATCACCCGGGTTTTCAAGTCCGACGACATGGAAGACTGCCTAGATAACGACCCCATAGCTTAATTCTCCAGTCTCGCCGGAAAGATCAGAAACCAAAACACACACACACACACACACAAACACAAAACAAAATCCTGGGTTGTTTTCAAAGTTTCAGAATGCTGGAGTGAAGGCAGCAGCAGATGGTGGGGGAGGAAGGAATGGGGGCATGTGGGGAATATGGATGGAGTAGGGGGGAGGAATATTTCGGTGGGTGAGTTTTAGGGTCGGGTGGTTGAGGTGGTTGTGGATTTGTCAGTGTATTTGGGAATGAAAAGGAGGGAAATGGGTTTTATATGTTTGAGTAGAGTGAAAACCCGGATGAGGGAGGAGAACGTGGCCGGTGGGGACGGAGGAGACTGACTGACTGAGCGGTCTGAGCCGGTGGGGGAGAAGGAATCGGGTATTTGGTTTTTGCCGTCCCCCGGAGATTGGCGTTTTTCTTCTCAGCTTGGGTCAGTCGAGGCAGAGTGGGGAAATTATTAGTCTTTACTCTTTATTTTACAGGAGGGGAGGGAGTGGGGAATAAGCATGGGGAATTGGTCATTTCTCTGTTCTTAAAATTTTGTTTTTATTCGAATCTTACTATCCCATGACGTAATGTTGTGACCAAAACGATATATTAATAGATAAAAGTCATTTTGGGTTTTTTTTTTTTTTTTTTTCTAATAAGGCTGATTGCCGACGATGTACTGCTGCAATCTGATCAAATGAGATCCTTGTTACTGTTTATTATTAGGAATAATAGTACTACCATTTCTGTAATTAAGAAACTAGTGTGATGAAAAATAGCTCAATCAGTGATCCAAGGACTCCATATAATTAAGATTTGTGATTAAAGACGGTGTACATTTTGATGGAATTATCTACTAGTTAACTGGACCACAATTATTGTATTTACTGATGAGATTAATATTGATGATGGTAGTAACATATGTTCACGTGCTACATGTAACGTGTGATTGCTTCCCTTCATGACTGCAACCAGGAAAAATTCACATGGCCCTTTTCAGACATTTTCATTTCAGTATATTAATCACCCATATTATTAATGTGTTGATGACAATTCAAGACTCAACCAGACAAACAATCTCATATGCTCGCTTAAGAAATTTAGGGTATGTTTGTTTTTTTTTTGTGTGTTTTTAGGTATTTTTTTTGTATTGGAAATATAAAAAAATATATTGAGAATGTAAAAATATATGTTGGGATAGTACAGTTATTATTTTATTAATCTAAAAAAACCATAAAAAAAAACTAAACAAACAAAGCTATTAATTTCTTTTTAATACTTCATTATTACTAATTAATTTTGAGATGCGGGTCCAAATTACTTTAACAAAATAATTGATAAGCTTCGCCTTAAATTTTTATTTTTATTTTTACAAAAGAATAAAACAATTGTAAGTGGACACTTTTCATATATATATATAAAATATATCATTCATTTGCTACACACAAACGATGTGAGACTTCCATGGAACAATTGTACATGTAAACGATAACTGAAGTATTTTTAAACGACTTTTTGTGGTCAACTGTAGAAGGACCAGTTAGTTTTTCATATTCAATTTATATCTAATAAGTACCCTTAAAACTTATCCTCTCCGGTCATAATTATACGACATAAATTTAAACAAATTTTAATGTTAATTTGTGTCTGAATTAAGACCAGATGAGAGTCTTAAAAGGATAAAAACTCTTTATTACTATAGCCAATTTCAGGATATTAGTTTATTTTGTTAATAATAATTGGAATAGCATAAAGTGAACGATTGACATCAAAGAGGGACTAGGGAGTGGAGGGTACCAATCATTGTGATACTATCATACATATAACAATAAAAAACAATGCTAGTTTGTTAGACCAATAATGATGCTATAGTTGGTTTAGAGCACAAAAGAATTATGTTTAATTTGGACATTCTCCAAACTAAAAACCATTGAAGAAGAAGAAGAAGACAAATGAGATGGAGAGCTTCGGGCCTGAATGTATTCTCCTCGTCATTAGTACAACTACTACTACTACTACCTACAGCCTGTGGGCTGTGGGGTTTTGGCAAACATACTAAAAATATATACCGACTTTGGTAAGAAAGATGCGGATGATGTTATAGAAGTATTTCGCCACGCAACCGGAAGAAACACAACTCCTTATCTGCTGGATGTTGACAGCAAAATCCTGATCCGTTTTTCCAAACCAACACAATTAATGAATAAAAGACATTCAAACGACCCATGTTGCAGCTGTTAATACCTGGACATGTACTTAACATCATTGCAAAACCCCATACCAAAATTCAGATTCATTCATTTATAATTAGTCCCTTCTACCCACCAAAAGCTAGTATTACTACCTTATATATCACAAAAATAATCCGCATTAGTAACTGATTAAACCTTACAAAGAGAGTACTACAAATTGATTAAAAACTTATACCCAGACCCACTTCATAGCTAGCTGTCACAATTTGGCTTCATTAGTAGTAATAATTTTCATATTCCTTGTTAATTTGTTTTCCATTTTCTCGCTTACATCACACGCTTATATATATGTGCATTCTTAGAAGAATGTTTCAGGCTTTGTTTGTTTGTCAACTCATTTACCTCTTAAACATAAAACCCAATGAAAAAAAAAATATCATCCAAGCAATTTTCTGATTTACATTTTAAATTCCAACTTAAAACATTTTTTTTATTAGTGTAATGACCATTTTTGAAAAAAAAGTAGTTCAGTGACGAAATCTAACAAAAAAAAAATCTTAGAGTGACAAATTTGCCAGGTTCCTGTTGTTTAGTGATTGTTTTTGAAAAAATTCTTTTTTAAAATGACTATAATTAACAATATTTAATTGTTTAGTGATGATTCGTACTTGATATTTTCAAAATATAGTTCAAAATATTTTTTTCAAAACCAACATCCAAACAACTTTTGCTCAAAATACCATCCAAACAACATTTTCATTTTCCATTTAATTTTCAACTTGAAACACTTTCCACTTTTAAGTGGCAAAATGAAATGTAAGATGACATCTAAACAAGCACTTAACTTTTAACTAGAAAAGTATGTTTCAAAAAATAAATGATGAATGGGTTGTACTATAGTTACTTTTTAGCTCTTCAAAACCAAATCTAAACCAGAATTAATTTACAAATTAAGGAAAAAGAATAGTGTAAGATTTGTACGTACTGAAGATCTGAAGTTAAGACGAAGTAATCATACTAATTGGGGCGGCATCAGCACGTAGAATCTAGGAGGTAGCGCTTCTGAAAAAAAAAATAAAAAATGATGGTGATGCATGTGAGGAGGATAAAATAAAAATTGCTACGAATTACTAGTATATCATTTCTCTGTTGTATGCATTTCTTTGACGCTAAAATTTTCACGTGACATTTCAGATCGATGTTCATTGAACTGAAAAATTATTACTCCATTTTTCATTTATGTTTTTACAAAATTTGTGAAAGGGAAATATTGGTCGCCGCAAAAGTGAGATGGTAACTGGAAGGTTTATATTTACAAGTTTTTGTTTTTTTTCTTTTTGGGGGGGCATATTAGAGATGAGGTCTAATGAAGGTATATATAATATAAGATTCCAATTAAAATTCTCGAGTGAATAATTACAAAATAGCTATAGTAGTAAGAGTTTTGATTAGGCCGACAGCCTTTGTAAGATTAATGGTGCTCCACTCTCCTCTAATAAAAAATCATGAAAAAATAAAATTAATCCAGGAAGGTGATTTAAAATTTTGATTAGAAAAATAACAATTGACTAAATCTCAAGTGTAACATCACAGCTTCATGTTTTGTCACTAATAACCCAAATGATCAACTTAAGTTATTAATAATTTATAAGCATAACACTATATGTGAGTTTCATGTTATAGTATTACTTTTGATTTCGATGTCAGATGATTTTTCGTATTCAATCCCTTACAATTTGCGTTGATTGATTTTAAGTTTCCTAAGATGTTATTGTTTTGATTTATGTACACGTTGAGAATTAAAGCAGATTCTGTTCTTCTAATTTCAGCAAAATGTCACCAATGCTGTGGCTTCTTCTTAGTTCTTCTTTTACATTCATATATGTAGGTAAGGAATAATGTTAAAGCCGGTCAGATCTATAAGTTAAGTGTCGTGCATGGTACAAAGGATTATAAAATTACATGATTTTTTACGAGGTCAAAAGAGAGTGGAAGAGATCATGTGCCCCTCATTTCATGTTAAAACAACCAATTAATAACTATATATTTGAATCAAGACGTTGAAGTAAAACGGGGTTGAATCTATAAAGCCATAGATTTTTAGGCAAATGTACAAATGATTCAGGTCGATATACAAAAAGGATCAATGGTCCGACGAATTGGTTACAGTCCATGTGATGAGTTTGGACATTATAGACACGATTGGTTTGGCGTATAGGGCTTTGTATTGTTGTTTTCATTTGTGTCATCTTATGCTTTTACTAATCCAAATAAAACCTATCAACAATTTGCAAAATATCCATTTCTTTTTCAAAAAATCACCTATTTATACAAAATCTGAAATAATTACAATTTATTTTTAATTTAATCGTGAGGAATTATAGGATGAGTCTATGGCGCTAATTTATCTTGTTTAGAGCAATTACCATTTCACAAACTTTTGAAGAGAGGGAAGCGATCATATATTTTCTTCTGTAATGCTGGCCGGAACCCGTCGGAATCAGTTTTGAGCGAATTTATTTTCCAACCATTTATCAAGGAGTGGAAGAGAGTTCAACATATATTAAATCCCAATAATTTCCTGATATTCCGATATGTATCAATAAAAATGCAAGGCACATGTATCAATCATCAGCAAAGAAAACTATTACTAGGATATATGATTAGTGACAGGTGACAACCAATTCAATTTCAATTATATGCCAAACCCAATAATTCAAACTGCTAGGTGCAGCTTAATAATAATTTAAGAGAGATGATACTTATTTAATAAAACTAAATTACTCTTCTTGTCCTAAAAAAAAATTAAGAAAATTCTCCCTTCGTCCCATAATTAAATCTATCAGGGAGAAAAAGATTAAGAGCGATGTAAATATATAATATGCCAAACATATAATCATAATATGGCGTATAATGTGACAGGAGTGCGCGCCGGCAATGTTGAAAGAAAAAACTGGATCATGAACCAATTTATTAATGTGCAGCCAAAGAAGAGAAAAGAGAAGGGAAACAAAGGATAAAGTGCATGTGATGTGTTTGTTCTTCTTCTTCTCTCGCAAGATTAATATTGGGCCAGTTGCCCCGAACGTTAGTTGCATTGTACCTCGAATGAGATCGATTACACTACATAGAATTCATCAAAATCCTCGTGACTAGGTTTCATAAACACATGCATTATGCTTGCATCTGTTCATCATGTAATAAATTTGTCCCGGAAAAAAAAAGTATACTCCTCATTAGCTTAGATTCTGTAATGCTGCTTAGTTTTAGCTTCGTATTATTTTTGTAACATGCAACATTGTGAGATTTGCAACCTTACTCAAGTATTTCAAATTTTACCA